AAAGCGGTCAGCAGAAAGTAGGACTTCCCCATTCACTCCCTCTCGATTCATCCACAAAACCCGCCAGGTGAACAGCTGACTTCACTACTACCGGTGCTGATGTACTACCTCCACCCACACCACGTGACTCCCATTCCCGTATATAACCACACAGTACACAAATGTTATAAAAGATCATGGCTACCACTAAGAACTGGCATCTACACTACTGTAACAAGGGAACTAATGGATGGATTGCTTTTGCACGGAAACTGATTAGCACTGCGGGACAGTCACTTGAACAGCCCTTTAAGGTCTAACATAAGAGCAGCAGTAGCTTTATGATAGTCATATCTACCTATAGCCATATTTCATGCAAAACTAGGGGATAGGTGTGTCTCAGTCTGGAAGATCGTATTGCCCTCTGCTGAGTTTTCTCGCGTTACTTGCATTTGTGACTGTTTCTAGCACTTGTGCCTCCTCTAAGGTTGAACTTCTCCCTGTTTGTCGTGTTTCTGCATGTTTCAAAGTGTGCAAATGTAGAACTGGTCAATGACCTGCTTTGACTTGGCATCATAGTCTGCCTTGATCACAGACAACCACAATTATATTCACAATTTGTTTCCCTCATTGGTTTTGTTCAAAACATTTTCATGCATTCTTTTGCTTTTTTATGACCTGCACAGATCCGTATGTATGGGGGCATATACAGTAAAAACAGGAAAACATTAACTCAGAGTTTGAAACATATGAGCTTGAATTATAGTAGACCAGCAAAACTTTGCAGAAAGACTTTGAGCAGACACAAGTAATGCTTCGAACTCTTATACAGACAGAGAGGATGAGCTGTCCAGTAAGACTTCATTCACCAGAGCAGGCAGGTGGACGGATGAAACTGTTTGGCGGTGGGGCAAACAACACTCAGGAAACTTGCAATGGGAGGAAATAAAGTGACAAAAGTAAAGGGATTGGTTGGGGGTGTAATAAATCAGAGAACAATGTATACTTCAGCAGAGGCATGCTGTGACTTGATACCAGCTCTCTTGTGTCAGTTACCTGTTGTCACTGGACGGTCAAAACTTGCTTTCTTCAAGACTGTCTGTCACATTGTTTACTTAGCCCATCATCTTTTGTAAGATCTGCTTGTCTGTACTTGAAAAACTGTCTGTTGTCTGTCTGCAACCCTTTTTTTTAAGTATCACCTGCTGCTTTGACCAAGAACAAAGGCTTTTACCACCCCTTTCCTACCTTTAGTTCAAAGAAGACTGGTACATCTTATCCGTAATGCCAAGCGTGGATGTTCATCATAAAGTGTAAAACACTGGCTCATTGTTACATTTAATCTATGGATTGTCAACACCACTCAGTAATTTTACATTCCTCTCTAAGCTTAAAGTACACCTGACCTGCGTGTTCGCCCCCACAAAGTTCAAACCCGCCTTGAGGCAACATGTGAAAAATTGAACATAATGAATTTTTAATTTTTGTGTCATACTATTGAAGTGGACCATCCCACATGAGATTACATGACACATTACAGCATTGCCTTTAAACAAAGCCTTCTTTTATTTCATATCTAGACTTCCCCCAGTAAAATAATTTGTTCCTGTGTAACATTACTCACACTTTCCTGGGGAAATTAAAAAAAAACAATCCACAGGACAGAGACTAAAGTATATTTTACCCTTTAAAAGAAACTGTTTTAGGTGATAATGCACAAAATAAGAGAGCAAGAGTGTTTTCAATACTGAATATTCCTCTGATTAAATCAACATGACACAGAGTGTAGCTTTTAGACTCGGTGGTTATTCTGTTTAGAGCGACCAAACAACTGCTTTTATAAATTTAATGACTAAAATGCACTCTCAGTGTTTAACAGTACATATAAAAATGCATGAATACAAAGAGTTTTTACTTCTGCTCCCTCTTAATCTGTCACTTTTTTAAAATTCTTTCATCTCATTTTATCTTTAACTCGAGGTGGATCCTCTTTTAACTGGAGGACGCCAGTTCAGGCTCCTGTGTTTGCACCCTCCTGAAGTGTTACTGTAAAATGTAATGGAGAGTATGAGAGAGTATATATACAGTACTTTCTATTTTAACTGTTATATTCTGTACATCCATGAGCATCAAGTAGTGTTTGAGTGCTCCTACATTACGTATTCATGGGCTGAGTGTTTACCTTTTTTAAGACTGCTCACCCAGAAAACCCATTTCTACCGTCGTCCACACTACTTTGATATCCTTTCTGTCATATTCAGTGTTTGAAATGGGTCCTTATGTAGCAATACAAAGTCCTTCTCTCTGTCTCATCCAAATTCTCCAGAGACCTCAAGCCTTACTTTTACTCTTTCAGTTGCCATGGATACCTCCAGCAAGGCATCTGATTGGAGGCAACAATAAACTCTGCTTGTTCAAGCCTTTGACAAATTTGTCTCCAAACTGATGATCTTAGAGACTCTCGTGCATACTGACACACACGCACTCACACCCTCACTAACATATGCACATACTTACACGTGGATAAACTTGGGCTGACACACACACAGAGGGGTGAAAACCACCAGATGACAGCGGAACAGATATCATTGTAATCTCCTTCAACACTATCCAAAGCCACTGTCATCATCTATCTATCTATCCCAGTGGAGCATGGGGAAATGTGTGAAATCAATTCTGCATTCGTTTAAGGAGGAGCTGACCACAGTGGTCTGGCTCAAAAAGTGACCCAGAGTGATCCTGTGTGGTCCTAGGAGGAGGCCAGCTCTGGTTAAAAAACGTAGTTCCCACTAAAAGGTGCAATGTGTAGAAGCTAGTGTCAGGCTGTTAGAAATGGAATGTACTGTATAAATTAGTATACAATCATCTCAATATGAAAACTTTCTTTGTTTTTGTCAACTTAGAATTAGCGTCTTATTTCTATAACTAGCAGGTCGAGGTCACCATCTTGCCATGCCATGTGATTCCCAACCACAGGTGCAGCTCGAATAAATATAATTAAAAAGCGGAACAAAAACATGGTTGTCACCAGGTACAGGGAGGAAGAAGGGCTTTAACGTTCAGTTGTTTTCATGAATGATTAATGTACTTATTTACTCTATTTATGTTCTATTTTTTTATATATAATGTAAATATGCTGGAGACTGACAGTTTATTAAGTAGAGGAGAAGGGGTAGGTTTAAAAAAAGCATAATGCTTCACCCTGCTCCTTTTCATAAATGTTGGGTTCGCATTGTTAGTATAAGTATTTTTTATTTTTACTTTTTTGCTTAGATTATCGTTATTGTTGTTTTGAATATACTCACTGTTTTTTTTTGTTTGTTTTCAGTTTGCTTTCTTGTGTTGCAAGCACATATCAAATAAATAGATCAATAAATAAATGTCCTGTAAAAAAAATCTTCCCCTTTAAATCAATTCTATTTTCTAGATTCATCACATACAAAGTGAAATATGTCAAGACTCTTTGTGTTTGAGTCTTGATGATCAGGGCTTACAGCTCATGACTCATGAAAATCAAAAATCCACTATCTCAAAATATTAGAGTACCAATCCAAAAAATGTATTTATAACACAGAAATGTCCACCTCCTGGAGATGATGTTCATTTATGCAGCCAGTACTCAGTCAGGCCTCTGCTACACAAATTACTGTGTATTGTGTATTCAACATATTGAACCCTGAGTTGCTGTGATGGCTCCCCAGCTCACCTTTATTGTTGGCTCTGGTGTCTCTCATCCTTCTCTTGATGATACTCCAGAGGAAATCTCCATAAAGCTTCTCAGCAGACAGAAGCATGAAGCGCTCTAAAATGTCCTGGTACACCTAAGGCTGTGTTGACTTTGGAAAGAGCAAGACCAGAAAATGACATGACACCCCAAATCATCACAGACTGTAGAAACTTCACTCTGGACTTCCAGCACCTTGAATTCTGCGCCTTTTTGATCCTCCTCCAAACTCTGGGACCTTGATTTTCAAATGAGATGCAAATGATTCCTTTTATTCTTTTATCCATTAGTCGTATATATTTGAAGTACAGTTTGCTTATTTCTTACAAAATTTCACTCAGCAATGACAGAAACCACCACTTCTCTTACTAAGTTGCATTTTTTTTCTTTCATATACTTATGGGATAGTATATGGGATATGATTTTTTACTTTTTGCCCCTATTTTTCATCAGTGTTAGGCAACCAGTGCCAAGTCATTCTAAATAAACCATCACAAAAGACAACAACTCAGAAAAAAAGGGCAGAAAAAAATATCAATCAAAATACTTCTGCATATGCAAACATGCAAACGTAATAAGGGCTAGGAGTTTTGTGATCTTGCCTCCTGAAAATTTTGATGAGGATCTGGATAAAGAGTTAAGGTAGATACATCAAAGCAGGATCTTTGTTAGAATGAGGATCCTGCTCAATCTTTGTTGAACTCCTCTCAGAAATTAAAGGAATAAACAAAGCACAACAAACAGGCTATTCTTTGGACCGCATGCTGAAATGGTAAAGCGATGATTGTATGTGTTAGCATTAAACTTTTCAATAATACAGTCTATTCAGTGGTGTACTCGGGCTGTTTCAGGGGCAGGGGCAAAAAATAAATCAATTAATGTGAATTGTGATTAATGAATATCTGCCTCTAGCGACATTGTGAAAATGCATTTTACAGGACATTCAGGGGGCACTTTTCAAATCTTGTAAAAAGAGAGTGCATCCAGAGAGCACTTTTTCCTGGTTTTTAAATCTGGGAGAGCATCCAGAGGCCAGTTCCAGAGGGTTAGAGTTTTTTGTTTACACTGAAAGGTAAGACTTTTCTTATGTGAGTGCACCATCCAATAATCCCTTAAAGGGATATTCCGGCGTAAAATTAAGTGAGGGTCAAACACACCGTAACACCGAGTTAGACACCCCGTCTAGAGATGAATGTTGCCGACCGCTTGCTTCTCTAGTTATACCAACTTATGTACCTATGTTACCTATGTACTGTTGATGAAGTTAGGTACTGTTCTGAGCATTATTTCTGGCTATAGAGTGGCTTTTGGTTTGAGAGTGTGGCTCTCTGTATTGCTATCTGCGGTCGTTACTAAAGTTAGTATAACGAGAGACTAACTAGGAGTGTCTAACTCAATGTTACGGTGTGTTTGACCCTAAGTTTATTTTACACCAGAATATAATATAATATTGAAGGTTTTTCTTTTTCTTTTTTGCAGGACAGTAATGCTTTGCCCTGTTCTCTCATCTCTGCATCATAAAAAATTAAATTAAGCCTAAATAAAAACTTAAAGGACATCAAGAGGGCACTTTTTTGTTTGTCCACTGGGAGGGCATCCAAAAGACACTTTCTCAAGCTGCCCTCCAGAAAAGCAATGTGCAATGCAAAGGAAAGGATACCAAAGGGCATTTTTATAATGTTTTATCATGTTTATACTTGGAGAAGCATCCAGAAGGGCACCTCCATTGCATCTTACATGGGGGCATCAGAGTACACTATTGGTTATTATGGAAATAGCATGGCATAGTGGAGCATTGTGCAGTAGAGGAGTGGGGTAAGTTTAGCCAAAGGGTAAGTTGAGCCACCCCCTGTTGCTTGGAAATGGTAAAAGAAATTGATCAAGTGACCAAATATTTAGGAGATGGGCATCAATTCATGGAGTCTGTGAAGGTTAGAAGCACATGGGTGAAGGGGTTAGACATTTATTTTAAAAAAAATAAACATTTTTAACTCTTGAAAGTGAATTTAGTCTGTCATGAGTTTTATTAGAATTGTGTTCAGACCAAAAAAGATCATTTTAAAATTGTTTTATACATCAATTGTGGTATCTATGAGCTACAACATGAAATCAAAAACCTAGCATAAAAGTCCACCATTTTAGCTTAGAGGATTGAAAAGTCATGATAGTAGTTCTGTGGTAAGTTGAGCCAGTGGCTCAGTTGAGAAAGTAAATAAGTATGATGAGAGGATCAGAGTCTCAGTTCAGATTGTTGAAATGTGTTACTTTTTCTTTTCAAAAATACAGCTGTGAATGTTCTGAATCACTTCAAGACATTCTCATGTTAAAATGACTTTTTACAAAACAGCTTTTTAGCAGTTATATGCAATAATAATAAAAAGAATTATTGCATCAGTTGAATAGCATATAATAGATAGAAGTACACATGAATGTGAAGAAGTGACTGTTATTTAGGGAGAGAGAGAAGGTAAGGGGGGCTGGTCAACTTGCCCCATACAAGGGGTAATTTGAAGACAGTTATGTTTACAGCCATTCTGTTTGTTTGCAGGGATGCACAATATCTTGAAATATATACAGATGCACTAGTTAGAGACCAAACTATGATTGCCTTTATGTAGTGATCCGAAATATGAAAAATGGCTCATCTTACCCCACTCTCCCCTACTGACACAAGTATTTTGAAGACCTGAAAGAGGAATAGTCTATAAACCGATAACTTACGTTTAAAATTTTCACTCAAACTATGGTGAAGGCCAAAAGGCTGTGCGGCTCCATGGTCGTCAGTTGTCTGATTGGTACTTAAGCCTTCAGTCTCTTCTCTGTCAGGAAGGGGTGACGCCTGGGACCCCGCCTGGATTTTAAATACAAACGTCCCCTGCAGTGTTTTCGGTTCGTGTCTGTGGGTACGTGTGTGTGGATTGTGTCCAGACAAAAATTATCCAGAAAGTTTTGACGCCACCTACAGGTTTTGGGAAAGTCTGCTGCTGTTTGAAGATTCACGGTCCAAATCTCCTAAAGTTTTGATATAATTGAAAATATTTTTCTTTTAACTCGAAATGGCATTATTTCGGTTTTCTTTCTTTATGCGTCTTCTGACGGATAAAGTCCCGCAAGAACAATCCTTGTAGTAGGAACTACTTACATCCGTCCCTTGTATGCCACCCGGATTTGCGAAGTGTTACACAGGTGCCCTGAGTCTATTTCGGCACGCCATTGTCGAAAATAGCTACTTTCGCATTACCGTAACCGACTCGTTATTCCGGTCCTGTGTTCCCAGGCGAGTTTTTAAACCTTTTAAATAACAAAAGTCTCACAATGGCGACGGACTCATGGGCCCAGGCGGTTGACGAGCAGGAAGCGGCGGCTGAATCGGTAAACCTTAACTTACGCAACACGAGCTAACGTGTTGTTAGCCCGTCTGATGGTTTTCTTTGGCCTGCTCTGTTTCTGTGAGAAAGAACATTGAAAGCTAAGCTCTGTGTCTCTTTTGATGAAATAGTTCACTGACAACCCGACGGTAAAAAACTGTTATCTGAGAGTTTGTCACGGTGAGGTTCAGGTTGGTGTGAAAATGAAACTAACCGGTTTGTCCAGGTTGAAGCTAAATGAAGTAGCTTCACTTCAGACGCTGCGTGCTCAATACAACACCAGCCTTAGGAGCCATCGAGCAACTAATAAAAGAGGCTAAAATAACATTCCAGATATGAATCAGCTGTAGTAACTAAGCTTCTCGTGATCAGAAATGAAGTTTGTCGAGACACACCCAAGTCTGGACACTTAAAATTAAAACTTTTTTTTTCTATCCAACTAACTCTAAATATCTCTCTAAATTTCTGCATTTCTTCTTACAGATTGGCGGTCTTCAGATTAAAGACAAACCAGAAGAAAATGGTAAGTTTATCAAGCAACTTTTTCTGTAGACTTGTCTCAAAGTAGTGTTTTGGATGTACATTGAGGAACCAATTGATCAAGCATTTTATTTTATTTTTATTTGGACCCCAATGTTCCCGGGTTTTACTCTGATTTATTCTTACTTGTTTACTCTGCGTTGCTGCGATAACCAAATTCCTCCTGGGGCCTCATTTATCAACCGTGCGTATGCTCAGATGTGCGCGCAATAAGTGCATAACATTCCCACACAAAGTATCTAATCTATCAACCTGTACTTTTGTAAATACTTGCGTTATTAAAGACTGTGCTGATCTGTTCAGAACACAGAGTGGACTCTCAGCAGGTACCGCTTTCCCCAAAATCATTTAAGTGGATTTATGCCGTGGTTAACAACCCGTGTTGGAGTGAGAGACAAAACACACCAGAGCCATCCCAGCGCACATCCAGCTCCTGTCCACCCTGGGATTTTTGGCCACTGGAACATTTCAGCGTGAGATTGGAGACATACAGCATTTCGCAGCCAGCACTAAGCAGAATCATGCCGGCAGAGTTGGATGCAATAATTTCTCTGGCCTCAACTTACATCCAGTTCCCAAACACACATCCGCAACAAGCTGAAATAAAACGAGGATTTCACGCCATTGCCGGATTCACAAACATAATTGGAGCCATAGATTGCACCCACATCGCAATAAAAGCACCTTCACACAATAAATTCAGTTTTGTCATCAGGAAAAGATTTCGTTCAACCAATGCACAAATAATCTGCGATGCACATTTATTTCTGTTAAACGTTGTTGTCCGGAGAAACGCACGACTCACTCATTCAGCAGAACAGCTCTGTGAGTGTGCACCTCCATGATTTCAGCGAGGGGGGAAAAATCCATTCACGCATTTTGAAAGGGATTGTTGGTCGATATTTGGTTGATTGGAGGCGTTTCTGAATGCAAATGACCCTAACCATGCACGAGCACAGTAGTAAAGAACAGGTGGGATTTATCATCACCGACTACTTACTAGTGTGCGTACGACCGGTGTCCGCCTGTTTGATAAATACAGATTTTTTAGTACTTGCGTACATTCTAAATTTCATTCCTATGCCAGAATTTAGCACCATTTCTACGCACAGATGATAAATGAGGCCCCTGGAGATCATAAAAGCGTGAATATAAAAAAAATACTATCTTATAATTTATTGTTGCAGGCACAGCAGGCACAACTGCCACTACGACAGACTCTGGTAGTGCAGCTGCAAAGACAGAGACTGAGGGTGAAAACAAGACCACAGATGACGATGACAAAGGTTGGCAGTTTTCTTTCACCATCGTCTTATATTCTTGTTTATATTTCAACAAGTTATCTATTTGGTATTAACAGCCTGTGCAACGTTTCTTTCTTTTTTTTCTTCTTTTTAAAGAGGACAAGGCAGCACAGTCGTTGTTGAACAAGTTAATCCGAAATAATCTTGTCAATAACTCCAATCAAGTGGAAGTCCTTCAGAAGGATCCCAACTCTCCGCTTTACTCGGTCAAGTCTTTTGAGGAATTGCGGCTGTAAGTGATGGATCAATCATTACATTAATGTCTTTCCACTTCCTTCTTTCCAGTATCCCCTTCTTCTTACGTTCCATCAGATAGTATTTGCTGAATAGCAATCATTTGTGTGTTTGTCTGCATTATGCATTTGTGTCGACAGAAGAGACTGTTTTTGATCTACATTATTCCCACCAACCCACTTTAACTAAAAGGTACATGAGTAAAGGAAGTGACATTTATTTTTGATGTTATGTGCGCAGCAAACCCCAGCTACTTCAGGGTGTATATGGCATGGGTTTCAACAGGCCGTCTAAAATCCAGGAGACTGCCTTACCAATGATGCTGGCTGGACCGTGAGTATACTCGGCACAGAAAAGGATTGTTGTGCCATCTGCTACTTCAGCAATGTGTCCCATTGAGGGCTTTACAATTCCTTCGATTGAATATTTCTATGAAAGTTAGGAATTGGTCTTCTTCTGATTATTGTAAGGTAGAGATTCAACAACATGGACTCTATCGTCTCTGTCTGCGTCCTTATTCTCATGTTTCTCGCAGTCCACAGAATCTGATAGCACAGTCACAGTCAGGAACAGGGAAAACAGCCGCCTTTGTTCTGGCCATGCTCAGTCACGTAGATCCTGACAATAAATATCCTCAGGTAGGTGTTCTGGGTTTTCTGTGTTATTCTAAAGGCATTAGATTGAAATCTGAACTTTTAAAAACTGGCATGTGACATATTGTTTCGGATCTGTCTGATCGCTCTCCTACTTGTCTTTGAAAAAGGAAGATGATGATTTTATCAGCCTATTAATTGTATTTTTCTCTTAACTTATCATCAGTGCCTGTGTGTGTCACCCACCTATGAATTGGCACTTCAGACTGGAAAAGTAATTGAGCAGATGGGCAAGTACTATCCTGAGGTCAAACTAGTCTACGCCATCAGAGGGAATAAACGTAAGTCTGCTGTGCTTTTTTGGAACTGAATTTGCAGTGTAACAGATATTTCATATCTGTTTGAGTGTTTTTTGTGTGTATTTGTCAAGATGTGTTGCTCTCTCCTAGTTTCTTCTGTCCACAGTCCTACTCATTCCATGAAGACATAAAAGCCCCCCAAAAACTAAAACCAACATAAAAGGAGATGGGTTAATGTGTTGGTTAATTTCTTTCTTTTGTTTTGGTTTCTTTTTAGTGCCCAGAGGCCACAAGCTGCAGGAACAGATAGTTATTGGGACACCTGGTACCATGCTGGACTGGTGTGGTAAATTCAGGTTCATAGACCCCAAGAAAATCAAGGTTTTTGTGCTGGATGAGGCCGATGTCATGATTGCCACACAGGGTCACCAAGACCAGAGTATCCGCATTCAGAGGTCAGAATCAACATTTATAGGAATAAAAAAACGCTGTTGAATTTACTTAAACGTACGCATTCTTTAATTCTGATGCCTTGTGCTGCTTTTAACCCGTTCAAACTGACATTTCACTCCTTCCGTCCTCCCTCTCTGCTTCAGGATGCTGCCTCAAACCTGCCAGATGTTGCTGTTTTCAGCCACGTTCGAAGAGACGGTGTGGAACTTTGCTCAGCGCATTGTGCCTTCTCCCAACATCATCAAGTTGAAAAGAGAGGAGGAGACACTGGACACGATTAAACAGTATTACGTGTTGTGCAACAGCAAGGAGGAGAAGTTCCATGCTCTGTGTAACATCTATGGAGCCATCACAATCGCTCAGGCCATGATCTTTTGCCATGTGAGTCCTTTAGCTCTATTTGTACTCTAAGTATGATTGGAACAATAACTGACTCTTACCTGTCCTCTGTGACCTTATCAGAAAGTCAAGAAACCTACTGGTCTTATTTTATATGATTATATTCTAATGAATCTGTTTTTCATTCAGCTATACTCTCAGCACAGAGCCTGCTCATGAATTAGTGGCTCTTTTGGCTGTTATGCTTTCCTGAGCTGCTGCACTAGTAACAGTACTCACTCTCTCTCTGTGATCCAGACGAGGAAGACTGCAGGCTGGCTTGCCGGAGAACTATCCAGAGAGGGCCACCAGGTGGCACTACTCAGCGGAGAGATGCAGGTTGAGCAGAGGGCTGCTGTCATCGAACGCTTCAGAGATGGCAAGGAGAAGGTTCTGGTCACCACAAATGTTTGTGCTCGAGGTAAGACCTTCATAGCGGGCAGATTTTGAATTACTGGGATTACAAGTGAGAGTTGAATCTTATCTTGTTTGTCAAATATACAAGCAGACTTTTTAAACATAGAGGAAGTTCTCAGGGTTCCTAAGCAAGTATGGAAACAAATTTGATCAATTTCCAGGTCTTAAAAAGTATGGTAAATGAAAAATAAAGTATGGAAAAATATTTATGTTTCAAGACTATTACCACAGTTCTAAAATACTGTTTTCTTAAAATAGAAAAGTAGGTATTTCCAAAAATAATGCTAAAAAGTAGGGTATGGAAAAGTATGGAAATTCCAACTGTGTAGGAACCCTGAGTTCTGAATATTACCAATGGTATATCGAAGGATTGCAAGTTTTAAGTCAAAACAACAAATAATATCTGCTTTTCGATTTGAAGCATTGATGGCAGGTTGCATATTTGGTTGCCTGCCCTGTGAAAAAATACCTTCAGTAGCCGTTGTTCACTGTTTTTACTCTCCACAGGTATTGATGTGGAGCAGGTGTCCGTGGTGATCAACTTTGACCTCCCAGTAGACAAAGATGGTAACCCAGACAACGAGACATACCTTCACAGGATCGGTCGTACAGGTCGGTTTGGCAAAAGGGGTCTGGCTATCAACATGGTGGACAGCAAGATGAGTATGAACATCCTCAACAGGATTCAGGAGCATTTCAGTAAGTATGCTGCTCATGTAAACAAACAATGGATGAATTTAGTGAAGTAGTGATACTTTCTGTTTTAAGTTTAATATTGATAACTGCTACTCTTACAAGAAGCATGCAGTTTAAGGAGATGAGGACTTAAAGTGACGATTTCCTAATATTTCTCAATCTACAGGCAAGAAAATCGAGAGACTAGACACGGATGATCTGGATGAAATCGAGAAGATCGCCAGCTAGAGGGAGTGGTGTCAATCGCATGAAAGACACCAATCTGACTTCCCTACCCCTCTTCGCTCCCCATGGACGCTCCTACAGTGTTTTATGCTTTTATTTTTTTTTAGCTGTCGGAGTAAAGAGCAAAACCACAAACAAAGTATATGTTTACACGTGGATATGTCTCCTCCCAGACGAGTGTTTTTGTAAGTCTTGGGAACATACCCCATTCACTCTTTGTACCTCTTTAAATAAAGTCTCTGAGTTTACTGCTGTGTATTCTGATGCTGTAAAAGCAGTCATAGTGGACTCTGTTTCACTGTACACAAATGGATTTAATGAAACACTTTTTGGTGTTGGATGTAGTTATGGCGAGATAAAAGCCACTTTATAAAGAGGTTCATGGAAAAAAAAATGGAGAAAAAAATTCCTGTGCCACAAACTTTTGAATTTTAACAGACACAATAATTGAATGTAACTGTTTCATGTTGATAACAGCAGTCATTGTGCTCCTCACTGACCAAAAGTACAAAGAGTGAATCCGGGTATGCTGCTCTGAGCTGTAGTTTAATCGTAAAGATTACGTTGTCGAGATGGTGATGGTTGGGTTTTAAGGGTCTATGCAAACTTATCAACCTGTGATAGCTATTCTCAAATACTATCAACCTGTATTTACATCACATAAATTAATCCTCAATTAACCTCAGCTTTAGTATCAGGGTGTGTAGTCAAATGCCAAAAAAGGCTGCCTAGAATGATACACTACTAACTCGAAGTCATGGACATCCAAATGTTTCTGTTAAAACAGAAGTCAATCATCAGCCACACACACAAACACACATCTCAAGTTTTATTTTTATCATTTCCAAAAATACTAAGGCCATTTTCAGGAGAGGCTTTGCGCCGCTGTTGATCATTTTTCAGTAGTCCTCTTTTTTCCTTAATCTGTCTCATAAAACCTTATTTTTAACTAAAATTGTGGCCACCAAGGTCTGATGTGGTCAGTTTCTGTGTTTCACTGTTCCTACACTATCTTTTCAATCAGGGTCTCCAGTGCAAGTTAAGCTCAGCCACATTCTTCACTCAGACTGTGCTGTTATTAAGGATTGTGAATTTAAAAAAAAAAACAATGCCTTCCTCAAGTGCATTATATATTCATATGATTTTGTTACTGATATTCTAAGACATTGGGCTTGATATTCTGGCTAACACTTGAAATTTTGAGTATATATTGAATTATGGGCGTCTTTAGGATGTGTGAATCATCTTGTTGAAACCAAATGCTGAATTGACTAGAGGACCTATGCCAATCAGATTCACTGTGTTGCTCCAACACGGTTGCATGGATAGAAAACATGTACTTGTGTACATAGTTAAAATTTTAGGTTTAAAAAAAAAAAATAGTGTGACTGAATTATTGAAAGTCTGTCACTTCTAAGAAGTGCAAAAACATTCCTCATGAGGTTCAATTTAGACAGATGCAGCACTTGAAAAGCAGTCAACATGGATCAGATAACCTGTTTACCAATAGGTTATCTGACATGATGGAAACATTGCGCCAAAATACATTAAAGGCAGTGATTCGTCAGTTTGAACCTTGTACAAACCTCATATGGCTTCCACCTGCACCGAGAAGACTGCTGGTGGTCAGCCTGTTTTTCATAGACTGTTTACGGACAACTTGCTGAAAAATCACTCAACTCAAGCAGATGCAGCCAAATAAGAAGAAAGTGAGCGTGTGCTGAAAATCCACGAGAATGGTCTGTAAAGACTTTTTGGGGAAAAAAACAAGAAAAAAAAAACAAACACTGTATGCAGTTTTAATTGGACATATGGATGTATACATTATCAGTGAGAGTGTGTGCACTTTGTTGATCCATAATGTAATACCACTGTTCAAGAGCCATGGACACACAAAGCAGTTTTGGTTGTAGAAGTTAACACTCCTCTCCACATGTTGTATACCTTGTACAATAACTGTCAAAAGAACCTTCCAGAACACGGTTCATACATGTAAACATACGAGTGACGCTGCCTGACCAGGCTGAACGCAAGTCGTCTGTGGTTACCTGAAGGTCATGTATAGACAAAGATAGGTTCAAGGTGTGTGGTACTCTGTAGCTGAGCTGCGTTCATGGACACAGTAATGTATTCTTATGTTGAATTAAAGGACATATAGATGTTCATCTGTATAAAGTCTTGTGCTTATTTGAACAAGTGTATGAAAATGTCTCCTAAAAAAAACTCAAAGATGCTGCTGTGAGATGAAAAACTGATACATTTGGTAAAACAGTATAAAAAAAACTTTATTTTAATTTTTGTATAAAGATGCTTGGGTAAGCAGTTTATCAGGACAGTTCAATGAAGTAAAATAGATCCTCTGAGCTTTTATTGGAGACAGTTTACTCTTCTGGTTTCTGTTCTGAAAGCTGGAGGTCTGCGGAGGAAAAAAACAGTTGTAGTTATGTTTTAACCTGAATCTACAACTACACTGTAGGAGTTAGCAGCTATTCAAGTTCTTTGTATATTCTATTATTAATACAGTGAGCTAAATCAAGCCTTTCAAAAAGTGAAAAATTATATTTCACTATTTATGTTATGATAATTACTAGGGCTGGGACGATATGCTTTTCTCCCGATTCGATTCTTCTACGATCTTTTGGATGTCAATTCGATTTAAATAGTGATTCTACGATATTGCTGATTTTCTCGATCTTAAAAGTTAAATGATTATGATTGTCTACTGACTATTCCAGGAACTATATTTCCCCAAAAAATACACATCACATGTAAGTAAAAATCGAGTTTTTAACATAAAAATCTATTTAGAAATTGTAAAATAAAAAACTGCAGTACATATGTGAATCATTTTTTTCTCCCACCCCTATTAATTACATATCTTTGGGTTTTTGACTTTTCTCACATTCATTGAATTATTTTTTTTTTTCAATGATCAACAAGAATAAGTGTTAGAGTATCCTAAAAGCACAACAGGCCTTAGTTTAGGTCCTGATAACATATAGATTTGTTTGCATGAGTTTTCTATTAAACTGTTCTACTAATTCAAAGTCTGATTTATTTTACAACTCAAGGCTGAAATTTCACTTTCTCACAAACAAAATATTAAAAGCCTTGAATTAGTCCTTCAAATGTGCTCAACGAGGCAACTATCAAGATTATTCCTACCAACCATCTGCTATCTTTACTGCCCAGCAGTCAATGGGCCAGAGGTGGGGTATACACCCTGGACAGGCCACTAGTCTGTCACAGGGCTGACATACTGAGACTACAACTATTCACACACGCTCATGCAATTTAGGGTGACCAATTCACCTGACAAGCATATTTTTGTACTTAGGGAGCCTGGAGCAGCAGACTCATACATGCAAAAGGCCTGAGACATGAACCAGGGACCTTCTAGCTGAGAAGCAACAGCGCTATTATCTAACCATTTTCTTTAGAGGCCCGTGTGACAATCATCCCTCTTACCCTCTTCTCTGTAGTCCACCCTGGTGAGGAAAAGCCCACGGGCTGGGGCAGCAAGGCCTTGTGGGTAAGCTAGAGAGTCCCGAAGCTCCAATATCTCCTTCAGCTGGGGCACAGAGAGCCGTCCCTGACCTACGGCTACCAGGGCCCCTACCATCCTTCGCACCTGATGCACAGAGCCAGAGCAACATTTTCTATCTTAGGAGAGCTGAACTATCACAAAAAAATATATATATTGCCTTAATCACAGAAATGATTTTTTTCTTACATGGGATTACTGTCTTTACCAGCAGATGGCGCTAATTTCAAATAGAGTAGCAACACATGCATGCTTACAGTTATCAAAAGTAAATGAAGATAACAAGTGGAACCAACCTGCTTGTAGAGAAAAGATCTGCTTGTAAAAGTCAGCTCCCAGAACGGGATCTCTCTGGAAAAAAAAAGTTTTAAACTTGAACAAATGTTTGAATTATTCACCCTAAAAGACAACACACACACACAGTCAGTAAATGTCACTGCTTTTTTTTGTCTGCATATCTAGTGAAGTGGCACAAACGCCTCAGGGGGCACATTCCCAAACACTTCTCATGAGATGTTAAAATAACAACTACAGTCCTCAAGACCTGAACGTGCCATACTAAAGAAAGGTTAAATATTGCCAAAGGAGCTCAAATATCACTTCAGGAGCCCTCTGAAAGTGTCTTGGGCTGCTGTCAGATGTTTTACAGCACCAATCCATCACACATGGAAAGCTACACAGGGAAAATAGAGATCTGAAACCGTAAACATGCTCTGGAAGTGTTGTCTTGACTGAAAAGGGTTCAATTTAATGTCTGTTACATGTTGAGACATACTTCTGCTGTCTCTCTCTCTCTCTCTATGCTTTGATGTTTCAGTGCTTCCCTCAGTTGTGTAGAGAGGGATAAAGGCTGATGAACCACTCCTGAGTGTGCTTAACATCAGATAAAGACTAGGACTCTCCTCATACTCAGATTTGTTTAAATGTCTCATGCTAGATTTCAGCAGCTCTGGTCCAAGAGGATTATACGCAACGCCATCACAAATATAAATTCGTTGATGTTCATTTTTTTTTCATTCTGATGCTCTTTGTTTACACATTTAAATGACACCAGCTTTTTTCCCTCTGAATTTAAATCTGACTCTGTATTTTGGGTATAAAAAAAAGAGTGAAAAGAGCAAACAGACAGCAAGCACTGAGTCAAATTTGCATTTGACCCAATTCTGCCCATGTGCCTGATTACATTTGACATGTAAGGAGTGTGGAGGCAGATTTAGACAGCAGGGCTGTTAGCTCCTGGTCTCTTGAAAGGGATACATCTTTACATGGATGAAAGGAAGCTGTGCATCGTGTTGCCAGGTCACACATGTGCATCTGCTGTATGCCATAATACCAGATCAGATGAGGACCAAAGCCAGCTCTAGGGTGAGACGTCAGCTTCTCCTGTCTAGACGCACAGAACTATTTTGGGGAGCTCAATCTGACAGGCTGACTACAAAAAAGCTTGAGGGGTTCAAAGATCAGTCGTTTGGTTTGCAGAGAAAAAAAAGAGCTTTTAGATGACAGATGTGTTGAATAAGTCACTAATGCAGAAGAAGCCATGCCAGCAACTTCACATAAACAAAATTATAAGGGCATGTGATTTTTTTATTTTTGAGGACAATAATATTGAAAGTGGTTATGGCTAATGATGAGACTGACATCGGAAATTAATAGTCCCAAAGGGTAAAACAAACAGGCAGCAGTGCAAAGTAGCTCCTTTTTTATTGATTAGTTTAACGGGGATCTGTAAAATAAGAGGCTGATACAGATAATTGGCCAAATGGATATCTGCTGCAACAATCAGCCATGGCCGATAATCAGTCCACCCGGTCCACAGATCTTGATGCAAAACATTCATACATCTTTTACCTCGACTGCTGGTCATGTGATCCGTCTACCTGAGCATTTAAAACCCACCTGTGGAAGTGTGCCTGTGAGAAGGATCCTCCTGGCTGTATGCTGGCCACATCCAGTGTCTTCACAGGGTTTTTCCAAGGCAGGTCCGAGTTGACTGCCCTGAAGCTGCTGAAATCGTGAACCCCAACCAGCAGGGCTGCACCCTCACGCATGGCTTCCACATCCAGATGCCTGACAAGAAACAAGAAATGACCTTTTACTTTAAAAACAAGGATCATATACATGTACTTTCTTTGGGTAGAAAAAAAAAAAAGACTTCTTGATTGACTTTTGAGGGCTCATTCGCTACATGGATCCAAAATGTCCTGCCCTTGGGTGTGGAGTACACATTAGGTCCCAGTATTCAGGCCTCTATGTTCCCACTCTCAAAGTCGAATTATTTATTGGCTGGCTTATATAATGTGAAATTATCTGATGCACAACGCCACGTGAGGGAGCAGAGCATGTCGCCGGCCGGCTAGTTTGAGTAGGAGAGTGTGAGTGGGCTGGCGCTCAGATTCTCTACAGTCTTTTACCCGTGTTGCTGCTCAAATATGATCTGACAGAGAGCGCGAGAGAGAGGCAGAAGTACAGCAAGCGGGGACTCGAGGAGTGTGCTGAGTGGCTCACTAATTAAAATGTTGAGCATGAGAGTCTTGAATGAAGACGTGGAGGAAAGCTGAGGGAATCTCAAGAGCTCATTTATTCTTGGATTAACTTTTTTTTTTCTTGAAGTCAAGTTGATCATAATTTAGTACAACTTCAGAGAAATACTCATCTGACAACACTGTTAACACTGTCCAATATAAATGATTCAAATATGTACAACTCCTAACATCATTCTTAACACTGATGACGCCTCCATCAGCCTCTCAATGTTACAACGCTGCAATATTGTGGCACTCAGGTTCGAATCCTGATTTTTAAGACTTGTGCTCAGATCACTGACTGCTTTAGGACTTGATTGAAGGCGATTGAAGGACTCAGATTAGTTTCCCCATCAACTGTTTTAATGTTTATGTTTGATTTGATGAGGCTTTAATTAATTATTCAGTTTAAAGAGAGGGCTGGCAAACATGTTCACCGACATGCCGTCCTCTTCAGCTACAGTTTCTACCAGCATAAAAAAGCACAGTAACTACAGTACAGTAACTGAAAACAAGAGCAGAGCATGTTGGATATGTCGAGACAATTAGACGTCGCCAGTGAACCCACCACAGCAGAATCAATAAAAGCGTCCCCTGACTTGGACTCAAATTACACTTGAACACTAAGGACTCAAGACTGGGCTTGGACTCAAGGTTTAGTCATTCTACTATATCACAGGTATGACGTAACCATAATGTGCGTCTGTATGCCACTAAACCTCACTATATATTAATATATAGTTCATTTAAGCATAACATGAAGCAGCTCTGTAGCACATATTCACAAAGCTGCAGCTAGCCATAATTCATATAATTTGCATCAATCTGTTTTCTTTAAAGCCACTATGGGGACTTTTTTTTTTACACTAATGATACAATCACTATGAAACACGCCAACACACTAAATAAACTCTACCAGCCTCATCTTTTTCTTTGCATTTTCAATTTGCAAGAAAAAACTCAGGATCATTTATAACAAAGTTTCTCAAAAGCTTTTAGTGACCAAACACCCACTGAGAAATAGACGGCTATTAGACGTCTAGTTTTTTTTAGATCTAATTTCAACCGTCTAGATTCTGTATATTTTCAGACACAATTTAGACGTTGCACTTTAACCCATTATTCAATAACTTTTTATTTCAAAAAGCAACTGTGAGTTGCATAATTGATCTCTGAGTACTTAACCAAAATAATTATGACAGCCGTTGAGCAATATACAGTGTAGTATAGATATAGCTCTGTTAGCACGCTAGTCTAAACTTGGTCTAAATTTAGACATCTAAAAAATTTTCCTTTTTTGACCAGTGGTAGTCTGATTTTAGACCAGTCGTCCAACCAGGCTACATTTAGACGACTATTAGACCTCTTTTAGACCAAAAATGCTCAGTGGGTACCTAACATGTGATTCTCAAATTAAGGAAAGAAAAAGCTAACAGCTGAAGTGACAATAAAAATAACATTCAGAGCGTTCAGCCTCCGAGGGTTATTTTATTTTTGTTACATTTAAAAAACAACAACTTTAAAATCTTTGGTGTGATAGGATCGACTGATTTTGGAAACATTCTTGAAAACTTAAAGAGGCAACTAAAGAGATCATCCGACTGTAATGCAAGATAGCAAGACTACAAATGTATATTAAAATGAACAGTAGAGGAGCCTCATATTTTTTGCAGTGGAAGGAACTGGGGGATGGGTGTCTGTGTGTGATGACGAGGGAGAGGCAGATCAAAGAGAGAATGGAGAGAGAGGCAGAGACGCTCAGGGGTGGAGGGATGAGATGGAAGCTAAAAATGAAAGAGGGGATAACGAAGCAGAGACACTGACACAGAGAGAGGAGAGAAAGAGAGATGTGAAAGAGGGAAAGGGAGAATAGAGGAGAAAAAATAAACAGAGTCAGGGAAATGTGTGTGGGTGTTGTTCTGCATGTGTATAAGCCCGCAGCTTATCTTGCCCTACTTTCTCCCCCCCAAAAAAGTGAAGCGCAGACGAATGCTCACACATACACTATCTGAAATGTGCTTCTTCACGCTCCTTCTTCAATCACTGCTTAAAAGACATCATCGTAACTATTTGCCATTTCATCCACTTTCCCATCCTCATCCTCATCCCGGCCCCCTCCTCTTTGTTTGTTGTCAGAATGTCAGCTCACATCAAACACTTTGTTTGACTGGCCCCAATTTATCGTTCCTGCTGTGGCACGTGTGGTTTATTCATGTGTTTAACGTGCCATTGTTTCTGCAAAGCTTGGCGGCGATCACTAAGGGTGTGTGTGTGTGTGTGTGTGTGTTGCCTGAACCTACAGGCACAATCGAACATAAGCTGCAGTCTGAGGTGTTGTTTATAATAATACACATATGAAGGATAAAGATAGATGAGTAAACAAAGGTTGTATAAAAGAGTGTGTCTCACGTGTTGTGAAGGCCCCAGCAGTAATCACTGTCTGTTAGTGGAAACAGAGTATGATGGTGAGCTCCAAGGGCTATCCGGTAAACATACGTCCGAGACTGGGCGCGGAAGCGGGCATGAAAGTCATCAGGAACATGATGGACATTGGTGACCCTGGCAGAGAGAGCAGTGGGGGTAAATGCTGACAACCATTGACATCAGGCTTGACTCTGTGACATCTGTAATGTGTCACAATTTCATCAAATGTCTGCAAGTTCATATAAGAGAACCAAAACGAAAGTTGATGCTTCCTTATTCTAATATGCTTAATTCTTCTCTAGGGCTGCACGATGAACCAAAATTTAGGCATTGTAGATTAAAAATCTTTACGTTACTGCAAGAAACAATATTTTATATCAACAAGCCTTGCCTCCTTACTCAGCCTATATTTGATGACCATGTTTCACTTCTTAAAAGGGATATTCCGGCGTATAATTAATTTAGGGTCAAACACACTGTAACACAGAGTTAGACACCCCGTCGAGAGATGAATGTTGCCGACCGCTTGCTTGTCTAGTTATACCAACTTTAGTAACGACGGCAGATAGCAATACAGAGAGCCACGCACTCAGCCAAAAAGCCACTCTATAGCCACAAATAATGCTCAGAACAGCACCTAACTTCATCAACAGGAAATATAAGGTCCCAGCCAAAAAAAGAAAAAGTGCACTAGTTGTTGTCCAAGAAGCCAATATGGCATTTTTCCTCACCAAAGAGCACACTTGTCCTTATACACCTGCCAGGAACCCTCAAAACCAAATGCTACTGTCAGCACTGGACGCTGGAGCTCTCTGATATGACTCCAGACTCATGCTGGACCCTTCCTCCAGACCTGAGTCTACAAAGAGGCAATGCCAGGGAAACAGCGTGTGATCAGTTTTATTTCCTATCAGACACAAGTGTCTCTTGTGATGAAATCAATGAGTTTGGATACATTCCTAATGATGCGTGGCCTCTCAAAGTGACACGAAAACATTATTAAAGGATTCCACATGACTTTTTAGTCTGTTTGATGCAAAACCTCAATTAGGCTATGCTGAACTATAAAACCAAAGACTCGCCAAGACTAAGAGATGGCTGTGCTGATGGTGTGCAATGGTTGAAGCTCTTATCATAACTGAGTGGCTGATTAAGTGAGAGATCCTTTTATCTTCATGCCTGATAATACAACAACTAACATTGTGAAAAAATATTGAAAACATACAAAAATTAAGTTGCATTTTTTCTATGATTTAGCAGCATTTTCAGGGGCCTCTTATCTAAAACAAAGAGATACTGCAGTATCTTCAGCTGTCCTATCTAATAGTGCCATAAAGTATTCTTAAGAAATCCCACCGGACCACTTTCTGTCATTAATGACAAACCTTTCAAGTTAGCAACAAATGAAGTCAAAACACATCAACTTCACAATAAAGCAGTTTGAAACAAAAAACATGCAGTAGGGAATCTGTGTGTAAAACGACAAAGAACAAAGAGCTGCAGCCAGCTGTGCCTAAGCACACTGGTGCTCTGTTGTCTGTTAGCTCGCATTTGTTTATGTGTGTGAGGAAAAGGAAATGACTAGAAAACAGTAATATGATATCATGATACATGTCATAACTATGATCACACGTCTGTGAATAAATACATTTTAATTAACAGTAGTGTGCTAACAGTACATGTGTGTCTGTGTGCACAGTCAGAGAATCTGGGTTACGTTTCTAGGGGAGGAGATTGGGTGCGACACGTGGCAGAGGAAACCCTTGCGTCTGCCTTCACTGCTTGCAACAATGTGAAGTGACAGGCTTTTCCTGGCCTCCAAACCACACACACACACACACACACACACACACACACACACACACACACACACACACACACACACACACACATCAATCTTTTATAAGACAAGTACAAAGCTTGGCCTCACAAATTTGGGAACTGGGGCATTGTTTAGCCTGGCACCATTTTGCCACTTAGCACTTTCCCCTTATGGGAAAAGGTCCATTCATTTCCAGCTAATTGAGACTGTTTTAAACAGCACTAGACAATCAGGGAACCTTTCAACCATACATTTACTTTTTACAGTGTGCAGTCTGTGTTTAAGGGCCAGGATTTATATCCTGATTTTTAAACACAACAAAATGGTTTTTAGTCTCCTCTTCTTTACGATGGTCACGTTTGCTAAAGCTAACTATGTGCTGATATAAGAATTTTTAAAAACCCTAAAGCCAATCTTCACATCATCACTGGTTACTGAATATTTTGGTACTTGGATAATGATGAAGATTTCATTCTAGAGAACACTACTGAGAATGAATCGGTGTTTGCACTCAAAGTTTCCTGTTGGGTTTCACATACTAATCAAACCGGTAATTTCCATTTAGCTGGGTGAGAGTGTGAGCCTGTGTCCTTGTGTGCAAGTGTGTGTGTGTGTGCGTGTAGTAATGGACGCTATAGTTCTGAAAGCGGAGCAGGGATAATCCCTTCTAACCTTCCCTCTGCAGGTTTAGGGATTAGCGGGATGCTGGGAGCTTCCTTTTCCTCCCTCCTCTTTTTCTGTTTCTCCCAAGTGGCATTCACTTTTTCTCACTCTCACACCTCTGTCTGTATTAAGAGAGCAAACAACTTTTACATTACCTTGCTTAGCTTTACCTGAAGCTCTTTTTGATTTTCAGCTGCTGCTAAAATTTATATCTATGCATCTCTGTTTAATTTGGACTATATATAAATATCTTATTCTGTTCTTTGTCTGTCAACAGGTAGTATCCTCCGTAAAGCTAAAAAGAGGAGTAGATATGAAGCATTGTGATGTAAGCATGTGTGTTCTGCTGTTTGTGGTTCATTTCAGACATCATGTCCCAAGGAAATTCTTTTACATCTATTTATGAGTGTTGCATTTTTTTGTGTATTTTAAGGTTGCAAACACCATACCCACAGCTCCTGTGTTATAATTCTATTTGGTAAATGCTTTAGTCCCAAACGATGAGAGTTAGTACAACACATACTAGAATACAGAAAACAAGGAACATTTTGAGCAAGCACCAAAAACTACTTTGAGTCTGTTTTTAAGCTGACAGGTAGGTGATGCACAGGACTTTTATGAGTTATTTTGTTTTCTCAACATCCTATTGCAAATAATTCCCTCAGCACATCATAAAGATATCAGTGTTTAGTTGACAGCGTCATTAACAATGTTGTCACCCACACTAGACTGCACCTGAATCAGCGGTTGGATGATTTAAGTTTTCAGTGGACCCAAAATACGACACATGCTATGCCTAAGCTGTAGCGCAGCCAACCACCACTTGCTCAGTAAACAAACACACTTGACAGATGGCATCTCAATATGTGACATGTTTTTGCAGTATATGCAAATCTAGAAATCAATGATGAAGTGTTATGCAGGTTGTGTCAGGTTACACCGGCGTTATACAATTTGGCCAGAGGTGTGTCACCAGCACAGACATGTGTTACTAACCTGCACAGAAGACCAAAGGCTTGTGGTGCTAGCTCAGGTGAGCCACACCTGACTCTGTTAATCTGCTGCCTCTTTGATCTTGATTTTGTCATGTCATTTAAGTTGTGCTTAAATTCTGTTAAGCACACAACTGTTGATGTTGACGAGTCTTTTCATATTTTTAAACTCATCAATTGGTTTGAATTTTAATTTCTGTTCACACTACCAGTAAACTAGATGCCTCAGAACCTCCATATACATTTAATGGTTCAGAGTAACTGGAGAGGCATCCCGCACTAAGGTTGTAATGTACTAAAGACAGTCATGATTTTGAGGGGGGAAATCCCTGCATGACTTACCTGATCTGCTCTGTTCTCAGGTGAAAATTGAGGGCTTCAACGAGAACATTTGCAGGAAATGGTGGCTTGTCATTCTTGCGTTGGAGGTCAAAGTGAGCAGAGTTCGAAAGGGCGTGTACACCTGTGTCAGTCCGGCTGGACACAGTCAGTGACACTGGGTTGATTGGTTTCAGCTTTCTCACTGCATCCTGGTAAGGCACAGAAAACACTGAGGTAAAGAAAAACAGTGGGCTACATAAACTGTGAAAATATATATATTGCTATTCAAAGAAAAATAAAATTGAGCTCTAAACTGAAAAATGATGAAAGCTGATACTTTAAAGATGGCTTCTTTAGAGATACAAACAGCACAGAGCTGACAGGTCGCCTGTAACCTTGAGGACTACGACAAAATAGAATATAGTTAAATGATTTCAATATCACTCACCTCCAAGTGGTCCTGGACTCCTTTTTTGCCAAGTTGATGTGGGGACACTCTCACTGCACCGCTGCCAAATATTAGGATGCAAATTACACAACAACACACCTTGAAAACAAAAATAAAAACAAGGGATTTTGCAGTTTTTACCCACCTGTATTTAGTTCCGATGTATTGAAAAAAGATGAGATAACGTGCTGAGTTTTGCATTGTCTTGTTGCATGTATTTAACCCTTCTCTATCATGTTTTCGACTTTTAGAGTGAAAGATTAAGATTTCATTATAAAGTCTCTTGGCTGTTTGTCTTTGTCACAATACACGTCTAGTGCCAAGAGGGTGATTTGAAATACACGTGCGCTTCAAAAACTAAACAGACCGGCAGAGACCGCATTTCCGGACACGCCCACTATTGTCTCATTTGTAGTCCGGAAGTGTAAGAGGCAACTCCGTTTGAAGCGACACACTAAAAGAGAACCTCAACGCTAATGTGCTTGTTTTTTTCTCCTGATATCAAGTCGGTATTAAAAACAAAATGATAGAGTGATAAAAAGACACTCTGTGATAGTTTCTACAAAGCTAAACCACATGTGAACGTCACTCTCCTGCCTGCGGACACGACACGCTGATTTTGAAACGTTCCTTCTTCTCCGTGGATGTTGCACACGCATGACATCGATTTAACTCCTCACATGACAACTTGTGTAAAATGTTAAGAGCATTGTTTTCCTCACGACGCTTTGCTAAAGACCTTTCTAAGGTTAAAGCGCTGGAGTCATGTCGGTCCCCGTTTGATTGCGTCATGACTCACTGAGGGTGTGTGTGTGCTTGTCGTGTTTCTGAGCATGCGCAGAGCTGCTCCCGCTGAAAGTCATTCAGACCAGAGAGTGTGTGATGAACGGAGATGGGCCAGCTGCTGTGGAGATCAGAGGAACGAACAGGCCTTCAACAGGGCAAAAGCACCGAGAAGGTAGAAACTATTGGATAACTCGATTTAACCTTCCTCCCGTGTTAGCTTTTACTACACACCCATCATGTAAAGGGTCGGTTTCACCGTGTCTTAAATCAGCTGTAAATCACACTAAAAACAATTCTCTATCATCGAATTTGGTTCTCAACTCTAGGTTACCTTGTGAGGCTTCATTATTCATGAAAATATTGCTTATAATAGTTTTTGTTGTGCCATGAAGGGGCAAGAGGCTGCAGGTTTTCTTTCCAGCCTAAAACTCTACCAGGTGATTTCACTGATTACCTTATCTCCACGCTGAGAGCAGAGACTAATCAGTGAAATCACCTGGTGGAGTTTTGGGTTGGAAAGAAAACCTGCAGCCTGTCGGCCCTCCATGACACATGATTGCCCACCCCTGTTTTAAGCATTTTAAATAAAAAACAGGTTGGAGCAGACCCTAACATAGGAGGAGGGTTTAAAAAATAGTGACGTTTTCTTTCTTTTCTTTTCTTTTTTAAATACTTTTTGACAGAAGCCAACATCCAGTGATCTCGGATGTGTGTAATTTTGCATCAATTTCTCATTCATTTTGATACCAGCCTAAATAGCCCATATCCACAAGTCGCATCAATTTACAATCATTAGGTTTCTTATTTAAACTCCAGTTTTTGAACCTCTCTGTGGCAGACTGCTGGTGAAAAGAAAATGATAGAGAAAAAAAACTTGGATAGTTAGTGGAGCATTGTTCATCCTGCTTGTTTAACATTCATTTTTCCAGGCTTTGGTTTGTTTTTAACTCTTAAATGCCTTTTTTATCATATTTGATACATACCTTCATATGCTCGTGTCAATCAATATGATCAACAAATTACTAAAAAAAAACCACCTGAACACAGTCCGATAAATGATGAAAATGTCCTCTTGTAGTTTTAGTTTCCAAAAACATCTAATGTATCAAACGAGATAAATAAATATATTTTTTAAATATTTAGGACATTTTGATATTTTTGGTTTTCAGTATTTAATAATAAACATTTCAGCTAAAAAAAAAAAAGTAAATTTTCTGGCCATAATTTGTGGTGTCAGGCATTAAAGGGCTACAAAGGCACGTTTTGAGTTAAATTTACTATAGGCCCACATTTAAAATAGGCTATCTATTAAAGCACTTCTTTGTATCAACATTCAGAAACAATGAAGGTTAGGTGAGTGTCTGGTGAGCGCCTCCAATTGCTTCTGTCTGTGTCTTTCACTCCATCTCCATCCCTCCTGCTCTATATTTTCGTTACGGCAGGTTGTAACTAGTCGGCGCTCTCCTTTCGTGTTACACCCTCCACCGTGCAGCTACGCCTCTCGCCTGTCTCGGCAGCAGTGGCAGCAGTGTAGTAGTAATACGCCTGCCGCGCACTCGGCTCGCATTTTGTGTCACGGTGCCACCGGGAGAGGGGCGACAGACTGCTGCGCGTCAGGGGATACCAGTCACCATCCGCACAGTTCAAGCGACATCCCGTCACGGGCAATGACATTAGCAGACTGAAGTGGAAATACACGAGAAAACGCAAAAATGACGGTGGACTTTGAAGAATGTATAAAGGATTCACCCAGATTCAGGTAAGGCTGTTACTCGCAGCGGTGCGCAAAAATGGCACACCTTCTTTTACGCATGATATTTATTTATTTATTTTTGATGAGGACAGAGCGGTTCCGTGTTTTAATGCTGAATTGGTAATGGCATCAACAGGGTGGATGTTACAAGATGCCGTGCCCAATGTTTCATATGCTCAACAACAGCAACAGAGTGGCGGTTTTTTCCTCCGTTTTAGTCTTTTTCCATTCATGACTAGATTTTTCAATGACACATATTCTTCATCCCTCTAATATTTTTTTGCAATACAACACAAATTACCCGCGGACATGAGAGTGTCAGAGGTGCCTATGTGGTTGTCTAATTTTTAAGATGTGGGATGTGACGTTAGTTCAGTGCACATGAGAGGAGGGACACTCATTGCCACGCACAGTAAGGATCCATTTTGCTTGAGTGTAAAAAATGTGTGATTTTCAGAGCTGATGCCATGCCTTATTCAAACCTCTCATGTGCACAGGATGAGAGGGAGGCACTCCTCCTAACGTGGCAGTGAAACAATCAAGGTTTTATAAGTGACTGTGAGAGTGTGTGACTGAGCGAGGCAGGGTGGCATACAGGTTGAGTGCTTTTTGCGCTCTAAGAGGCCCTGCAGTGTATGTTTGTGGTAGGAGGCAGGAGAGGAGATGTCCTTGCAGCAGCAGCAGCTTTAGTTTGACTGCATGGCAAAAAGGCAGCAAGGAGAGGAGCACACACTCTCTCTCTCTGCAGGGAGAGAGCTCATGTCCCAGGCACAAATCCAGCTGTTCGGCCTCTTCTATCCTGACTGGAGGTTGTAGCCACATCCAGTCCACGTGCCAGTCTGGCTTTCCTCCTGTGGGAAACTGTCAGGAGATTTAACAGCATGTAGGCCGGGGATGCCCCGTTAACTCTGCCTGGCTGGTCTCTTCAGCGTGTCTTCAGTTTTTATCCATTCCTGTTGCCCCGTCTGTTTCCCCATGTCAGCATCTGCTGCCTGTTTTTCCTTGGTTTTCCATGTTTGTTAGTTTTTTGCTTTCCTTCCTCTCTCCCTCCACAATAGACATAAACTTTTCTTGCTCGTGGAACATGATGTGACTAACAGAGAGTTTGTGATTTGAGTGAGCAACATCACTTTTTGGCTTAAACCCTGGGAACTCAGTGATAGATGGTGTGAATGACAGGTCATAGGGAAAGACATGTTCAGATGCTTCCCTTTTCCGCCTGGTTAACTTTCTCATGGTCTTGGATGGAGATTGCCATGTGGGAAATTCCACGACTGTCAGAGGAAGCTGATTTGTCCTTGGTTTTATGAGCTGTGGAGAAAATGAAGTGTTGCACAATATTAAGAGATCATGTTGAGTGTAAAGGAAGAATGACAAAAACAGATCACGTTTCTTTTACAAAGAGATGTTAAACGGATTTCAAACAATTAAAAGTGAACTCTACCCTTCATTTAAGTACATTAACTCGCATTCTCGCTTGTTTGGTATTATCTGTACAGAAAAGAAGAACGGTAGGGACATTTTGTCACCAACAAGGCATTTTTGTACGCTTAGACGTCCACCTGTGTCATTCTTGGATGTTTCAAACTAAACTAAACCAGATGGATATTCTTCCTTCTCTAGAAAAATCACAGCCAGTCGATTATGACTGATATGACTTCTGTATTTTATTACAGTCAGTCATCATATTTGCATGTTTTTCCGAGCATATCAGAGTGACTGTGTTCCAGTTTTCTTTCTTCTTCCTGTTGTGTCATTTTGGAGAAACAGGAGAGTCTATCTTCCCACACATGCTGCTAAAACAGCTCTCACACACCCTCTCACTGCAGGTCTGCACTTGTAGCTGTGCTGCGTGCCCATATGCATGATTGTGTGAGCATGAAAGAATTCAAAAGCCATGCCTGCAGATCTGTAACACGCACACACACACAGACACACAAACAGACACGCACGCACCTATATGCCTTATGTCTCAGTCAGTCATACTGTAGATTAATCTGTTTCTTTTCTTCTCATCCCTGCCTTTGATTCTCCTGCAGTGTTTGTTCATTCATTCTAGGACAAAGCATGTGCACCTGCCTGTAATTGTTGATCCTGAATGGCTGTAATCTGATTTACCAGCGACTTCAGGTCAGTTCAAGGCTTGTGCCCAGTGATAGTTCATTTGAGGTTTCTTGCTTGTAGCTTGATTTTGACGGCAGGGCAGGTGAGAGCAGTTCTCCTCAGCCCCTCTTACGAATCAAAAGCAGTTTTTGTTACATTATAAATGAAAAGTAATTATGGCCACAGCACATTTCCCTAATATTATAGTTTTACTTGTACACTAATGAAGAACATCCAAACTGTGGCTTAATTGTAATGATATAAGTATTAATATACACTCACCGGCCACTTTATTAGGTACACCTGTCCAACTGCTCGTTAACACTTAATTTCTAATCAGCCAATCACATGGCGGCAACTTAGTGCATTTAGGCATGTAGACATGGTCAAGACAATCTCCTGCAGTTCAAACCGAGCATCAGTATGGGGAAGAAAGGTGATTTGAGTGACTTTGAACGTGGCATGGTTGTTGGTGCCAGAAGGGCTGGTCTGAGTATTTCAGAAACTGCTGATCTACTGGGATTTTCACGCACAACCATCTCTAGGGTTTACAGAGAATGGTCCGAAAAAGAAAAAATATCCAGTGAGCAGCAGTTCTGTGGGCGGAAATGCCTTGTTGATGCCAGAGGTCAGAGGAGAATGGCCAGACTGGTTCGAGCTGATAGAAAGGCAACAGTGACTCAAATAACCACCCGTTACAACCAAGGTAGGCAGAAGAGCATCTCTGAATGCACAGTACGTCGAACTTTGAGGCAGATGGGCTACAGCAGCAGAAGACCACGCCGGGTGCCACTCCTTTCAGCTAAGAACAGGAAACTGAGGCTACAATTTGCACAAGCTCATCGAAATTGGACAATAGAAGATTGGAAAAACGTTGCCTGGTCTGAGGAGTTTCGATTTCTGCTGCGACATTCGGATGGTAGGGTCAGAATTTGGCGTCAACAACATGAAAGCATGGATCCATCCTGCCTTGTATCAACGGTTCAGGCTGGTGGTGGTGGTGTCATGGTGTGGGGAATATTTTCTTGGCACTCTTTGGGCCCCTTGGTACCAATTGAGCATCGTTGCAACGCCACAGCCTACCTGAGTATTGTTGCTGACCATGTCCATCCCTTTATGACCACAATGTACCCAACTTCTGATGGCTACTTTCAGCAGGATAATGCGCCATGTCATAAAGCTGGAATCATCTCAGACTGGTTTCTTGAACATGACAATGAGTTCACTGTACTCAAATGGCCTCCACAGTCACCAGATCTCAATCCAATAGAGCATCTTTGGGATGTGGTGGAACGGGAGATTCGCATCATGGATGTGCAGCCGACAAATCTGCGGCAACTGTGTGATGCCATCATGTCAATATGGACCAAGCTCTCTGAGGAATGCTTCCAGCACCTTGTTGAATCTATGCCACGAAGAATTGAGGCAGTTCTGAAGGCAAAAGGGGGTCCAACCCGTTACTAGCATGGTGTACCTAATATAAGTATTAATATACATGTGGGTGTGAGCTGTTGCCTGGCAACAGCTTCCATTAGTGAGATAAATGGGAGTGAAAATAAAAGAGGCCAAAAGTTTTACAAATGAAGGAGGTTAGAATGTGGAGAGGGGCAGATATTACCTCAAGAGATAAGTTTCAAAGTGACAAAAGCGTCTGTTGACTCAAAGTGAAAACTGAGAGAGCGGTTGGTTTTGGTGACCATCTACTTTCTGTTTTGATACATTTACTAGAAAGAAAAAGTGAAAATATCAGTCGTGAGGAAACTATCACTCAACAAGAATATCAGGGCCACTTCAGGTGTGCCTAAACTGCCTTATATTTTCTTTATCTTATCTAAACAAATATAAAATGAAAAATCTGATTTTTGCCCTGGTAGGTTGTTTCTCAGGTCAGTGGGGTTGTACAGAGGAGTTAACAGTTCTGGAGAACCAGCTGCACCTGTCTGCCTCCCTCCTACCCATGAATACAACGTACAGCCTTAGTACACAGTCTGTGCAGACAGGTTGAGTGAGTGTGTCAACCAGAAAGTGATAGGAGGAGAAAGAAAGGTTAGAGTGAGCTCACAGGATAGAGATGTTATTCTGTGAAGTCAATAAATTAACATCATTTTCACCAAAATCAAATATCACAGCTCTTGCATTTTAGTGCATATTTTTCAATGGCAAAAAAAGCACTGAACTTCTCTCAAGAATTGCACCAATAATTTTGACTCTGAAAGAGTCTGTGACGGTTAAAAGATGTTTGAATATTTCATTTTTCTTATTAAATCTCTTCTGAAGTTTGCTGGTGATCCCTAATGTTCTTGCGCTCTTCCCTGGTCTAATATCTGTTTGGTTCCTCTCAGGTGTGTCTCTCCAGTGGTTACTATGGTTACCTATTGGAATAACATATGGGAGGTCACAACCTGCTGTTTGATAGATGCAGTCCTTATCCCTGTTTTCTGCACGAAACATCAGCAGACGCTGCAGTACCTCATTGTTTGTACTGACACTGACACTTGACACTATGTGATTGTATTTTCATTACTCTCGGCAGCACCTTCTCTTACTTACAAATATGATATGCAGTTATTGCTCCCCTAGTCAGAAAACTGGAGCAGTTTTACAAAAAATAAATCTACTGAACTCAAGAGAGACAGTCAACAGCAAATATATTATTAGATAAAGGACGTCAGAGAACAGTTTAGGTGGTATGACTCATAAATCACTTGGATTTAGAGAAAGAACTGTTAGCACAAGGAGAAAGCAGCTTTTTGTCTCTTTCATTTGATATCCAACATTATTTAAAAGCATGTCTCTGTTTATTGACAGATTAAAGTGCTTTTGATGCTTGAGATATTTGTTTGGCGCACTGGTTTTACGTCACTGTCTGGGTTTTTATTCCCTACCTGTGTCATCATCGCCTTTAATCCCTCTGTTACACATCATCCTGCTTGTCTAAGATAATGAATTCTTACCCGTAAGCGGCCTCTAAAACATGCAAATGTGCTTCAATCAGCCTTGGGGGAGGAAGTAGCACCACATTTACTAAAGGTGACCAGTCGCTTCCTCTCTGCTTTGGTCGAGGAGGGGCTCATGTTTGGGATTAGAGCCGGAATATTGCTTTGTTACAGAGTACACTGAACACTATATGTGACCTTAACACACTGCATATGATTTTATACTTGAGAGGAAAATGCCTTTAGTGCTGAATAAGATTACCTGCATCCTAAGTGGGCTGACATTGATGTACTGCATCTTTGCTAATGCAGTGATGCCTGGAAAGTGTCCCTGAGCCAAGGCCAAAGAGGAATAAATCTTAGGACACGTGTTTGTTTCAAAGTTATTTCAGAGGAAAACTGCTTTTAAAGCTGTCTTAACCCCCGAACTTACCCAAAAATAGTTCCCCTGCACAATATCAAGTCCTTGGCAAAATGCTTAGGAAGAGGCCAGAGTAGACCACTTACATTTAGTCACTAATGTCAGAGCACTCATTCCCAACCACTCTTGATTGCACCCACACATCATACATGGGACATGTAATCTAACAGAAAAAACACAGAGCTAAAACAAGAATCACCAAGATAGAGGTACTTCATCCAAATCAAGGCTTTTGTCACTTCTCTTTCTTAAAAACTCTGTCTTTCCTCCAAACTGTTTAATCCCAGTCAGTACTTCCATTAGTGTTTACCGCCAAACATCAGAAATGGCAATTTATCTTTCATTTAGCTTTGATGAAGTATTACCCCCAAAGCAAAAGGTTACTCATCATAGAGGTTGAACAACTGAGTTAATGCTGGACTTGGTCAAATTTATGAAGAGAAAAAAAATACTAAAATATTTGATCCTTAATTCTACTTAAGCAGAAGTGAAACTACAAGCCTGTGAATCTAAAATGTACTCAAAGTACTTTGTTATGAGTTCTTACTTTAATCCAATGAACTGGTGAGTGGGTGGGGTGGGTTTAGAAAAATAAAAGGCGAAAACATTGTAACAATAATCATCCTGCCCTAATTGTTGAAGTATAGCCTAAAAACAGGAGAACATTCATGTCTAAAGGAATTTTGTTTACGCATCATCCAACAAAATCGAAGTTATTCAATATTTTTGGTATTACACTGCATTGACGGTTTCTCTGTATATTGAACAGCTTTTACATCAGTTCATACAGATGAAAATCAGGCTGCGGCTCACTGTCACCCTTAGGTGGCACTGGGACAGTGATGTTTTGCAGGTAATTATCTGCCTGAGGAAGAATAAATCTTTGAATGTATTTACGACCTCTACAAAAGGATTTCTAGTTGTATTTCAAGAGCTTGTATGTTCTTCTCTTCTGCTCCATGCAAGTTCACCTCACTGACACTTACTTTTTTTTTTTTTTGGTGACAGACTCATTGTTGAAACAGTACAATACGTTCCACTGAAAATACCTGATAAAAGTTGATAGATATTTACAGATGTATTGAGTGCAGTCTTGAGTCTTCCATAAAGAACTTTTAGTTTGTATCAAATGACAAAGCAGTATATTTGATCTCTTCATTGATTGTGTCATGTGATTTCTTTGAATAGTAAAATGTTTCACCAGATCTTTATGGAAGACCACTTGGGTTCAGTGTCCATGTGAGTTATGATTGAACTGGGAATCACAGGGAAATCAGAAAGGAACACTGATTTAGAGTCTTTAGTTAACTGGTAATCATGTGAGTGACCAGATCAGTAGCTGCCCTCTGTTTTCCCAAGAGAACAACCATTTAACCACCAATTGACCTTTTACTTTCCTGTGACCCACATGTGTCACTAAAAGACAAAACGGTGCAAAGGGGCCTCATAAAAATATGTCTCATCAGTTCACATAAATATTTTAGTTTCCTGCGTGTGTAGAGGTGGAGGCTTTGGTGGAATGCTCTGACTGTGAAACTGCAGGACATCTTTCATGTCAGGGGCATGGAAAATTTCTGCCCACTTCAAAGGAGCTGTGGTGTTTGTGGGCAAGAGGATCGGGGTCACCAGTTTGGTGCTACAAAGACTTCCAGCACTTGTGTTGTCTTACCGATATTGGTAGTGCTTGTCTTTCTTCAATCATAATGCTCTGTTTAAAGACATGGAACCAGTCTAACAAAGAGGGCAGCCCCACCCTTGTTGCACTGCGAGCATGGCTGTGTGCATGGAAATGATGCCCCTGGATGATGTCAGATAAAATGAGCACACTGCTGCAGTGAATTAGAGCCATATGACATCACATACAACCGAAAGTGATTCAAAGAGTGCAGACAGAAAACAGCGGCTTCTGCAGATGTTTGGGGAGTCCAAAAAAAACCTTGGAGCGAGTGGAAATGTTTTAGGAAGTAATCAAGAGGTTTTGCCAGAGAGCTAAAAAGCTGCTCATTTGCCCACACAGCATCTTGTTTGGACGCTGAACTGTTTGTTTGCTTGGAAACGTGGTAAGCAGTGAACGCATTGTGATTGCTTCTTTCCTTACAAATCTGAAATCCCTGCTTGCTTGCTCACACAAGGGACCGACAAATGGATGCAGTGGCTTAATCCGGACTGATCATTCACATACAAGCCAATTTGGATGTCAAAGAAATAATAACAGCTGACATGCAGAGGGGGAAGCTGCAAGCTCTTTATAAATCTAAAGCCACACATCAGGGCAGGTGTGTTAGTGTGGGCCTCCTGTCACTGATGATTGACTGAATTAGGCCTATGATGAATCAAGACAGCTTAGCAGGGATTTCTGTCTTATCAAAACCTGTCCAGCCACTAACAGTCCTCAACAACTGTCCCTTAAAAATAAATCAAGGGTATTTTTGTCACCAGTTTGCTGGCAGTGTACCTGCGTTTGAGGCTTGAGAAGACACACTTCGTAAATTAAAAATTGTCAGACCATACCACCTACTGTGTGATGTGTTGTGAAACTGCGGATTAAAATGCAAGACTTCATTTTTGTTGCATGATTCAACATGTCGTACTCTCTTTTCTTTGAAGCCGCAGTATACACAATATCCTCTGCTATAAATATGTGCTAACATGGTTTTCATTTTCCTGAGACATTTTGTGTCACACGTGTATGCATGTACATGTGTGCCTGCTGGCTAACATGTAGGCAAATCACATTTTCACATTTCTGTCCCTGCTGGCTTGTCAAGCGTACAGCGGTTTGACATGTTCATGAGAGAGCGTTCAGCGTCCAGCACGTGGACACTTCCCCCTGAATCCTCGCTGCAGCAGATTTTCTACTGCTCTGCTGCACGTGCTGTCGGGGGACTTAGCGTGGGACCCATATATGAAATAGGATTATCAGTAACCACACTGTCTGATTAAATCAACTGGATAGCCTACACAACCTAATACAGCTCACATACTATCAGCTTCTTACCCTGAGAACCTCAATATAATTTCCCTTCCCTGAATTAGTATCAGGCAGGATGATGCAAATTTGAAGGAATTGCTTAAACACAGTTAATGTCTGATTGCAGTTCAAATGACCTCTTAGCTTGGTATTTGTTGCACTGAGGACATCAGTGTTCTGAGAAACATGAATATTCTGCCAGTTTAGGTACCATTCACCGTAGCTGAATAATTTTATCTGACCTTTAACCTCACTGCAGGGCTTTTTAAAGACCTGCCTACGTGATGGCATTATGGTTAAGAGGGGATGTTCAATGTATGGCATGGTTAAGTATGCTGCTTGATTTTTCTCTTCATAATAACCACATTTATCCTGGAATTAGAAACACATGAGGGCTATGTGTGTTTAAAGATGTGTTAACTGCATGTTGAGTCAATATTGCTGATGATAAAAAAATATATATATAAAAGGCTCATAGAAATTGTGTTGGTTAGGGCGACCTTACATCCTCTTTTACCCGGACATGTCCTCTCTTTTGGGGGCTGTCCGGGTTTGTCCGGCTTTGTCCGGGGAAGTTTATCAAACCCTTCAAATGTCTGCAGTTTTGTACAGATGTTTTGAGTTTGTGTCACGTGGACTTACTGAGTTAGAAGCGCGTAAAAGACACTTGATATGACCCGAAAAAACTCCCCAAATTAACTGTGTGTGACTCCGTGACTCCACCCCTGCTCAGTCGTGTCCTTTTTTTTGGGAAGTCAGAATATGGTCACCCTAGTGTTGGTAGCTGTATAGACCGTAGACATTATACACGTGGACGCCTCTTACGTTCTGGAGCATAATCCAGCGTCGACACCATACCGGATGGGTCTCCCCACTCTAGGCTAGCTCAAGAGCCAAACGGGGTCAATGGAGAACGAGCAACTATGCCTGTATTTTTGCACTCTATGGTTGAAAAACCCGACGCAGTATTGAAACCAGATCACGTAGGATTACATTTCACAAATAGGATTGAAAAATAATTTGTTTTATTTTTAATGCGTGACATTGTCCTGTATTATTGCTACATCCCTGCCCTTGTAACAAACCAAACAGTGTAAAAATCGGGCAGAGATTTGGAGAGTTATTATCAATATGGTTGGGCATTCCTACCTACCTTAATGCACTGGAGGCGCTTGGGGGACCAATCCAAGATGGCGGCTGCGCTGATCCGAGAGCTCCAATAGGCAGCGTCAGGCTTTGGGGCGTCTAGGTATATTATGTCCATGGTATAGATGATATACTGCTAAAGCTTTGTTTAAGAATTGAGCTATCTAGCTAGGGTATTTTGCACTGTACTTACTGTTAACCGATCATAAAGAAGAACAGACCCTCCAGCTGACTGTATCCCTTACTGTGAAGCCTTTTGTGTCTATGTATGCTTAGTTTTCCCAATCAAAGCAATGACTGATGTTCAGCAGGGCAAATTTAAACTTCCCTGTCATGAAAATGCCATTTTAAGGCAAAACAGCAGCAGCAGATTCACAACTTATGCCTCACATTTCTCACCTGTCAGCCTGAAATCTGAGAGATGCAACAGTATCAAAGCTTTACTGGTCCTTACTGTTAACATTGAGGGTTAGATTGAGTTAGATTCATGCCTTAACAGGAGTGTGAAATATGGCACCAATTAAACCTTCTCATAGTTCTCATTGCAATCACTCATCCCTGCTGAGATCAGGATTTGGTGGGAAGTTTGCTTAAGTCCTGCCAAAGGCCTGTTGAAACTCGAATCAAAACTATTAAGTAAATCGTCCAAATCTTGTTCCTGGGCTGCTTTCCTCACCTTGGCACTATGAAGTATTTTCTCAGTTAAAAGTATTTGTTTATCTGTGGATGTCAAGCTCAGTTCAAACATTCCTTTTGTCTTCACTGAGCTTCAGATTTTAAGGCTTTACAAGGTTTTCAACCCTGTTTGCCTGTTTGGTGTGTCTTGTAGACATTTATAGACGAGTGAGTCATCAACAAATAGTTTTGTTTTTTTTGTTTAGTATGTCACAGTAGATGCCATGTCAGAACTGAGAAGCTGCTGTTGGGAACTTTGTCTGCAGGAAATTGTTAAATCACACTGAGCGGAAACAAGCAGGAGCAGCCAGCATGTTATATGTGGAATGTTTCTTTAGTGGGAACACTTCAGCACTGACAGCAACCCATTTAGATATGCATGGATAAAACCTCTTAAGACATTAGTACATGTATGCACACATGCAGAAACTTACAAATGTTGGTGTGCATGTTCTGTATGGTACAATTACACCATTGCCGTATAGAAGGTCTTACTCTGCAGGGTTAAGGGATCAATCAGCCAGTGGTTTCTTGCAATTTAAGATCTAAATTTCTAAACGGGGAACATGGTGTCTCAAAATTACACTCAACTGTCCAAGAATGGGGGTTTTTGGTCTGCAGAATCAGAGCTTTTAACTTCAGGGTGGCTGGTTTTTGATAGTTTTGAACTTTACACAGTGTTTTACTTCTTTATACAGTAGCGTTGAAGGATCAGTAAACTGTATTGCATCCTGTGGCGCATTTTGCCAAAATTAACCATCACAAAACAGACGAAACTCTGCCGTGAGATATCAACCACAGTCTGCACTGTTTACATCCTGTTCAAGCAGCTTACGTCAAAACTTAGAAATGCATCATGAAAAGCCAGTTTCACAAGACTGTCCATCTGACACAGAATCACAGCCATACTACCACACACCGACTGTTGTTTATCTGTTTTAGATAGGATCATAGAAGGTCAGAAGAATCCCTGACTTTGGCGTTGGTATGACTAACATTGGCATTCCTGTGAAAGGAGACATTTAGCAACAATTAGATGTTTGTTGTCTACAAAAACATGAGCTATGAGGTGTTGCTGAGCCCAGACTGCCTTCAGAAACAACACTGCTGTTTGACAAACCAGCAGAGACAGAAGAGGGAAAGGGAGAGTGAGAGGTCTTCCGTGAACATCTGTCATCTCTTTACCTCTCTCTTTCACTGAGGTAGTCGCACACATTAATCTTCCTTTCATTTGGTCTTGACATGTATCCTGGTGGTATTTTTACCCTTTTACAGCTCCTTTTCTTCGTCTTTTCCCTTTGCAACCATAACTTTTTATGTTGGATGTAGGCTGGATATAAATCAATGTCATAGATGCAGCAGCAGGTTGGATCTGGTTTCAGTGGAAAACCTGAATCTGTTTTCTTACTGGGCAACAGTGATGCCAGTAACGCATTACTCAGTAACATGCTGCTCTAATAAGTCCATGTTTTTCAGTAACGAATAATCTAACGCGTTGCTATTTTCCAAACCAGTAAGTTACTAGTCCAAGTCACTGTGTGCATTACTTTTTTCTAGTAACTTGTTCTTTAACTTAGTTACTTTTAAAATCGAGTTATCAGTAAAGTAATGGTGCGTTCGAGTTACCTTGGAAGTCAGAAGTCTGAGCTGAAAAGACGTCACACCTGAGTTAACAGCGTTTCAGTTACCAAGTCGGAAAAAAGCAAAATTAGAGGCAGACACAAGATGGCTACATCTACGAAAGTTATTTTAGCGCTTGCTTTGTCCAAATATAAGGCAAGCGTTAAAATAACTTTCGTAGATGTAGCCATCTTGTTTCAGGCCTCTGATTTTGCCTTTTTCCAACTTTTTTTCATAACTGAAACGCTGGGAACTCGGGTGTGACGTCACTTTCAGCTCCGACATCTGACTTCCGAGGAAACTCGAACGCAGCATAACTAAGGCTACGTTCACACTGCAGGTTATGATGCACAATTCAGATTTTTTGTTAAATCCGATCTTTATGTGCGGCCGTTCACATTACAACAACGAATGCGGCATCTAATGTGAACTGAATTCGTCCGTGAAGTGACCGGCATGCGCACAAAGCACAAATTGCTTTCCGCGCCTGTTTGTGTTGTCGAACAATGGTGACGTTTGTCGCATATTGATGACATATAGGTCGGATGAAAGCAACCTGCACTGCAGTCACATCGGATACATATCCGATTTATATCCACATACAAAAGAGGCCTGGGTTGGATTTGAAAAAATCAGAATTGCACTGTTCACACTTACATTAAAAATTGAGATACATGTCACATATGATTAAAAAATCGGAATTGACCTGCAGTGTGAACATAGCCTAAGTTACTTTTTAAAGAAGTAATCCGTCATCAGTAATCAAATTACATTTTAAAAGTAACCGTGGCAACACTGCTGGGCAAAGTATGCAGGTATAGAAGGAGGTACGAGTGACTGACACAGTCAAGGAGGTGTCTGGTGGACAGACGTTGAAGAAGGCGTAGAAACAGTCATTTGGATTGATTTATTAAGGACAGAAGACAGGAGGTGGATGAATAGTCTCCATCGTTGTCCTGGCAACCAGACATTAATACACTCAATGCATCACAGGGCATACTGTGGGCTGGATACACATCCTGTCAGAAAAGTATGAATGAAAACACTGATGTAGAAACTGTCTCAACAAATTAGCACAATAACAAAGAGCCTTAAGCCCGGCAGAGGAAGTGGACAGCTGTCTTCTCAAATAGAAGGTGTAGCATGAACACAGCTTCCCTGAGGTGACAAATGAAATAGTAATGCAGCTCACTCTGGCTCATTGCCACCTCATATAAAGAAGGAGAAGATTTGTATGTTGACTTTCTCTCTCACACATTTGGGATTAGCAGCTGGTTCAGATTTGGCCCAATTAACTCTATCTTTGTTGTGAGTTGTTAACAAAACACTTAGCTCTAAAACTATTACGAATCCCCCCTTCTTCCTCTTCTTCTTTTTCTTCTTGTTACCCTTCTGCCTTCTTCAACTTTGTCAGTCTCCCGTTCTCCTCCTCCACCCACGTTCCTGTCGCTCCAGGCGGTTTGTGACGCCATGCGGAGGACTGCATCAAAATTTTGGACCACTCACTTGAACTTCCGGTGTCTTTACCTAACACCACCAATCATCCATTTGTTTAAGCTTCTATGGCTCCTCTTCTCAGTTTATATTCTCAGCCTTATCCTGTTGAGACATTTATCCCTTGGCAGCCGACCAGCCCTGATTCTCACTGACTCCAAACACCCCTTATCTACTGAAACCACAAGTGTGATCGACAAGCCAATCTCCTTTTCACACACGAGGAGAGACAGGAACACTGATTGCTCCCTTAAAAAACTGATGGATTCCCTTTCTACATTCCTGCTCCTTGCATTATTCAGCCTGCGTCTTTGGGCCAGATCTCTGTGGAATTCCTCGTAACCAAATGAAAACATTCCCATCTGCCATGTCAGCAGTCCCCGCACTTTCTTGGATCCATCATTCCCACCCCCACAAACTCACACACACATGCACTCTCTCACATGCGGAGTGCGTTCTTGCATTCAGTGGATAGATGGCCTATTTGCATACAAGTGGAAAAATCAGAACAGCTGGAGCAAAGTCACCGGTTGATAATGGAGCTTGGCACAGGAAGGATGATGAACATGCCTGATATACCACTGCTTTGATTTGTACATATATAGATATGTTAGAAATTTGTCTGGGAACATGTATCACTAAAGAGTAGACAGATGTAGCGGGCTGAACAGGAAGGTTCTGTTTAAGGAGATTTTGACCAGATGGAGGGAGATTATGGCTTCAACGTGAAGAGAAGAATAACCAAAAGTTTCATGGTGACTGACACTGATGGTTTACTTTAGACAAGAGAGTCATAAAGCAAAACAGGACATGGGCAGTTAAAGACTCATTTTCACACATTTTTCCCACAGTTTAAAAACTACTGGCTTGAGAGGTGAGTGAAGGTTTGAGTCCACAGACAGCATTTCTTGCACTGGCCTGACTGAAAAAACAAAATGAGTGACACTTCTTGGTTGTTTATCCCAATTATTCCTGACCTAGAGTTTTTTATGAGTCAGACAGCCGTCTCAGTGAACAACACATTTTCCAGTTGTTACATATTTAAAAACTAATTTAAGGAAATCTCCCGAAAGATTTATTAACTCAGACCAGATTTTTGTCCTTATTTTACCCCCTTTTTTTTTGAGTCCTTATCAAGAACATACTCTGAAAACTCCCATGGGGAATATGTTAAATTCTTAAAGTCCCAGTCCGATGAAAATCATGTTTTTCTTGTAGTCTACATGTCCATGTGGCATTTTTCTGATACTACAGGACATATCATGAGAAAAGAAAGTGCAAAATTGCATTCCTGAGTATGTCTTCATTTAACTCGCTGTCAATCTCTGGCAGGCCCAAATGGCAGGTTCAGAAACAGTGAGAATTCATGCGTAACCAATCCAAACTCCGCCCTCGGGGCCCAGCTATGCAGGCCACACTCTGCATATAGAGGAGAAATACAGAGGATGAACAAGCGTGTGCGTTGGCAGATTACAATGCTCGTAAGAAAGCTGGTTATGATACTAGCTTTCATCATGCACCTAAAGACAATAGTGTCCGAGAGCTAAATAGCTCCTCTGTTACCTGCCACTTCTACTACACCGGCAATGTTAGGCTGCAAGCTAACTCGAGGAGAAGCGTGCAGAGCAGCGCTGTCTCCGCCCACGACTCAGAGGCAAATTACCAATGATCTACTGGAGCTCTGCAGAAGAAAAGCCCTTGAAAATGAAACAGGTTATGCTTTTTTGCATTTAAAGACCACTGATAACACTTTACGTAGTAAAAAATAAAACAATCGGAGTGGGACTTTAAAATAAGAATATTGCTCTAAACTCAAATCATGCGTGTTCTTTACTCATGGTTTGACGCTGTACTTTCCAAACTCATTCCAACACTTGTCCGCGTTTCAGTCTCTATGCTTTACTCATGTATGCACTTTTAATGGTGATGACCAGAATATGGTACAGGTATGGTATTCTCTGTCCTGCATGCTTTGTATCATAGCTGCTAAAGACCACCTCTCATGTCAGTGTGAACCTGTCTCCTCTTTATTTCTCTTTCCTCCCAGCAAACTAATGCTACTCTTCAATGTATACACAATCATAATACAATGTACAAGCTGTTTCACATGTATTTTTAGTAAACAGTGTAGTCTTCTAATAAAACAGTCAGGATGTTCGCTGAAACGTGCATGGTTTCCAGGATTAGAAATTAAAATGTTGTAAAGTAGTACTTTGATTTCTCCTCAGTCACACTTAGGTCCAAGCTTTGTTTCAACTTAAGAATTACAGACACTGGATATTCTCTAAGGCAAGGTCAATGGAAACTGGCTTTATGGCTATATAGAATTGATAGGATGTATGAATTATATCCTTGACTAAACTTGTCTTTTCTGTGAGGTCTGTGTCCTGTAATTCAGATTGTCTGTGTAGTGTCTCCATTTCCTTTATTGCACACGTACCTACTCAATGATAGGGGACAATTTATGCGTTATGCGCTACCCAGATGCTGAAGAGTTTCTAAGAAAATGGAAAACTTTATTCCATCCACACTGTGTCTCTTCCTGAGTGTGTGGCCATGATGGGCATTTGTCCAGTGGATAAAAGTGTAAAAAGCGAGGGTTGTTTCCTCTCTGGCAGATGTGACTGTCATGTCAGCAGGAGGCTTAGTCCTCTGATATTCAGCAGAGCTGCCAAAGAAAACAAAAGTGGGGCAGGCTGTTTTGCAAAGTGCACTTCATTCTTCAGAAACACAGCTGCTTCAAAGCTGAATCCTTCCTCTCTCACAAATACATACAAACATTCAAACAGAGCCAGAAATAGAACCTGTATATGGTGTATATTTAGCTCTGCTACTGTAGGTAAGCACGAGAAGAGGGATGTGATTAAATATTAAGGTAGTTCAGCTGTTTCTATACTGAGCCATGAACTATTCAGTGTAAACCTCAAACAAACAAACAAGCACAAACCTTGTAGTTGGAGGACTTCCTGTTGAAAGTTTTATCACAGGAGGAAAAAAAAAGTTAATTTTATTCAGGTACCAAGTATCATTAAAAGGATAATATCTGAAAACATAAATTTAAATACAAAGTCATGGTAATCCAGCCCGATCTGGACATCCTGTGTTCAAATACTCATGGTTTTGGTTAAAGAGCTCATGCTTCACTTGGAAAACATCCCAAAAATCTGAACAATGTTGACTGTTTTAGCTCTCATCCTGTGAATATTGTAAATACCCAAGTGTGCTGGTGTGTGTCACATCTTGCGCTGTTAATTTCCAGCATTTTTCACTATTGTCATCTGTTTTCAGTTAAATATGTCCAAACTGGCGTAAAGACAAATCATAAAGTACTTGGAATGTAAATATCAAGTCATTTGCAAGACCTGGTTTGTTTGAGTAACTTCAAAATTATATATAAATGAAACAGATGGATGTCCTAATTGTGGTAGTCATTGAGTTGGTTCTGATTCCTTTACTTTAACAGCCAGGCGAATGTGTTGATATGATGCAGATTTTGACTCCCTCAGAGAGTATGTCAGTTACTGCTATGCATGTTTGCATTTGTTGTATTGGCAAATCATGTGTGTGTGTGTGTGTGTGGCCTGAAACAAAAAGCAAACGTCATCTGACATTCTTGTCGACAGAAGTCATGCCCTGTCTTGCACTTAATAGGAACACTGTCTCCTTGTGCTTAATCTGAAGGAATTTTAAGTGGTTTACCTTTAAACTTGTAAATTAAGATCTAGATTAGGTTCTATTCATTATGTGTCGACATTCAAGAAACTGGATGTGAAAAAAAAAGCAGAGATGAATCACATTTTATTCATCAAGTGTTTATCAGGTAACTCATAACTTCCTAGAAATCTACGTGTTCAAGTTTCAACAGAAGCTGAGGTGGCACTGATAAATATTCTTGTATATTATAGATAATCACAGGTTTCCTTGTGACTACTTTTGTTTTTAACAGATTAACAGTGGGGAAAGGGCTGAAATATCCTAAAGGATAACATGCACTTTCATTCTGACTTGTGCTTTCCTCGCTGGAATCTGCTGCAGGCTTGTGGGGGATGTGATACTGAGCTGGGTTAGTCACTGGCATCACAGGATCATAATATTTCCAGCATTGCAGAGTCATCATCGTGATAAAAGTGTGATTATGTTTTGAACAAAGTGCATAAGAGACAGAAAGCTGGTAATGACGGTGAAATCATAGCATTTATTTGTGTATGATACTAGATAAGATGGTTGACTTAAATGGAAGGAACCTTTACTTGGCTGTGAAGAGGTTGCTTGACCAAATATTCAAAATACAAAACATATAAAGCTTTTGGGTCTGCACCTGCTGCACATTACTGCCTGTTGTATGCTAACTAATATTGATCACAACCTGTCTGTGTACGTACTTTCTCATCAAAAGATTTGGTATGAATTTTAGCTGTGCCTTTGACATGAGAAGAATACAGGTAGGTGACTGTGAAGCTCATTGCTTCAAAGGACAAGACTGTATTAACATGGTAGCTATTTTTCTGCACTGTATTTCAAGGGAGAATTTATCATTTCACTCATTACTAATGAGTAACAACATATGTAAGCATCCATGTTCTAGCTTACATCACTGTTGAAATGATAAGAACATTTCATATCATATCATATCTTAATGTCTTTATTTTTATCATCAGTGGAGTTGCTTGTAACTGGAAAAACATTTTTCAGATCCTGTTTGTATCTGGAAAAAACTGCATTTTTGCTTCCAGCCTCTGGTAAAGGGTGAGAGTAGCATTGCCTCTGAGAATTTGAATGAGTTGTTTCCTCTCGCCAATATCTGTCTGGTCTCATACAGTCTTCCTTTTCTACACTCCAACACTCCTCTGTCCTCCTTCACAAATCAGTTGCTGTTCATGGATTAGATTTAAAGAGGACAGAAGCTAAGAGTCCTGGGAACAAAGTGCTTATTCACCACAGGGGGTCTTCATCCTACGCTGTGCTTCTCATACAGGCAACATGTGTGTGTATGTGTCTGTGTGTGTTTGTGTGTGTGTCGGCCGCTGCTTGTGTCCCACTGGGGGGTCAATGAAGGGTTAAAGAGGTTAGAGGTTGGGATGAGCTTGCAGTCCTATTTCCATGATGTCGCTTTTGCCTTCCTGCTGTTTTCAATCTGTGGTGGTCTTTTAAATTTCTGTCAGATTATGAACACTACGAGGATTGACCTTGTCTAAAAAAAAGACGAAGGGTTTTACAGCAGTCTTGGTAAATGGTTACATTTTTACAGTTTCTCTGGCCTTCTGATCACTCAAAGCGGTTTAACATTACATGCCACATTCACCCATCACACCACATTCATACACTGATGTCAGAGGCTGCTGCGTGAAGCCCTTCTCAGTATTAAAGGGATATTCCGGCGTAAAATTAGGTTAGAGTTAGACACCCTGTCGAGAGATGAATGTTGCCGACCGCTTGCTTCTCTAGACATACCAACTTTAGTAACAACCGCAGATAGCAATACAGAGAGCAACGCACTCAACCAAAAAGCCACTCTATAGCCACAAATAATGCTCAGAACAGCACCTAACTTCATCAACAGTACATATAAAGTCCCAGCACATAGTACTAGCCACCAAACATCTTTTTAATTTTGCCTAATTTCTTTAGAAAAGAGACTAAACACAACTCACCTACTCTCTTCCAGCAGCCGCTTGTTTGTGGCCAGAGCTTGAGCCAGTCCATCGACTGCAGTGGGGTTACACAGCTCAAGGAAAAACATTTATGATCATTACTTTATCATTTCCTTGAAGTAATAATCACCATATTAATCATTTTGCACTGCAGACATTCTTCTGCCTTAGTGTCTCGGTCTGATTGCATTTCCATTCAGAAATGATCATAAATGTTCTTCCTTGCGCTGCATAACCCCGCTGTAGTCGTGATGGACTTGTCCAAACTCACCCTACAAACAGCGGGTGCTGGAAGAGAGACGGTGAGTTGTGTTTAGTCTCTTTGCTAAAGAAATCAGGCAAAGCTAAAAAGATGTTTGGTGGCTAGTGCTATGGCTGGGACCCTATATGTACTGTTGATGAAGTTAGGTGCTGTTCTGAGCATTATTTGTGGCTATAGAGTGGTGTTATGGTTGAGTGCGTGCCTCTCTGTATTGCTATCTGCGGTCATCACTAAAATTGGTATAACTAAAGAAGCAAGTGGTCGGCAACATTCATCTCACGACGGGGTATCTAACTCGGTGTTAGTGTGTTTGACCCTAACTTAATCTTATGCTGGAATATCCCTTTAACTAATGCTATTCACACACCATGGTTGCAGCCAGCATGTACAATCGGACCTGGGTTCGAACCCCCAGTCTTTCGGCTTAGAGACAACCAACCCTACCACTGAGCCACAGCCGCTCCTTGGGATGTGGGTCTTGCTTTTATGCTTTTGATCAGAGATTTTAACCAGCCATTTGTCCTACAAGTTTTACGTCCTAATTTAAGAAGGTGAGGACTTTTGTATACACTATGTAGGAAGTGAGTTTGTGAGTGTACACTCATCAAAGTTTAAGTGGTGCAGGATCAAACATGCCTCCAAGCCTTAAATACCAAAACCTCCAACTCCACCCAGGCCACAGCTCTCCTCCCCTGGTACAACAGCAAGTAGATGAAGCGCCATGGCATCACCTAACCACGGGTCATAAACTACCGTTTTAATACCTATAATCATGAATCATTTCGATTATCAATTAAAATTATGCATGTTAAAGACTAGACTTTTAATTTGATAAGAAAACATCTATCGTTAACAGCATTGCTTTTACACAGGTATCAGAAGTATTGAAACTGAAAATGTGTGGAAGTTTTGCTCCATTTTGACCAACTGCAGGGAAAACATAGCATTAGCAGTTTGTGTGTTTGCATGTCTGTTGGATGGGATTGGGGTTTTATTATTGAATAGTGTACGATTTATATTGCTCACCCAGGTTTAAGACTTCCTGATGACAAAAAAGCTGAAGTCAATTGGTGGTGACGTAACTGAAGATGCATCCCTTAAAGTCAGCAGTGCAGCTTCCTGTGAAAAACAGTGCCTGAGATTTCACTGTCTCACTCTCAGTCTTTCCCTCTCAGCAAAAGAAAAGGGGGAAAAAGGATATTTTTCCAAGGAGAAAAGAAATAAAGGACATATTTCCTGAGAGAAAGCTGTTCCACCTGGCTTGCATTGCAGTTACAATACATTAGAGGGAAATAATTCTGTCTGCTTTGCACTCTGAATCTTCCTGCACACTTCCTGTTGACCTGTAGCTGGAATGTACTCCGGAATGATATGGTGACGTTTCCACATCCAAGACTGCTCTACCAGAAATATTTACCAAAGCACTGTGTTTATAAAAAGTGTAGCAGAGGACAGCTGCAGATGAGTTATGACTACAAAGAAACATCACATTAACGCTCATTTTCTGCTTTAGTCAGGCCAGCAGGCAGGTGATCTGACAGCTGCTGGAGAAGAGAAAAACAATGTACTCTGAAGAGGTGTGTTTGTGAAAACATTTAGCCGGTTATAGAGCTGCTGTGTACTATAAACAGTCAAATACACCCAACAGACTCTCATGCCGGGTTGAATCTGTAAGTATGAATACCCTCTTTAAAAGCATTATAAATTGTGGTTTTTGCTGTTTCATTTGGTTTAAAATTTAATCTTTTCATCTATTTCTTTTTCTACATTTTATAGACCAGAAAAAAAAATCTGTCTGATTCAGAATCAAAATCAGCTCTATTGGCTTATTATTTGTCCATGCATTAAACTAATACGTAAAAGGCCAAATTAGACAACAGCGTATTACAGTGTCGTTGATTTGAAATATCTATGTGCGGACTCAAAACTACAAACATGAAGACATTTGAAGAAAAGGGAGAGTAATAACTCATCCTTTTCTATCCTGGTGTTTCTGATTTGTCAATGTGAAGTTACAGCCAGCAACGTTTTATATTTCAGCATATTATAAGGACCAAGAATAGGTTAGGTATCATGAATGTTGGCCTGAATTGATGTTTTGTCTCTACACAAGCCTTAAAGTGTAATAGTGACACTTTGTGGTTTTTGCAGGATGTTTCTTCTAAGGCTCAGTTACTTCCTAGAGTTTCCTCTGGGCTCCTGGATAGTTTTGCCAAACAAAACCACACCACCCTTTTTTCCTCTTAATGCTAAGATAAGCTAAGCTAACTGACTCCTTGCTTTAGTTTAGATTCTGAGAAATGCAGCTTGAATTCGAGACCAGGATCGAGTTAAAATTACGAATAATTTTCTTTAAACTGAAACTAGAGGATACAAGTACTGGTTTTCCTGTTTATCAGCATCATGTTTGGTCTCTTTGTCTCACCAGCCGTTGGCGCAGTCAAATGTTTTTTCAGGGGATGAGTGTGATGTTTGTTGTGTGTTTGGAGGGGGAAGCAGTGAAGGCGTCTTTGTTAGCCTCACATAAGATACTAGTGTTTGGCGTGCCTTGTTGTTGGTGTGAAAAGGCAGTCTGTTTGGGCAAGTGTGTGTTTTTTTGTGAGGCGATCATTTACTGGAGGCTCTCTTTTAATAGAGTTTGCACATGTGCATGTGTAAAAGTGGAATGGAGGAATTCATAGTTAAGTGTGCATGCAACAGGGTAGCGTAAATGTCCTTAAATACAGAGACAGGTGAATCATTGCATTAGAACATTTGATATTATTTTGTTTTGCACTGATTTTTGTTTGTCTTCATGTGTTGGTCGACTGAAATCTCTTCTAAACGGACACACAAACGCCCCAGTCTTCAGCTTGGTGCCAGCAGCCAATGAAGGCGGGTCGCAGACAGACAGCAGGCAGACAGACACACAGACTGTCAGATGGGAAGAAAGAGGCGTGCACAAACAAAACAAAGAAAAAGCACGAGATAGATAATTTCTGAGGGAATGCACAGAATTTAGAGGAAATCACAGAGGTGTATTCAGAATGTAATGACAAGGACTCATACTCTGTTGTGCAGAAAGCCTTTTTCAAAGCCCAGGATGGATGTTAAACTTGCAAATGTTTGTTTGAAGAGACTAAAATTGTTTGTTAATTCAGCAGCTGCCTGACTGTGGTTTAGCATGGAAGAACAAAGACATAAAGGCTTGGCTGCAGTTACTGTCCCCTCCCTGAAACCACCTGCGCCTGCTCACTGTTAGACAAAGCAGATTCACTCCTTTAATCAAGACCTATGATCAGTGATTTTATCTTTAATCTACAGTTAGCAAACACAGAAGGCAGGTTTTGTGTTTCCACTGTGGTTTCTCTTCCAAGAGATTTCATTTGAAAAAGCAAAATAATGCAGAATTCATTGTATCTAATAAATGAAGGGAAGGTTTGTCCCCAAGAATGTCATTTGATTTAAGCCAAAACCGGTCTTTCTTTGTGTATACTGTGTGTAAGCCATTTTGGATATGATACTGAATGATCTGCTCCGATCAGCACTCAAGGGCACTTTGCCTGAAGCAGCTGGCACTGCAGATGCACCACAGGCTACACTACGGTCACGAGCTCACCTCTGTAACACACTGGTCTGTTAGTGAATACGAATGTGTCAGCAGGTTTTTGTGTTTTTGGCAGATTTTTCCTCAAAAGTAAAAAAAAAACAAAACAGTTTTCTAAAGCTAAACCGGCATTTTGTGGCAGAATTGTGCTGACTAGATTTAGAGGGAGATGTGCAGGACAGACACATCACACAAAGAGGAAATTGGTCAGTTAAAAAAAGCGTGAGTAATGCTGATGCCTGTTGCCATGGAGATTGGGGTCAATGAATGGTTGCCATGGAGCTCGCTACTTGGAATTCTGGGAAGGGGATATTTTGATGTGTGTGTTTGTCTGCGTGCGTGGAGTCTGAAGATGTGATGATGAAAGAGCGGATACATTATTAATGAGACAGTACAGTTTGGATCTGTTAGTGTGTGTTTGTGTGTATTTAGTGAAGGCAGTATTACACGACTTCTGCCTTGAACCATCTTCCCAATCAAAACCGTCGTAAAACAGCTGGATTATTACAAAATATCCTGAAGCAGCTCATCACTATTCTTTTTTTAATATCATAAAACCTTACATTTACTGAGAAAAGAGAGTGATTGGCGGTGGTGATCTTATTTTGTGAAAGGTTTGAATGTGACTCACAATTAGTCTGACTGGAAATCATCCATAGGAGTGTGATGGACAGATTTGGCTTTTAAGAAACTTTAAAGTCTGTGCATGTTTAAGCCTGTTTTGTTGTACTTTAATACTGTAGATGATACAAATGCCAAATTTTGTTAGAGTATGATTTACTATAAAGTGCTGTTGAAGGTATTTTTATGGGCACTTTTGTCTCTGATAAACAGGACATCTAAATAGAGACAGAAAAAGTGGGAACAAGAAGGAAGACGTGTCAGTTAGTTGTGTCCAGGTGTAAAAAACAGCAGCTACCACTGCAACAAGGCCTAAAACTTCTGAATATGGGGCATGCATCAAAACCACTCATTCAACAGGCATACTGTTCTATTATACCTTCAATAAAAAAACGTAACAATAAATGTTCCTTTTTTAGGATATCTGTTAAATCGAGACACCTTACAAGATTTTTTACACTGAGGCCAAATCATGAAAACATCTAATGATTATCTATCACTTCTTTATCATTCTCTCACGGAGTATATCAAATTAGCATATTATATTTACCCGTCAATCACCATCATGGCTGTATGAGCATCTTTCATGTGATGTTGTGACTTAAAATATCTTATAAGCCAATATTGGCTGAGTGACATTTAGGATATACTACCTTAAGCTGTAGTTACCACAGTGAAACATGCATGTATTCCTTTATTCATTGGGTTTTCTGCATGCTGCTTTTAATGTTCTTATATATGTCTTAGATATGTTTTTGCTAAATGACTCAGCTGTCAGCAAACCTGCAGCAGAGGGGTTGAGATGTTTTTAACGTCTTGATTCAGCAAAAGACTCGGCACCTGTTAAGACCTCAGTTGGACTACAGTTCAACTCTGATAATTCAGCTTTGTCCTTTGTCCTAACACAGATTTTCAGATGAAGCTGTGTATACAGTAGGTTTCTGGGTCAGTGTGTGTGTGAGTGTGTGCATGCGTGCGTGCGTGTGTGTATGTGTGTGCGGGGCCTGTCACATCTTTCCCATGATTCATTTGTTTATTTCTCTTTGTCTGCCTCTTTGTGTGCACGCTCTGCCTGTCAAACCCACATCTGGTTCATTTACTTAATTTTGATTATTTGTTTGTGCCCATGTGTGGCGCTTGTTCGTGTGTGTGTGTGTGTCTCTCTCTCTGTGTGGCTGCATGAGACAATGGATTTGCTTTTTATCCACCTGATATCAGAGTCAAATGAGGTCATCGCCACACACGGCCTGATGTGTGCTGAGTCAGCTCACAAGAATTCAACCGAATCAAGGTGTGGGAGACTGATGAAATCAACTTTTTGTATTGTACTTATGAGCTTGAATTTGATCCCCAACATCAACTTATAGATGATCAGGATTTTAGGATTGTCAAGCAACACTTGAGCACATATTTTCACAAGTTGCTGTTGCTCCAGTCTTGATGTTAACAGGTTAAGTTTCATGTTTGTTTTACTGCAGGCTCGTTATGTCTGACAGACATGATGTGTCGTATCATTTTCAGTGAAGATCTTTGCTAATGTCTTCCTACATGTGAGTATTTCAGCCATTGGGTCCAGGCTTATCTGTTATCAGAGGACTTGTTGTCCCCTCGGCTGCTGTCCCTCTGGTCCTTATAGCGTGACACTGATGTGGATTTGATGTCGTGTGACACATCGAGTCTGGAAGATGAGGGAGGGTCGGGATACATCAGTGGGTTGGATATGCAGTGTGTGTGTATGCAAATGGTCGACACGCAAGCTTTCCCGCAAGAGCATAAATGCATGGGAGACAGGAATAGACTCTTTACATCAGAAGCTGATGGCAGTGCACGTGGAGTTTGTGCACGTGAGGTTCCCCTCCCCCTCTTTAGTTGTGATGTCAGAGCGAGTACAGTATGCCACCACTGGCAATAAGTAGGAGCCCATCCCCCCTCTGGACTGGGATACATCATCATCTTCATTATCGTCATCTTTGGAGCAGTTTAGGATGTTTCTGCGGCGCTTCTACACACACTCTCATATCATCTTTCTCTTTGCTTCATTTCTATCTGCATCCTTTGTATCTTGCAGCATCACCCATAATCTAATAATCCCATAACCCTGTGATGCACTCTGCAGGGAAAACACATTAAAAGCTGAGATGCTGCACACAGAAGAGAGTGATGAGACAAATAAGGACACACACTGACACTCTTACACACACACACTGACACTCAGTCACACAAAGTTGCCTCTTGGGTGCCTCTTTTTATTTAACCTTGCCAGAGTTTGCTTCATCGTGTATTGATTTTCAAAGCCCTAAACACACAAACTAGGATGTTGAAAACATACTAAGTGAAAAACATTTGGCACAGCAGCAAATTATATTCCTTTTTTTGTGAATTCAGCACTAAATACGGACTCTTAGATCATTTGGGTGTTGTCTACATTTGCCCTAAATGTAGCCCAAGATTTCTCGTCAGTTACCGTTAAACAGCTTTACGTAGACAAGACACAACTCGCTCATAATAGGCTTATCCTCTTGATTGAACAGCTGTTTGGCATTGAATGTGTGAGGTTCACAGTGACTCAATGGAAAAAATCATGCTGCTGGGAGGGCGGCGAGAGTTATATTTCAAATGGACATGCAGCAAAAGAGCAGGAACTGTAAACCTGTTTCATGGACTACATTTGCATTTTGAAACAACAATACTTATGTGCATGAAGTTACTCTGACTACTCAATGAAAGGTCTTCACCTCAATCTCTGAGATAATGTAAATCATCTTTCTCCAGGCAGACCACACACATACACAGAGAGAGACACAAACAGCGCTACATGCTGTGTCAGTGTCATGTTGTGGGTAAAAGAAGCACAGCCTGTATAAACAGTGGAAGTTCTGGGTGAGAAGAAGGAAAAGACAAGTGCAAGACAGACTTAGCTGAACATCTCCCAGCTTTGTAAAAAAGCTCAGGAGCAGAAAGGAATTCTGGGAATGTTTTCCCTCTGGAGCAGGTGCTAAAGCTGCAGCCTGATATCTCGGCCTCTCTTCTTTGTGTGCATCTGCCGTCAAGCAGAAACAACAACAGAGTCAAGACCCTTTAAGAACAAAGTATGCTCTTCGGTGGTCAAGATTGGCTGAGGATAAGGGTGGAGTGAGGACTGTATGATGACATCGCCATCGCCTCCTGGGGTGTCAGATGGTTGTGACCATCATTTTCCAGCATGTGCAGGGTGTAACTCAAATCTTTGGCGCCATTATCTGCAATAAACTCCCGCTCATCTAGCTCACCCGAGTCTAAAAAGTCCATATTAGTGGACTGAGATGAGATAATGTGTGTTTTCGTGCTTTTTTTGGTGTGTTTGAATGCGTTTCAGGGGTTTAAGTAATGTACTTTGACACTTCAAGACCTTAAGTGCAGCCTCTGTGGCCCATATACAAGGAGTTGCCATAACAACTGACCCTTTTTAATGTGTAGCTACACGTCTGCATGTGTGTGTGTGTGTGCGCTGACACGCTAATGGAAGGAGACCCCAAGGGGAGGGATGGTGAAGGCGCCTGCCCATCCAAACCACCTGACACACACTCACACACACCCTGCTGAGGGCCGTCCAGCCCCATTATCTTCACATTAAGTGCACAGTCCTGATACTATGAAGTTACACCTTAATGTGGAGCACTTTCAATGCATTTAAGTCAGCGTTATTTGCGAGATTGAGAGATGCAGGATAAAGCACACCTTCAGCGGCTCATTTTGTGGATACTCAGGCAGCAGTGTGTGTCTTTGCATGATGTCATTCATTGATTTTGTAGCTCAGCCATGCCCACTAATCTTCCAGAGCGATGCACTGGTCGATCCAGTCATCAGGATTAATGATCACGTCTGTAATGTCTGGAGACTGATTGTGGTTTAATTTTAAGAGAGGCAACATGCAGATACAGTAAACGCTTAGATGTACATTACAAGACATTTTCCAATACTTTTTACTGTCGGTCTGTTCATGCTTTCATTCTCGCAAGCTTTTGTTTCCCGTGCATTTTGCTTTTGCTTTGTCACAGACATAGTGAACAAGAGCTACAAATCAAGTGCTTTTGTGATTACTGTGTCACTGTGGTTCACCACTAACCCGAGGATCCTGTTCGAACAAGAGTTGAGTCTTGGTCTGTCTTAGATTTATCAGCTTTTAGGATTAACCACTGGTTCAGTCACTACAAAATGGAAGTTTGAATACAGAGCCTGATCAGATCTGATTGACTGTGTCTTTGTGTTCTGTCTGCAGGGCTGGCATCGATGATGTGGAGACAGACGTTGTGGAGATTGAGGCAAAGCTTGACAAGGTATGAATCATACTGACATGGTTTTTCTTTGGGCCATGTTGCTCATTCATGTACCACACTTACGCTGCTTTCATATGATGTATTTAGCTTTTCTTTCATCATGTTTCCCCTGAAAGTAGTCACTAAATTTATTGTAAATAGACAAACTGTTTACATAGCACTGTTCGGAGCCTCAAAGATAAAAAAGTCAGTATTTCATTCAGACTGTCTAACTTTAAAACCACAGGAGAAGAAAAAAATTCAGATGTTGACAATATCCCAAAAATACTCTTTATTTCATTGCGGCACTGATCAGAGAGCCCAGAATAACTCCCTCTATCTGTCTGCCTCGTTCTCATTTCTAAATGTCAGGGCTATTTAAACCAGGAAACACTGCAGACACAGGCTATTATATTTAATAGGTCCGTGCTCTGCTAGACAACACACATTCACACTGAAAGAAACACACACACACACACACACACACGCAATGGTGGGCAGAGGAAGCACACCAACCAAACACTGATTTATTCCACTTAGGCAGTTACTGTGTATGCGCTGAGCTATGAAGTGTTTCACAGAGATGTGTTGTGCAGTTGATGTCTTTGTTTGACCTGCTAAAGCAGAGGTAATGCGTCATGCATGTAGCAGGTTATCATCATTCAGTGACACAATCATGAGGTTACAGCTACTCTGAAGCAGACTGTACCTTTATTTTACGTAAAACAAGGATGTTATTTAAAAAAATATTGTGGTCATGTTAAAATAATGATAATATTAATAATAATAATTTGTTGAAATTATGTCCTTTTATTTCTTTGACGCTTTTGTGTTTTATTTTATTTATTTTATTTCATTTTAAATGTTTTTTTTCTTACCTGCTTTTATTTATTTCCTCGCAGTGTTTGTTCTTTTAAATTTTACTGTGCAGCACTTTGGCAAACTTAAATGTCTTTTAAAATGTGCGATATAGATAAAGCGGATTGGATTGGATAATAATTATCATTATAATGTATTAATGTTGATATTTGAACTTTTAATTGAAATAGCAGAAGCAGGCCTACGATTTTCTATGAGAAGAACATTTGATTGCATAAGTGTTAAAGAATTCGTTAGGGGTGTGACAACATCATTAAATCATGGCAGTTTTACTAAATGAGACTATAAGTTGTCTCAAACTACTACCATTATGACACCAATTTGGCGGCTCATCAAAGTCACTTTCCTAAAAGGGCGCTGCTAAAACTACCAAAGAAAAAAAACATTTTGAAGTTGCACTGAGTCAGCGTTTATGTCCATACTTACATTTGCTCTGTCCATCTGCAGCAGTCAGGGTATAATACAGAACAAATTATTATGAATTCGATTAACATTTAGAGCCCTTAAACCTTTTGTACAGCATGTAAGTATTTCAGACACGCACAAGTATTGTAGGTGAATACATGTTGATGAAAACCGATGAAACAAATATTATTCAGTGAAGCAGAGAGAGACACAGAGGCAAGAGTTCATAAAAACAGGCTTCATGTTATCAGCTTGACATATCAATTACTGTTTTCCAGACCTGGAAATGGTTTGAAAATAGATGCTTGCGACCCCTTAAGGCATATGGAAATCTCACTTGATATGTTTCTAACTACAATAGAAAATGAATGGACCTTTTATGTGTAAATCTGATTATTTGATGACTCTGTAAGACTAGAGTATTGTTTGGGTGAGTAAGTTTACGTCAACAGACTGACAACAACACTTTCGTTGTGCTTGCATATGTTAGTGTCTTTGATGGCATCATTAGGTTATTAATACCCAATCAGAAAGAAGGACTGAAGGTAGCCTATTTTAATTCAAGATTATTATTAGGAAGAAAAAAACCCAGTGGAGTCTTCATTGTTTGGCATTTTATGCTTTATTTGTTTTTTCCGTCGCAAATTTCATCACTAAAGTTTGAGCCAAGTGACTTTTCACACCCTGGGACTCATTATCGAAAATGATATCAAGAAAGTACATGAAAATTGATATAGTGGATTTGGTTAATTACTTTGTATGCGGTCTGTAACACCAGCCAAGGCAGCAGGTTATCTGCCTCTGGAGAATCTATGAGGTGAGGTAATGCCTTTCTAGATAAACTGATTGACTTGTAAGTCAGACAGCTTTTATGGGATGAGACAGTGCTAAATTTAATTTAGAGTCATGACTGTGTCTCTTTCTTCCTCTGCCTGCCCCTTAATTCAGTTTAGGTTATGCGTCAATGTCTTTTTAAACTGATGAAGCTGTGATTTGGTTTGATCATTGTTCGATTATTTTCAGTGTTTCAGTCTGTCTCGGGTTAATTAGTTAGTCCACTCTGTTACATCTCAGTCTCTTCAATTAGCAAACTAAGAGGCGTCACTTTGACTTTTAGGGTTAGGGTTAGGGTTTTACTTATGTCCATGCCCAAACCATAAAAAACATGCACACATGCTCACACATCCACAAACTGTTCCAGCCCCCAACAGGTCAGGACCCTGCCCTGAACTTTGAACCCCATTTGAGCAGCACTGACAGATGACTGGGGTCGAGGACGGAGAGGTTTCCATCAGGATGATTTGTTCTGTTCAGCAGGGGTCCTCACATTGCCCTGTTAGGACCCTCTGAAGCTGCCCGAGGGCATTTAACAATAATGAGAGGTCTTAGCGGAGAACATTTGTGATATGAAACTTCCCTACAGTGATGTTGGGATTTAGTATTATCACTGTACAGAATAATCCAAAAAATCACCACTGTCATGATATGGCATTGCCCTGTGTTTATTTTGATGTATTAGTCTGGTTTGTCATGTGGTACCAGATGTGGCATTTTGACTCTGAGTGGACCCCCATGGTTCTTCCAGCCCATTTATCAACAAACCCTGACACATATACTGTGCCTCTAATAGCCGTGGTCAGACCCTGGGGGCTGTGTACAGCACTCGATGAGATCAGATTTCCCATATCAGCCAATTTGTTGACAGATATGTTGTCAGACTGGCCTGGGAGCAGCGGCAGGGCAGGAATCATGCTGCCGTGTGTTATGTGTACATTGGTAGCAGTGTCAGTTGTGTACATGTCAGATCAGATAAATTCACATCTTAAGTTTACATCTTACACAATCACCAGCCTGAAGTTTCTCATCTTCATCCTGTGCAGAGTCAAAGACATACTGTCAGCCACTGAAATAAAAACACCCTTTTGCAGCGACAACCTTGGGAACTCTTGCACCAAATTCGATAATTAAAGGTTTACTGCTGCTCAGCCTCTCACCAACACACACATGTGAAACACACTGCTGCCTCATTGAAGTGATAATGACAGTGTACCGCTCTGTAGCTTCTCATATAACCCGTGAAGTTGGAAAGTGTGGTGGTTTTCAGTAGGGAGCACATGGTATAGCTGTGAACTTTCTGGACCTGGTAATGTGTTTTCAGTTAGACTCAGAAACTACAACCTGTTTGCTCTGTACTTTTTACAGTATGAGCCCAGGATTACTGTCTACCTTAATTCTAAGATGTTCACATTATTCACTATAATCCTTTGGACGCCATTTTCCTTTTTGGTCTGTTGAATTTCAGGCAGTCCAACCATTTTTATTATTGAACCACATTTGGATTAATGGACACTAAAAAATAGAAACCTTTGGAGAAAGACAATGTGATAGTTCATTATCTAACATTTGTCCCAAGCTAACCTTAGCAACTAACCCTCAACCAGCTTGTTTTGGGTCAGCTAAGAACCTACCATAATGTTCGACAGTAAGTGAACAAATGTTAGCTTAGGTTGCTAATGGGCTATGAAATGTTTTATTAAGACTTCCATAATGAGCCACTATCCCCCCATATTTTCCCGTCGTATCTTTTCAGTTACTCATCAGGGAAAGATCATGAAATTGTGACTAATTTCACCATATTTACCATAATGTGAAAATTGATTCCACACAAATATTAATATTATTGCTGAGCTCTGTTTCCTAAAGCATCACAGCCGTTTATTTGGACTTTAAATAGCAGTCTAATCTTGGTCAGTCTGCTGGTTAGAGCATAACTGGACTCTTGATAGATCCCTGAAAGGCTTCTAACTTAACTAACGATGGCATCATTTTTACTTTCACGATACAATACTATCCCATCAACAACTACAAGGTATTACATATATCTTAAAATGAAAGACTTTGAAAAAATGCCATTTGTCAAGCTCTGAGCAGCTTGTGAAATTTGTAACCTCAGCCTTTGTTTCTTTGTAGAGCACTTCCAATTGTGTTTGGCTAAAGTTTGATCATGATGGGAATTCTTTACTTTGGCTCCAGCATGTTGGCTCCTAACATCTCCTTGAACCTTGTCAGAGTGATGATTTGTCAAGTGACCTTTCATATCACTTGTATGTCTTGGTCCACATATTGTTTTTGTTTGTCTGTCACTTTTTCTCACTTCTCATTTCTTGACTTTGGGGAACTTAAATGCTTCCACAGGTCATATTTGAAAGTTGCTAGAGAAACCACAATTTCTAAATTGTCTCTCTGTCTTTGGCCACTAATATTTCCACCATATTTCAGTCTGCTGAGGTTTACTTTATGTTGGCATTGCCCCCAGAGGACTAACCTCTATGACCCTGGTGAATCTGGTCTTTACTCCAGTGCCACAGTGGGGGTTTGTGATGACATTTCTTAACAACTGCAGCTTTTAGAAGCGAAATTTCATTCAATAATGCCTTAACAAGAACATAAAAAGTACAAAACAAGTCTACATGTACCCTCTAAGAAGGGCAAACAAAGGACATACATTTCAGAATTTTCCTGCAGAGCTTTTGATGTAGTAATGCCGAGTGTGTGCTCCGTATTAACAAATAATCTAAATCATTCTAGCTGTCTTAAAAGGCTTTGTCAGAAAATACATCAGAATGAAAAAAAAGGCAGAATCCACCTTTAGACTCAAAGTTCAAAACCAAGGATATAACTCATTTTTCCATATCATATATTTTATACCATCTATATGTGCCTCCTATAGCTATTCAAAGTGCAGAACTATATGTCCTGCTTTAAGTTGAGTAAACGACTGAGCATTCAGGGAATAAAGGATAAAAGAATTGGGACACAGCTCAAGTAGGAGTTAAAGGTCTGCTGTCAAGTTGATGAAAGATAAAAAGGTTACAAGGCCATGTGTCCTTTTCATCCTATAAATTCTGCTTTTTTTATCTGAATGCTTTATAAACACTCCTCCTTTGTAGACTACACAATCTTGCTTTAATAAAAATCCGTCCTGTCCTAGAAACAGAAACAGACCAGAGGATTATTCTAAATTTGCTGCATTCTGCATGCAACCAATGATTCTTTTAAGCTTTGTTTGATTTGCGTCATAACCAGTGTTGGCACAATTACTTAAAAAAAATAATTTCAAAAGTAACATATTTAATTATCTGATTACTTGATTTTAAAAGTAATTTAGATAACAAATTACTTTTTAAGTTACATTCAGCAGCCTCAACATGTAAATGACAACCATTTTCTTTCCAACACTCACTTTATTGGAAGTGTAATTAAATGGGAATGTCAAAAAAATGTTGTTGTTTTTTAAAAGATAGCCTTTCTTGGCTGACAAAACGTGAACAATTTTTAATGAAATATAAAATAAAGACAGTTTTTATTGACTTACAAAATATACTTTTTTAATTGTTATCTTTAGCTGACACAAAGTCAAAATAGTGGCTGTATTTCCAGCTTGAGAACACGCATCTCTCTCCTTCCTCTGTTGTTGTTTATGTTTGTTTTGCCACTGCTGCTTTATGTGTTTGCACATGTATTACACGTGAGTGGTCCTTGTGATAAAAAAGTGACTTGTCGTCTACGTGACTGATGTCCCTCCTATCAGACAAAAACAAATCTATCTTTTTTTTTTTAAGGAAAATGAGAAAAAAGTAACACACACAGTGACTTGGACATGTAACTTAAATCAGATTACTGGTTTAGAAATAGCAATGCGTTCGATTACCTGTTACTGAAAAAAGTGGATTTATTAGAGTAGTATTACTGGCATCAGTGGTCATAACTGGAAGTATAAATATCCTTGTAGGGCATGGTGTAAAGCATGTGACTCTTCAAATGGATACTGTTTTGTTTGTCCTTTTAAAGTGAGTATTGTTTTGTACCCTCCTTTCTCATTAGTTGGTGAAGCTATGCAGCGGGATGATCGAGGCTGGCAGAGCCTACGTCAGTGCCAACAAGCTCTTTGTTAACGGCATCAAGGACCTGTCAACGCAGTGCAAGAAAGAGGAGATGATATCGGTGAGCATAAGTCATCCAAAACTGACCTTAAATCTGAACACACACCAAGGAATGTCTGAGGGTCTAAACAAATGACCACTCGTGTCTGTCTTTGCTGGGACATTCCTGTGTTTCCCCACAGGAATAATAACAACAGAGCAGGATAAACAGTATTGTCCAGACACAGAGTCGTCCAGCTGTTTTAAACATGACAGATGAGGCCACATGCAGACTCGAGATGTTTATACTAAAAGTTTACATGACTGGAAGCAGAGATATCTGAAACCTGCTTTATGGTTTTCTCAAGGGAAAACATTTAGACTAGATTTGTCTGTTGTAGGGGTCACTCAGTGGCTTTGGGATGACCATCATTGAGTGTAAAGCTTGTTTTATTTTAAAGGATATAACTAGATCATCTTATTTGTACAGAACAGACTACATACAAATTTTTTGAAGAAGTTTCAAATCGAAACCAGTTTTATTTAAAAGTGTGTGTCTTTGTGTGTGTGTCATTCACGTTGCAGGAATGCCTTGAAAAGTGCGGAGAAAGCCTGCAGGAGATCGTCAACTACCACATGGTAAGACACTTTTACACACACTCACTGATTTTTTAGCCACAGGCGAGAGGTCGAGATGGTGCTGCTGCTCCGACACGCCCCGACTCTTCCTGGCATGTTAAAGTCTTTCAGACATTCAGTCCCTCCTGGGTCCAGTATTGCACAACACGATACACACATACACACTATTTAAGTGGACCTCACTCCGTGACAGTGAATCTGTCCACACAGGCGGCTCCACATGTGTGTGTCTGATTCAAACCACATGCTGCACCAGATGTGAACGACAGATATAAATCACACATGTATAGGACACACTTTCTCACAAATGCAGATTTTAGTTGTATGACTCTCCTCAGTACTATGTGTGGTTAAGAAATTTCCACTTGTGGTTTATGAATGAAAGCAAAAGCACTTTTAAAGGAATATAATGACGTTTACAATTCTGGGAAGCCCCACGTTAAAAAGTTACATCCACCGTGTGTGTAGTGAGAAAAGAATCATGAAGACACAGGTGTTGGCCTGTTAATGATTTGTGTGTTTGTGTAATCTAATCTCTGTTCACAGATCCTGCAAAAAATATAGAAACTCGTGGATCTGGATTTTCAGAATAGAAAGTGTTCTGGTTTCTGTTTTTGGCATATTTGTAGTCTGAGAATCATTGACCATTCACATATCAACAGGCTTTGGTGTATGGAGGAAAAACTGCATGTAGAGCAAAAGCATGTCTAGCACACACTAGTGAGTCTCTTTATCTCTATAGAAAGATATTCAAATGCAAGTTCAACTAAAGATTTCTTATAGATCAAAGAATTGAGATCTTTAGAGTCCGATGATCTGATTTTACATTCCAGATCTGTCTGACACTGTACCACAAAAGCCAATCAGCAATTACGCTTCCAGCTGACTGGCATTTCATTGATGGCGTTGTTTACTGTGCAGATGGAAAGGTGGCACACAAAAGGAGGTCTTGGCTGAGGGTCACTGAATACTACATAGGCTTTACCAGAGTTAATGAAAAAAAACAACTTATTTATTGCTGATGGGTTCAGAGATTGGAGGTTAAAAAAAAGAGGTTATATCAGGGTTTATAAAAGTGAACCAAGGAACTGCAGAGTTGCACCAGTCTGCAAATTATGTCTTTACTATCAGGTGGATGTTTGTTATTTGAGCTTTAAAGAGCTTTAAAAAAAACAGATGGATTTTGGATTTGGATAGCATTAGAATTTATTACACCCCTGGGTTTGGTACTTTAGGGTGCTTTCAACGTTTTGTTAAATAGTCCTCCATTTCTTGATAGCAGGCGATTGTTATGAAGAATAGACAGTCGGACACACCTCTTATCTCAGACCCTGAGTGATCGTACTGATGCAGAGAAAGGAGTCCTTTCAGTTTGGACAATAAAGAAAGACAAGAGAGATTAAAGACAAGACAGGACGCTTTTGCAGAGACATCTACTCAATTAAAGATGGTGGATAAAGTAAACAAGTACCAGAAGATGGTTTTAGATAAAGTAGGGTTTAAATTCAGGATAACATACAGGTATCAGGTGGTTATGCAAATTATAATCCTAATTTAAATACCTTTTTTCTACCATTTGTCGGGCAGTTTTGCTTTGAGTGTTCAGGAGATTATTCTCATCTCTCTCTTATTACCTAAAAACATTCAAAGGAATATGTATTACTTTCCCATACACAGGGCTCATAAACTTGACTCCCGTCACCTTAAAATACCGCTCAAGGTTCCTAAAAGTGGAGCAGTTTGTCACAAACACAACACTGAATGCAACCATAACAGAAGTTGATCCTGTGCTAGTCCACATTAATCCCTCCCATTCTTTTCCTCATATTTTGCATTTGTGCGTAGTACTTCTCTGACCTGCTCTATCAGGGTCAAGCCTGTTCAACTTTAAATCCCTTTTTAAATTAAATCAAAGTGCAGCACACAAGACCAGATCCATCAACTGCACCAATCCAGTGATATCATCTCCTCTATCTTCGCCTCTGAAGGTCGTCTTTGCTTTCTTTCTATCATACGTGACCCATTTGTGGATTATCTGCAGGTGTCGTTTCTGCCTCATGTGTTTAGAGCGTTCAGTGCAGCTGAAGGGCTACTGCATTGTTCTGTGATGTATTTTTTACAATTACAACTTGTTTTTCTCTGCCAGCTACAACCACTCTATCCATCCTCCTCCTCTTCCCTGACATACCCTTCACCACAGGCGTCCCACTCCTCTGCTCTAACACTCCAGGAATTACACTAATAGCTTGTCTGGCAGATAGTATGAATGAAATGATGGAGGCAGGGGAGGGTAAGACATAGTGGAAGAGTACCTATCTCTGTCTGACCACCCACTACAGGCCTTGTTCTGCACCCACTCTGCTATCTTTGCAAACAAAAGAGGGCGTTGAAACAGGAAAAAACAATCTCCCAGTAAATCCCATGATAAGCAAATGTGCGTACTCTCAAACAAGCATAAATCTAAGCCTTAATCTCGACGGAGTGAGCGTGATATTATTGTGGATTTGGACTGATTTTGTAGATTGTTGTGTCCTACATCAACTTTTAATGCTGTGGAGGACTTCTTTCTTTACGGTCATCAGCATGCTGTCCTGTATCTATTTTTCTGAATAGATACAGGACAGGTGACTGATGAAGCTCTCATAGCAGATGACATTTAGGATCTTAAATACGCTGAAACGGACTGGGAAAGTGGGTGTACACGCTGCAGGTTAGGTCGGGTCAAACTCAGGTCATGGTAATCCAGAGCAGGTTTGGGTGGAACATTTTGATTAGTTTGCATGCCGGCTTTAAGTCTCTCTGATGGGACTGATTTAGTATTTTTTTCCCTCTGGGATTTAATACTTCCCTGCTTGACTGGCTTTCTATCCTGAAAAGTACCAAACATTTGTTTTGTAAAGCACACAAGGTATACAGGCTTGAGGTCACAACTGGCCAATGTGCACATGCAGTATATCCCATAACTAGTCATGGTCTCTCAGCTTTTAAGGCTGTGATCACTGCATGTCTATTTTTAAATTACTCAGACTGAAAATAAACAGACTCAGTTCAAATTTATTTATTTATTTTATTTATAGTCCTGCATGAAATAGTCATTTTTGACTTATGATTTAGTTCAGATTAAAAGTTGGATGTGTACCATTCATACACCATTTTGCCTTTCTCATTGCGGTAAGTGTGCCACTCAAAACAAGCCATAAAATTTCACCAATTAGAGGGTTTTTTTTGCCAGAGAATGAAAAAAGGAGTCAAAAGTAGTTTTTTTTTTTTAATTAACAGACAGACCCTATATTGCTCCTGATCACATAATCATTGGTGTGGGACTATGTATGAATAAAATTAGCTAATTCTGATGGACACCCATCACAGCATCATCTGCCATGCATGTATTGATGTGGTGTGAATCTGAAAAGTAATGTGAAAGCACCCTGAGAGGCCAGAGAGACCAGGAAAGTGTTATATAAGTAGAGAGTAATAAGTAATGAGAGAGAGAGAGAGAGAGAGAGAGAGAGAACATGTGCGATAATCAAAAATTGATCCCATGACCAGTGAAACAAGATCTATAGCCTCTGAACATGGATCCCCTCCTTTATCCATGAAGTATCAAACACTGGTTTACTTCCCTAGAGCCTGGACTGCAGGTTCTCTGAGGCTGTCAAAATTTAAACTGACATAAATTATTGCAACACACTTGTAAGTGTAACACTTGTAGTCCTTTTTGGTAAGAAGATGAGAATTGATGATTTTTCTAATCACTTTTTTTTTCTGTGAGGGCCTTGGTTGGGAACCACTGATCTAAAACAATGAATCTCATGAGTCTGTGGAATCAGCAGGCTTGTAGGAAGGTCATATGGACGGAGGCACACACACACACACACACACACACACACACACACACACACACACACACACACACACACACACACACACACGCACACAAAGCTTGTAATCCTCAATGTAAACACTTATTAGCCACAGATTTCTATACTAAGTTTAATCCAAAGGCTGCAGTTGTGTACACTGTGCATTGTTTATGTTCAAACAACCAAAGCCTAATCTCTCAGTGGGTTTCTGTGGTTGTGTGTGTTTAATGTGAGTTTTGCACATGGCGCATCCCCTTTGTTCTTGTTGTTGTCAAATCACACAGAAGAATCAATAAATTATAAATTTAAAATTTCCTGTTTCCAGCAGGAGTAAGGTCTGCCCAGTTGTCTTGTGTTCATTCATCCAGTGTGCTCAAAATGCAAGTGGAGAAGGATTTAAGGTGAAAGAAGGGAGTATGAGATAAGAGAAAAGAGGAGAGTAGGAGGAAAAGAAGTGGGTGAACAGAGAGAGAAATCTAGGACTGTGTGTGACTTAAAACGTGTCGCTGCAGCACACGTATGTTAATGTATGTATTCATGTGTCCCTATCTCTGTCTCCTCTTACATCCTCTGCCTGTTGAATTGTGCTACAACTATAACATAAAAGGGTTCTCATTGCCACCTTGTGGTGTGATGAAGCAACTACAGATTCAACATGCTCCTTCCAGTGCTGTAGTAAGCAGAGAGGTGTTCATATAACAAATCTGTCTTCTTTGTCTGTCTACAGATTCTGTTTGACCAGGCTCAGAGGTCCATCAAGCAGCAGCTTCACATTTTCATTAAAGAGTGAGTATCTCAGGACAATAACGAAATATCTGCCTCATTCTCTAAAAAATAGAGGCAGCATGTTCAGGTTTGCACGTGGTTAAAAAAGCAAAACACACCACTGAAAATGGACATCTTAAAGAGGTGGTTTAAGCAGTGCGTCAAATCACCACAAGAGGCTGTAGAAATAGATGTCTGAATGTAGATGTTTACATCATTTGTTGTATGCAACTTCCATTTGATTATTAAATCAGTCCCTAAATTGTACAAGCAACTTAACATTGTAATAACAGCTTGCACAAAAAACCTCAGTACCAACACAAATCACGGCACAGAGCGACATAAACAAATGAACCCTTTTGTCTTTGTTTCAGGGATGTGCGTAAATTCAAGGACACTAAGAAGCAGTTTGATCGGGTGCGTGAGGACATGGAGCTGGCTCAGGTGAAGAATGCTCAGGCACCCAGAAACAAGGTGCATGAAGCTGAGGAGGCCACACAGGCACTCATTCTCAGCCGCAAGGCCTTCCGGCATCTGGCTCTGGATTATGTACTACAGGTGAAGCTCATGTTTCTCAGTTATAGTACCAGTGTTGTCCAGTAGATGGTGCTTACACTCAACAGTTGCTTAGAGTGCAAACCTCTTCAAGAATTGATTTCATCTGACTTTAGGGATGGAGAAAGTCATATTTGCAGCCTAATATCTATATTTTTCCTTTCTTTTTTATCCTGGAAGATTAATGTGCTTCAAGCAAAGAAGAAGTTTGAAATCCTGGATGCAGTAAGTGACCCAAACACGTCTCATCTTATTTATGGTTGGCATCACATCGTTGTTGCATCTTTTCTGTGCATGCTGTATTATAAAACCATCCTTTATATCTGTCCTCTGCAGATGCTGTCTTTCATGCGAGCTCAGTACACTCTGTTTCAACAAGGCTACAATATCCTGGATGAGATCGATCCCTACATGAAAAAACTGGCAGCACAGGTGAGTTGACACAAGAAAAGCCATGCACGCACACATTTTCAAACACAATAGCCATGTTGTACCACTTTTTCTTCTGTGTTTGCTTAGTGCTCCATTATGGACAATGGCTCTTTTGCAAATAAAACCCTCACTGAGTAATCAAACTGGTTGTTTAATCTTGACAATGACTGATGGGTGTCTTTTTAAGAATTACAAGGGAAACTTGAACAATTGTAGATTTTGATTGTTTTTCGTGAGAAAGAAAATAACGTGCAAAATAGTTTTTCCTTAAATAGGAAAAAAAATTCCGATAACTAAAGAGGTGGAATTGTGTCGGTCTTATACACATCCATTCCGGCCTTTCTGTGCTTGCATTTCTGGCTCTTAGCTTATATTTGTGTTAACCTGTCTTATTGACTCTGCTGTCATTTTCTCTGTGCAGCTGGACCAGCTGGTCATCGATTCAGCCATGGAGAAGAGAGAGCTGGAGCACAAACATGCCCTCATCCAACAGAGAGTGAGACGCCAACACATACTCTTCACATCCAACACATATCCAAATCTCACTGCCTTTCATGTCTCTACCTGTTTTTACTCTCCTCCCAGATTTGCCACATGCGCTTGTTTTTTAAAAAAACTGGATCACCTCCTCAGGCTAATCACCTGCTTTAAAAGGACAATCGTGCCAAAATTTTGAGCACTCTTAACTACATCAAGCATTTTTATTTTCTGACTTTCGTTTTCTCACAGTGCAGTTCATGTAGAGTCCTCTTGGTTTTTTCCAATTATCTTCTTATTAAGATATTTATTTTGCTTGTATATTCAGGTCTCATTTATTGTTTTACAACTGTGCTTATATCGCAATACAGATAGAAATCTAATATTGGTAAGCACAAAGATTATATTAGAACATAAACACATGTAAGGAGAAGGATAAGAGTTGAAAACAATCATATCTGTGAAAGAAGTGGTCAGAGTCCTTTTTTGTCTGTGAATTAGGAGACAAACAAACTCTGGTCAACTTCAGCTCTCATGTTGTTCTTCAAAGTTTCCAAAAAGCTACGCAACCACATTTTTCTGCACACAGACGTCACACTAAGAGTTTTTCACTCTTCATTGAAGCTCTTTAAAAAGAATGGTTTTAGAAGTTATTATCTGTCTGTCTGGTTTCACAGGAAAAAAAAAGATATCTTAGATTATCATCTTTTAGAAACTTAAAAAAAGCCTTTCTTTGGAGGCTTTGAACTATTTTTATATTGTCTATTTTGTGCCCCGAGCATCTGTCTATTCCTGTTTTCTTTGATTCAGCCATCCACACAAAAAGCCTCTGAAGTAATCACAAATTTATGGATGAAGAGTTGTTTTTCTCTCTAGAAGAGAATAGGAACATCACACTGAGACAGTTTGATATATTGACTGTACGGGTCACTCAACTGAATGAAAGTAATTCTTTCAAACCCGCACACTGCCCCGCAGTCGCAGCCATGCACAGATGCTTAAATCTCATCCATCTGTTACCTGAGGAGATGCCAAAAACTTTTACTGCCAAACTTGACAAATCCCTCTGAGAGATGGAGTTGCCAAGTCTCAGCAACCTTTTTCAACTTTTTTAGCCTGCCAGACCCAGCACATGGCTCTGTGTCTGGCCTAATGGCCTTATGCTAACCCAGACTTTAATCTGAAGGCCATCACTCAGTGACACTACTTGATTGTACTTTGAATTGCTGTACAACACAAGATGAACACACTTTAAGTCTGAGGCACCCCAGCTAAAACAAAACAGGGGGATTTGAGGATGTGATAAAGCTATTTCCTGGGAGGCCTTGTGTATTTTTAGACTTAAAAAGCTCCTCACGGCTTTTTTTTTTTACATGACCTTTTGGAAATGATTGAATGTGATTTTTCTGACATATTTGGTTTCATATGGAGCAATTCAACGACAGTCCTTTAATACTAACACTTTTATCTTTTTCTTTCTCCTTTGTTTTGTCTTCGCCTGCCCGTTTCGGTACTCCAGACTCTGATGCAGGTGAGTTTACATCATTTTTTTGATATATTATCCACAGTCTGCATTATATAGCACTTGACGCCAGTGCCTAACCAACCAAATGTGAAAGCCTTTTCAAAGAGGTTTACAAGCATGAAATGGCGAATTGGATGTTGCATTGTGTAATAATGTTTCTGGAGACTCACAAAAGGGTTTTAAGATGCTGTTTACCTGGTCTGAACTGGCGGTTTTGCCAAATTTATCATAAGAGGATTGGATTTTTCGATGCTGGCATTACAGCGTGTCCTCTGAGCACTGTTGTAAACCAGGATCACATTATCCTTGAACAAAGAGCCTTTTTGGAATCCTGCAGCTTTAAAAAAAAAACACAAGTCTGCTCATGTTTATTCTCGGACAAAGACATGCATACTTTACCTTTGACCTGCTCTAATTTTGCTAAACATCAATGAAGTGTTACCTAACACACATCACCTGGTTTGAAAGCTTCTGTCTTTACATTGAACATCTAGCTTAAAATGCACACATTAGTACCTCGTAAATTGTGGACCAGCAGATGTGTGTTTGTATGTGTGCCTGCATATGTAGCGTGGTTGTTTATCATTGCAGGGCAGATTTAGTGCCTGATGTGTGTGTCGACCAGTTTTATGGCTGTCACATGCTGACTCTTGTTACAGGGATCAATAGACTGTTCAGTTGATGTGTGTTTATGCGTTTGTGTAAGTAAAAGATGGCCCCTCCTTTTTTAAAAGTATGTCGAAGTGTGTGATTTATAGCAGGCTGTAGCAGACAGAAATGATCAGGTTATGCTACTAGGCACCATTGTGTTTCTTCGTCTGTGTGTGTGTGTGTGTTTTATTGTAGTCTGTCTATTCCTGTTTGTTTTGATCTTTTCTGTTTACATTTTTCCTGTCTGATGGCTGCTTCAGTAAAACTCACACATTTCTCCTCTTGTCATGATGTTTTTCCAGATTTTGTCTCTGATCTGTGATAACTTTCTCCATAATACCTGTGTATCTAATCTGAGCGGCTTACTTTTAACTCGAATTTGAGAAAGACTTTAGCTTCTCACGTCAGCAAGCCTGTTATGTTTTCGTGCAGTGATGACTTTCTCTGTATTTTTTGTCTTTTATGAGTGGATATTTGAACATGATCATCTATAATTTTTTATTTATTTTGATACAATTTGGATGTTAGGTTTTCTTCCTTGTCTTTAATTGCCAATTTTTTTTTACTACTTTGCTTCCTCCTTTCCTATCTTTCCTTCCTTCAATTGTCTCCTAGGATTATTTCTGTGGTAGAATCAGCACTTTCATGAGTTGAGATGAGTTTTTTGGAGACTTTCTACTATAATGTACAACACTAATTCACACTTTTTGAAGCTAATAGCTACAGGTTCTTCTAACATTTTAGATTATTTAGAACTAACTAGATTTCCACGTTGCATTAGTTTTGAGTTTCCAAACCCTTTTGACAGTCTGTAAATGACAGAAATTGCAGAAATAGCCTTGCGGTGAAGTTGATTTGGGCACAGCCATCTCTGTTTGTCAGATTATAAGTGAGCCAGAAAGTTCAGTGTGTCAGGAGAGGTTGGAGAGATCTGACAGTGAATGATGCCCGGCTCAGCCCTATGTGCTCCTCCTGCTACTGCCAGCTCCAGCCAAGGTCCACAGATGGTACCACACACAGCGGTCGGTTTAATGTGAGGCAAAAGAGAGGAAGGGGACAAAGAGAAAATAAATAAAGGAGGAGAGCATTTTAGGATCCAGATGCAGAGTATGAAAAAATAAATTAAACCAAGAAAAAGATGCATTTTAATACCTGTTGACTCTGTTATTTTCTTTAATGACCTGAGAAGAATGGCACTCTTGAAAAGAGATTTGAGCCAACTTGTTTTTAACTTAAATGAGCTGTATATTATGGTTGGTTTTCAGTTATTTTTTAAATAGGTGAACAAGAATCATAAAATGAAAATGTTTGATGTTTGCAAAAAGAGCCTTTTTTCTCTTCAAATTGACCCAACATTACTTCTGTCTTTAATTATTCCAAACGACTCTTATTATTAAAACAAACTACACTATCCACATAGTCATTGCAGGATAAAACTGAAAACAAAAGTGTGTGTTGAGCATTTGTAGAGGTTAATTGGCAATAATGCATTTAGTCACCACTTGTCTGAAAATGATACTGTGTGCTGTCTTTTTTTTTTTGTAATTGTACCTGTAAAAACACCCCTGTTTAAAAGCAGGCATAATAGATGTCTAAAAAAACAGCTGTAGTGATGCAGGAAGCCGAGAGTTACTGAATTATAGATGGCATACATGCTTTATTAATAGAGCATTTAATAACTGAAGTAATAACTCTCAGAAAAGAAGATTAATGTTGTTTATGTTAGGTTTGACATCATCTTGGACAAACACAGAAAAATCAGATCATCAGTTTAACATGATTCAGTTCAAGTTAAGACCCGTGCGTGGGTGTCTTAACTCATACACATGGTCAAAAAATACAGTGAGAAATGTTTGTGTCACTGCAGTTTTTGGCCTTTACAGTCTTTTACTTCTTTTCTCTTTATTTTACTGTTTTATGTAAATCTATCTCCCTTTCTTTACACCTCCCTCTCTCCCTCTTTCTTCTTTCTTTCCCTCTCTTTCACAGCAGTCTTTCACTCTTTTATGTGTGCAGGACTTCATTGTGGCTCCCAGGAGGATTGTTCCCCCTGCTCTCCCCTCCTCCATTGTAACAGCATTTGGTTGTGCAAGTTTTTAAAGCCAAAGCAGAGTAAACAGAGAGGGACAAAACACTGAGAAAACCACTAAAAGAAACCTGCACTAAATAAGAGAAGAAATACCATATAAACCATATAAACTGTGGTAGGACTACTTTAACTAGTCTGTATCACTTTATTTGATGTAGGCCTATCTGGTCTTCAACCGTAATCCACTTCGCTTGTTCTTATACTTCTAAAACTGAAGAAATAAGCTGAGGAACAGTGTGAAACTTTGCCAAAAAGCTACTGGCATGAGTCTTAATGATCTTGACTCTGTTTTTAAATCCAGAGTCACTCAGAGGGCAAAGACCAAAGAATTTTAACTTCTCTCGTCTAAGAGAAGGTTCACTTTTACTTGCAAAGCCAAATCAAACAGGTATCTCAAATCCTTCTTCCCAACAGCCATTGGTTTTTTTGAATAAGCTTTAGGTGAGATTGAGGGGAACAATACACCCATGAAATTGTGCTGACTCTATGTATTCACATATATTTATTTATATTATTTCTGCTGTATGGTATCTTCTGTGATGTCAGAAGTGTCTGTGTTTTATCTTCTGTTGGAAACCAAATTGCTCTCAGGGGACATTAAAGAATCTCAAATCAAATCAAATCAAATCAAATACTAGTGTTGTTTCGTTCGAGAACAATTAGTTCAAAAGAACCGAATCTTCTATGTGAACGTACTGAAACGAATCACTTCCTCAAGTGATTTGTTCGTTTCTCACTTCAGTTGAGCTGTCATCAGCGCAGCAGGGACTGCGTGCACCAACGCCTGAATCACTTGGTAAACGAATCACACATTGAACTACACTCTCTGTAATCATTTTTGTCTGACAAAACAACCTTTTTTTTTTTTTTTACTACTAAATTTTCACCAGAACAACTTGGAAACAATAGGACACAGCATGTAACAAGTAGTGCATAAAACCCTGCAGCATCCTAGCGGTTTGCAAGGGAACAGTGCATGTTCAGTGTGAATTCTTCTAAATGGTCAGTGAATGAATCACTCACTGAAGCCCAATTTACCCAGTAGATAAATAGCATACCATTGGACAGTGCACTTAAAACATCATGATTTATAAACGAGTTCATTTTTACAAATCTGTTTGTCAAAGCAACACAGCCACAACACTCTCATCTCCCAGACCCAGAAGCCGTGAACTGAACTGAATCCTGAACCGTTTGGCTATGTATCAGTTCAGGAGGTCGGAGTCACGGCCCCTCCTGCCAAGTGCCGAATGATTCAGTGATTCGGTGAATGAATCTTTTGAACGAATCTTTTTAGTGAACTAATTCTAGTGGTTCAGTACATTTAAAATAACTGCCATGCTCACCACTATCAAATACTACCTAAACATATTATCAATGAGGACATCTCTGTGACATACCTATACAAACATACCAACTTCAAACTCTGAACAGACTCTGTTGTGGGGCTATGCTGTGGCAGCCTGGTGTCATTTTGTTATCAGACAGGGGTGCCTGGTGTGTTTTTTTACCCAGAATAGGGTGCAATATAATGGGCATTATTTAACGTAGGCTACGGAGCATAAAGGTGATGTGTTGGTCTCTTGTTTTCAGCAGTTGTTCTGGCGCCTGTGTGCTGCACTCCTCCATGGTCCTTGCTGATTTAAGGTGGGAAGAGGGGGCTCGGGGCTGGTGTTTGGGGAGCAATAATGTCAGCTTGATTAAGCAGCAATAGTGTTCAGACAGATGGAAATCCGACTCTTCGAGGACTGTGGTAGAAACTCCGGGCTTCAGAATAGCCGTAGGGGAGCCTTAAATCTCGTAGTGGGGCGGGGAGGCGGCGCGATGCGGTCACCGAGTGAAATGTTTGATCTCGGCAGCCGTGGCGGGGTCAGCGGGGCACGAGGACCCTGTGACAGCTGTATGTTAATGAGGGCTCGCGCCGTGTCCACGCGGCCGGGGGAGTGTGTGCAGGTGGTCGTGAGTAAAGGAACGTCACGAGCTCGCTGCAGTTAACTTACCCCTGAATCCGAGGTTACTCCTCTGTTTCTCCGGGCTCCTCTCCGACAGTGATGTTATTTTTTCTTTAGAGATAATTATTAATTATTAATTTATTTGGATTATTTAATCTGTCGTGGGTGCATGATGCTGTTGGATGTTAGTGTGGTTAAGATGAAGATATTTGGCAGACTCGACTATACACTGGTGAGGAACTTTTTTTTTTTTTTTCTTCTCTTTATTTCTTTTAAAACTTTATGAATGCTGCAGTTTGACTCTGACTGTACTTAAATAAGTATGCTTTTAAATGTAGATTTTTAGAAAATTACAATATTATATTATATTATATTATATTATATTATATTATTTCCCTTTAATGCCTGAAACCACAAATTGTGGCCAGAAAATTTACATTTTTTTGGATCTGAAATGTTTATTTCACTTACTACTGAAAACCCCCAAAATCAAAATGTCCTTAAAATTTAACAAATATATTTATTTGTCTCGTTTGATACATTAAATGTTTTTGGAAACTGATAAACCACAACAGGACATTTTTATCATTTATCGGACTGTATTCAGGTGTTTTTTTTTTTTTTGTTTTTTTTTGGTAATTTGTTGATTATATTGATTTGATAGAAGTATCATAAAAGTATCAAATATGATATAAAAGGCATTAAAGGGATATTATATTATAATACATTATATTATATTATATTATATAACATTTGAATGCTAAAAAAAACACTAGGTCTTGCTTGTTCTTTAAGGGCCAACAGGGTACATATGGGGAGCGATAAGTCTCAAAATGATACAATATATATAGGCTATCTCCGATTAACACACGTTTTTTTTAGATCCACAAATATTCACAGTGTGCCTGACAACATGCAACTTTTACTTGAAAAAGAACACACACACTTGTTTGTTACTACAAAGTTAGGTAACAGATCAGAGCTATATAGTGTGTATTGTGTTTGTATTGTGTGTTTGTGTGAGTGCAATGCCATACACCATATGTCCAGCCCGGTACTATCCAGCCCCATACCAAAGGACTTTTTATCAATAGTGAAACCTAAGCTCTCATTTAAATCCTTTCCTTGTGTTTTTTTTCACCTCACTGAGCAGATGGCATGTGGCGTTAAATGTCTGTTTTAAGAAATACAACTCTTTGAGGACAAAACAGATGAGAAAATGGAGACCTTATTGTCTGACAGGTAGACAGGTTCTTAAATTGCCAGTTTGAGGACAGAGAGATTAAATTAAGTGAAGTAAAAAGTCAACACAATAGAGGGGCGTAGTTTAGTAGTAGCATTGTACAAGCACAGCTACTGTTTGGGACACTGATAAGGTTGATATCTGTTTTCCTTGCTCTGTTAGGTGAATATTTAAACTTTTCACAGCACTTTGTCTCTTGATGTTACGTGTTAGCTGCAGCTGAACTTTGTAACTTTTTAAAAAATCCCGAGTACTGCAAATTCCTCCCCGCTGCTTACTCTTAGAATGTTTCCCCTCATTGGGGAAGGAAACTTACAAGAGGAATCAATTTAAGGATCAATAACTTTTTCACCATATGAGCATGGTTGCTATGGACCAAGACACACTTAAGTTTAATGAAGTTCAGGGGATAATGCCCATTAAGTTTGACTGGTGTCATTTTTTTTACAGCAACAGTTTTCAGAGTACCAGATAAAATCATTCAAATGTGAGCTCTGCTGTTCTCTGGTGAAAAGTTTTTGATTTTCCTGAAATTAATCCTGAGCAGAACCCCAACGCTGATCTTGTGCACCTATGTCCTTTCACGGCAGGACTTCTCTTATGATGATCCCAAGCTGGAATTCAATGTGGATGCACCCAATGGTGTGGTTATGGAGGGCTACCTCTTCAAGAGGGCCAGCAATGCTTTCAAGACCTGGAACAGGTAAGAGAAGGAAATTCAGTGTCAATACAATTTAAAGGACACATTAAACAATTAAGATAAATGGCAGTCATGTTTTAAATGATGTGACCCTTTAACTCATACTAAATCTTCTCCTCAAGGCGGTGGTTTTCTATACAAAACAGCCAGCTGGTCTACCAAAAGAAACTCAAGGTACAGTTTTTACATTCTTGGGTAAATATTTCTCTGTTTTCCAAATCTGCTAAGCATTGTTTGACAGCTCTAATTTATCGGTGTCATTATTGATAGTTTGTTTGTTTGACTTAACCTTCATTGTGATTTATGAGCAGACAAACCTGCTTTGTTTCGCTACCAATAAATTTTGCACCAAACTGTTGTTGTTTCTCTTTTCCAACCACAGGACTCGTTAACAGTTGTGGTTGAGGACCTGAGGCTGTGTTCAGTCAAACCGTGTGAAGATAATGAGAGGAGGTTCTGCTTTGAGGTGGTGTCACCCACCAAGTAAGTCTGTGTGTGTGTGTGTGTGTGTGTGAACTTTTGTTTTCCATATCAACAAGTTTCATCTGAACACATGGTCTGAAAAAACCTCTTGCTGGCATGCTTGTTTCAAATATTCAACCACTGTAACCCAACTGACACTTGTGACCACAAATTTGGGAATGTGCAAATCAGCCAGACAACACACAGATTTATGGACATGGACATTTACTGGCAGGTATTTCATAACTGCCATTCTTCACATTGCAGGAGCTGTATGCTTCAAGCTGAATCTGAGAAGCTGCGACAGGCTTGGATCCAGGCGGTCCAGGCCAGCATTGCCTCTGCGTACAAAGACATTGCAGACAATTATTACATTGAGGTATGAAGACAGCCACAGCCACAAAAAGTGCATTTTCTCTTTATATAACGCTAGTTCTGATTAGCTAAATAGTCTTTAACCTGTCCACCTGTCCCTGCAGCGCTTGGACCGCACAGCATCACCCTCTACAAGCAGCATCGACTCAGCTAGCGAGCCCAGAGAGAGAGGGGAGAGGGCTGATAGGAGCGTTCGGGGTGGAGGTGGAGAAAGTCTCCTTCAGAGGGTACAGAGTCTGCCAGGAAATGAGCTGTGCTGTGACTGTGGCCAAGCATCTCCCTGCTGGGCCTCCATCAACTTGGGAGTGCTGCTCTGCATCGAGTGCTCCGGTATTCACAGGTAACTACAACGAGAAATGCTAAAAAATTCCGGTTAAAAACGGAAATTCTTGGTTTTGTAAGAGAAAACTATGGCAAGCTGTTTCACAAAAGTATCTCTACTGTGAATAGAAAAGATATAGTCACAGTAAGCAAAATATGGACTACATACGGTTAAAGAAATACGTGCCTGATATAAAGTCAACGGAGTAAATGTTGAAGCCATAAAACAGATTATGTTAGCATATCTCTTAAAACTTTCAGTCTCATAACTGTTGAGAAACAGAGCACATCTTCCACCTCAGGCTGTTGTGTGGGAGGGAAAATATGCCGAAGTTATGGAAATTGATAAAAAGTCTTCTTGAAGTTAACTTTCTTTATATAATCTGTTTTTTTTTCTTCTATCTTTCAGGAGTTTAGGTGTCCATTGCTCCAAAGTGCGCTCACTGACATTAGACTCATGGGAGCCAGAACTGCTTAAGGTGGGTTTCCTCAGCACATTTGCTTGCAGCTTCGTCTCTCTGTGATGTTTTTTTTTTTTTTTTGCCCCACAAGAGTTGCATTTATAATCTTTTTTGAGCATTGCTAAAACTTTTTTCACTTTTCCTTTTTTTCTTTCTTTATGTCTGCTGCCGTTGTCCTGCTTTCTTGCCTTTGTTAGTTGATGTGTGAATTGGGGAACACTGTGATCAATCAAATTTATGAGGGAACCTGCGAGGAGGTGGGAGCGAAAAAGCCTGGACCGTCCAGTTCGAGGTTAGTGTTTTACTTTTAGCAATGAGAACAGTTTCCAAAAAGGTTGTGTTTGTGTTGTACTTTTTATTTAAACAAACTGTTTTGCCATGAAGTGCTAATGTAAAGTACAATTACCATCCAGTTTCCACCATCCACTGCACCAACATATCCAAACTACACTCCAGTTAGGCTCTACTGTATAATTTGTCTCCAGTATTTTTAAACGGTCATCTTTTCACCATGTGCCTTCAGGCAGGAGAAAGAGGCATGGATCAAGTCCAAATACGTGGAGAAGCGCTTCCTAAAAAAGATGAGTGGGAGTGAAGCTTTGGTGGAGGGTGAGAGGAAGTCCCGGCCCTGGCCAGTGAAGAAGTGCCAGCGACACAATAGCTCCATACGGGCTCCAAACAAAGCCCGCAGAAAATACCATCGCTATGAACCAGGCAGCGCTTCACCTGCAAACCTCTCAGCAGGTCAGTCAAGATAAACGTCTCTAAACACTAAAAATTGAGAGCAAAAGCTCAGGAAATCAAGAGTTACCAGACTCATTAGTCTGTGCAGATACACTCTCAGTCTTAGACTGATATCTTGTGCTATTTTGTCATTCGACAGCAGCTGCAGCAAAGTTTCGCAGGGATTCTCTGTTCTGTCCAGATGAACTGGATTCACTTTTTTCCTACTTTGACACTGGCTCTGGTCCTCGCAGTAAGTTCAACATTGCTAATCTTAATGACATTACATCAAGACGAGTATTGTCGTCTGTTACTAGTGACAAACACTTTATCTGAAAAAAAACCAAACTAAACTACTGATGTATTTTCCTTTCATTATTTATGTTTATCACTAATCATCTCGTGTGTATGTGTTATGTGTATAAGTAGTATTATATACGCCGTGTAATGATTAACGTGTCCGTGGCTTGGCGATGCTTGGCCCCGCAGGTCTTAGCAGTGACAGCGGCCTGGGAGGAAGCACTGACGGCAGCACAGACATCCTGGTTTTTGGCTCAGTTGTGGATAGTGTAACAGAAGAAGGTATGATGTCCTAATTAAGAACATATAGGGATATTTTAGATGTAAGAGGAATAGAATTGTAAATCAGAACTTCCTCTCATATTTTAGCCAAAAAAGATTGAGCTTGTTAAAATTTACCAATTTTCTGTGGAAATTCAACTTCATTATTTTGAAAACCCATACTTTTATGAGAAAAACTTAGAATTTACTGCCACATTACATAAAAAAGTTGGCTTGAAGAAGATATGAATGTTAAGTTTAATTTAGTGAGTAAATTAATGATTATCAGTCATAGTCATAGTATGCCTTGCTGAGTCATTGTTGAAAGTGTGGACCAAATTAAGTAAGGCTTTTTTCAGTGGTTATACAAGTTGTAATGGAAAGGAAGGAAAGCCTGAACATTTCTCCCATTTACAAAAACATAAATGTTGCTACATTCTTTTAGGAAGCCTTAAAACTGAAAACATGAAAAAATACTACACACCATTCCTCTTTCTTGACATCCTCTTGATTTGTTTTTCACCTCCAGAAGAGGAGTCAGAAGAGTCATCCAGTGGTGAGGTGGAGATCGAACAGGAAGTACCCTCAGACCCTGAAGACCCAAGGGAGCTACACCCCGGGGCGCTTCTCCATCGGTCCTCCCGGCTACATAACTTGCCGCTCATGGCAGAAGCTCTGGCGCATGGAGCTGATGTACATACTGCCAGTGAAGAGGAGGAGGGAAAAACACCTCTCATCCAGGCAGTTGTAGGGGTAAGACGTAGTTTACAGACATGCTCAGATTCGGTAGACAACAGAAAAACAATGGTTTACCCTTTAGGACCTTGTGTTTTAGATCATTCCAATGCTACACCCTAATTGAAAGTGTAATACAATAGCAAATAATTGACCGGAGATGCCACATCCAGGTTTTGTGGGCCTTAGAGAGCTATGAACATTCTGCCAAAGATATATATTTGTTTATATGTTCAAAAAACAAGCCAAATTTAATTACAGGACTCATGAGTTCTTAGACAACTAATACACCATCCTGTCTGCCTGTGTGTCTGTCAGGGCTCTCTGATAGCCTGTGAGTTCCTACTACAGAACGGGGCCGACGTGAACCAGAGGGACATGAGAGGCAGAGGCCCTCTTCACCACGCCACCTACCTGGGACACACTGGGTAAGAAATGTTGGTATAAGGAAGTTTATTAGACTCTGCACAGCTGTGATGAAATGATTATTCAGAAATGTTGGGAGTTTGCATAACTTTTTAGTGGTATTTGCCTAACTCAGACAGCTCTTGTTGATGAGCTAACCATTTTTCTCTGTTATACTTGTCACTAGTACTCACTGCCAGATGTTTTAGAGTCCTCACCGTAAATGTCAGTCACACAGATTTCAGGCCTCAGGGATTTTGTTATCTTGCGAAAGCATCATGTCTTAAAAAAACAACAAGTGACGCTTTCGCAAGAAAACAAAGTCTCTGAGGCGCTCTTGTTAAGTGTTGCTCATTCATGTTGGGCTTCTCTGTCGTTGTGGCTTTTTCAGGAAATGTAGTTACAACGCATTATTTGTAATAATTCTGAGACTTGTGGAAACTTACTCAGACCATGTCAGACCATGATATCATACAGTACTTTCACTTTCATTCTCTCTCATTAAATCAGGCCATTTTACATAACATCACTGACAGCCAATTTCACAATGGCAACATTGATCGGATAACCGGATAACCTTGTTTTTCGTTGTTCATAAAGAGTTAAACCTTGAAGGATGTCAGAGACAGAGCTTGTTAATTCACCCTTTTGTCCATTTATGTTTTGTACAGCCAGGTGTGTCTGTTCCTGAAGAGAGGAGCATCACAGACAGAGGTGGATGAGCAGGGTCATGATCCCCTCAGTATTGCTGTCCAGGCCGCCAATGCAGACATCGTCACCCTGTGAGTGAACTGAATTCATTCGACTTCTTCATGAAAACATTCCTCCGTAGGAAGAAAAAGAGACATTCATAAGTGTTTCAATATATTGTCTTTACCTAAGGCCTACGTAGAAGCTCATTCTGCAGCTTTCAATTCAAATTTGTTTGGTAGCTAAAAAATTAACATCAGTGCTTTTATTATCTTCCTTTTTTGCCAAGAATAAACAACTTTTCTCAATTGTCTTAAATATTTTCCTAATTGTTTCCTTTACTGTCTCATCTCCTCTATTTCCACTCCCGCCTCAACATTTTCAATGCTGTCACTCTACCTTTTTTCCCTCTAAAATCCCTCTCTCCATCTCTTCTTCTATCTGCATTCCTCCGTCTCTTATCTTTCTTCACCTCCCACTGTCTTTTTTCTCCCCTCCTCCAGATTGCGTCTAGCCCGGATGAACGAAGAGATGCGAGAGGCTGAGGCTCCCTTGGGTCAACCAGGTCAATACCCCAGCAGCAGCCCTACTGAGCAGCAGTATAGAAAGTGCATCCAGGAATTCATCTGCCTCAACATAGACGAGTTCTAGTGCTCACTTAAATACCTGAGAGCTCGTGCTCTCTCTGTACAAATAGATATATCAATATTCCCCATGGCTAGGAAAGCTAAAATATTCATGCAGACAAAGTTGCCCTGAGACTTTGATCTTAAGTCTGTTACTCTAATACATTAAAGCTTCTGGGCAACTTCCTGTCGCAAAGAGGAGCATACCACTTGCTCAGTAAAGCGGCACGTTGTGTCATAGGAAGACCCCGCTGATGGACCTTTTTAACTCTAACTCTACTGACAATGCAGTCACCACCTCCATTTTTCTGCATTACCACTATGTTTCTGCTTGGCACCACCCATGCTATGCTAGCTAGATGACACACATACACACACATAGTAAAATGACATCTGCTTTTTGGTGTTTTACTAACAGGGTCATACTCTAACTTATCATAATGTGGTGTAACCTTTTGGTGTGGGGGTGTGGGTTCACTGTTGGCTAATAGCTCTGAAGACTCTGGCTACATTAACTCTCCCTGCACCATCATAACTATACAGACCATCCAACCTACCCATCTCTAAGTACTGGGAGATGTAAATATGCATATTTAGAAGTTACATGGGTAATCTTTAAACTATGTGCTGTGGCATGAGGTGAAAAAAAAAGGTAATTGTTCCATTACTTAAAGGCTGACTGATAAGCTGCAGTAGAGGTAGCCAAGGTTGTTTACTGTTTTTAGAGAGGGGTCAGGAAGGGAAAATTAAATGTAAAACTGTGACAAGAATACTGAAGGGCTTTTTGGAGAAAAGACCCTTGCCTGTTTTGTAAGATAGTGTGTGTGTGTGTGTGTGTGTGTGTGTGTGTGTGTGTGTGTGTGTGTGTGTGTGTGTGTGTGTGTGTCAGAGAATACTGAGAGACAGAGTTGAACCATATTATGATACATTATGTAAAGGAAAAAAAGGAAACTGTGCACTTTTCCCATTTACAGTATTATTTTGTTTATTTTTTTATCTGGCTAGTTTTGACATTGTTTGTGTTATGTCTATCTATTGTCTATCTTATTTATGTCTATCTCCCCAGAGGACCAGTGCAATGCATTCTTTGGTGCAGTTCACATCTGCACAACTGTCAATGATTGTCATTTTGATCTGAAAGCGTTACTTGGAGTTAATAACAGGAAGTCTTTCAATTATATCATATAATAGCACTCATAAAAAGACGTGTTGCTTTATGGCCTTACAATGCTATGAATATGACTATTGGCATCCAAGCACCACCCTAAAGAGATCTGACTAATTTCTGAGGAAATTAGAAATTTTCTAGTTTCCTGTTTTGGGAGTTAAGAGAAGTCATCTGCTTTTTCCTGTAAGGATGGAAACAGTGGGAGGATGTGCAGTAAGGGAGGGGCTAGGATTGGAGCTCAACTCTGAACCGTTCTTTTATTATCTGGAGAAAGGTGACTCAGGATGCCTCCACTAAGCTGTAAATACTCACCTGTGTTACAATATCTGTAGTCAGATAGAGGGGCTCATTTTCAGTTGGTATATACACTTGTGTGCGTATGTATGTAGGTTTATGTATGTGTCTGTGTGCTATATATATATATATCTATATGTATATAGACGCACACACACGTACATACGTTCTCTCTCTATCTGTCTTCCCGACTGGTTAATGCTTGCAGTGTTCTCTGCATGCTCTCCCAGACTACTTCTGGGAGGTTTAAAATTTTGAGCATGATTAAAGTATCTTTCTATGGTTTTGATCACATTGTGCAGTGCAGTCCTGTAGAGAACGCATGTGCCATGTGTCATATTTAATTCTTACTTAACGCACCTCTGTGCCATCTTTAACATCCACAAACAAATCCGTGGCAACTCTGTCATTCTCATCTTTCTTTTTTTTCCATTACAAAAACAGTTTGTTTTTTTTCTCTGCCAAAGACTTTTTAAAGGGAAAGTGTCCGACGTTGTTGTATAATATCACCTTTTTTTTCTACTAAAACTGTTCAGAGTAGATACTGCATAGACTTACCATACTTTGTGAAGTGACAGAGTGGTAGAAACACTGTTGGTGTACTCACGTGTTAAAAAGAGGATACAAAAATGTGACAGACCTGAGAGATTTTGGTATGGCAGGTGATAATCTGCCAATAGTTCAATGTGTGCTGCAAGTAGAACCAGTCTAGGGAGTGACGTGAAGCTACTGTGACCAAACTGTAAAGGGCCCTCGCCCTGGCGAAGTATTTAATGTTGTGTCTATTGTGTGTTTTGACATAGGAGTGATTAAAGGTGCTGTTCAAAGCAAACATGCTGTAAATAGTACACTTGTGTATTTTAACTCAACGCCAACTGCCTGCCTCTCAGCATTCAATCACAGATCCTGACTGTTGATCTGTTTTATGTTTGTCTTTTTATTCTCTTTACAAACAAACAGAAAAAAAATCCTGTCAGACAGAACTTTATCACGTCTCTGTATTATTTGGAGGCGTTCTTTTGTTCACTGACATTTGGATATCTTTGGAATACTTTCTTCCTTGTCTTAAAAAGCACTGAAGGAAAAAGAGTTGACAAAATGCATACAATAAAACGGAAAAACTCTTGATAAACTAACCCTGCTTCTGGCCTCTTGCTCTCATCTGACTCCTGTCTCATCCTTTATTGCCTACATAACATTCTCTCAACAGTACAGCGATAAATTAAAAAAGCTTTTTACAAAATGCCACTCTAACAGATCAATTCACTAATGAAGCTGGGCAGAAACATTGCCAGATGTTGGGAGAATTGAATTTTTTACAGGTTGGGTATGCCTTCTGGTCTATAATCAACTTGTGGGTGGCAATTTGCTTAATCAAAGCAGTGGCGTGATTTCTATCTCCAAACTACCAGGTCAACAACATCACACTTTTTCACAGACTATATTTTTTGATAGTCAAATGCTTTCCAAAATGAGCTTTATTTTCTAGTTTGCAGCAGCAACACTGGGCCTTGAAAAATCTTGTGTCACCAGGGTGTAAAATATTGATGTTTCCCCCAAATTACAGACACACCACTACTGAAAATGTTTCCCCATGCCGTAAATGTTAAATGACTCGCAGTTCATGTCCACTCACTGAGATAAATGTTGACTGATGTACCATTGCTTCTTTCACCACAGGGGTTGCTGAGGGGAGCAGGAGAGTTAAAACAAAGGATGTTCGGGATAGAGTGAGTGAAGTATCCCTGGGCTGTGCTTTTGTAGGGGTTGGGCCTCTCTCTGCTTTAATGGTGTGGGGAATCTTTAAGGTGTCATGGTGTTGGCTTTCTGTGGGAATGTTTTTGACTTTGGGAGAAATCAAGCATTCAGAAGTCCAAGGAAATCTTTGTTGGGTGAGATTTGTCTTGTTTTAAGAGCTTTGATGAAGGATGAAGGATGAGTAAGGACAACTCTCAATTTATCATTATCGCTATCAGGCTGGGGTAACCAAACTGGGGAACAGCCCTTCTAAGGTTGTCAAGCAATGTGCGCATGCACACACACGCAAACAAATAGCACTATTTAACCTCTCTATTTCCACAAATAACATCTACTTAAAGACCCACTCCAATAAAAATCATGTTTGCCTTGTTTTTTACATGTTCATATGGCATTTTTCTGATGCTACGGGACATGTCATGAGAAAAATAAGGGTGAAATTGCATTTCTGAGTATTTCTGCATTTAAATTGCTGTGAATCTCTGGCAGACCCAAACAGCAGGTTTAGACCATAGACTGTATATAGAGTGACACAGGTAATGCGATTTTGGCTAAAACACAATCAGAATTTAAAGTCCACTGAGAACACCTAAAGCAGTAAAAAAAAAAAAAAAAATCGGAGTGGGACTTAAACAATAAACAATGAAAATTTGAGTATTATTGTGTATATATATTTTTTTCCTGAACAAACAAGTAACAACATTTAAATGTTTTTTGCTTCAACTCCAAAGACTCAAAACTAAGATCCAAGTCTAAAGTCATTATTGTAAAGTACAAGGTACTGACAAACAACAAGAACTGCAAACTGCCTGTTGCAACATGGTCAAAATACTCTTAAAATAAAAAACTTGAACTGGAATGTAACCTATGTCAATAGGCTCTGTGTAATAATGCTAGGACAAATATATTCAAGGTAAAAAAAATAACTTTGTTTAGATATCTGACAAGCCAATCATAGTCTAGGATTTCTGGGTGCCTCTGGCCTTGTCAATCAGATTTCAAGGGCTCATGCTCTTCAGAGATCCAGGGATGATGAAATGTAAATCCCTATATTTTAGGTTCATAAATACAAGTATAATTGCTCAAGTATTTACTCAGGGGCTAATGGGATCCCAAGGTTATCAATAAGAGGGATAAGGACAGGATGCTTGCCACTCTATTTTCACTCTGTTTCAATTTCTTATTTCCTGCTCTCCAGCAAACTGTCTCAGTCTAATTTTAAAGATATATAAGATAAAGTTGAAGTTAATGGAAGCAAAAAAAAGTGTTTTCAAATGACAGAAAGGATACATTCAGGAAGAATAAGTCATCTATATTTCTGCATGAATGCACTGTGGTGTAGGCCTATTATTAAGCTAAGAGCTCTTCTCCATCTCATGGCTGGCTTTGCTTTGGTGGCGTCACTCTTTGGTACAGGGGTTTATCTCCTTTGGCTGTCTTTCTGGAGAGTCAGATGTGGATTCCTTGGGAATCCAGCATATACTGGCTTCAGAAACCAGAATGGTCAGTGCAGTCCTCTAGTGGGACAAACCCCACTTGACTTCAGTATCCCCCTTTTGCAGGTGACATCTCCTGTGTTGCTGTATTTTGCGAATTTTCTATCCTTACGTCTTTCCAGCCCAAGAAGTTGAGGATGAGTTCACAGTTTGGCCACTGCCAGGAGCCGCAGTAACTTCAGACAACCACTCCATCTACTTGTCCTCCACTTCAGTGACTGTGACAGCCAAGTGTATTTATTAAAATTATTAAAGGACTGTTTGATGCCAAGGAAAGGATGCAGCTGGAAACGCTCTGATTATAAAAACATGCAGACATTTTTTTTTGTTTGTTTTTGTGCTCTTTTATAAGCTTGAAATTCATTAAGATTGATTTACAAATGTGTTATGAAATATTTAAGCTAGGGCTGGGCGATAAAATGATAACGATATATATCGAAAATTAATTTAACCCAAAATCAATATAAAACATGGTCAATATCCTTTACAATAGTCGGCATTCTGCCATGTTTTGGTAGACTATACCAATAGCTAATGAAAAGGGGAGTTGCTCCGGGTCCGCTTCACACTGAGCCAATCGTGCTGAATTAGAACCAAGTAGCAAACAACTGTGTAGTAGCAGGCTGCAGCTAGAAGCAAACCATAACACTTTAACATGTGAAGCCAACTGCACTGTCGGTGAGAAAAAAGAAAATGAGTGCTACCCCCAGCAGAAATGCAGATGAAGGCTCAACAGATGATGACATCCTTTACAACACTGGCACGAAAATGTCGGTGGTGCGGAGGCATTTCGGTTTTTTGAGGTCAGACATGAAGCAGAGTAATGTGCACTGCAAATTATGTCTGGTACATGTTCTCGCAAAGCCAAGGAATAACTCGTATCTGATTCACCACCTGAAGCAGTGCCACGCGGCAGAGCACACACAATGCAAAAGGTCACAAACCCAGAGCGGAGCAAGGAGCCTGTGCACCCGAAACAGCTGACCATTCAGTCTGCTTTTTCTAGCACAACACCTTACAACAAAACATCGAAGAGACACAAAGACCTCACAGACACAGTAGCTTATGGTATTGCAAAAGACATGCTACCAATAAGCACAGGTAAATTTCGTTTTTTGTATCGTGATATATATCGACATTGACTGATATGAAAAAGATATAGCTTATTGTGATAAACTTTTTCCCATATCACCCAGCCCTAATTTAAGCCTATGCAGTTTTTTCCACCTGTACTTTTTATGATGACTTAGCTATATATTTAAGCCTAATCAGTGCAATGTCACTTTGGTATTTTGTAAAAGTATATTTCATTGAATTCAATTGTCTGAAAAATGATCATAACTGTTCAACAGTATAACAAAACAGAAATAAACATTCCAGACAGAAACGGCTTACAGATTGTTTTTGTGCTTTTACCACGTCTTATCTTTTAAAATGTCCAATTTAAAAAACAGTAGCATAACAATGTGACCCGGCAAGACCGCAACATATAGATAGACGTGTTTCGGGAAGAGGGGACGAGATCGCAGAGGCACCGTGGAATACTGGTGATAAATCGACCTTCAAATTACGCAGTAAGATTGTATTTTTACCATGTTTAATCTACTGTTTTAAGGAAACTGTGAGACTTTTTGAAAAATACCCTGGAGTGTTGCATTGGTGATCGGCTAATGTCAGTAGTGCGCTTTTTATTCCGCATTTTCAGCAATTATAAAAACAGATGAAGAAGAAAACCGGAAGCGCTGCTTTCCTCCTTTAGCTGTAGCTACGTTGGAGTCATCGTCTTATCGGTTTTGGGGTTTGACTACAGAAACAACAGCCTTATTTCGTGTCAAACCACGAATACTTGTTTATACTGGGGGTCTCTGGAGAGGTATGTTCACTGTACACGCTGTGTGGTCAGAATTGGCTGACATGTTGGGCTCCGTCCTCTTTAATAACAGTATTACTGGTGCTAATGCTAGCTAGCCAAACACAGCTGCGGCCTTCGTTAGCGGCTAAAGCTTTAGCAAGTCGTCGTGTCAAGTTAGCAGTTAGCTCACTTGGGCGGAGATGATTGATATAATACGGTTGTTACGAGTCTCCAGCCACGTATGATGTCAATCGGTGTTTTCAGGTTGATATGTGTGTGTTTAGAGTTAAATAATAGACCGATACGGAGCGAAGTTGTTGTGTTGAGCTAGCGATTTAACATTAAGGTTAGCGGATTAGCCTGAGCTAATATAAGTTGAATTAGTGCCAGGTAGTCTGTGATTTACAGGTATATATAAACACAGTTACTGTTCAACTACGGCTCATACTGTCAGCTGCTCTCCTCGTGAAACTGGGTCTGTTAAAAGAGATATTACCTACCAAATAAATCAAAGTATTATTATTACTATCATGAAACTGGATGAGCTAGGAAGTATATTAAATTCAGATTATGTCAATTAATTTTGCGATTATAATCATACTTGACACGTGTATATTTGTTTATTTACGTTCAGTCAACACAGTTTAGATCCAGACAAGGTCAGTTAAGTTCAGCCTTACTTAGTGACTGAAACTTAGATGAAATACATACACTGACATGATGATAATATGTGATCATAACATTGTGATTAACTTGTTAATCTACTGCAGCTCAATACAGCAGCTCTATCATAAACTGTACCTCTCAATAGACACTCATAAGGGTGATTATTGTATTTGCTATGTGTTATTGAAGACCCAGTGTGTGTGTGTGATAGAGAGAGAAAGAGTGGTGTACTGACAGGATGGGGACAAAGTATTAGGAACAAGTTTTGATATATTTGTTTTGATATTTTTGATATATCTGATGTTCTGTTTGTCAAAGCACTTTGTAAACTTCTGTTTTTAAAAGTGCTATAAAAACAAAGTTGTTATTATTATTATTATTATTATTATTTCACTGAAGTGCACCAACATTAGGCCTGAGCGATTTGGCCAAAAAGATGATCACGATATACTCTGTCCGATCTCGATTGTTATCCCATTTGTTTGTTTTTTAAACTGCCAGTTTTAAAGCATCTGTATTTAAAACTAAAAAATAAATAGATAAATACTAAATAATAATAATGATAATAATAATAACTTTATTTATATAGCACTTTTTAAAACAGAAGTTTACAAAGTGCTTTGACAAACACTTGCAAAGCACAGAATATCAGCACATGAAAATAAAAACAAAAGCTCAGTTAAAAACAAGGCCTCCGAATTGAAGGCCAATTTCATTTTTCATTAGAAACCCAGGCAATATGAGGACCCCACAACATAAAATGAGACCAAACAGGATAGTAAGTACAAAAGAGGATACTGATAATAATAATACAATCATAATAAAATAATAAGGATGGTAATATTAATGATAAAATGGAATAATAAAAATGAGCAGGAAAAAACATTAAAATCAAGAAAAGGCCTAAAAGGTAAAATAAGAAAAGATTATAAGTAAAACAAAGGCTGAAAGTACAGTAAGTCAAAATAAGATGTGCTAAAAGAGAAAAGAAAAGACGGCATCAGATAAAAGCAAGTCTGTAAAAGTGAGTTATAAGACGTTGCATAACTTTTCTTCTCAACAATATCATCTTTGGAGGATGACTCAAAGTCATGGTTGACATCTATTTTACTGCCGTCAGCTCCATGTTCAGTCACTCTGTTTACTTCTCCGGCAAATTACAGAAGTGAGCAGGAAAAGCTCGACTCTGATTGGCTGTTGTGATGCACATTATCGCCATGTTTGATCGAATAAATAAGCTCACAGCTGATCACCGTGATCGAACTGAGATTTATCATGATCATTAACCCCTATCATATAATTGCCCTGTCCTAACCAACATCCATGACAATTTCAACATAGATTTAAAAAAGAACAATTATCTACCATGTTGATAAAAACTTGAAATGTCGAGTCTTCTCAAATGTTAGATTTATGGTAGAGAAGAACTGCGTTGCATCAGATTATCCAAGTGTTTCTGGTGTCATGGCTCGTCCTTGTTACTTCCTCATAAGCTAAAGAATAGTTGCTGTTTCACAACAAGCTGAAACAATAATTAGGCTTGTTTCAACCGTACTGTTGCTCAAGGGAATTGTCTTTATACTGATTCATAATTAAAGCCGGTGTGTCTTTACAAATATGGCATCAAGGTGATCTGGATGTTCTACACCAGTTCCCACTGGGATTAAAGCCTTGAACAGTTAGAGCTTAACAGAAATGCTGCAACAAAATTAGACCTAAATCTGATAATGACAAACACACAGTGACTGGACTACAGTTATTTTATGTCTGCTAGTGAAGCTATGTCAATAGTTTGTAAGCTCTGGTAAGTTTTCACAGACTAAAACTTGCTTCCTAATTGAAGCTGTCTGTTGGCACAATATTTATAAATAACCACAGCTGGCAGCATGTTAAGGAAATATCCCTTAATTTAAAAGAAACTAACATTAAAATACATCCCATATATCAGTATGAACAGTATCAATCAGATACAGAATAGCTACAAAGTGTAAGAGGACTGAGTGCCAGAAAGCTGAACTGTTCTAGGGTTAAAAAAAATCCACAGTAAACAAAGTTTACACTTTGACCTACTAATACAGAAGATTGTGTCCTTCAAAGGGTTCCAATAATGGTGTATCAGTAACAGATATGGTCGCTTTTTCTCTAAATCATCAGATGAACAACAACGGGAATAAGAGAGCTCCAACCACAGCCACCCAGCGACTTAAACAGGATTACCTCAGGATAAAGAAAGACCCTGTGCCTTATATCTGTGCAGAACCTCTCCCCTCCAACATCCTAGAATGGTAAGATTTCCATCCTAGAAAAAATATATATATCTGCTATAATTATTAATGGGTTTAAATTTGTTTTTCAGTGTTTAAACTTATACAGGCTTTAAATGTGGTGAGGATTGAACATGCATTTATTGTGTGATGCTTTGTCATTAAAGGGATAGCTCAGTTCTTTTAAAGTGAAGTTGCATACGGATTGTCAATAGGAGCTCCAGATGGAGGCCAGTGTACCCGTATACAGTGTACTTTGTTTAGATCCTTTGCTTAGATACCAAGTGAAGATCCAGACATACACTACTCTTCATTTACGTTTTCCCCTCCTGCCTACAGGCACACGACTGTATTATTAAGGAAACTTTTTAGAATACTTTCTAAATAGATAGTTTGTTGTTGAATACATGGAAACTATGTGATCATTCGACTTATGAATTTCCAACAGTTAAACTATATTTTATCATATTTTTGCCCCTATGTTATAAGCGATATGTCATGATGCACTGGAACTTCCCTATGACATAATCCTGACCCTTACAGTGTAACGGTTTAAAAAGCAGAGGTTTTCAATAGCATTTGCAGTTTTGCCTACTCAATTTTGGTTCGGCATGGAAGCAGGAAACTCTCCCTTGTGGCCAAACACCAAAATAATCATCCTCCCAGTCTGGGTGAAAATAATACTTTTAAGCATCAGTCAATGTAGTGCTCTGAAAGTGTATACAGTTTGACAGCTATCCACCACCATTCACACTCCTGCCCTGACACTGCTCATGCTCACCAGTCAGTAGTCATTTCAGGACACCAATAGTGGAAGCACCCTGAAAGTAATTTTGAAATTTGAATGATTTAAAACTGCATATTTTATTAATGATAGAAAAATAGATTAAAATTGGAACTTAAATTTTAAACACAGCCATGAAAATAAAGCGTTGCATTATTTGTCCACTTTTCTTTGTTGCCACATGAGCCCTGAAATGCATCAGTTGCAGCAAGTTATTTCCCAGCAGCACATGAAATACACCAGCGTGTGCACATAGGTATGCTAATTTTCTGCAGTCTTGCCAAACGAAGGATCTTAGACTTTTAACCAGTTAGAAACTCACAGGTGCACATATACATGACTAGTTTTTACTTTTACAGTATATTTATAAAAGATTGTAACATTTTTACTTTTTATTTATTTATAGTCATTTTTGAAACGTGTACTACATCTCTAAAAAGTTGCTTGATCTTATGAATGAAAGCATGGATTTTTACCCATGTTGGGATATATTTTGTGTATGTCATTTTCTTGTCTTTTTGTACATGACAAGGAAGTTCCAGTTAAAATGGGGAAAAGATTTTCCAAGTTAGTAAAACGTCTGGGAACACTAAAGAGAAAACATTCATTAAGGTGTTCTCAAAAAACGAAAACGTTGCTAGAACAGATAACGGCAGTTTTTAAAAAAACTATTGGAGGCCCTGTCCAAAGAATTTATATCCATCTCAAAAAGTAACGCCAATGAAATGTATACCTTTTTAATATATCTAAGCAAAAAAAAATAAATCTCTAAATTTGGTTTGGATTCAGCGCGCAGATGTCCCTTTTTTTATTCTGAGTCTTATCCAACAGATTCTAATGGCTTCAGTGAAACGATTACTTTCGTTTCAAGTGGCTAGAACATAAAAGGCTTGAATATCTTTCAGTTGTAGATGCATTTTCTCTGATCTAAAAATATAGATGTGTATTACGCATCTTTATTCCCAGAGAACCAGAGATGAGCCAGAAATATAGTAAACAAAAGAGAACCAACAAATTAAGTCTCAGGGGACAAACTGGAGCTTTGTCAAGAGTGATATGTTATTCCATAGGATGGAAATTGACTCCAAAGTCTTGGCTTCACTGTTTCCTCCCAAAAGTTCATCGATGTAGCAGCCACTGACAAATCTTTCCTGTGCTCTGCAGGCACTATGTAGTCAGAGGTCCTGAGAAAACTCCATATGAAGGTAAGGAGATGCCTACTGACCTTTTTACAGCACATTTAAGTTGCCACAGTTAGTGTCTTTGTCGTACCCAATTCTTTGTATAAAGGACAGCTGGACTTAAAATATAGATAATGTCTAATATGGTTCTGATCCTCAAACAAGTTCAGTTGCCCTTTCAACAAAGAATTAGATAACCATGACCTAGATGACTAAAAATCTACACAGACATCTCTATCCTAGCAAGTTGATGCTTGTTGAGCTCTGTGGTTTGGCCATTTGCCCACCAGTCTTAGACTGAGTCATATTTTCTGTTTCGTCTTTAAATTCTGTTTTAATCCTATTGTCTCGTACATTCCTTGTTCTTAGGTGGATATTATCATGGAAAACTCATATTCCCTCGGGAATTTCCCTTTAAACCACCTAGTATCTACATGATAACACCAAATGGGAGATTCAAATGTAATACAAGGTAAGAATGCAAGCTGTTAGTAAAGTGAGGACTATGTGATAAATTCATCAGACAGAATAATTTGCATATTGGGTTTGACCTTGAACCGACCACAGTTTTTAGAGTCATGTCCAGGGCTTGACACTAACTTTTTCAACGTAGGAACACACAGAGAACTTTAGGGGCACAATGAAAATTGATTAAACAAGATGTGTCTTATTGTCCGAACTTAGTACTATTATTTGAAATCAATTTTAGGTCAATTGGTCACATGACATGGAAGCTAATAAAGGAAACCAGCCTTTTTGAAAACATCAACCGCTAATTTGTTGACGGTCCCTTATATTGACATTGACAGCAAGGGTGCCAAGTAGATTTAACCGCCCTGCTGTTGCTATCCCCAGTTATGGAGAGTGAGAAGACATCGGTAAATCTGCAGTGAATGTCCATCAGATATCCAACCTAAAAGTAACTTCACTGCGGTATTTACATGAAAAAACATTTGTTGCCTAGGCTGATTTTTTTTAATGCTCATATGTGCCCCTAAGTGCATTTTACAATTCGCACACATCTATTTTTAGTCGCAAATGTGAGTGAAGCGGTCGCACTGTCAAGCCCTGATGTCTTTGTCATTTGTAGTTTTACTTTCATACATGGAGGTTTTTTTTTTTTGTAAAATATCAGAGATCCATTTCATGCTGCCCTAGTTCGGGAACATGCACCTGGCTTATTCATTCTGACGTTTCCTGTCTCCTCCACAGGTTATGTTTGTCCATCACAGATTTCCATCCAGACACGTGGAACCCTGCGTGGTCCGTCTCCACCATCCTCACAGGTCTGCTTAGCTTCATGGTGGAGAAAGGCCCCACCCTCGGCAGCATTGAGACCTCTGACTACACAGTGAGTACAGATCTCAACACTTTTTGTAGGTGGTGTCGAACGCCCTCTGATGTAGCAAAACATCGATGTGGTTGTTTTTAATTTCAGAAAAGACAGCTGTCAGCCCAAAGCCTGGCCTTCAACCTTAAGGACAAAGTGTTCTGTGAGCTGTTTCCTGATGTGGTCGATGTACGTATACAGACATTTCTGTCTTCGTACCCTTTTGTTTCCTTTTTTTTTGGCTCAAATTAAGTTATTTGCTCTTTTTCCTTCACCAGGAGATGAAACAGAAACAGAAAGCACAGGAGGAGTTAAGCGCCCGCACTCAGCCCCTCCCCCTCCCTGACGTGGTGCCTGATGGAGACCCTCAGCAGGCCCATTACGGCCTCCCCGCCCTCAATGGAGGTCCCATTCCACACGGAGGCGCCAATCCCGCGCCCGGCCTACAGCAGGCCAATCGCAACCACGGACTTCTGGGTGGAGCTCTAGCCAACCTCTTTGTGATCGTAGGCTTCGCTGCGTTTGCCTACACGGTCAAGTACGTGCTGAGGAGCATAGCCCAGGAGTGAGGGGAGCGGGTGTCGTAGGGTGACGCACCCCCCTGCAGGTGAGCCAGCTAGTGGACTCTACATTCAACAAACACACTACGTGGGGGAGGGATGTTCAATCCAGGGTTTAACCCCTCCATGACCACCACCACCACAACCACCACCATGGACTTTGGAAGCCAACCCACCCAAGAAGGACTGAGAGCAGGAGGAGGGGAGGAGGTGGGGGAGTGGACGGGAGTGGGAGTGGGAGTGGGAGTAGGGCTTATTAAAAAACGGTTGTGATCCACTCTGTGCTTCAGTGGTTTGTGTTAGAAGCAGGAACAGATTTGGCTCATGGGTTGTGGAAGAGTGTCGAACTTCAGCAGGTCATTGTCGCTTCATGCTGGAGGAAGATCACAATGATAGAAAATGCTCTCTGAGTTGAAATAATAAAGTGTACCATTGTTCTCCGGCTCTGACGCCAAACTGCTTTCAAAAGCTTGTCTCAAAAACATCTCAGTAGCTGTCCCTTCAGGCCATCACCCGCTCAAGTGTGTCCTTTTACAGTGGTTTCAGGTCAGAGACTGCTCAGCGTGCGATCTGACTCTGCTGGATGGATTGAGATCAGTAAAGGAGGAATGCCACAAGGTTTGGTTGTGTGGATTTCCTCATAATTCCACTTGCATTTGATTTTGTGTCCTTTTCCCTTTGTGAGCTGCACAGAATCAGGTTAGAGTTGCCTGATACATGCAGCTGCGTATTAAAAACCAGTTTTTCTACTTTGAGTAATCTATGTCATCGGTTACTTTCGGTTGGTTTTTGATGGAAAAGAGTCCTGGATAAATACCACACATGCCCTCTACGCAAAGATAAGCTCGCCCACATATTTCCATTCCATTGGTGCAGAAATGTTATTTAAACAAATGGAACTTCCAGGGAACTGCACTTCAGGCTGCATTCAGGAGAGCGATAAGAACAAGAGGTGTCATGACCTCTTTTTGACATGACATGACAGACCAGTGAGCCTGTTAGAAATCAGGGCTGAGCCAAGAAAAACTTGTCTGACTGTATAACAGAAAAAAAAAGTGTTAAAACCAGAAGTCAGGAATGCAAAAAAGACCAGAAACAGTAGGCAGAAATGAGAACAGTAGAAAAAACTGTTGGGTCTCATTATTAAGGACTATTTTCTTTATCAAGCTTAACACCTGATGATGACGGATTACGGCCTGGAGAAAGAGTCTTGCCTCAAGCACAGTGTTCAAGTTCGCATATCTCTCTCATACTCTTATACTGAAGATCATGAAATGAAAATCATGAAAACAGACCCAATGAGCCCGAGTCACTAATCAGTGGTCAGTCTGCTGCATGTCCACAGGTTGTCCCCTCAACCCATGAGCCAAGCAGTGAACCTCACGTCTGCACAGAATTCACTCGAGACCTTTACCCTTTTCAAATTGGCTAAACTGACCAGTGAAGCACCACTCTATATAGGTCCAAGTAAGGGGGCACATGAAGAGAACCAACATTTTTCTGTATATTCTTTTTCTTTACTGTATTTTTTTTTCTTTGTGTTTTGTTCTCTTTATTTATAGAAACAGCCTCGACTCGTCCGTCATAATTGAGAGAAAACAGCGAGTGTTTGCTGAGCACCTGTGTACAGGCAAACACGCAGACAGGCTGCGGCGCAGGCTTACATAATTGCTGATAATTTACTGTTGTGCATTGCAATTAGTACAGATGGATCTACTGTGTATCTAACGTCTTATCAGAAATAAGGTCTGAAAACAGAGGATTCGCCTTTCTATGGCTCTTTCCTGGCACCATCTTTAAAAAAAAAAAAGACAAACTGCTGATGATGGGAGTGTGTTTGTGTGATTATGCAGCAAATGCCCAGATTTCCATGCTCAGTTAATCTTGTGTGACATTGTATGTTTTCATAGTAAATGCAAATAAATTACCCTGCGTTGCAGGGCATTTTAGCAAACCGTCCCTCAAATTTGCTTCTGTGATCATGTTCGTACAGTCAAATGTCCGTTCATGTGGATTGAGTTGTTCCATAATGGGTCAAAGTTGGAATTCCTTCTAAATGAACCAACCCACATCACCCACACAGGCTACAATATTTGGATAGTCAAGAGCCAATTGAGGTTGTACGCCTATCTGTTGGGGCAGGTTGTGTGTGTGTGTGTGTGTGTGGAGTTCCACAGAACGTTGTTTACCTGAGGACTGCGCTTCCTTGGAAATGTTCTCCACGTGACAAGATTTCTCACGTCTACAGAGACGGCTTTAAGAGCACAGCTGTGGGCTAAACAGTCACACAGAGCTCACTCAGTCTGACAGAAACTTAACCTTGAGCAGTGCCGTACAGGACTCTGAATTCCTCCAAGTGAGTATTGTTTTAGAAACTTTTTTTTCCCTCTGCTGGAATAATGGAGCATGTTGGTTGATCCGTTTGATTTATGCTTTTCTGTTTTTACTGATTTTCTCTGTCTTGTGCTGTATCTAGTCTCTTTCTACAGCCATCTGTCATCATGTTCGTAAGTGAAGAGCTGGAGTGTGTCGTGTGCTTCCACGAGTTCTCTCGCAGCGATCGAGTCCCTCGGGTCCTCCACTGCAAGCACACCTTTTGTGAACCCTGCCTGGAGAAACTGTCCAAACTGGATGGCATTATGCGTACTGTGTCCTGCCCTCTGTGCCGCTGGATCACTTGCACCCGGGCCAGCCTGACCCTGTCTGGGTCCTTGTGGGTCGACACCAACATCTGGGACCAGCTAGATCAGCAGCAGGAGAAAAGGAGGAATTCATCAGTGGAGGATTTAACTGAGACCATTACACCGTTCATCAGCAAAGCACAGTGAGTGTTTACCGCTGACCTTCCTCTAATGGTTAAAACACCCTTGAACTCTCCTTTCATCGTGCAAAACAAACTCTAACCTCTGTCTCTCTTTGTCCCCCTTCAGCACAGTTTGTAGAAAATCTGGTTTCATGTCCGCATTCCAGAAGATATTCAGCTGCGTGCCTGTGCACAGTCAAGAGAGAGAAAGCTGCTGATGGTTGACGTGGATATCCTGTACATTATCTGGATTTTTCCAAGACTCTTGCAATTTGCTGTGAATTAGCTGCACGTGATGGATGGATACTCAAGGGGCTTTGCATGAATGCCGTCGCAGGTTTCCCCCTTAGGAGCTCAGGTCTTATCTGCATTGTGTGAAGTTTTGTGAGTGTTACAAGTTCTATGGTGTCAGAAAGCACGGCACCAGAAAGTTTAATGTGAATTTTTCTTTTTTCTTTTTTTTCCCTTGACTGTCTCAAGAGAGTTTGTGGAATATCCACACACCAGATTCAGTCGACCCCACACTTTAGTGTGTTATACTGTGAAGAACCTGTCATTCAAACCATAGCTTTTACCTCATGTATTTATATATGTGTATTTTTAACTGGCGTGTAACATATTTTTTGTCTGCGTGAATTGATGTTTTAACATTTGTTGAGGCAATAGGGGATCTGAATTTTCATGATATGCAATGTGAACGACACTGTCAACATGTTTTTAAGTCTGTCAGCACATTTTGTTTCAACACTTTTTTGATAAACTATTAAAACAAAAAAAAAATGAGTTGAAAAGAAGAGACTAACTTTGAAGTAGCACATTCCTGGGGACTAATGTTCCAGAGGTTGCTAGCCAGCGGTAAATATACATTTAAGATATTTTTGTTTTTTAAATATTTTGAGGCATCTGTGTCGACTTCTTCCCACTCCTTTTTGAACATGAATAACTTTTTGTCATTTGTTGTTTTCTTGACTTTTATTTTTATATGTTCAAAATAAATTTCAATCAGTCAATTTCTCTTTGCCACAATCCTTCACTCTTGTTTGTCAAGCTGTGTAAATCTACACTTTTATATTCGTTATTTAGTGTTATCTACTTTTCTAACAACTTTGAATGCAAAAAGATGCAAGTCCTTTTGATTTAATAATACCATCATCTTTTCTAAATAAAGGAAATTAAATTCATTCCCTGAGAAATGATTGGTTTAAAAAAAAAAAAAAAAACTTAAGTGAACAAAAAATTGAGTGCTTACAAAAAAAATAGTGTGACCATGAAACCTTAATCAAAGTCCCTCAGTCTTACGTGAATGTCGGGGAAAAAGGGGCTGAAGAATAACACCAATCCATCGTGAGTTTGTGGTTATTTTATTGAAAACAGTGACAGTGGATTATTTGAGTTGAAACCTTTTTCTTCCCTGAATTAGTTCTACCAAATAGCCTCTTAACTATACTATGTTAAGATGAAATACAGATAAATATACAGACAATACATACAACACAAAACAGATGCAAACACAACAGGGTAGGATTTAGCAGAAAAAAAGGCGTTCGTAGGCCACAGAAACCACCTTGAGATTCCATTCCTCTAACTAAAGACGGTCACAGAACACAGTGCTGGTCTGTCTTGAAATAAACACAACACTACAAAGTGTAAATGTTGCGTTCATGTTTTAGGTTTCCACAAGTGAAAAAGTGACAGAATTTTTAACATTTAGGGACATCTGTCTGGGAAAAGCTTATATCTTATTGTAAGGAAACTGACCTGGTGAACATTCGCTAAAAGATTGCATTTACTATTTTTCACCTCAGGTCCAACAGCAGGGATACAACTTATACTAAGCTTTTACAAAGTGTCATAGAGATTAAAGACAAAAAAAAAAAAAAAAGACTGTTTTCTTCCGTATACGACTTAAAAACTGGCCATAAATTCATCATAATATCAAGCAGGTCCTACACAGTCAGGATTCGCACATGGAAGTAGTTTTCCCTCCAATTGAAAGATTTGAAGAAAATTTATTTGAAGAGAGAAAATCGGGTTGAGTTTTTTTCTTAAACATATTTTCAAACAAAAGCTTTTCACGTCACTCGGGGATGGTGATTCCAATCCTCTGTACTTCATAATACATTCATCAATCAGTTGATGCAGTTTCAAAGGAAAAGTTTCTATTGCATAAGGACATGACGACTCCTGCCTAAAAACACAGTCACTACATAAACAGACTATCACATGTGCACTTATATTAACATGTATCCATCACAGTTTTTTTCACCACACCGCTCTTCATTTTCATTGACCTTCCTCTTCCTACCTCGCACTGAGCAAACATAATTTAAACATAGTAAAAGACATTTGTGAGTAAACATAATTGTGGCTAAGGTACTGTCATTATTATGTTCGCTAAAAACAAAGGGGCTCGTAGGGCGAGTGTGAAGACCGTAACAAGACTCGCACAGCTCGTTTCACCCCTCACTAGTATTGTGAGTCATGTCTAAAAGTTAGCCTCAAGTGTCAAAGCATGTTGTGACAGGAGGATAATCTCTCTCTGCACAAAACCTCCATGAAAACAGGAGAAAATACACCTTTATAGCTGATCAGGGTAAGATGGCGATATAATATGGTTTAGATTCTAAAAAGAGAACAAACCTATCATGATTTCAAATGATAGCAAAGGACATTTGGAAATCACTAAAAACAGTTCAGAAGAGCGTTTTGAGGGAGTTGGAGGTGAGAGTCTGCCTTGGTTAAAAGCAGCAAACATAGAAGTGACCAACAGTTATTCTACTGGAAACACAGTTTGAATGTCCCTTTGTGATGGTTCGAGGGGATTTTTACTTTCTCACTGCTCAGCTCCCTATAGGTACGGGTACTGCGCAAGGCGCCGGGGGCTGAGCTGGTAGGCACTGTATGCCTCAGCCCGCGGTGTCACACTGATGTAAGGGGAACCAGTGGCAAACTGATGCTGGTAGGCCACGGGGAGGCTGTGCAGCAGACTGCTGACGGCGTCCTTCCGACCGATTGAGTCCCTCCTGGAGGAGGAGGACGATGAGGTGTATGTTGCTGCATAGGCTGAGGGTGAGTGACTGTGGCTGCCGTGACCACGACCCAGCAACTGCTCCATGGCCTGAGAGGCCGAGGAGAGGGCGGTGGAGGCAGGGTAGGTGTAAAGGCTGGGGCCCGGGGCTGAGGCCGAGGCTGAGGCTAGGGCTGACACCTCAGGGAAGTTGTAGTGAGAGGCAGAGACCGCTGGAGGGAACGTCTGCTGGCGACGCAGGGACGAGTCGCTGTGAGAGCGCTCCTGAGATGAGGAAACCACAGGCTGAACCTAGAACAGAAAAAAGGAACAAGTGTCTTCAATAAAAATGAAACGTTTTGATTTATTGAAAAGAACGGAACAGTTTCCTCTTTGATTTAAATCTGGAGTTGCTGTATGGCAGATCAGTTTCCATTTTATGTGAGCTTGAAATATTCTAAATAGTTCCTGCTCTAAGAAAACCCTTACAACGTTTGTTTATTCTGGCAGCATCGGACCCTCTAAAAGGACATTTTTGGATATTTGTACATCAGCTAAGATTTTTTTTCTCTCTTTTTAATCCTCTCAATCATCCTCTCACCAGTGATGTTTACACATATTCTATCGTATTAAAGCTAGCATTAAAATACACAGGTGCATAAAAAATAAATGCGACATATCAAAAGTGAAAGTCTGTTTCAAGTCATTTAATAAACTCGTCTGTCATTACAGCGTTTGTCCAGCAGAGAGCACCTTAGATCGAAGGAACAGATGTTGGATTTGGAATCAAACTGAACAGTTTTAATCTTTCATCAGGATTCTTGCTGGAAAAGTTTGAGTGTGAAAAGGTGAAAAAAAGTCAGTGCAGTAAGTTTACAGTGAAAACATCACATGACTCAGACATTATGACTTATGTAACTTGTGTTTCCCGACGTCTGTGTTTGTTGACTCACGTGCCTCTGCACAAAGAAAAACATCATAAAACCTGCAGTTTGACCACAGCTATTCCACAACTCTGTGTGGAGCCACAGTTAACTACTTAACTACCTGTTTTTTTTGTTTCTCTGTCACTAACTCTTGTTCAAAGTAATGAGATCCAGTTTGGTAGGAATGTCTCTAACTGACAGCCTCAAGCGTCTGCTGCCTTGCCCTTGACGCGGTTAAATAATCATGTTGAGCTCTTGGCCGGTCAAGGAAATTTCCCCCTAACAAGTCAACTGTACATACATCACATGTTCCATCATTCAAAGGTAGAAAAATCTCACCTGGCTGAGGTTTAAGGGGTGTGACTGACTGGGCACCAGTCCATGACGCTCCATGCTCTCTCCTGAGCTGCAGGGCTGCCTGTTGGATGACCTTTTAGGCTTCATGTAGTTCACTGCCATGATAAATCAGTCAGTATTTCTTTTTTTTAATGAAACCAAAATTCATGGGTGATCACACAAAAGTCTATCCGTGACTCTCACCAGTGTCTAGGCGTCCTCGTGAGACCGCTCCCCTCTCTGAGCCCTGGCTTTTGACTGAAGGGGCCACCACTGCCAAAGACTTGGCCTGGCGGGATGACACAGTGGCGGCTGGGTTCAGAGTACGGGGCAGAGGGGTCAGGGGACTAGCTGTGGACGAGTCCGAGTCGTGCACAGTCACACAGCTGATGACGTTAGTCCGCTGGCTCAGACCGACGCTGTGTAAACATAGAAAGACTTTTTCACCAGAGGCTGAAAAACGCCTGTTTCCCATAATTACCCTTGATTACAACATCAGCTGCTTTTTCAACCAGTTCTGTCAGATCAACACTTTAATCGAGCGAACAGGTTAAATGTTCGATGGGAGCCTTAGCACCTCTTTCCTTTACCTGGCAGGATGGAACTTGCGCTCATCCTCAGTGTCTGTGTCGCTGTGAATGGTGATGATGCTGACCGCCGGGCTGGGTGTGTCAGAGATAATGATTGGCTGCGACAACACGGCGCTGGAGCTGGGAGGGGTCACACCATTGCTGTTGAGCAATGCTGAAGTAGATATACCTCTGTGCAGAAAGACATAAGACAATGTTCAGTGTGATTAAAGCTGTGATACCATAGGAAAAAAAAAACATACAAACAAATAATTCCAGCCTTCACTTTTGGAGAGATTTCAGTTGTTGTCACTGATTAATCCCAAAAACTGAAAACCATGAGACAGATGAAAACTTAGTCTCTACACCAACCTGTTTCTGTTCTCAGCACGTCTGGCTTTCACTTTCTTCCTCTCCTGCTGGCTCCTGGTTTGGGTTGTACCCCTATTTGGGTAAAAGCAGAAGACAGTGTAAGCGGCAGATGCCTTTAACACATGGTTTTTTACCTTTGATATTATTATTAATTGTTGTTTATCACTAGTTACTGACTTACACCACATATGATTGTTTCTACTGGGCAGGGCTCGACAGTGCGACTGTTTTACTCGCATTTGCAACCAAAAATAGAGGTGTATGAATTGTAAAATGTATTTATGCCCACATGTAAAAAAATTCGGCCGAGGCAACAAATGTTTTTTTATGTAAATACTGCAGAGCAGTTACTTTTAGGTTGGATATCCGACGGACATTCACTGCAGATCTACCGTGTCTTCTCACTCTTCATAACAGGGAATAACAACAGCAGTGTGGTTAAATCTACTCAGCACCCTCGCTGTCAACGTCCGGTGTTGAATAAGGGACCGTCAATAAATTACCAGTTGATGTTCTCAAAAAGGTTGGTTTCCTTCAATGGCTTCTATGTCACATGACCAGCTGACCTAAAACTGATATCAAATGGTAGTACTACAGTCAGACAATAAGACACACCACTTTATTTCCTAATCTGTCCTCTAAACATTTTTTTTGTGTTACATTTAAAGGCAAATTTTCAACATTTTCTTCAATAGCTTCTATGTCGTGTGATCAAAAGACCTAAAATTGATTTCAAATAAAGTACTTATGTCGACCAATAAGACAAACATTATTTCATCAATTATCACTGTGCCCCTAGAGTTCTTTGTGTGCTCCTTACCTGTTCAACTTAGGAGCACAGGTGGTCCTGCTGGTTCTATTTTAATAATAATTATCCAACTCATATTCAACTATTTCTATAATTTGTAACATAGCAACAACTACAATAACTCTTTTATTCACCAGGGATAAAGTGAAAATATCTAAAGAAGTTTAAAATGGACGTCTCTGAATTATAATGAGGAAGAAGGACAGAGGTCTCAGAAAAAGATGCAAAAATGCTTTTGTGGGTATTTTTCAGGCCACTAAGCCTCAACTAGATAAGACAGTTGAAAGGATACAGGAAATGTTAGGAGAAGAGAGGGTGGGAGTAGACATGAAACAAAGAGCCAAGATTGAGAATTTCAGCTACAGTAATGTGCACTTAAAGCTTTAGCACACTGAGCCACACCAGCATAAAACTTTAAACTCTTCAACAGACTGGACTGATGATTTGTTTGACCGACCTCCAGCTGTGACCTTGCTGCATGGATGCATCAAGAGTTTCCAGCGGCGATTCAGCGACAGAGGACTGGTGGGCAGAGCTGTGGATGGCCACACCTGGTACCTGCTGCCATGACGATGGTATCAGGATCTGTTGGGTGCCAGTTGGCCAGGCCTGCTGAAGAAAACAAACAAACAAAAAGAGACTTATTTAGTGTGTGTTAGACCTGTTAGTCCCTGTTAGGTGAAACATGTTTTTATATGTTTGATCGCTGCAACAGGCCAGAAAAAACTGAGCCATGCTGAGAAATAATTCAAAGACAAAGAGGCAAACCAAAGACGCCAGTCTGTTCTAAAGCACAAAACTAGATAAGCGAGCAACTTCCCCAAAGCCATTCCCTACTGATAGCATTGCCCTGCAACAAATGCATGAGATGAAACCATGCAAAGCACGAACAATGAAGCACTGTGAACAGTCAGATCAGGTGAAAAGACGAGTAGACACAGAACCATGGTGCCTGTTAAAGAAGAAACACTGAGGAAAGAAAAAATGTTTAGTTCACTGAGGCCATACGGCCTGCTGATAAGCCGTCTTGTGGGGAAAGGCATGCCACATGTTCTGGGGCTGAAACAAAAAGATGTGTGTCAGAGAGTCGGGCTGTTTTAGTGGGATTTTTTTTGTGGCTTCAATCTCCTTTTTGCTGAAACCAAAGAAAGACAGGACAAGAGAAGCTGCAAGCAAAGCGCAGACCAACTCAGCAACACATGCGCTCCATGCCCTCAGCATAACCTATGGGGAGAGAGTGTGGGGGAGGGGATGAAGGAGAAGACTGTGTGGATGGTGGGGGAGGGGTGGTCCTCTGGAGTGGAAATAGATTATAAATTTTGCTATGATGTAGAAAAGGATTTAATCAAGTCAATACTAAGAATGGCTATGGTATTTCCAGATCCACCAAAATGCTTTCTTATAAAAATATGTAAAAACCAAAACAGGTCTGAAATGTGGAAAAAAAAACAACGTGAAGGAAAATGATGCATAAAATGAGCCACAGAGGGCGAGGGAGGCTTGCAATCAAAAGTTGAAGAAAACGGGAGAGTGGGGCAGGAGAGAGATGGCATTGTTAGTGACAGAGGGAGTGTGCATGTGCGTTTCGTCCTTCAGGGAGCTCATCGTTGCTTTACCAGCACTGTGGCTGTGTGCTCCAGGAGAGTGGGCCGACCCACCCCGCTGCCCAGCCCAAGGGGCAGAGAGTACTGGGGGGCTATGCCTGCTGAGGGAGGGTGCAGGGTGGCTACCATCAGGGGTGTGCAGGAACCCTGGGAGAGGGGGATAAGGGGAGGAGGGGTTAGGGTACAAGTAATGTCCTTCAAGAATCAGACCAAAAAAGGGGACAGAGCGGATCAAACCAGCTGCACACCACTGGCCATCTGGACACCTGACCTCTGTCGTGTGCAGCAATCACTCCTCATTTTGGCAAAAAGTTACAATCTCGCTTTTTTCAGCCAGATGAGCCTCCTGCATAAAACATCTGGCCCCTATCCCAGAAAGGAGACTGGGAATAAAGAGAGACCTGGCCCTGAGTGGCCATCCAATCAGTCCTGGAAGCAGATCCAAGGCAAACACAATCAGCAAAGACACAAAAAAACAACAACAGCCTGGACGTGCCATGTTAGTCCCCGGGTCAGGAGGTGTCAATGTTTTAAAGTAAACATGTTGTGGGAAAAATCCAATTTTAACCTCAGTTCCTGCTAAACTTTTGCTCTCTTGGCAGCAATGACAGGAGCCGCCTAAAAAGGCAGGATTTTCGATGCAATCAGTGCATCCAGGAAGGTGCGAGACTGAGCAGCGCTGCTCTCAGCTTGGTGCTGATGACATGATATCATCCAAAGATGTTGCCAGAGTTTTTTTCTGCAACCCTCAGTTCAGGCCTCTAAAAGTCCGATGGCTTAAACGTGTGCACATGTAGACGGGGGTCGAATCAATCTGTACAAAGCTGTTAAAACCACAGTCCTGTCAATATCATAAAAGTTAACGCTTTACTCACAGTTCCATAAATGAATTTAATCCTGGGAATCGTCTTATCTGGTGCTGCAATCCACAAACCTCTTGGTTTACAGATATTCTTTCATTTTCATCCTTGTGCATGCACCACATTTGCTAAGTACTGCACTGTCTGTCAACACTTGCCCTGTCTATCTTTTCCTAAATAAATAACCAAATAAGTGTGGTACAGACAGATTAATCCAAAATTAAAGCAGAAAAAAACAGCAGTTTCTCTCTCGGTCTTGCCTTTGTCGGAACAATTTCCAGATAATCATCTCAAGTTCCGGTTAAAGCCGCTATGAGACACAAATGCATGAGATGGTTGTTAGTGGGCTGATTAAACAGCCTCCTTTATTTTCACAACAAGAAATACCTTTCGCTTGTACAGGACAAGAAATGAGAGGCATCACTTTGACCACAGGGAAACACCAAAATCAACGACAACCAAAAGTTCCTCACATACGGGAGATTTAACTCTTACCTGTGTGAGCATGCTCGGCTGGATCTGCAGGGACTGAGCAGACTGGTTCTGAGGTACTATTGGTACAGAGTTCTCCATCCTCACAGGGAAACTGGAACTCTTACTAGATGGCTGTAGCCCTGGAAATGTCACGAGGTAATCATGAGTGACATAACAACATGACAAACCTCTGTTTTCATTCCAAAAACTACTCTCTGCCGTACCTTGAATAGTGGAGGGTGGGCAGACAATGAGAGTCTGCTGGAAGGGTTCTGTCTGACTACACAGCCCAGCAGGGCGTGTTGGGATCGGGACACTCTGTTGCGTCAGCCCGGGAATGTTAATGGTTGCCTGCTGGTACAAAGCTGGCTGGTAGTTGAGCAAAGGCACCGCTCCCCCTGCTGAAGGCACCTGTTAAGACAATCAACAACTCTACAGGTAAATACGAGAGGCCCTACAGGTCCACACAGGGGCCAAATAAACTTGTGATGAAGATACAATTCGAACCTGGTTATGCTGGTTGAGTTGGCTACTGAAAGTAACAGTGAGGTTTCCTGCAGCAGCACTGGGGACTGAATTAGTGGAGTACAGGGATTTATTGTTATCATAGGAGCTTCTGCGCTTGCAGATCTCCATGTTCTGGAAGCAGGACTTCACACTACAGAAGAGACAAAAAAGCATTTCAGTGATTATATTACTAGTCATAATCAAAATATCTATGACAAATCAGCATTTCTACGTATATCACACACTTACTGTGAGCTGTGGGGATAATCCATGAGGTGGCTCATTGTGACAAAAGGGTGACCCAGCGTCTTTGTTGGTGTGATCCTTTTTTCGGCGTCCAGGCGCAGCATTCTCTTCAGGAGGTCGATAAACTCTCGTCTATCTGCTTTCTCAGCCAGCATGTCCGTCCCCTCCAGATGAGAGGAAAGATTGACCTGCAAAACAGCATCCAAACGCATTAAAAAACCAGGAGGGATGAAAATATTTGGTAACACTTATCGCCTATCTCTATAACGCATTTTAAATATATGTATAATGCATTATGAACACGTTATAGCACTGTATGACTAAAGTAATAAACACTTATAAATGATCATAATGCTTTATAGGAATTATCATAACACACTATAAAGCCTTTTATCATGACTTACAAGGTCAGGTATTATAATGTGTTATAACTGTTAACAACTCACTGACAATGCCCACGTATATAATGCATTATACATTTATTTATAATGTGTTATAATGTACATGTTTAACTATCATTATAAACACTCATTAATTATCATAAAGCTTTATAATAATAAGCATAACATATTATAATACCTGACCTTGTAAGTCATGATAAAATGCTTTATAATGTGTATAGTGTTGAAAATTTCAACCCTGTTATGCACATTTACCTGCATCATGTCATCCAGGCAGTTGAAAATGTACTTTCTGGCTTCCTTAGACTTGATGCCCATCTCCATTTCATGCTCAGAGGGGGTCTGAAGGAGAAAATCATTTTTGGTTTTAAGTATGAATGTGATTTAACCTGTCAAATAATTAGAACAATCAAAACTTCCAAGTGTTTCATCATAACTCAACATTTCTGATGCTCCTACTGAACAGACAGATTCTTAACAGAAGAGTTTAACTGACCTTCAGCCTCCAGAGGGGGTAGCTAGAGTCAGGGCCCCGATTGAAGAAACGGCTGGTCTTGGTGCCGGCGCTCAGCAAATACTCTGCAGGCAGGCCTTGGGTTTGAGAAATATAACGGATCTGGAAGCAGAAATGTTTCAATTTAAGAAGCAGACTGAGACCAAACAGTTTCTAAAAAAGTTAGCTATGCTTGCTCTTCGGCTTCGTGGTGGTATCACTTAGCAGAAATCAAAACTAGAGGGAAATTTCAGATAACTTTAACAACTCTTAACCAGCAAACAACTCATGGCCTCTTTTTTTTTTTTTTACTTCAGGTTGTTGGATGAATTTGATTTCTTTTCTATTCCCATGTAAAAGCACAGCAAACTACCACTAATACTGACCTGATCATACTCCGAAGCTCCAGGGTAGAGAGGCCAGCCCAGAAAGAGCTCAGCAATCACACAGCCCAAAGACCACATGTCGATGGCCTCACAGAACGGCAGACCCAAAATGATCTCTGGAGCCCTGGACAGCAAACACAAAATGACAGGATTCACACTGAGGAAACAGTGCTGAAGAGATGTGGTGTGTAGTTTTTATTTCACCACTCTTAAGATTACATAGAAAGATCGATTTGGACGTAAAAAAAAAAAAAAGGATTCCTGCCACCAACCTGTAGTAGCGAGACTGCAGGTAGGTGGAGCAGACAGCTTTGGACACGTGACTTGCTGAGCCAAAGTCAATGACCTTCACTCTGTAGGGCTGTCGGAGAGGGTCCACAAGCATGATGTTCTCAGGCTTCAGGTCTGCATGAATCAGACCCAGGCTTTTTAACTTCATCAGCGCTGTGGCCACCTGAAGATACACATCGATTAGTTCAGGTGTAACATTCAGAATAAAAAACATGCAGCTTTTTCATTTCAAATAGTAACTGTTATTCTGATTTCATATGAAAGAGACTTCATGAGCGTCTAGCGACCTGCTGCAAGATGGGTCTGATGTGGCGAAGAGGAAGCGGGCTGAACTTGCTGTGCTTCAGAAAGTCGTAAAGATTTTGCTCCAGCATCTCAAACACGAGGCAGGTGTGGCCTTTGTGTTGGAAGCATTCATACGAACGCACAAAGTTGTACTCGTCTGCATTCTCAGCACTCAGCCGGTTCAGGATGCCCACCTATTCAAGAAACAAAGAAATCCCTGTTACTTTTAAACACATGTTTGTTTATGTTTTCTGACAAGAAACCACAATGTGCACCAACTTTTCTGTGTACATGAAAAAGTTGCAGTAGTTATGTCTTTAATTTTGCTGTCTTGAATATTTTTAACCTTGCATGTCAGTGTGAGTTGCCTGACTGCTTCTCAAGTAGTGCTTATGAAGACAACTAAATACCTTTGAAAATACTTTTTTTTACTCACTCCTCGCTCATAAATCCTAATTAGTTTTTCTCCTTCCTTTTAAAAGAGGAGCGACAAACACTTAAACACCTTACTATGAATATGACTGTCTACAATTCTACATTTTTTTGCTGCCTACTGAATAGTTAAGGAAAAAATTTGAAAAATAATATATCAAAAATGAGACTACTTTTCATATTTCAATTTGCATCACAAATCCAGTATCATTACAGTTCCAATCAAATGCTTGCCAGTGCATTTCACTAAACAGCATTAACTTTTCCTAACCCTTCACTCCTTATGCTACACTAAACTAAACCTATAGCCTACATGTAGCCACAAAACACACTTTGCTTGTGCTGCAGAGCTCTCTGAAAAAGAATAAAAAACACTGACGAATGAAACCATTAGCCTCTAGTGATGTTGGTAACCTTTTAAAACAGGTTAACTGAAATGTTGTTTGATTACCTCGATCTGGCCCTGGCGAGCATAAGAAGGATGGTTTTTCAGGATCTTGATAGCCACTATCTCGTTGGTGCCTCTCTTCCAGCATTTGGCAACTTGTCCGAACGTGCCTCTTCCCAGAAACTCCAGCACTTCATAGCTGCAGGACACAGAGCAGAGGATCTCGTGCTGCACCAGCTGATAGTCCCCTTCACCGTTAGAGCTGCTGCTCTTTGTAGTAGGAGCAGAGTGGGGTATAGACTGGCCCGTTCCTCCTCCTCCCCCACCAGTGCGGGTGGAGTAGGTTGCTGCAGGAGCCGAGAGCTCCTCTAGTATTTGCACACTGCCACATCCACTCCCACTGCCTTCACTGGCCTCCTCAATCTTTCTCTTCTGCCCGTGCCTGTGGCCCCTTGCTTCAGATGATGTCTCGGCATGAGCATAAGAGGAGGATGTTGCCTGCTCTGTGACCCTCCGGCTGGATCCACGAGGAAGACTACCGGTGCTGTCAGCCGCCCGGACCACCACTTGGCCTCTGGAGCCAGGTGCTGAGGGAGGAAAAACCAAGGATGGTGCAAAGGGTGGCACAGCCATCGCCGGGGTAAAAGTGTATGCTGACTGGCCAGCTATGGAGCCGTAAGCTTCAGTGGTGCTCACATCCCAAACGTTGCTCTCCACCTTCAGCTTCTTGACACGGCAAAAGGCACTGGAGGAGATGGAGGGAGGGGAGAAGACCTGCAGCTGGGAGCTCATAGCTGCAAAACATCAATAAGGTTCAATTAATAGGTTTGCTGAATGCTGATTTTTGCAAATATCTGCTCTGACGATATTTCATACTCATTTTTTCTGAAACATATATTGATATTTACGCATTTATTCTTCCTTTGTGAAGAACACAAGTTTCTCCTGTATTACAATTACTTGTTATTCTTTTTGTTACTGTCTTTTTGTCTTAGAACCAAAATTAAACAACACTATCAGCACTTTGTTCTACCTTAAAAGTGCTTTCTTCTTTTAAATAAAGACATTCAGTACTTTTTCTATTTCCAACACATAAGTACACTACTAAGTGCAGCCAACATGTGTAAGCTGTCAATGTGTGCGTATAATTAATGCATCTGATAATAGAAATTTCTATATCTGACTGCCTGACGGTCATTTTAGATCTCACAATGCACTGCTCATGTCATCCTTTACACATTAATAAAGGTTAGACTTAGTATCAAAAATTACCCTCGGACTTCAACTCTAATTCTTAGGCTTCTTAAGTGGAGGCTTTTATTTGAGGATCACTTCTCAATATTTCCCTGATCAATTGTTTTCAGAGTCAGAATCAGAAGGGGGTTTTATTGCCATTGTCAATGAACAGGATTCACAGACTAGGAATTTTTTACGGCATGATGGTGCAACATTAAACGGAGAATGATATATAAAATACTAGAATAGAAAATAATAAGAGCATGCAGGACATATATCAAGTATAAAATATAAAAGGCTATGTACAATTTTCAAAGTTTTTTGCCATATGTGGTTTTGTCTTCTCAATTTTCTGATGTTAGAGAAGATGAAAAGAACATCATTCTTCAATTAAAAAAAAAAAAAACATGTACATAGGGCTGGGCGATATGGGAAAAAGTTTATCAAAATATCTTTTTTTCATATCAGTTGATATCAATATATATCACGATTGAAAAATTAAATTTAACAGTGCTGATTGGTAGCATGTCTTTTGCAATACCATAAGCTACTGTATCTGTGAGGTCTTAGTGTCTCCTCGACATTTTGTCGTAAGGCGTTGCACTGGTGAAAGCAGACTGAATGCTCGGCTGTTTCAGCTGCACAGGCGCCATGGGCTCATTGCTTTGCTCAGGGTTTGTAACCTTTTGCATTGCGCATGCTCTCCCGTGTGGCATTGCTTCAGGTGATGAAAAAGATTTGAGGTATTCCCCGACTTTGCGAGAACATGTACTCAACATAATTTGTAGTACACATTACTCTGCTTCATGTCCAACCTCAAAAAACCAATATACCTCCACACCAACAATGTTTTCGTGCAAGTATTGTCGAGGATGTCATCACCTGTTGAGCCTTCATCTGCATTTCTGTCAGGGGTAGCACTCGTTTTCTTTTTTTCTCACCAACAGTGCTTTGGGCTTCAAATGTTAAAGTGTTATGGTTGCTTGTAGCTGCAGCCTGCTACTACACAGTTGTTTGCTACTTGGTTCTAATTCAGCATATGATTGGCTCAGTGTGAAGCGGACCCGGAGCAACTCCCCTTTTCATTGGCTGTTCATGTAGTCTACCAAAACATGACTGAATACCCACTATTGAAAAGCATTTTGACCATGTTTTATATTGATATAGAGGGAAATTAATTTTCAATATATATCATTGTCGTTTTATCGCCCAGCCCTTCATAGACTTAGTATCAAGAACTACCCTAGGACTCCAACTCTAATTCTCAGGCTTCTTTATCAGAGGCTTTAACTTGGTGATCACTTCTCAATATTTCCCTGATCAATTGTTTTTCCAAGTTTTTTGGCATATTTGGTTTTGTTTTCCCAAATTTCTTATGTTAGATTAGATGAAAACGACACCTTTTTTCAAAAGAGGAAAATGTACGTCAAACTTTTTTGTATTATAGATAGAGGGCATCTCAGCCAGTGTGAACGTGTACTGTTTCTCATAAATGAGTCAGGGGAAAAATGAGAACAAGACTTTTTTTTGCCCTGTGTGATCACTTCTCTTCACGCCTGCCTCTACTTCTGACTGTTCAGTTTTTAGACTGACATCTTTCGTGTTCAGGTTAGAAGTCAGAACAACTCAACGGGGAGGCCCGGTGAAGACAGGATCGACTGAACTGTCATCTCTCACAAGTGCACAAAATTAGATAGAGTTAAGCCCCGAAAAGTTGATCCCATCGGTGAGTCATGCCAACTCAATGACAGCTCGGTGTTTTTTGTTTTTCCATGACAAGCTGGACTGAAAAGAGAAGGCCTAGATGCATAAAAAACACCATCATGGAGATCCAACAAGGAAGAAAATACATTCAGTTCCAGTTTCCACCCACTAACAATGTGACTGTGTGTGTGTAAGGTTGACTGGTGCTGTGTAAGACTATCATGGAGGTCCAGTTCGGGTCGGTCCCGTTTTAGAATCAGACTATCGCTATTGGATCGACACATTTGACCCTCATTTTTACAATATCGTCTTTTACTCCCTGTCCAACACTGAGGATCAACAAAGCAGGATTACCTAACAGGCTAATGCTAAACAGCTAATATGTTAACTTTGAGTAAATACTGCGTTAGATTCTTGGTGGATTATCTCACCAAAATAAAGATAAAATAGACGGCGAAGAAACACAGAAACAATATTGAATATAAAAACAGTGTTTTCATACCGGATTGGATGTTGTTACAGCTTGGAAGCGGCCTGGTCCAGGGTTTAAATCCCAGTACTGCGGTACTCTGGAGCAGCGTTATCCGATTAGCCCCCGCTAGCTAGCGCTGCTTTTAGCTAGGCCTGCATTGTTTCTTCAGTCGTGAGAGAGCTGGACAGCAAAAGGCGGCGTTAAAGCGCCGACTTTTTACAGGAAAAACCAAGCAGCTCCACTGTATTGTTATGTGAAGCCATACCGGGCTAAAAAAATTACATATACCCTTTAAAATATAAATAACGCTACTCTAAAAGGGCCTGTCTTGAGGCAGCAAATCCACTTTCCACCGGAACAACCACGTCCTTATATCAGCTCAGCTGCGCCGACGACATTTCCTGTTACTACCGTAATTACCGAGAATTTCAAAGCCGCGTTGGGAATATCAGAGTGTGGCGTAGATTTTTAACGATAAATACGATGTCAGGACAACTTTCAGGACAGATTATATCATTTATGATGATTATAGAATATCCCAATACCGAAAGGTTTGGATTGAGTCAAATTAATGATCGTTTTAACATCAGAGAAACAAAAAACGTTAACAACATTTTTACGGTAAAAGACGTAATGACGCATGACGTAGTGAGAGTGTACCAGTAATATTCCAGCAGGATCAAAATGTTCCATGAACCCAGAGGAAACCTGCTGAGTCCGAAACGCCCAATGACAGGAGAAACTGCACGTACAGGTCCGAGTCTAAACATATTCAAAGGATTTTTCCTTTAATACTTGTCAAACAGAAAATAAACCTTATCTCTGTGATGGGAAAAGAACGCGGCCTACGACCATAAATGATAAGGAGTAAAAATCCAGAGCAATCCAGCTCAGTGTTTGGATGACATTATTCGGTCTTTGTTTTTAGAAATTAAATAAACAGAAAGAGGGGGCACAGTAACTGAATTAACAGTGGTTGAGTAAGTTCTTGTTTTCAAGTACTCAAGAGCCTGTGCTTCTAACCTTCACAGACTCCATGAATTGATGCCCATCTCCTAAATATTTGGTCACATGATCAATTTCTTTTACCATTTCCAAGCAACAGGGGGTGGCTCAACTTACCCTTTAGCTTAACTTAGCCCACTCTCCCCTACTTAAGAGCCTTGTTATCTAAACGCCTGAATCAGTTTTCTGGACGTCCAAAAGACCATATTCTACTGTTATTGTATGTGTGAGGCAGGGTAACGTTCACTAGTCTCATTCAAGGGTAAAAACAGATGTATCAGTTGTAGGCTATTCAGGAGACTTAATTGGGGCCAAAAGATGTACAAAATACATCTTGACTAAACCAACTACATAAAGAAATCTAGGCCTTGTTATTTCTGACAGCAGCATGTAAACTCAAAAAGAATAGAATAGAATAGAATAAAACTTTATTGATCCCCCAAAAGGGAAATTTATGTTGTCACAGCAGCAACAGATACGACAGGACACACAAGAGGTATCATCAAAATAAATAGCTATGACAACAAATAAATAGTTGACAGTAAATAAGAGAAAAACCTAAAAGTTAAAGTGCTCCACCTTGCTAGGACCTGTGTGTGTGCTACATCTCATTTCAGGCCTGTTAAACTGTCTGATTAAACAGTCTGATGACTGTGGGAAGGAAGGAGCGTCTGAACCTCTCCGTTCTGCACCTGGGGAGGGTAAATCTTTAGCTAAAAGTACTCCCTCTCAGCCACAGCTCCTAGGAGTAGGAGGTAGGAGTTTTCCAAGATTTTATTAATGTTGTCACTTATCCTCCTCTCCTGCTAAGTAAAACCACATTTTACATATTAATCAAAAATTCATAACTGACTCAACAGTAGCAGTCTGTGTCCTCAATTTAACACGAATTGACTTAAAACTCCACCTCCAGAGTTTTATCGCATGCAATAAAGAAAATTTAGCCGATTAAAATTTAAAAGTTATGGGAAAAGTTATTGAGTGAAGTGATTAAAGGGACATCTTCGTATTTTTAATGACTGATCCCTGCAGAATTACATAAAATACTTTAACATGGTAGGTTGATCATAATTCGATGAATCCTTTTTTAAAGATTAAAGATTAACGTTGTGCCTTTAACCACTTGATCACTATGTTCTAGTGAGTCTATAACTATTTGCAAAGTATCTGAAATAAGTTCACTGAGATGTTTGCAATCAAACATTGGAAAATATAAACCATCATTAAAATAAAAAATATAGGATTTTTCATTTATGTGGATTACACACTTTGGTTCACTAGAATTGAAGAAATGGGTAACTATGGAAGAAAAAAATATCAGGCCAAAAAGATAAGTTAAAGTGCAAATTTTCTTTTTATTCTGATTTCATTTTACAGCAGAAATTATGTAAAGCATTCAGAAGACATTTTCCACATATAAGGGCAATATTCAAAACACTTTGCATGGCCTCAGCAACAAAATATTCTTTTAAAAACATCAACAATTTAGTGATGCTTGTGCATGCACGTTCGTAAAACAAAGTAAAAACTAGGCTACGAAAAAGAAGAGGAATGAAGGACTGAGATAGGCATGGAGAACACAACAGCAGGCAAAGTGGGAATACAGCAGGAAATGAGAGAAAGAGAGAGAGAATAGAGAAAAAGAGAGAGAGAGAGAAGGAGAGAGACGGAGAGAGAGGGAAGACAGGGCGAGAGAGGAGAAAGGCAAGGAGAGGTCTAGCCATAGATTATCTATGAGGGTCTACCATTCTAGCATGCAATGTGGTGTTTGGCCACGCCCTCTCAAAACAAGGCCTGAAAGGTTATACCATTCATGTCTAGGCGGACTTCTGAGAGCAGAGGCCATCTCTGCGCATGTCTACCAGCTGGCTACTATGGCAATATTTCTTTATCTTTTTATTTTATCTACTCTATATACTGTTTTATTTTTTTTACAGTCACCATCCTCTCCAAAATCATGAACATACTAATGAAGTTTTGAAATCTGCATGTAAAGATTCTCGTGTATGTGTATTGATAAGCACAAGCGTTTGTATGCTGGTCTGTGTGTGTGTGTGTTTGTCTGTGTGCATTCTATGTATCAACGAGTGTCTTATGTGACTGTAGTTGTGCTAATGTTAGAGGAGGGGAAGTTTTAGAAGGAAGTTTAAGTGAAATCGTAGCATGGATTCTCCTGACAGCGCTGTCCTGACCATGGCTGTCTCTCAGTATGATGAAAAGTCAGAAATAAATGTCAAACACAAACAAAAGAGGTCTTCCAATTGCGAATCTTTCAATAAACTGTTTCTCATAAGTTTTTTAAATTACGAAAATTGAGGTGATACGTGGCCGTTGCTTATTTTTGCATTGTTTAAGAGTTGTTTGTATTAAGAATCTTGTGCGTTTAAGACAAGAGCAAGTGTATAAATAGAAATATCACTTCTTACTTGCTTTGAATTTTGTTGACATAAAAAAAAATCCTATAAAATACGGGATTTGGACATTCTTGTAGAAAAAGTGATGCAAACACAGCTTGGATGAAGCAAACTGATGACATTTGTTGCTTCAAAACATGAGACTGGATTTTTTAGAAGAAGTGCGACACTCAAGAACATGACTTGAGATACAATTTGCAGATACCGGAGTATCCCTAGCATACACAAATACGTACACATTCAGATGCACACACACAAATGCACACAATCACCACAATTAGTGGTACAACTCTGTCTTCAACCTTCACACTCCACATAGTGTCTCTCTGTTCTTCAACCCTGAGTAAAATCTAAGGGAGAGATTTAATGTTTCCCAAAGACATAAGCACAGAGAGAAAGAGTGTGGCCTTTTTGTGTCTATGTGTGTACAGTTGTGTATGACTTGTGTATGTGTGTTTACATGCTCATCTGTCCTAGGAAGAGTGAGCGACAAAAAAAAAAGGAAAGAAAGGTGTGTATGACAGCTATTTTGTCCTCTGGAAAACTTCTTTTTTTCTTCTAAATGCTGCAGGACCATTTCTGAAGAAAGACAGAAAAAAAGGACAAAAAGAACACGTCTTCCTCTCAGCGGGGATGCCAGGACACTTTGTAGACTAGCTGTGACAGTGCTTCCTTATACACTGAAGCTGATTTCTGTGGTGCTTTTGTTCAAAATACTGCAGGACTGACACACAAGTATGGCAAGAAGTGATACTGTAAGAATTACTGTTTTGTTTCATAAAGCAACATATAGCATCAATCAGGCCATGAGCATCCATTCATACCAATGACAAATTAGAGCTTCCAGCTTAGACTCAGATCACACTGTCAAGTTCATTTTTTACAAACAATTTAGGAAAATAAACAGGTAACTGGCAACCTTTTTTTTTTTGAGGACATACAATAGATATTTCCTGATATTAGCTTTCTGTTATTGAGCAGGCACTTTCTAAACAGAGCTTTCCAGAAGTACACGTTGTACAGTAATGGCAGTGACAATGAGAAGAAAAGAAAGATTTGATTAAATGATATGTAAAACAGTGGGGAGGAGACATTCTGTTTGAAGATGGAGAGCTTTGACTGGAGGCCAGGCTGGATCCGCTGTAGGTATGATTAATGGTCGTAATAAAAGCTAGGATGTTGCTGAAGCACAACCACATTGTCAAGAATGTAGCGCCCTCTTCCCTTTTTGGATCGTCATTCATTGCATTCATAGTGAAACAACCTTCATCACCATTAGTATCATTTACATACTTGCATCGCCACCTCTATCATAACCATCATGAACACCTTCATCTATACATACTGTTAGTCTGCCTTAAACTTGTTGTAGGTCTACTGTTGAGCTAGATCTAGATCTCTTCTACTGTTAATTATCTGTGTGTGTGTATGTGTGCGTGTGTGTGTGCGTTGCCTCTGTGGATCTTACTGATATCTTTTGGGTGTTGGTTTCTCCAACATAACATATTGTTAGGCAAAATAGCATTCATAATAATTGGCACTACTGGCAAAAAGGGTTTAATTTTTGCTAGCCAAGAAACAAAAGCACAAAGTGTAAATGTTTGTCTGAAAGATCATTGTTTCAGCTAACTTTGTTTTCCCACTTATAATTCTAACGTTAGATTTTTCAGTTGCATGCTTTAACAAAATGTTCTTTTCAGTAACACTTATACTGGATACTCTTAAAGTGAAGCAGTTAAAATCCTCTCACAGTCCATAGCCACTAACATGTTCTTTTTGCTGTTTCTTTGTCTTAAATCTCATGCACATTACTCCGTTTGTAATATCTACATTATTTACAAGCAATACAGCCATCCTGTGTACCCAGGTCTCTGTCTTAAGTTCTCATTATGGGAGTAAAATAATTTATAATCTTAAATACAGTCCTCTTATGAAAAAGTTTCAGGGTCCTCGTATCCCCTTACCTCGTCAGTTTATATACAGGAATATGCAATAGTCCAAAATATGGATTTGACCGCCCATACGGGCTAATATGGGGACCAATGCCCTGTACAGGGGCAGGTATAGGACCCATGTCTTGTACAGAGCAAGCATAGAGACCTCTCATAGTCAAGAAGAAGTCAAGGCAATGGTATGTGACTCTCTCCTCAAAACCACAGTTAGGATTTAGAGGTTCACGCGGAGAACAAACAGAGACAATTAACCATTGGAACATGTCATATCTTACCACACAAGGGGGGAAAACCAGTCTCAAGCTTAACCCACTCTTGAGCCAATTAAATAAATAATTAGACCCTTAAATAAATAAAGTAAAAAAAGCACCCAAAATAAGACATTTGTCCTTACACAGTTCACATTACACAGGGCAAGGATAAGTTGATGAGGACGTAAGTGAGACACAACTACACATAGAAATACAAAAAGAAACAACACTAAAGCAGTTTGGCAAGCATGCAGGAGCTCGTGGCTCAAACACATGCATTGAATTGAACGAACACGGACACACCACGGCGGGCGAGCAAAGTGCCGCCTCTGAGAACGACTCCATACAAAGTCCATGTAACAAATTAAGACATCGTTTTTCAGACCCCACCCCTTATCTAACAATGCCCCTCTTACATTCAAGTGCAGTTCCTCCCCTTTTGGTTGGGTGACTGATAAATAGGTTCATAAGCCTGTGAGTCAGAGTGATTGGTGGAACTGTGATCTACTGAATTAGCTGAATGGTTTGCCACTATAGCTCTGCTGTATGATGGAGAGGAGGAATAAGCGAAAAAATCTTGCATGCAAATGCAACATAGAAGTGAGTTTTTTGGTATATGTTTTCTTATTCTTTCATGGATCGCTGTCTGGATACAAAACACAAAAAAAGTTTTTGTATTTTTTTTCTGCATGTCAAAGTAGCCTTTGTCTTGAGCCAGCAGTTAATCTCCAGAGCCTTTCGGCACATCCTGTCGCTGCCGTGAACAGCAGGATGTTGGCATCAGGCGCCTCCTCACGTCCTCTCGTCTGACTCGTCTTCTTTCTCTTGCAAAGAAACATACCCATGAAGAGTGCAAAGAATGCCATGAGGTTAATGTGATGGCCTCCCAGTGAAACTGTGGAGGAGGATCAGTGCTGTGGGCAGAGCCAGGTCCCTTGGCTCTACCCAGCAGTCTGTCTGTCTGAGCTGCCATGATGGACACCTATCCTGTCCTCAGTCTGTCTGGGAAGAGTTTTTGTCCCTCTTGAGAAAAGAGGGGAGAGAGGGTGAGAGAAACAAGGGCAGGAAAGGGCATTGAGGGCACGGAGAAGGGACTGGGGAATGGAGAAGGGAGGGGCTTTTAGGAGGATGGAAGAAAGGAAAAGATGGAAAGAGGGGAGGGTTCATAGATTGCTCACAGGCTAAGAGGGCTGTGTGTGGGGCCTGGCGATGGGCTCTCAGGACCCCTGGCCTTTCTCCGCTCTCTGACCCTGGGGGAAAAAAAACAAACACAAACTCAGAGAGAAAGATTTGTATGTTTCTGTACATGTCTTTTTTATTTCTACATCCGAAGGCCATATTCAGAGCAACAGGGAAAGTTATTCAGCAAACGCCCCAGTGCACGCACACTCGCCATCCTGTTCCCAACCCCACCCCTCAAGGCAAGAAAAGAGACTGGCAGGCCAAGCAAGACACTTAAAGTCTCCCAGTAATGTCGGTCTGAACATGCCCCCACTAAGAACATACGCAGGAATTGCTTCTCTATCTACTCGTCAATCATGCACAAGTACCAATGTCATTCAGCAGTCCTCGGGGAGGAACAGAAAATAAGAAAGAAAGAAAGAAAGAGAGAGAGAGAGAGAGAGAGAGAGAGGGGAGTGGTAATCAAGGATCTCCTCTCCTCCTCCCTCTGCTGACATGCAAACAGGCATCAGCCAGAGAGAGAGGGAAAGACAGGAGAGAGAGAGAGAGAGAAGACTCACCCGTTTCAGTGGCCTATGGTCCATCAAGGGGCTTCAGAACAGTAAAACAACACCAACTATTAGCACCAATGTAGTGAGCGCATGTGTGGCAGTAGGTTTTAACTGTGAGCGGGTCATGTGTACGGATGTGTCTCTGTGGTTGTGTTTGGTGGTGTTTAAGGGGGTGTGAATGAATTTAGTGCCTCACCTGTGGCGGCATCGGAGCAGGAACCTCAGGATCTTACGAGCAGCTTGGTTCTGTTTTTTCGTTAAGAGGCTGCTGCAGGCAAAGACACAGGAATGAGAAAAACGTCTACATAACTATGCAAATTATGCATGTTTATGTGTGTTGGTGCGGGAGTGTGACTGAGTACCCGAGGGAGTGTCTATAGGAGCGGTAATATTGCTGGATGAGGACCGCTGCCCTACGACTTTGTTGGAACTTCTTCTGCTCATGAAAACTCCGGAAACGGCTCTGAATCAGGATGGCTGCCAGGGTCATCCTCTTATAAAGTGCATACTTCAAAAGAAGACAGAGACATGCTCTAAGTACTTCCACAGCCACTTATGCTCATTTATGCATTTTCACTTTGGTGGAAACCATTTTACACAGCTGTTCAGATGCATTTTTAGATCTATGCTAGAAACAGAAACAAAATCAGGATAAAAATCTGATAATTACAATTTAAACCTCTGAGATAAATTCAAGAGATTCCCACCCTGAATTGATAATCCTTGTCTAAACCAAACACACGTGTCTCTTTGAAAGTTGTACAGACGTTCTTCAAGCACCATAATGTTCTCAAAACCCCAGAATCTGTTTGAAACTTGGCAAAGCTTGCAAAAGCTCATTTTGAAGAGTTTCCCTCTGCAATCTTAAATCCCAGCCCACAAAGTGACCACAGCTTACAAGCCTGTACACTAATCTACGTGCCCTACACATTATTTCCATTAGAGATTATGCTAAACTGATCTAAGCGAAAGCAAAGATGTGTGATGAATCTACGCATGTAACAGAATTAATGATGCAGGCAGCTTGGATGATTCCAACTAGGGGTGTGCCATATCATATTTACGTTTGATAAAATATTAAAAAAAAAAAAAAACATGGGAAAAAATAATATTATGGGGGATTCTAACTCCTGTCCTGTTAATGTGTTGCAAATCTGAATTTATCTTCATAATTTAACCCATTTTTAGCACCGATAATAAAAATGCTGTTTTTCAGAAGCAGCAATCATTAATAATATGTTGTTCTGTTATTTTTTTTCCATATCGTCATAAATATCGTTATGGCAAATTGCCTTGACATATCGTGATATCATTTTAAGGCTATATCACCCAACACTAATTCCAATATTGATAAACTGGACATAGTAAAAAACACAATTAAGCTGTGTGGTTTCATTAAAGACACACATAAAGGTCATTGTGCAGTAGGACCATCAGAAAAAGACATGAATACTTTCATACAATGGCGAGCACAGAGTTGATGCTTGCTGTATGTCACCAAGTCTTACCTGCTTGTATCTCTTATAGCAGCGTTGAATCACTGCTGCAATCTCTTTGCGTTGTTCCTGAATGGGACCCTGAAGAAAGTCACATCACGAATGTCAGATAGCTAATCTAGTAACTGTATTTTACAGGAGTAATAGAGAGGATATATACATGAGTCAAACTGTATGTTTACCTTGTGTTTTCTGAGGGAGTGCAGAGCATGCCTAATGGTCTCATACAGTTCTTGCTGTTCTGCCTCAGTCATAGAGAGACAGGAGGAGTCACTTTTCAACCTCTCTTCTTTCATATTCGCGCAGAGGAAGGGGCTCCAGTCGAAGGGGGAGGGGAGGGCTTGCCTAGCCTGTGGACTCTGCTGATCCTCAGGCCCTGAGAGAGAGTTTGTTTTGGGGCTAGGAGTGCGGGACTTGGAGTTCAGAAACCTGTCAAAGCAAAGAACAGAACAGAAGTTTTATCGTGAAAAGAATTTGTGGTATTTGGTAAATAAGCCCGGGAAATTTGGGAGTTATAAGACTCACCTTTTTACCTTACCAAGGTAACCAGACAGTAATCTGACATCACTACTGATCCCTGACTTCCCAGAGTCAGTTTCAGTCTCCATATCTTCTTGCTTTAGCCGACTAGTTGAGGCCTCCAAGATGTGATCAGCCAACATTGTTATATCCATCTGCAAGACATGCAGAGCAGGTCCTCTTTCAGATTCTTCAGATTATTTCAGATTATAGTTTAAATGTGCACTATTGACATTGTACTAAAATGGTGTTCTGCAACAGTTTTGGAGTCAAGAGTTAGTTCTCCTAACAATCTGCTCCCCTTACCTGCAGATCCTCTGTGTTATCTTGAAAGGTCAGCAGCTCGGTCTCCTCTCCCCTGCCAGACAGCACTCTTTGGCGCAGGTGAATGGCCAGTCGTTCTTTTCCCAGAATCCTTCTTGCCAGGCTACGCTGCCCTAGTGTCTGTCTCAGGCTCCACCTGGTGCCTCCTCCAAACCCCCCTATCCTGGCCTGCAGGTGGGAGAATGGAGCGCTAGGGAGCTGAGGCTGGTTAGGGCTTGAGCTGGCAGGAGGTGCATTTTGACATCTGAGGTTAGAGGGTTGAGTTTGCGGGGTGTTTGGGAGGAGAGATTGTTGAGAGTTATGACTGGGGGGTGAATTGAGGAGGGAGTGAAGGGTTTGGGTGCCAGGAGTCGAGTTAGAAAGCTGTTGCTGGGTGTCAGGGTTTGGTTTGAGTCTCTTGGCGGGGGGTGGACCTCCCTGTTCTCCCTGCTGGGCTCTGTGTCCTGTTTGGCTCCAGCTCTGGGTCTGGTTGTCTGGCTGGCTCTCCGCCTTGGCTCTCCTCAGCTCTGGGGAGACAAGGTTGGTGGAAAATCAGGGCACTAATCTACCAAAGTGGGTATACTTACATATATCTCATACTGAAGCTAGTAAAATTCCCTTTTTACTACAAGCTATGGTTATGTTCCTGACAGTGTTTCAACTTCAGACAGATCTGAGAGGGGACAGTGACAGTTCGATTTTTGTAAAAAATTTTAAACAGTGAAATACTTTTGTGAGACAGACTGGTTTTCTCTTGCTCAGAGATGAATGAGGAAAAAAATGCAAATTTCATGACAGTCTTTTCTAAATGGTCTGATGCTTTTAACCTAAATGAAGGCATCTGGAATCCTGCTTAGTTACTGGCTTGTGTTTGATGTGGGTTCTGTTATTTTGTCCATGACATGCATTTTAATGTACTTCGGTCATGTTATGAAATCTACAGCATAACTCAAATAGTATTTTATTTTATTTACTAATTAAAAATCCATCTAAAACATCTTCCTGGCTAAGATAACTACTTTTAATTTTATAATATGCTAAACAATTATGTAATGACATATGACTTTTTTATTTTTTTAAACCTGAGTCATTATCTTGTTATTTTTTTTACTTTAACAATTACAAATGGTTGGACAGAAAACCAGCACTCACTTATAGCAATACTTTACTGGACCAATTATTACTCTGTTTACATTTGTACTGTTCATTTGTACTGTTTTATTTCATCCGTCTAGAAATCTGATGTACAAAAATCATTCAGGGTGGCATGATTTGGGATCATGTTTCTTGAGCAGGAGCTATTGCGAGACAACCAACCTAGACTCCCAGTCCAGAAATACTCCTGCAAAATGACAAACTGTAATTTGCTCCTTCCTAACCAGAAGCCTGTTTTGTCTTTTAGAAGAGCTTTACTTTAGCTGTCCCTCTCTAAGATAAGCTAGAAATGCCGGTTATTTACCAAATTCAGAGCTAAATACTAGAGCTAAAAACCAGAGCTAAAAACCAGTTTCCTGTTTGTGACAAATCATAAAACAGCCGGCTTTCTTACCTGGGTTAGAGTTTTGAGCAGAGCTGTTGGTCTGTGGCTCCCCTCTCCACCTGTCCATCCAGGTGTCACCAGGCTGACCCTGAGCTTGAGGACTCTGCTGCAGCTGCTCCAAGAGCTCAGCCAATCGAGTGTGACCCCGAGATCGGGCTATGTTGAGTGGGAGGCGTCCCAGTGAATCAGGAATAGCCAGAGCTCTAGGGTCCCACTGATAAAGCACCAATGCTGCCTCAGTGTGTCCCAAAGCACATGCCCACATCTGAAGAAGCAATGAAAAAACAAAGATAAGACAAAAACATGGAAAGACAGAGAGACACACTCCAAACACCATTTATAAATATTGATCACTCACCAATGGAGTGCATGAGAAGTGGTCTACATTGAGAGGATCCACCTCCAGCTCAAGGTCAATACTGTCGGCATGCTTTGTGCTGCAGAGAGACAGAAGTGGGATTAGCTGTCAGAGTCTGTACTTCACAATGGTGTGTAATGATTGTTTGCTGCTCACCGCCAGCGAACAAGTGTCTGAATGAGTCCCGCGTAGCCCTGAGCTGCAGCCAGATGTAGTAAGGTCATTCCTCTAGAGTTCTTACTGTGGACAAGCTGATTGGATGAGGCCCAGCATGGCTGAGACATCATCTTCTCACACACCACCACAACACGACCCTCAAAGGAACCCTGATCAGGAGAGATCTAGAAGATTGGAGACAAAAGGATATACTGACACTTTTTTACCTTTAGCACTTTTAAAGTCAGTCCTTTGTGATGCACTGTATAATGCTGAACGAAATGGTGATCCCTGTAGTACTTGGAAGCCAGAGGGTATTTTATCAAATGTACTTGGAACTAATGATTCTGAGGGTGTGACTCAATAAAAGTGCCATCTTTTCAAAGTGAAATAGTCCTGCAACACTGACGCTTAATGAGGCTTACATCCTTTGTTCTAATCAAGTTACAGATTAGAATAGAACGGATTCTACACCTCTTATAATCTGAAGTGGACGCTTGCTTGTTCTTGATTGCATTGCGCTGTGCGATTTGCTATTATTGAATTATTATTATTGAACATTCCCGTTGCAGTTACATAACATGTGCAAAGTTCTCATGAAGTGTAGCAGTTTGAAACAATAAAATATCGACTCTTACAGTTTTAAATTAAATTTTTTATTGCTGAAACAATTTGTAGTGTGTCGTGTTGTTTACTTGTATCGCTCACTTGATAATGTTTCATATTAAATGGTGGTGAAGAAAAAATGTCTTCCAGCCAAAATCATTTCTTTCTGTCTTACTTGAGACTGCTGATCGCTGGCTCCTCCTCCTTCCACTCCGCCTCCCTTGGTTGCCATGGTTTCAGAGCCAGGGTTCTGATTGGTTATCTCAGCCATCCTCTGTTCCATCTGCTCCAGACGCTCCAGGATGGACATCCTGAACTGAGTATCTACAGAAATGATTGTAGGACACAAAAAGCTGTAAGCATGGCTAGTTGTTTGTTGCATTGAAGCAAATCAATATTACATTTTAGTAAATCCTACTTAGAGAGGCTTAGAGAGACAAGCTCTTCTTTGAGGAGCTCAATAAATCCAATCCAATAAATCCCACTGCCAACAATGGTAACTCTGCAACCAAGTAAATTGAGTGTGTCTTTGCCAGCATGGGCTTAAAAGTAAGTAACAACAAATGCAACTCCTGTAGGTTATTTATGACTATAATAAGGCTGTGAATATGACCCTTTGTTTCAGTACTGCTGCATTTTTGCTGCAGTGCACATTTTGTCATCCTACCTGCTGCTCTCTCACTCAGTCTATATTTTTCTTTCTCTCTTTTCACTCCTTTTTTTCTGTCTGCCCTCTGCAGCAAGTAAACAGGGCAGAAAATGTGGAGCCATGAGAGAGACACAAAGGTTCGAGTTCCTCCCTCTCTAATCAGCCAATAATTATAAGAAGAAGAGTAGAGTTTCTTGAAAGGGCACCTTCTATAGAAGCAAAATACCACTTCAGCTGCAAGTCACATAATGGAGCAGCAGTCTTCTCACAACACATTTGTTGACATTAGATCATACAGATGGAGAAACACACTAATATCCATTTAAAGACATTAACAAATGGAATGTTGTGAGACAAGTACGATTGTAAAAGATAAAATAAGGTATTTAAAAAAGCACAGGAGTATTCAGGATACTTCAGGGCTTTTATGTCACGGGCCTGTAATTTGACTTCATCCAAATTTGCGGTATGTTGGTAAAATTACTTTTAGACCTGCTTTCACTGTTATCACATCTATCTAAAAAGCTCCTCCTTCCTAGATGCTGCTGAATGAAAGACCCCAAAGACATCAGAAACTTTTCTCTTATTATCACACCAAGTGCATAGTCTGTTAACAACTTTAATATGTATTTGAAGTTCCATTTGTAGTTGAATGTAAATTATGCTGTGTGTTCATAATTGACTAGCAAAAAATGATTTCAACTACAGTTTCCACAAAAGCCATGCAACATCAAGTTGTTGGTTTTTTTTCTGGATTACTGAAAGTTGTTCTGGGTACATGTGACCATACTTTAATCTTTGCACACCCTAGTCTGTCCGTCACCCCACAGACATCTTTCATTACTATTTTTCAAATATTAATAGGGCTCACAGATTTTCACCATAAATGATCCAAAACAAAACTTTAACAACATGAAGTTAAAGCCGTATATGGTTTTAAAAATGGCTTTACATGTCATTCAGTATTTCAAAACAATAATGAAGTTATGAATGTTAAATTACATTTTTACATTTACATTTTGGGTGAAGTCTTTTTGAATGTGTTTAGATTTATCTAGGGATATTTTTTGACCAAAAGAGATTATTTTACCAGCAAAAATCGCTCACACACACATTTAAAGGCATGATAACAAAGAAGCTTTTGACTCTTAACAATATCTCAAAAAGCAAACATCAACCAAGACTGAACCTGTAAGTGTTTTTGAAGGGAGGCTATTGTTGTCAACATGCCTGCACCTCTGGGCCTGTTAATATTTGGGCCTCTGAGGGATCCTGATTAACCTGCTTTTGTTTGTTGTTGTGGAGTTTAGAGGCGCTGTCCACTCCTGGTGGTGCTGAAACTGAGCAGACTAACCAACAAGACAAAACCAGCTTCCTCTCATGAAGTTGAAATCAAACAAGCTTTTCATCACTTCAAAGATCCAGCGGGCAAAACAACGCGAAGACTTGTGGCATTTCTCCCGTCTCTTTGTCTGAAATCGACACACACTGTGCACCACATGTATGACACACATTTTAACTCAAACATGAAATACAAAAGTCAATCCGAGGTTCAACAGCTTCAAAGTCGACATTTAGACGACAGGCACAGTTATGTCCATCTACAGTAGCGTGACAACAAAAGACTTAACCCAGCTGCAAACAACAACAAAAAAAACCCCTAAACGACCACCAAATGGGCGCAATTTGAAGTTATCATCAGTTTTTAAAAGCAAATAATCTACGAACCCAAACTGCGCGTCTCTCTATCTGCTGCTCTCTTTGTTCCCGCGTCTGTTCAACCGCGTTTAGTTTGAAGTGTGCGGCTCACACATTGCTATTCCGAGCGAGCAAAACACAACTAAGTGCAGAGAAAGGAGGGGGAAGAGAGAGAGAGAGAGAGAGATACAGAGCGAGAGAGAGAGAGAGAGAGAGAGAGAGAACGCACGTTGCGTCTGGATGAGCAGCAGACACGCTTCGAATCGGCCCGCCAGACTCGGAGCTGCGGGAGGCTCGCTCGTCATCGGTTCAACAAAAAGGAAACGCATAACCTAAAATAAAACAATGACATGTGACAAAGTCGTGCGCTGACGCATATTTGCTAACCCGTTTTTCTATAACCGTCTATATTTTCCCGGTAAGACGACCCGTTCATGTTGATTCGAGGCCAAACAAACAAAGACGCAGCGTCAAAATCACCAGGGCGCATGGATATTTAGGTCTCGTTATCATCGTTGAAAGTCAAACAAAGCCTATATATAGCATCCGCGAGGCTGCACAGAGCACACCGCCAGGGGTGCCCAACATTTCGACTGTCAACTGGATCAAGTCGATTGTGCCACGGTGTCCTTGCCCTTCAATCCAGCAAAAACAGCCAGCCCTGCTGTGACTGTTGAGCCGCATTGCCGCATTGCGCAACGCAGCAGAGACGGGGGCGAACACAGAGTAACCCAGGACATGCCTCGCTTAGGAGACCCGTGTGTTTCCGAGCTGCAGTTGCATCAGGAGATCTATTTGCACACAAAAGCTAACCCCCGCGGCGCTGTGCGGATGTTTGCAACCCCCCTGAGCTGACTCAAGGAACACATAATTGTCCTCTAACATCTCACACTGTGTATTTAAAGTTGATTTACTATCACTGAAACCACACAACACTTCAACCGCTGACAAAATAATTTGATTGATGAAATACCACACAGACAGACACTCTTACAATAAACTCTGTGATGCATGACTGTCTCATTAACTAGTCCAAGCCCTGCTGGGGGGAAGAGTACAGCTGTGCACACACATTTCTTTTACTCTACATGCATGGAAAGCATTTTTGAAATAATGTGTGTGCAGACCTAAGGAGCAAATAGGAATGATAGCTGCAGCCGAGCACAGAGAAAAATCACACAACAGGTAAATATCAAGGCAGGATGCGAATGTAAATGAATAAAGGATCAGAGAAGAACAATATTTATTGATACTTTCAATATTTCCCCCCCAAAATTGTAGAAATGTAAAAATTGGAAAACAGTGACGTACACTTCTATTTCTGCTTACAGGTTATGCTTTCTGTAGATTAAATAACTCCAAGTAATTAGAATTTAACTGTGTTTTCCGATTGCTCAAAAACAACAAGCAAAGCGCTCTCACCATCTAGGGACAGCCAGTCATGCTGGGAAGATGGCAGGGCAGGCAGGTCGCGCGCCTTGTATTCAAACACCACAGAAGAAGAGATAACCTCACCGCCCATGGCCACCTGCAGCATCACCAGACCTGTATCATGGGCTTGAAAAAAAAGACAGCAGGTAAAGAACAAGACAGTCATGTTACATGTAAAGGCATTCATTTAGGACTGCGCATTTGCCATTACATACTTTTTTTTGTTTTTTTTCCATTTATAAATCTGGAGGAGGCTTGCTGTTTTCTTTGACCTCAGTGAGGCAGGATGTGACTTGTGTGTCCCCACTGAAAATCACAATTCTAAACAGAGCCCACCATGCAGTGTCATTCCTCCTATTTTTTATTGTTGTTATCATCCAGAGTGAAACAGCTATTACCTCTTGATAAGAATATGCAGACATTACACTCTCTCTGTGCGAGAGAAAAGCTGTTTTGATAGGATCTGTTTATCACGAGGATAAGCAGGATGGCAATCTTAAACTATAAAGGAAAGTGTTTTTCCTGTGTTGGGTGGGTGAAGGGTGTGTGTTACCTGGGCAGTAGCAGCGCAACACCCCGGGCTGGATGAGGGCAGCAGGGACACTAATGTGGTCAAACAGACAGCTGTACTCGCTGCTCGACTCCAACCACGGCCCTGTGATCAGCACCTTCACTCCACCCTGCAGCACAAACACAGACTTCAGCCAGAGGACACATGTTGTGGCTTCTTTGTCCTTAAAAAACTGTTTCTGAACATACTTTACATTGGAAAATAGAGACCAAAAAGGAATGAGAGACTGTGCTAGTATAATAGAAGATAATAATCCATTGTTGTCATTGGCTGTAATTAAGTGTAAGCATGTACACACACTCTGTTAAGAATCTGGACTTTGTCAGAACTAAACAAACATAATTAAATGACACAATGGCCCAAAGTCCTATAATCTAAACCCATAGATATTATAACTTGCCTCTTTAGATACTACATGCTGTTTTATAAATGAGAAATATATGAGTCCAGGGGGTACTGGTAGAAGCCCCAAGAGACTGTGTTACTCCTTACATCTAAATAGAATAAAGTAGAACAAAGCTACTCCAACCATCTGAACCAGGCTGGCATATGTTTTCTCTTGTTGGGCTAAAAATAAAACATAAACAAAAATGTTGGAACCGTGAGGTAAGGAGTACACAACAATGAAAACGGCGATATAAAAAGCCATCAACAAAGCATTTGGCTGGGGTTTCTGTGTGGCGTTTGAAGTGCATCTACAGATTTTATTTTGAATAATATTATGACGTCATGCTTTAAGTCTTTAGAGGAAAATTGTGATGTGATTATTTTTTCAAGAAGCCCCAAAAACTGTGGGATAATCAGGATGATGCAACAATGATGATACTGAAAGAAGTTGCAGAAAAATATCAGCTGAGCATGCACGTTTAAAAGATGGGTTTGGTTACTGAAGCTCTTCCTGAGAAATTTTTTCACGAGTTGTATTAGACAACTGAAGCAAACACCAATCTGGAATAAAACATTAAGAGGCAATATGTCCATGAATTTGCACCTTACCCTATGACATTACACATATGTGGTGTTATGAGTGGTACATGGGTAAATGAATCAGGCCACCCAGAGGAATCAGAGTTATGTTGAAATTTCATCGAAATCCAATCAGCTGAGAGTGAGATATCCTGAGTCCTTAATGACTACACTGCCAGGCTGGCTTCTTAATACAAATTGTGCATTTAAGATCACTGCAAGGTACCGTCAGTCACTGTGTGGTGGTGGTGGTGGTGGAGGGACTGGTTTTCTCCTGTAGGGAACAACCATGAATAAATAATGAACGATAATCACATTGGGTTTACAAACCTCTGGATAAGACCACTCTGGAGAGTAGTCTGTCACACCAAACAGCCTCCCAGTCTCCTGTAGCAGTCCAAGAGCTCCCTGCTCCACCTCTGAACTCTGCAGGTGGCCTGCTCCCGTGCCTTGCTCCTCTCCTGCTGCCCCCTCCTGAGGCATTAGAACCCCAGTGACGGCAGCCCCTACCCCACCTCCAGAGCCCTCAACTGAGATAAAATCATTGATGAGATCAGAGAATTGACTTCCAAATGACGCCTCAAAGCCCTCCAGACTGATGGCTGCTCCTGTCCCTGCTGCTGTGGCTGCCACCCCTCCACCCTGCTGAGGGAGAGGAGAGCTGTAGAGTGGCCCCTCTATACCTCCAGAGGCAGATATAGACTGGGGACTGGCCACCACCGAACTGCTTGCCCCTGACAAGCTTACACCATTACAGAGAATTTCATTTTCCCCACCACCTCCTCCTCCTCCTCCACCACCTCCACTCCCTCCCCCACCCTCCTCTCCTCCTCCATTATCATCTGTAGTTTGCAGGTAGTGCTCTGAGTCAACACCTGTGTAGGCCTCATGAGGGTCTCCAGGCTTGATTAGTATCCCTCCTCCATTTTCAGAAGCTTTTTCTAAGTCACTGACTTCTCGCTGTTTCTTGCCACCTAACTGGTCAGCATTTGCATCCTGCGGGGTCAACGGAAAGGAGCCCACCGCCCCTCCTTGTCCGTTTCTTCCACACAGGCCCTGCTCATCTGAACTTGCCTGGTGGAGGTGTGTATGTGGGTCTCCGTTGGTGACTGCAGAGTCTGTTGGCACTGTAGGCAGGCCTATGAAAGCCTGAGCCTCCCCTGATTCCTGCCTCGCCTCAGTGCCATTGGTCTGCAGCTGGGAGGGCTGGCTAGCCTGGGGGGAGGTCTGGAGGAAAAGGCTCGGGGAGGGGTGGTGTGCAGGTTGGCTTAGACTTGGGACACAGGCTGAGGACATGACAGCACTGAAGTCCATCTGCTCTAAGGTGGTGCTCGGGCTGAGGCCTGTCCCTTCTCCCACATAGCTGCTCTGAGCGGAGAGAGGCTGCTCCAGGGACGTGTTTTCTGTCTTGATGTTGTTCACGAGGGTGGGGTTGTAGACAAAACCATTGGAGGAGCAATGTAGTCCCCCATCATCACCGTTACACCCCTCAGTTTTCCCTCCACCTCCCCCGTACGTCTGACCCTGCTTGGGATTGTTGAGGAAGCAGTCAGGGTCAAATGTCATGGTGGTCTCAGGAAGGCTGACTCCTCCGCTGGAGTCTAGAGAACTGGACAGAACCAACTCTCCTCCCTCACTTAAGCCTACTCCTCCAGGAAAAGAAGAAAACCTCTGATTTTCAGGGGCAACAGCCAACAGGATGCCAGCAGTGGTGTTCTCATGGGTGGATGCCAGCAAGTGGGTGTGACCAGCAGAGTAAACCGAATCCCCCGTCAGTGTAGTGACCTCAGACATGAACACAGCTGTGCTCTGTGACAAGCCGGCCCCGATAGCTAGAGCAGGGCTGTCAGCCATGTCGCTGGTGATTGACAGTGGGGAGCTCTGGGTAGTGTCGGGGACCTCCACCTGGTTAGTGGAGGTAGATGAGGACACTTCCATGCTGCTCTGTGGGAGGAGGGAGGGTTTTGTTATCCTGCCATTCCTTCGTTCTCCTCCGCCTGCTCTGCTCCTGCCTCCTCCTCCTCCAGGACTGGGTTCAGTCTGGCCTTCTGACACGTCGCTGTTCTGGACTTCTGTGCCATCTGCTTCCTCAACTCTCTGGCCCGCCACTACGCCTGAACCCACTGCAGCTCCACCTCCGGCTGCTGCCCCTGTCTCCTGCTTGGATGAGATGATGCGCTGCTTGACGCTGGAACATTTTTGATGCAGGCTGCTCCCAGCACCTGACAGAAGAGACAGGAGTGACACGTAGAGTATAAGATGATGTGTATGAGCCATTTTATCTAGATTATTTTTGGGGTTTTGTTTTGTTACTCGCACAATCACCACAAGGGGCACTTCAGGTGAATGGACAGGTAAATGCTACAAAGGGACACAGGTGAAGCAGTGATCTGGGGAACAGGAAGAGCATACGGTCTGTACTGCAAATCTCTGACACCACTCTCACCCTCATCATGCACACCGCCTTTATAGTAAGTTGGACGTCTCTGCCTTTTTTTGTTTGTTTTTCATTTAATCAATAAATATAACTGAACAACAACCTCGGATTGGACATTAGATTGTACTAGAAGCGCGTCAAAAACACCTAACTCCTGCACTAAGACGGTGACTAAAATTCAGGTCAGCATAGTCATTACATGATGTAAAGTGTCTTTATTCCATCCCTTTATGGGCCAGTCTCGGTTAATCAGGTCAGTCTTTCTGTAGCATTACTCCACATACTGTATATTTGATAGTGTGTAATGGCGCCCTCCAGTGTTAAAAATGCTCCCTGAACTAAATCATTTTCAAAGCTGTGCAGTTGTGTGAGAGGTGTTCAAAAAACTCATAATATATAATGCATCACAATGCTCTTTTAGTTAAAAAAAAATTCTAATGATTAAATACATTTCTACTTTTAAGATGAATGCTCATATTTACAGCAGATTTAGCTCATCTGTATTCATAGTGCAGCAGCAACCGAGTGTCCAAACTCTTATGCTCCTTAAACCCTTACATGACCATAGAAATATCAGTTCAGTGATTAGGAGAGAAGAGCTTTGAAAGGGAAAAGAAGAAACTGTTTGTGTGAGCAAATTAGGGCAGGTAGAGGAGCGAGAGGGAATATGATTCAGCTGGGAGAGAGGAGTGAGGTACTTCTCCAGTCAACAAGCACTTAGATTTGGGCAGCTGTCCTTATATGCCCTTCTGAACCAGATCAAAAGACGGGTGAGGATGGGGAGGATTGGGAGCCTGTGTATGGGTGTGTGTGTGTGTGTTTGTGTGTGTGTGTGTGTGTGTGTGTGTGTGTATTAGGGAGTGTACTCCAGTTATCTACTCCCTGATGCTCGTTTATGAATAATACATGCTGGATATTTCAGGCACCTCTGTCTTTCCTTCTTTCCTTCCCTTTCTCGGGAAATGTGTCTCTGCCTCTAGGTGGCAGCATGGTGCTAACGGCAGAAACAACAACAACAAAAAAAAAACCACCCAGCTCTTTATGTGCAAACCTTGTTGAATGGCATATATGTGCTGAATATTCCTTCGCATAGTGGCTTTAGAAGAATTCTAGTGTAATTAAAATTTTAACAACCATTGGTATCACTAAACTAGAGAAAATTATGGTCCTGATCCTAAATAATACTGACATAGAAACCAGGCCACTTCTTAAGTCTGAACACACTTTTTAGTAGGTTCAGAGTTACACTCGAATTTCAAATTTCTCTAAAGTACATAAAACAATATATTTCTTCTGAATGATTAACACTCAGAGATGACACACTTTTAGATTCTACAAGTGATAAGTTCTCATATCATCTCTCCTAAACTGCTGTAATGTGTTGTCTCATCTGATGAGCACTGGCACAGCTCCAGACTGCGCCCCATTCCGCTGCCAAGTTGTTTACAAAACCTACGAGCGAGCCAGTGAACCAAATTATCCATTTTATTTTTACTACACTGGTTTCCCACATATTAATCTTGCGGCTTGGCTCGGGCACGTCATCATGTTTTTCATCATTACTGCACCATGACAAGAGGTATTGTTATTGACCCAAGGTGAGTCATCGCCCCGGGTTTAGGAAAAGTGTGAGGGCTGAAACATGAGAGCTCAAGTGTAGGAGGGAGGTGAGAGCTGAAACAATCTAACTCACACATGGGTTTGAGTTGTCCAATGAGCTCCTCCTTGCTCCATTTGGCCCACTCCTTCCTGTCTGTGTTGATGGAGCAGAGGACAGGACCACATGGCTTTCCGCTATCATCCACCGCCGGTACATTCAGGTAGTGCACCAGCACAATGTCTGGGTTCTTTAGCACGGGAGCAGGCACAAACAAACACGGAGAGACAGAGACATGTGTGGACATGGCATCAGTTTAACACTCTTTATTAATTCACTGTCATGTTCTCCCAGCATACGGGTGGGAGAGAATAAAATGATAAGAGTCTATTTACAGACAGGAGGGGGGAGGGAGGGAATGGAGAAGGAAAGCGGGAGGGAACGTGGAGGTCAGGAAGGAGGTCGAACATAGCGTGTCAGATAAGATTCCCTCACCTGCCCATAAAAGATTTAACAGCTCAAGCCCACTCATCACTCTCTCTGACCCCGCAGAGGCTGTGGGAGAGTCTACATCTGTGTTTGTGTGTGTGTGCGTGATGAACAGAGAGAGAGAGAGAGAGGGAGAGAGAGAGGCTCGGGGTAGTTCTCACTACACTGTAGGCCACCAGTGGACCTATGGAATTTCTACCCCATGAATGATTCAACAGGTGTGTTCACAAGTATCTATGTGTGTGCATGTGCAGGGAGCAAGGCATGAGAGAGAGACAGAGAAACAGAGAGAGAGAGAGAGAGAGAGAGAGAGAGAGAGAGAGAGAGAGAGAGACAGAGGGAGAGGCAGAGTAAGACACAGAGAGTGAGACAGAGGGAGAGAAAGAGAGAAAGAGAGAGAGAGAAGTTCCTCTTGATGAAAGATTCAGTAGACAGACTCAGGTGAGGGGGAGGACCTGCTGAGGTGGAACACTTTTCTCTCCAAAAGAGGATGGCACAGTGGGCTGCTACAGCACCACACTGTGAAATGCAACAGCACTCACAGGCTGATTTATGATCACATTCACTGATGTGTTGTGATATCTGTGCAACGAGCAGAAAATGGCACTTTTGCAGATAAAGAAGGTAGAATTTCCTTTTATAATTTTAGACAGCATGAATCTAACTGGTTGGGCATGCTAGAAAAGAAAATAAATTAAGTTAGGGTAAATTCAATTTATGGCCAGTGGCTGGAAAATACTTGTAAATTTCGGGTGAAAAATTATGCAAGAAACCCTCGCAGAGAATGCATTAATATGTATGCATTTTTCTCTACTTTTAAAGAACATTGCTGGGTTTTCAACATTTGCTTTGAAATGAGCAGAGAGATTTGAAAAAAAGAGAGGCAGGGTGAATGATTGCAGACTTGTTTAAGATTCATCATGTAACCTGCTGTCTGAGGATGATGATGTCTTGGTGACCAGTTATTGCATGGCCAACAGAGTGAGAATGTATGTGTGTGTGTGTGTGTGTGTGTGTGTGTGTGTGTGTGCGTGTGTGAAGCTTCTACTCTCTGCTGCTGCCTCTCACGAGAGCAATAGAGTGAATCCAACATCTCTATATGAAACAACATGCTTTTTATACACAGGGGACACCTGTGCATGTGCATGTTGGTGTGGGCATGTTGTGTGTATTGTTTGTAGCCCCGGGGCGTTTTCTGGGAGAGGACCACATAGAGAGCGTAGCCCGAGTCCTTGATGCTCTCCTAAAGTTTGGAGAGTCACAGTTCTGAAACACAGTGTGCTGTGCAAAAGAAGTTACTGTCAACTTCTGGCAAAGAAATGATTTTTAAGCTCTTCACAGTATGTTAACTTCATAAAAGACTGATAGGCCTGAAAAATTACGGATCAATTTTTGAATTCTAGCCAAGTGTGTGTGTGTCAGAAACTGAACTTTGAAAATCAGCAACCATTTTTCATAATGACCTCTACTTTTTCCTGAAGGTCATTATAAAAGTGAATAAGTATTTTTTACCTCTGACTGCCTCATGAATGTAGGAGAGCAGATCCTAACGATTGAGCTTAGATTTCAGGAAAATAAAAAAAAAAACTATCAGATAAAACTTTTGCAAAACTGATGATATCAAACATATTTCCCAGTAGTATGGTTTTATTTGGAAACCATGCTGTCAAGAGTAAAAATTAAACAACAAACAGACAAAAAAAATGCGGTTTTATAAGTGAATAAACGTGTGAGAAAAGGCACGGCAGGGAAAGGGGGTGGGCTTACCTGCAGCAGCCAATAGCATCTACGATGGAAGGTGGGGATGATGGAGGAGTGGACGTAGCAGCCATACAGACACTAGAGAGAGGAGAGGAAAGGAGAGGAGATTGCCAGGATCAACGGTAAAATTAAAAGGGGGGGTAAGCAAGACAAAAGTGGAAAAAGGAGAAAAGAAGGAGTCGACAGTAAATGAGAGACAGGAGAGGAGAACTCAGGTTATACCCACTTAGGTTGTATTGATTACGGTGCTAAAACAAAATCGCTAACACACTGTATGCATTTTTTTCCCTCTCTAATGTTGTTTCTAAAATACCATAAATCTGATGTTGACAATTACAGCGCAGGAGATTGTGAAATATACTGCCTCAGCAAGACTAGACACAGGCCACTTGGAATTCACAAAAAGTCACAATGTTGTAAGCGTACAGACACTGCAAGATAGATCAGTAACAGCAAAGAGGGCAAAAAAAGAAGAGTGGGAAAATGCGGGGAAGTACAGAGTGAAGGTGGAGTGTGAGGTAGTCAGACAAGATGAAGAGGGAGACTCGATACAGCAGACAAGCCTCAGAAATACAATACAGTGTACATTTGAGCGTGAGTGTTATAAGATTGCAATCCTTTACCTACAGATTGCAATATTTTCAAACATATTTTATCATATTTTAGAGTTAAAAGTTCGTCTGTTATTTTACACTCTCTACTGCATGATGCAATTTCAAACCTTTGTTTCAGAACCGATAGCAGAATAAAATGTACCTATAAAATACAACACTTACAATTGAAAAGCTAAATCATGGAGTGAATGTGGAATGTAAATTAGATGCAATAGGATGTAACCTCTAATTTAGAGAAGTACTTATCTAGATACTGAAAATGTCGTATTGAAGATAATTTAAAAAACAGCCAGGCTCCAGTTTATAAAAGTTTTTCTTACACTGTCCTATAAAAAGCATCACTGTTGACACTCAATATTTAGGTTTGATACCTCTGTGCACCTTAATACATCGTGTGTGTATGTGTGTAGTGTTTGACGCAGCAAGAGTAAAGTGACGACAAAAATACCTCCCGTCAAGGTCATCACTGACTTTTTTCACAAGCATTAAAATCAGGGATAACACACACACACACACACACACACACACACACACACACACACACACACACACACACACACACACACACACACACACACACACACACACACACAAAAGCAAACCGTGTAACAACAAAATAGCACACAGAACACAAAAGTACTTAGCAATCAGGCTATATATAATCAAAGCTTACAACTCCTGTTTTCTTTCTTGTAGACACTCGTATTTTCTCGCCATTTTGCCTCTTCTCAGAAGTAGCCCGCCCTCTATCTAAAGTGTGCTTTGCCAAAGGCAGAGTGCATTTCCATATATTTCCATTCGATATGAGGAGGCTCTTCATCCAGGGTTATGTTTTTCTCTCCTGCTTCCTGCCTCTCCCTCTGCTCATCTCACCGCTCCGCTTCTCCCTCATTCCCGTCCCCTGCTCTACACACTGCTTGCTTGCTTGCTTGAGGGGGTCCTGGGAAGATGTGACACAAACAATTACTGAGCAACTACCAGGGAGAGGAACACTCGCCTTTGTATATATATATGTATGTGTGTGTGTGTGTGTGTGTGTGCATTCATCCATGATTGCAGAAATATTGCATGTGCGATGAATGTCAATGGGAGTGTGAGCTTGTAAATAATAGAGGTGCAAATGGGAATACTTGATCTCAATTATTCCTTCTACCTCCGTGTCTGTTTCGCCCGTCTCCTGCTCACCTTTAAAGCAAAATTATCTGCCCCTCTGCAAACATCTATGTGCCCTCCCCTGGCCCCACCTTCACTCTCCCTTCTACCTCATTCTTTTTGTTTCTGACATATGCATGCTCGCTTCTCTCACCTCTCCGTATATTCCTGCTGAATAATCAATTTTTGAGCTGGCTGATGTGACTCAAACACACACGCACACACATACACACACACACGCACAGACGCTGCCTTGAGACTGGATCGATACCCCTCTCTGTTCTGCTGAAGGAGGCATTGACATCATTCCTGGCCTCAGGCCAAACACACTCTTATCCTTCAGAAAGAGAGAGAGAGACAGAGGGAGAGGCAGGGAGAGGAAAGGAGACAGGGACACAAGTAGGGAGGGGAGTAAAGAGAGAGGGGCACCACTCGCTCTTACGAAAAACACATTGGCTTCACCATGTGTGTTTGTGTGTACATTTGTGTTGCATGTCTGTGTCTCCTTGGAGTCAAGGAGAGTAAGTTTAGGACGGGATTGGCAGTGAAACTGTAGTCAGCGCCAAGCATGTTCATCGACTTGTTTTTCTGCTGCAGTCTCTCACCTCTACTCCCTGGACTTTGAGCTTCATGTGATCCTCTCGGGTGGTCTTCCCGTCTTTCCTTTTCTTCCAGCAGTAGCCATCTTTTCTGTACTTCACCTTCTTGCGATTGTAGAGGATCATAGAGCCATTTTGAGGCCTGATAAAGGAAAGCATAAAAACACATTAGGTGTAGTATTAAACGCTTTAAAACTGAAAATTTAGCAAAAGGGAAACCGACTAGTAGCAAAGATTTCTCCTGCATTGCCGATTCATAAATACTCGCTGACACAGGCAAATCATGTTGTTGTGTCAATATTACCCTCTCACAGTCAAGTTTACAGCCCCCCCCCTCTTATACGTAGACTCACACTCCTACATGCTAATATTGTAGCAAAGTGATTTATCAGCACAGCGGGAACATTTGCCTATAAGCTGCTATTCTCTTTACACCTGGTGGGAAACACATACACAAACACACAGTACATGTGGAAACACATAGATGCTATAATGATATAAGACCTGGCAAGACCTACTGCTGTGTGTTCTTCAGGCTCAATGTCAGACCTGCTGCTCAGCAATCAATCATTACACTTCTAAAACGTTAAGGACAGGTGTGTGTTTATGTGTGTGTGTGTGTGTGCGTGTGTGTGTGTGTGTAGGTGGAGCAAAAATGCTTCTCTGCCTTATCTCATGACAACAGAAAGAGAACAGGCCCGTTAACAATCAATAAACTGACACATACTCACAAGTGCTCTCTCCCTCACACACACACACACACACACACATACACACACACACGCACGCACACACACACACACACACACACACACACCTCCTCTCTCCTCTCTCTGCCCTTCTCCATCAACCTTCAGTCTTTATCCCTCTTATCACAGGATCTCTTTATTTTCTATTTACCGCTTCTTCACTTCCAACATTCTTCACTTATATATATATATATATATATACTTGATCTCACATTGTTTATTCTTGAAACTGCTCTTTTATTGTGTGTCTCCTCTTATTTCCTCCCCTTATATTCTCTCATTGTCTCCTCTTTTTTTACCCTCCTCTATCCTCCCCTGGATTTTGATGTGGACCCACCTATATGGACTGAGATGATTGCAATCTACTCAGAACACTGTGTGTAGTGAAATTGAATTTGCTTTGAGCTGATTTTCTTTGACACCTTAAATCTGCTCTGTTTTGGGGCGAGCCTGCCAGCTTCTTAGCAGAGTGGAGACCCCCACCCTCCGATCAAAGCCGAGTTTAGTCTCTGTCTCGAGCGGTGTGAGTCATCTCAGAGCTGCTGATTCTAATTATGTTATGGAGAAGATGGATGAGATCAGATGTGTGCCTCTGTGTGTGTGTGTGTGTGTGTGTGTGTGTGTGTGTGTGTGTGTGGGAGGGTGGGAAATACGTGCATGTTCATGAATATGTGTGTGTGCGTGTGTTTGCACACGTGGATGATGCCCATGTTCCTCACAAAACCTCTGATTCAAGCAGACATAAATGCTATTGATTGTAACTGGGCTGTGATGTGTGGGATATAAAAAGCTTTTCCACCGTTCCACAGTGTAGCAGAGCGAAAACAGAGAAGGTAAAGGGAGGAGAGTGGGAAAGATATAAAAAAAAGAGACGGTAAGATAAAGAGACGGAGTGGGCGAGCGAGTGAGTGAGTGAGTCCAGTAAAGGGAGGAGAGGAGGAGGAGTAGAAAAGTGAAGGAAAGAGGAGGTAACAGTTATTACTTTGAATTGATGAGCTATTTCACTTGAAGGGAGAAATGAAGGTCATTGATTGTTATCTTCATATCGAACCCCACAAGTGTATGTTAACATGTACAGATTAAAACACACAAACGCAGTCACGCAAAGCCACACATAAATATCATTGGCTCCGTTAGCTGAGCTCCTTTCCATCTGATGGGATTAGGTGTAATCTGTTCTAATCGTGCCTCGTGTCATGTGTAAATGGGATTATATCTAACTGCTGCTCAATAACACCAATATGACTGCTGCTGCTGCTTCTGTAGATGCTGGGAGGCTGGGGCTGTACGGCAGCACAACCAATCAATGAGAAATCCATCCACAACATAAACCGTGCAGCTGGCCTCAGGCTGCTCCTGAGAAGAGTCCTTCAGCTGGCACAATGGGAGCGCACAGGCATCACCTCGGGCTTTCAGCTGTGTCAGTAATCAGAAATAGTGCCAGGAGGTGACCTCTACACTTACTTCACTTATTTTCTCTACTCTTTTTTTTTTCTTCTTCTTTTTATCACAGCTACATTTGTATTAATCAAAGCAAATGTCAATAAGGTCATTTATCAATAATTTAAACAGCCCTCTTCCATCAGCTTTTCTTTCTCCTCCTGCGTCTTCCCTGTCTGACTACTACCTCTTGCCATTTCGAGGAAAAAAAGCTACCTATTCGGATCGATGAATATTCAGTTCTGCCATGTGAATCCCTGTTCACACACCGCCTTATGTACACAAACCCCACCTCTCCCTTTTTAAACCCCTCGTCACCCTGCTGTATCTGAATTATACATCACTTATCCTAATACATTTACATTCATTATTACTCCATTTCCAGCTGACGAGGTGCTTTACAGTCCGGCCATATTCTGGAGCGCTCTCTACATGTGGAGCGGGCTGTCAGTGGGAGCCCTTGGAGATAGTGGAAGTACATCACTAATGTTTTAATCAAACACAGGCACTCAGTCATTTAGATTAAACCAACGTGACTCACTGGCTGATTGAGCGATGCCGTGTTTGTACCTGGGTGTACGTGTGTGGAAACCACTATCTGCAATCTCCTCACCTGGTTTTTGGCGATGTCGTCAGCCACTCATCATGTTTCTCAAAAGTGATGAGATATGCAGCAATCTCCTGAAGAGACAAAAGACAAAAAGGTTACATTGCTGTGTGTGCATTTGTGCATACGTACGTGCATGTGTGTGTGTGTGTGTGCGTGCGTCACAGAGAGATAAAACAAAACAGGTATTTCCAGATGACCTGCTGATGCCCACAGAGAGCGTGTCACTATCTGATTGCCGCGGCGATGTCCTGGCGCCTGATTGGTTGCATCACAGCCAGTCAGGAAGCAGATACGGAGGACGGTCCCTGAGGGCCAACAACCAATCACGCTCACCGACACACCGATGTCCTCTCCACCGGAGAGGAAAAGCTATCTCCTCAATTCACCGACACATGCAACGTAAACACACACACACACACACACACACACACACACACACACACACACACACACACACACACACACACACACACACACACACACACACACACACACACACACACACACACACACACACACACACACAGTGGGGGTTCAGGCCCAAACACTAGCTTAGAGAGTTGGCTGATAGGAAAAGTTTTCTTGTACTTAGCAGTTTCACAGTTTCCCGTCAGATAAAGCTTGCTCCTAACTTGATTCTTAATTCCTCTGGCTCTCTTTTCATCTCCTCAGCTCTCCTCTCCTCAACACACTATTTCTATTCTTCCTCTACACTCACATGAATCCAATAAGGGGGGTAAAAAAAATAGGGTTCAAATCATACAGGTTCATTCTTCCGAGTGAGGGAAAACAAAACGTCCATACACACAGAGACACGAGGAGATGCAGCCGAAAGAAACTACTGTTTATACCTGCTGCTGCTTTTTACTTGCTCATGCAACAGTGCTTCTTTCCCTTTGCTCGCTGAACTCTCTCACCCCTGGCTTCCTCCTTGAAACATCATTCTCTCCCTTCCTATCTCTGACTCCTAGCTCACCCACTTGTTGTGAAAGACTATGAAATGTAAATTGTCCTCTTAAGGCAATCAGTGTTTGAAATGTGCCACAAAGCAATAGTGAAGAAGACATACACACTCCAACACTCCTTCATCTGCCCCCTCAGATCAACAGCCTCCTCTCCAGACCTCCTCTCCCTCTCTGCCTCTTTCTGTACGTGTGAATTTGTGTGTGTGTGTGTGTATGTGTGTGTGTGTGTGTGCGTGTGTGTGTTTTTAGGTATTTGTCCCAGTTTGGCATGAGAGCACTTTAGCTCCACACCGATCAGACGAGATGGAGGGACAAAGACAGAGGAAGGGAAGAAAGGCTGGGAGAGAGGAAAAGGGAGAGCAGCTGGAGGGTGCTGGCACTTAACTGGATTGTTTGTTTTTTTTAGTATCCTCCATTCGGTAGTCACCCCCCGCCCCATCCCCCTCACCCCCCATCCGCCTGGCTCTGAATTTAATGTGTTTACATATAAATATGTGTGTGTGTGTGTTGTGGGAGGTACTGTCATCACACCCTTAATAATTATCACTATCAAGGCTTGCCACTGTTAATGTCTGTCTGGCTTAGGCACATAAACGCTTAAGCCATAGCTGGGGACACCAAAATACACCAACAGACACACACGCACACACACACAAGTAGTGTCTCATTCACTTATGCATCTATTCATTAGCTGTGACAGGCAGCCACCTCTCCTCCTCCCAAACCACTCCGCAGCAAGTCAATATCCTATACGGCCTCCACAGTCCCGGCCAGGCAGTAGGGCTCCCCTAGTGACTGTCAGCCAGTGGGAGGCAGGAGGAAAGAGGAGACGCAGAGAGGAGACAAGGGGCTGGGAGAGACAGAAGGATGGGAGGATTAAGAAGGGAGGGGAAGAGACTTGCAATTAAAGGCCTGCCCCATAAGAGCCATTAAAAAGCCAGAAACAGAAGAGTCAGCTGAAATGGCAGCCTGACACACACTCTAAAACACACCCACACACCCACATATACACACACTCGCAGTGCAGACACGCACTGACGCTATCTCTCTCACAAACACGCGCGCGGCCATGTGAAGAGTGACAGAAGTGAGATGGTGAAGGTCGATCCTCAGGAAGTCACAGTTATTGTCCCAGCGGAAAGCAGTGATGGAGCGCTTTGAGCATGCCTGGCGACACACTGACCCTTCAGGAATACTGAGAGTGTGTGTGTGCATGTGTGCATGCGTGTGTGTGTGTGTGTATAAGAGAGCATTAGCAGTGCCAGACACAGCGACAGGGACAAGTGTCTTTCTCAAGGGATCTACTCTAGAAACCCAGACGTTCTGCATGTCTGTGTGAGTCTACATAATAATACATTACGACAGGCACAGATGAATGTACAGACAGACACACTTTTTCCCAACACACCTCTTCCTGTCTGCCTGGACGTGCATGTGTGTGAGAGGATAGTGAGGAAGAGAGTTACTTAAGAAATATCTAACAAAGCAGAGCACATGAGTGGGAAGTTAGATTGGAGCGAGCGATGCAGTTGGGGAAATCAGCCTCCCACTCACGCATCACTGAGACCATCTCCCTCCAAGAAACTGGTGGCATGTACAGAAAAAGCAGACAGACAGACACACACACACACATATGCACACACATACACATTCACATACACTAACAGGCCTCAGGGAGACCTCCACAGGAGGGAGGGGGAAAAAGGAAGGAGGGTGGGGGAGGTCGCCTACACTGCAACAGACTTATCCAGGAGCTCTCCCCAGGGAGATTCCATTATAGGGTCTTGCCAAGGGCTACTATGTGTGTATGTGTGTTTCAGTGTGTATGTGTGTGTGTGTGTGTGTGTGTGTGTGTCTGTGTGTGTGTGTGTGCCTGCGCATCTGAAGTTTGATGATGAGCATCACCCTGACAGAGATCTGGGGGAAAACAGAGTTGTCTGTAAACTGAAACTGTCACATCCATTCGCAGTGCCTGAAATGATGGCTGCCTCTGGTTCTCACCACAGAGATCATTTGGCATCGAAGACTTTACTTTGGCGGTGCAGGGGAGGCAGCGAACTAAAGGGTCCTGTTCAGCCACAAATCAGCCACCCTCCTCAGCGTGGTAGGTCTTGTATACATATATGGGAAGAAAGGACTGCATTAGCATTACCCAAACTGCAGCTCTACAGGGGCGGTCTGCTGATGCTGTAATTTGTTCCAGAGTACCTCCGCCGATTTCTTCCTTCCTTCCCAGAACAGCCCGTCAGTGTCTGACAGTGATAGACACCCGATCCAAAAATTGTCTCCCGTTTTTATTATTTTCATGTTTTTGCAGACTGCTCTCTTCTCTGAGGTTGATATTTTGATCCAAAGCGAAGCACTATCTCAGCCGTTTGTTCAACCCACATGTTATTGATTAAGCTCTATTTTTAAACACGCCTCCTTCGAGGGCTCATCATGTAAATGAAGAATAATAGCAATCACTAACTAAACCTATATTGTGAGGAAAAATGATTTGAACGATGATAATCAATAATCCATTAAAACGGAGAAGGTGCCTGTGGGGATGTTATTATCCATGGTTGTTGACAGAAACGTGACAGGGTTAGTCTCTCACAACGGGACTGAATAACCTCTGAAATCCCTGACATCATGGAGCTATGGCTGCTTTTAAACACAAACCTGTGTAGACTACTGGTAAATAGAAGTTAAAGGGATGTTCTGGCATAAAATTAATTTAGGGTCAAACACACCGTAACACCGAGTTAGACACCCCCTCGAGAGATGAATGTTGCTGACTACTTGCTTCTCTAGTTATACCAACTTTAGTAACGACCGCATGATAGCAACACACAGCGGTCTGAAGAGCCACACAAAAGCCTCAACCAAAACGCCACTCTATAACCACAAATAATGCTCAGAACAGCACCTAACTTCATCAACAGTACATATACGGTCCCAGCCATAGCACTAGCCACCAAACATATTTTTAGCTTTGCCTAATTTCTTTAGAAAAGAGACTAAACACAACTCACCAACTCTCTTCCAGCAGCCGCTTGTTTGTATGGAGACCTCCGGGCGAGTCTATCGACTGCAATGGGGTGACGCAGCTTGAGGAAGAACATTTCTGATCATTACTTTATCGTTTCTTTGAAGTAATAATCCCCATATTAATCATTTTGCACTGCAGACACAGTAGTTCTTCTGCCTTAGTGTCTCGGTCTGATTGCACTTCCATGTTCTTCCTTGAGCTGCGTAACCCCGCGGCAGTCCGTAATGGACTGGCCCTATATGTACTGTTGATGAAGTTAGGTGCTGTTCTGAGCATTATTTGTGGCTATAGAGTGGCTTCTTGGTTGAGGTTTGAGTGTGGCTCCATAGACGGCTGTGTATTGCTATTGTGTGGCCGTTACTGAAGTTGGTACAACTAGAGAAGCAAGCAGTCGGCAACATTCATCTCTCAAGTGGGTGTCTAACTCTGTGTTATGGTGTGATTGACCCTAACCTAATTTTATGCCGGAATATCCCTTTAAGAGTTGGTTGTGTTTGGCTTTAAGCTAATGTAAATAATAACATTGAAAATAATGTCTTGTTTGTACTTTGTTCCTATAACCTGGCTAATTAAAATGTTTGGCTCTCAACACAAACACAGCCCGACAATGAGTAACAAAGGGTAATTTTGTTCTGTTCTAACCACACAATAAAATTCCATCAAGTCAATTGTAAACCCGAGCAATAATGTGTAGTTTATATTATATTCCCAAACTGCCTCGCTCCCCGCTGTGTGGTACTTTCAACAGCCTTTATATTACCTCCACTGGCTAATACAACTGCTTAATGCTGTTTCCATAACAACTGTTGCAAAACCCCTGATCAGAATTCCTCTCAAGCTTGCCTCGTGTTTATCATATAAACACCTCATCACACACTGGGAAACACACACATTCACACATAAAAGACTTGTACACACATGCATACAAATGGGCTGTCCATTAATACACAAAGTCGGCCGCGTGGGGAGTAAATAAATAAATAAATAACAGGAAAACTTGTCTTGGCTTTTTCTGTCTCCTCCTCACAGCAGAGAACACACAAACACACACGCACACAAACACACACACACACACACACACACACACACCTGTAGTGCTGGATTATCATTAGAGGACAGGGTCTGACCTTCAAAAGGGGACCCGCCTCTTTCACCTGGTTGGGAGAGAGACATGCATGTTACATCCATCTCTGTCACAGAGATTCACACAGCCCCATTGTGCACATGCGGACACACATTTGCACTTACACACACACACTTCAACATACACACAAACAAAAAAAGCTCCCGTGTTAAAGCTAATGCATGGGAAGGTGCACAGGCATGAATGAGTGCGCAGACACACACACACACATGCACCCAGAGAGGCTTGGTCTCAGAGGAGTGTGTGTTGGCTGCTGCCTGGCTGAGTGACGGCTTTATAATGAAATAGTCACTCTCCCCTCTCCTTCACTCCCTCACTACCTCCCCACTTGGTTTGACCTCTTTACTTTCACCCACCTCCCTCTTTTTTTTCTGTCCCTCTCATCCCCCCCACATCACCGCCAAATATTTAGAAGTTCAAATGTTGAAGGTTGCTACACATACACACACGCCTATACATTGCACAAACTTTCTTAAGCTGAGACCTGAGTGTGAGGACGAGTCTGCTCCAATCCACAGAGGGAACATCAATCATCCTTTTCTAAGACTTCCTCTCTGTTGCGCACCTTACCTGTCCTCTTCCCCTCGCCTCGTATTTGCATTTGAGGAGACGGCCCCCTCTGTCTCAGCAGGGGGGTGAGCACATCAAAGGCCGCAACAGGTGTGTGGTGTCAAACACAATGCCAGGACCCCTGCTGCGCTAGGGCGTCTTGGATAAAGCCTGTCAGAATTCTCAAAAACTCCAACAAAGTTAACCAGGTAACCCTGCGCACACACATACACACACACACTTGTATAGAAACTCATACACACACACGCAGACGCAGAGGTTTATTTGAAATCTCTAATGACGAATGTGTGTTTGCCAGTGGGAGGCAGAAGAAGACAGAGAGTAAGAGAGAGGAGAGTGGGGAGAGGGTGGGGGTCTTACTGAAGGATTCTCCAGCGGTTGTGTTAACCCCTGATTCCTCATCGCTCTGTGAGTCACTCTACCCTCTGAGGTTCATCTCTGCTCTGCTATTCTTGGTCTTATTGTATCGAGGAGGTTTGCTATGTTAAAGAGAGAGCTGCACAGAAAGAGAAAGAAGGGGCAAGAGAGGAGAGGGGTGGGGGGGTAGTGTGTGCCACCTCTCATTGGCATAAATACTTGTTTACAACGAGACATAAATTGGCACCCTGTCAGTCAGTCTCTCTATTTCTCTCTCCTCTAACTCCCCGACTCTCTTCCCCTCCATGTCTCTATCTGTCTTTCTCTCTCCCTGCCTCTCCCTCTGTGCTGCTAAGCGTATTACAACACTCCCTGGTTCAGCCCTCTCTCATTACCATATTCTAATTACATTCGTTAAGGGGAGCATTTGGGAGTTTAATGAATAAATTTGAAAGATGGGTCTCCGTGGCGATCTTTAGGTTTTGTCTCCTTCTCTACACACTGAAGACGGGACCACATGTGTATGCGTGAGCGTTGCAGTCAGAGGTTATGCACCTGGTTGGAATGTGTGTGTGTGTGTCTGAGTGTGTGTGTGTGTGTGTGTGTGCTCTAGGTAAATATCACTGTAGCTCCATTTCAGAAGAAACAAACAAATCTAGTTAACTGCTAGAGCTCACGTGGACTCCTCTGTCTCCAAAAATCAATTCAGAATTCTGTTTGTCTCTGCCAAATAAAGATTTCATGTCATTTGTTTGTTGTTTTGGAAGAAATTCTCCAAGCCACCCATGTTGAAGTCATACATATTTAACTCTCCTCAAGCCTCAAAAACAAACTGTCAAAGACAAGCATCAATTTACTGATGTAAAATCTGTCTGCACCATTGAGTTTATACTCTCGTCCCATTACTGACGTGGCTACATATTAGGAGACATGCCGGTGAAGTTACAACAAAGTAAACATGAAAGGTTACCAACGCGAAGTTATGTAGTTATGTCTGTCTCTAACCAGGATTAAGCCTTAGGCAGTCGCCCTGAACAGACTGTTCGTACAGGCCGTGCAATCACTCTTTCAGGGTATTGCGAAATGTGATGTACCTTTCAAATGATTTAATAAAGAGTCCCAAATGCATTGATTTTAAATTCTGATGACTGAAAGCTTGCGCTTCAAATGGTAAATCCCTCATTGCTAAGACATTTCACTATAAAAACTAACAATTTAATGCACTTTTAGTCAGCCAACCACCATTGATTACTGATAATTAAACAAAAGCACAAGAAACTGAAAGATCGAGTAAAATCCCATCTAAACCCTTCCCTTAAGAATAAACTTACTGAAACTCTACTCAGCTGAAACGATCTTTTTTATTCAGCTAAGTTTCTAAAAATCCCAGAGAAGGTTTTCGTGAATTTAGTGGCCAGCAAAATTCAGCCAGCATGAGCAACTTCTTAATTGTGTTTCGTAGAAAACATTAGTAAATTGCCTCACTTTGAATTTGACTGACCATTTCATCTTAATGATTCAGCCTTTCTTTCACTTCGCTTGAACCACTACAGGACAGACTGTACTCCTTCCATAGCTTACAAATTACATGAGCAGTGAGATGCCGTCAAGTCTAATGTCTGATCAACGTAATCCATGCCATTAATAGTTTATAAGTGTACAGTATAGTGAATCAATAGATCCAAAGGGACTCCTCTTCACTGAGGATACAGTGTATTTACAGTGATGATGCACTGTGCAAGGTGTCAGCACCCTCTCTGCAAACACTCTGACTCATGCAGTGGGCGCAGTAGTATGTTAGTTATCTTTAAACCTCTTTATAATGTAAGATGCATGTGTATAAATAACAAGGAGAAAGAAAAATATTAAAAATCCTTTCATTGTTGAGAGTAGGACAACAGTGGTGATCTTTTGAAGATATATTTCTTCACCTCAATGCGTATAGTTCTGTCAAAGATAATTAGTAATTGTTCTAATTTAATGCACTTTTAGAGACTTTAGAGGAGACAGACATCAGTCATTGCCTGCCGTGCTGTCCTGGTAACTTTCCACCTCATATAAACTGTAATGGTGTGTGACTTTCTACTTCAACATGGCAATGGCACCTTAGAGCAGACAGAGTGCGCAGCTTACAGCCTCACTGAGAGAGTGATGCTGATGTTGTGTGCTGGATATTGTTAAGACCAGCAAACTGGCACGCTGCATTTACAAACATTCAGCCAGAGCATACATGCTGCCAACAAGAGGCACTCATGCAGTTACAGGCTTAACACTTGGTAATACCTGTTTCTGGGCTGGAACATCTCACTGTTGCCATGTTTGTTGCTGTTTCGCTGGAGTAGTGAGTGAACACTTCACAGGATAACGATCGCATTTTTTGCTCCAAGTATTACAGAGGAATCTTTAAGGAGACTGAGATTGTGTTAGCACAAACTTCCCCTGTAAAGCACCCAGAGGCATAGATGAACACTGGATCACTGTCACTTAACCAAGAAACAAGTGAGATGCTCTCACTTCTGTATGAGGTGGTTATCGCCCCCTAGGCCGACGCTTTATATCAACTATACATTCAAAAAATTAAATATACGCAGTGCCAGAATGCAAATGAGGTATCAGTATTCCTAAAAGAGTTTCCTCTTCAGAGAACAAGATGATGGATGATAGATAACAGCCGAGCTGGTCCTCGACTAATGACACAGCTGCATTACAATACATAACTTGCTACGCAGTTAATATTGTGCATGCACAGACCCCAAACACACACTCGCACAAATGCCACCCTGTTTAATCCCTTGGGAATCAGTGAAATTTGATTATCGTGACTTTTACAAACACACTCCATATGAGAGTAGACGTTCAATACATCAGCAGGAGGGAAAAAGAGGAGTGAGTGTGAGGAAGAAGAGGGTAGAGACAGGAGAATAGGGGTGCCAGGCAGAACTGCAGGTTGGAAGGGGAAACACTAGACACACACATACACTCACACAAACATTATATGCACATAGGGTCTCGTGTGTCTATTATGGTAAATATAGGAAACGCTATATTAACCAGTCACCATATACTGTACATGTCCCAGAATAAATATTGTGAATGTGTAAATTTACAGGATAATAGTAGCAGGAATTCTAGTTGCAGAGAGCGAAACACTTCACTTATATTGTTTTTTAGTGTGGATATTATAGAGTAGAAGGTAGGGCTGGGCGATATGGGAAAAGTTTTTCACAATATATTTTTTTCATATCAGTCCATATCACTATATGTCAGAATATAAAAAATGAAATTTAACAGTTCTTATTGGTAGCATGTCTTTTGCAATACAATAAGCTACTGCATCTGTGAGGTCTTTGTGTCTCTTTGACGTTTTGTTGTACAGCGTTGAGCTAGTGAAAGCGGAATGGACGGCTGTCTCTGCTCCTTGCTCCGCTCGGGGTTTGTAACCTTTTGCATTGTGCATGGTCTGCCACGTGGCACTGCCTCAGGTGGTGAAAAAGATTTGAGGTATACCTCGACATGTACTCAACATAATTTGCAGTGCACTTTACTCTGCTTCATGTCTGACCTAAAAAAAAAAAAAAAATACCTCCACACCACTGATGTTTTCGTGCAAGTGTTGTTGACGATGTCATCATCTGTTGAGCCTTCATTTGCATTTCTGCCAGGGGTAGCACTCATTTTCTTTTTTTCTCACTGATAGCGCTGTCAGCTTCACCTGTTAAAGTGCTATGGTTGTGTGTAGCTGCAGCCTGCTACTACGCAGTTGTTTGCTACTTGGTTCTAATTCAGCACAAGATTGATTCGGCATAAGGCAGACCCGGAGCAACTCCCCTTTTCATTGGCTATTCATATAGTCTAGCGAAACATGGCAGAATGCTGGCTATTGAAAAGCATGTTGACCATGTTTTATATTGATATTGAGGAAAATAATTTTTCGATAGATATCGTTATCGTTTTATCGCCCAGCCCTAGTAGAAGGCCAATTACTGTGTTGACTAGGCTGTTGACTGAGGTCTGTGGGAAAAATCAGACCTGATTGAGATTGAGGTTAATTTATTATGGTTTCATACATGGCCAGGTCATGAGGGGTGTGTGAGTACTACAGCAACATGATACAGTTTTATAAGCTGAATGTCATGGTTAAAGGTAAAATGAACTTTTATTACCAGTCGGTGTTCTCTGATCAATATATACATGCCTCGTCTATTTTAGGTTTCAGGAAACATTTGTAATTGTAAAGAAGACCACATGAAGCCAAAACGCAGTTGATGAACATGGTGAACAATGTGCAGTAAACACAGCAGGTGTGCTCCAAGACGTTATAACTTCTCCTCACATTAACAAAAAAAACTCAGACCTTAAGAAATGCTACACCGAATCTTAAAAACTTTCATCTCTGTGTTAGTGCAATTTACTCCTAAATACTATATTAACCAGTCCCCATGCACACACAGATATCACATCAAATGCATAGAGTAAATTGATAATGACTGGAAGAAAATTAAAATGTTCTGAAGCAGCAATGTCTGACATTTGTTATCATTATGTTGTATTTTTGCTGAGCAGTAACAACATTGATTTTGCAATTACACAACCACATAATCCTACCAGTTTTAATTTAAAAAAAGGAGCTGAAGTTAAAAAGTGGCCACCGGTAGATTAAAGCCTATGAGGCCAAAACATTCATCTATGCAATATCACATCAAACAAAACTGTCAATTAGACACCTGTACAACCTCAGAGAAAACAAACAAAGTGGTCTGATGAGCTTTGCAGCCCCTTAGAAGATAAGTCTGCAAAGTTTTATTCCTTAGCACCTGATATCTTTCATATTTGCAGCCTACTTCCTGTCTGTGTGCTGTAGAAAGGTTAACAAGAAAGTTTTAGAGTAGCCACAGGGTTGGTGCTCTGCTTGAAGTTTACAGTCAACTTTTGCATGTCAAACAAATGTGTGTACCCATTAGGAAACATTCTTAATGTTTGTGTTAAAAGAGTTTTTTTCTGACTTCATGAATATAATAATGTTGCACTGAATATAAGAAAGTCATAACTTAGAAATGTCCTAATAAGCAGTGTGGGAATATTCTGTAGAGACCAAGTCAACATTTTGCAGGCAACAGCAAAAAAAATTTAAAAAGTAGAGAAATGTAAAGTAGTTAAATGCTATCAATGCAGAAATGAATCTAGTAAAATGCAATCTGAATTAATGAGTGGAAGAATTTTGTGGCTAGTCTACAATTTACAAGAAAGTGATCAATACGTTGGGATTTCTGGTGGAGCACAATCGGCTGACTGATTGTATTTTCAGAGAAGTGAAGTTGTCAGAGAGATTTGAAATATTTCCACAAATTTTTGACACAAAATAGTCTTTGTAGCGGCTGCCTTTCACAACTGCAGTTGGACAACTCTGAAATCCTCAGACAACAGTGACGAAGCAACAACCCTGTGCAAAAAAAAGCCTCTTCAACAATCCATGAAGAAATCTCAGCTGTCTGCAGACACACTCAGGAAGAATGATCATGTAAATTTATCGTAAATGTTATTGTTAGACTTGAGCCCTATCATATGCATTCGGCCAAAGACTACTCGCCTATGCAGGTGCAATATGAATAAAGATGTTTCACTGAAGCAGCCTCACTAAAAGTCAGAAAAACACATCAACAGAGCTCCAGGAACGGCAGTGATTGACTTGCAGTGTGATGTTACTGTTATTTTGGGGCTGTAAACGTGTAAAATCGTCTCATGCTGGTGTAAAATATGCTTGGCACTTCAGTCTTTTCCAGTTTAAAGGAGCAAAAAGTTAAAACCAGGTATAAAATTGTCCAGACAAATCCCAACACATGCAGTACAAGTGCTGTAAATAGGAGAATAAGGTCCACCTTTATGTGTGTCCACATGCACACACAGACACACAGACACACATACACGTTTTAATACTTTATCAGTCTCCACTGAGTTAAATCTAATTTACACAGGACTCATATTACAGAGGTTCTATGTGGGAACATTTAAGGATACAGAAAGTAATGTCTCCACTGCACAGTTTGGCTCCTCATTACAGGAGACTCTGCCGGTCATTCACTTCTGTTTGGTTGGGCTTGGAACCGAACATGAAGTTAAAACACAAAGACACACTCACAGGCAGGACGGGCACACATTAACTAACTCAGGCACACACACACAACACCCTCACAATCTCGGTCGCACATTCCCACTGTTTAATATATTTCTGTGTCTCCAGTTAACAATATTTTGTGTCAAATTATAGTGGGCAAGATAAATAGTGGGTCTGTGCAACGCAGAGAAAATAGAACAGGAGGAAATGTGGGGCTCTTAGAGACGAGAGGAGAAAAGGAGAGAAGAGAGAAGAGAAGAAGCAACACTAACCCCCGCCTCAGACACCTGGCTTTTTCTGACTAGACTTGTAAAACCTGGTTAATCCTGGCCCCTTGTGAACTTGTGTTTGCTGAAATATCTGCATGTCTAAAATAAGTGGAAATATCACATCTATGAGGCATCTTTGCTCACGTTGAATTTACTGAGCTCAGTCCCATTTTAAAATGAAAGGCCTGCTGGATAATTACATGTATCGACAAGGAAATTACATTTCATGAATAGAGAGATTCTAATTAATTCTTTGCATTGCAGCACATTTCGCTTCAATATTGCCGGTTTGGTCAGCAGGACAGAATGGATGTCAGGAGTCTGAGCGGAAATGGAAGTCACAACAGTCACAGAATGACGTTGGGTGTTAATTGGGCTAGGCTTGGCTCAGAGAGGAATGGAGAAATAGACAAATAGGAGGAGAAAAAGAGAGAGAGGAAAGGAGAGAGAGCCTGGAGGACTAATTAGTGATTATAACTTGGCGCTCTCCAAACATAAAATATCTCTCAACCCAAAAGACAGAGGAATGATTAAAGATAAAAGAATAGGAATCAAATATAAGGAGCTGTGAAACACCCCTCTGGTGTTGTACATGTGCATGTCTGTGTGTGCGTATGCATGTCTCTGAGCATGTGTGTGCGTGTGTGGGTGTGTGTTGTCTTCTTTGCCCCCCTCATTAAACCATGCTTTACTCTGGTAAACGGCAACAGCACAGAGCTCAATGTCAACGGGAGAGGTTAGAGCCATAGGCTGGCTCTGGGACACACACACACACACACACACACACACACACACACCAACTCTCAAGTGAACATAATATTAAACAAATACATGAACGGCACACCCATCGCATTTTCCAAATTGAAACTTTGGGCGAGTTTCCAAAGACGTGTTACTTTCGTCTTTGTTCAGACACAGCAGACAAAATAGAGCGGGTCAGTCTCTCCTGGACTCATGCCATTGTGAGCTGGACATTAGCGATTCACAAATCAGATTCATAAATCAAAGGCACCCTCCACCACAGTATAAATGAACAGAGGCCTGAAACTGACTGTCTGCTAACTCCAGTATTTTTTCATGTAGTCTGACATTTAACATTATCCCTCCTGTGTAACTTCTTCCCAGACACTTCTTCTGTTTAACTTACAGGGGAAAAAAAAGTGAAATATCGCTGCACAGACACGTAAAATTGGAGAGCATGTATAATTCATTCAATGTATCTGTCTAATGGCTCCTAAACAATAATAACGACATGAATAATAAATTAAACATAGACAAAGACACTGCAGATGTGACTGTTTTGGGGCTCAGACAAACTGAGACGGCACGGCACAGGTGAGGCGAATGTGGCTGGATACCTGATGTGATTATGTAAAACGTCTCAAGCTTTTGTCCTTTACATAAATTTGTCGTTTGTTTACCTGTACATGTTTGGCATTACAAGCAAGCGTACAGATTGTGTCACATCTGTCTTTTCACCTTTTGATGAACTAGACAATCACGAGCGGCGTTTGTGTCACGCATGCAACATCGATCACTCTATTAGCAGGAGCAAGCACACCTACAGACACACAAACACACACACGCACACACGCATGCACGCACGGACGGACCCAATCTGTTGCCCTGGCAACACCTACCCTTGATGCTCACACACACACACAGAGGGGGCAGATGTGGCAGTGGTCTAAAATGTATATGCTTTTAGATCAGCTTCTCATTCAGGCAATCATGTTAGTGTCATTGCAGCAGCACAGCCAGACATGAGCGTGTGTGAACTGTTAACTAGCTGCCTTCACACCATGCAGCCAGCTACCAATATATTACTGCATGCTATGAAAGGAGACTGACAATGAAACACTGCGTGATTCATATAGTATTATCTAAAAATATTAATACCAAAACATTGTCATCCCCTATTCTCCACTTGTCTCAAGAGAAGATATGTGGGTACTGACGTGCATGCAGAAGCATTGTGGCACAGACAGCTGTCGTCTGAGTGATGTTCTGAAGTCTGTACCAATCCGTTTGGCAGTTGCGTCATTTGAATCATAGTGGGGGGGCTGCTCTGAAGCAGAACCTTTTAAAATGCTCATGAGATTCATGCAATAACGTGCACATTTTCAGTGTGTGTGTGTGCATTTGATCGAGTTTTAATTTAAGCTTAGCGACGACACTTTTACCCAAAATTCAACTCTGCCTTGCTCTAAAACTACGAGCCAGGATGTCAGGGGTCCCCAAAAGAGTAATCGTATCTCCTCATAAGCTGAAGTACCAGGCTTTAAAGTTTCCCTTTGTCTACACCTCGAAAAGTTTGATCGCCACCTTATTACAGCACTCAGTAGAATTTGCTGAATCCAAACAACAAGTCATTCCCGATGGGTGGATAAAACATGCTCTACCATCAGTCTGTCCACCTGAGTGTGGTTTGTTATCTAAAACTAGTCTATAGTCTATTACCATGGACAGATACACATACACCCCCAATCTATTATTGAACAAAAGGCTCACGCCTCCGCTCAGCCCTTCAGGGAGGAATCCATCCCTCCATCCCGGAATAATTTCACACATCAGTAGATACACAAAGGAAAGAGAGAGAGAAAGAGAGAGAGAGAGAGACAGAGACAGAGAGACCGAGAGAGAGAGAAGAAAGAGAGGAAAGGACAGAGAGGAGGAGGTAGAGGAGGAGTGGACAGGGGAAAAATGTATGGGCTCAGCTCAGCGCTGGTAGGAGGCCAAGGTGTCGGGGGAAACCATGCGTGACAAAACAGAGATCAGAGGATCATATGCAATTGTGCACATGTGAAAGAAAACATACACACATCTCCACACACACGCGCATGAACACAGACACTCACACACTTGCAGAAAGCATGCCAAGAAAAAGGTGAGAATGAGGACATATCAAATGAAGACTTGCAAAGATTGGGTCTGACTTAATCAAAGACACGCAGATCTCTTTATCTGTCACACTCTGCTCGTATTCATTTAAACACACACACATATGCACACACGCACACACACTTACACTACATTCACAAACACACTAGGCCGTCAAGTGATGTGGTTCCAGTAAATAATCAATATTTGATACCTGTTTGGATACCACGGCAACAAAAAATGATTTCCTGGGCACTCCTAATGGTAATGAGAGCTAATTTTATGTTTCCAACCTTCACACTGTGCCAAAAAAACTAACTGAACACAAACCAACATTTGTCATACTGTTAATAGCACTGAAAGGCAAAATAAATAAGATTTTTCCTAAAAATAGTCTGCCTCTGAGTCATGATGCATAATCCAGAGGTGAGTGTATCTGCAGAGGGTGTATTCTCTGTCTGGATTTTCTAGTTTTCTCACAAATGTAAAGGGCATCAATCATTGGACAGAGGTGAGGATCTGCCTGACCGTCTACAGGGTGGGACTTCTATCTATCTCCTCTGCTCTGTGGTCATCTGCAAAAGACAGAAGTGTGGTGTGTCTTTACTTAATGCCAAAGAACTTAACAAAAGTCAATATTTGCCAACTTTGGCGAATCAACCTTTCGCGGTGGTGGCTGTGTAAATAAGTATAGAGACACACACAGAAGGTAGGCATGAATTCTGATGCAAACAAACCAAATCTGGCAAGTTTTTGCGCAAGTGTGGGTGCATCTACTAGTGCTGGAGGGTGCATCCACTGCAAAACAATCGGGAAATGCTTCTCTCAATCTCTCTCTCTCTCCTCATTTCACGTATGTCGACTGACTATCACTCTTTGCTCTCTCACTTTCATTTTCGCAGCAGCTCCTGGTCAAAAATATGACCAGTGATATGAGTGTGAGTCTTTTTTGTCAGACTATAGCGCTTTTCAACACCACTGGATGTAGAAATAATGGAATTTAATAAATTTTATTAGCTAAATTCAAAACTTCATATGTGACAGCTAAAAACTGATTGATCTGGAAATCCTATTCAAGATTTTCTCTTGCTATAACCCATGCTAAATGTAAAAAAATTAAAAATTAAAAAGAAGAAAAAAATTTTAATAAAATTTGTTAAGCCAGAGAATCCTTAAGGTAATATGTTTTCTGCTGCTAAGAACAACCACACTCCTTTTAATGTCAGAAATAGAGACAGATACAAATAAACAAACACAAAATCTTCTTACACTCACAGCTAAATCATCTTGTGCAATTGTGTGGAGTCATGCGTACTCCTAACAGACACACCCCTGCACACACAGAAACACACAGACTGAAATACATACAAGCACAGAAAGCATGTTCAACTCCCCCTGTGAACACGCAGAGCAGAGAGGAGCAGCAGACACAATGGAGTGTTTAAGTATGCAGGAAACTTTATGCCTGGGTGGAAGAGGAGCTTTGAAGGAATCCGCTGAGGGACACCCAACCTCCCCCTGAACTGAGCCTGTACCTCCTCATCAGGAAGAGAGAGTCATGAGGAGAGAAAGAGAGAAGGAGGAGGAGAGGAACACATATAGATAAAGAGGATGAGATTGTAGGTTGGACGGGAGACTGATGGAGAGAAGGAAGTAGCAGGAGAGGGGGGCAGCAACAAGGTGCTTGGGTCTTGTCGCTGCACTCGTGCACAATGGCTCTTGGTTAGGCTGATGTGTGGAAGTCCCTAACCGACTGCGGTCACGTTGTTCTGAATGGTATATACACGTACACACAGAGTTACACACACTGCCTATTCATGGGAGCACACTGTTCAGTAGGCGCCGTGCTTAACTCCCAGTATGACCTTCATTGAGATGGATTGCATGAAAAATGTAATGACTTTCCTGAGAGAAAAACCACAGGCCAAATCAGCTTTGCATTGCATAATAATGCTGGACTTGGTAATCAATAACACAAACACACAAACACACATCCATAATGGAGTGCACAGCCTGCACATGGAGAAAATGTCTCAGCAGAGGCCGACCACATCACAATAGATGGAGCAAACCACCAGTGGAGAGCTGTGTGATGCATAAACAAGGAGCTATTGACGATAAATGCCGGCATCCATTTCCAGCCATCAAACACTTCCCTAAGCTAACAGCTTAAGTCTGAAACAACATGCGACTCTCAAGACCTTTTTTTTTACACCCAAAAATATTGAGCCCAGGGTTATCTTTGGCCCCTAATAAAGGGTTGTTCCAACCTTGTGTGGCCTCATTTTACATCTAACCACTAAGCTACCAGTACGGTTTCAGTCATCTATTGTTCATGTTGCGACTATGATGCTAATTTTAGCCCAGAGCAGGGAAAACTCAGCCCTGTATTAATGAATGGTTGGCATGAGCTTGTGTTAGACCATTAAAGTCAAAGCTCACTAAAAGTTTTAAAATGTGGTCAACACTGGGTAAATTGGTGAGCAGAAGGCTGTCAAATTAATTCAACTTCACTGTGTCAAGATCAAATCTGTGTTGTGAGTACTGCTTTTTTGGAGTACGCCTCACAGACAGTTACTCATTTTTTTTCTCTTCATTTCTTATTTTGGTGGATGACATTACACAATTTAACTCTGGCTTTATTTTCAAACAAAGCGGAGAAAAGCAGAAACATGCCACATATCTAACAGCTTTCTGTGGTTGCATAGCAACAATGTTACTTTCAGATAACCGCCTTTATCCAACTGACCACAGTGTGTTTGAACCTAGTAACGATCGGCAGTGGAAACATTCAATCTGTTGCCTTATTTCTTGTTTCTCAGCCTCTAAACCATGTATAGTTTTAGACCCAGAACCCCCCCCTCTCCACTCCGATTCCTACGCCTTTACACAGAGCTGTTTGGATTACAAAGTGAAATAGAAAAAAAATGTACAGTCAGTGGGATTTAGTGACTGTGGGCTCTTGTTTTTTCCTTTTTTATTTCTTGGTGTCACAGTTTTAGGGTCCCATAATGAAAAGCTGCCATTGTGTTTGTTTACCTCCTCTTCATCTCTCAATGTGACATTAGCTAAAGATGAGTCACCGGTAGAAAACACTGAGTTCGTCTCACTGTCACAGATATTTCCCTCTTGAGTGTGTCTCATTCTCACCTCATTGGTGTTCCAGCGATGGCGCTCCTTGGGCAGAGAGGAACATTTGGGCAGACACTCAAGCAGCTTCTTTGGAAGGTAGATCTTCAACTGGCCTGGCTCATCTGAGGCAGAATCAGAGGTGGGGGTAGGACAGAGGGGTGAAGAAAAAAAGAAGATAAATGAGGAATGAGTGGGAGAGGAGAGAAATTTTTCATCAGACACTGAGACACGGTGAGAGAATACTAAAACGCAGCATCTTGGGATCCAGCAGAATAAATCACAACAGATGTTTATTGTGAGACATTTTTAATGGCTTGATGTAAGTATGTGCAAATTTGCATAAAGATTTGTCTATGAATGACTTGGGCTTTAATTGACATTTCTGATTTGAGTTTTCTTTTTTCAAATGAGGGGAAAAAAAATCTAAGTTGGTTACTTTTTGTGAATAAAGACGTTATTCCAAAACAAAAATGAAGAATGAACTCTCTCATCTTCACGTAAATTGTCTCATAGATAATTAAAATGATGAGGAAATGTGTGGTTGATAAGTTTATCATTCAAGGCACACACATGGTAAAACAACAGTTAAGTGAGCAGTGCCAGAGGGAGGGTGGCTTATTTTTGGACAGCAGGTGGAGGTGCACAGTACACCTGCGGCCCACCTGGAGACATGTTTGGATTAAGAAGAATCCATTAACATACATTAACAGTGCATTTGGGGTTGGTAACAATAGAGGCTGATCACCTGAGCATCTCTTATCCCCACTAAAAGCTGTGCTCTCCCCACAGTGCAATACAGACAATTTGGTGATGGAACAGAAACTCCAGACGAGTTTCTCCTGAGAGGAAACTCTGTGGAAGCCAAAGTTCACTCATAAAGCAGCCAAATATTGATACATACACCACTGCTGCTCAGCTAAAATCATGATGTGGATACAGTCCAACATGTTCTTTGTTTTTTTTAAATCTAAATCTAATTATAACCCAACCCTTTAAGGGATTAAGTCCAGCCATATGATTGTGTTATTAAATAAAACCCTTAGAAGATCACAACCCAACAAGAAATGGATCCTGATAGCGAGTATTACCTGTGTGCTGCCAAAGCCTAACTTTGCTTGTTTTGCAGAATTCATTTCACCTCTGTTGTTCAAAAAATATTAGAATCACACTTTAATGTTGACTCATTTTCACATTTACTGTCCTACTTCTGGAGAAACTCACCAAACCCACAGCAGTGAGAAGTTGTACAATACACTATTTTTGCATGCTTGGGTAACACTTGATAAAACCTCCTGTGCTGAAAAAAATCTGTTCAGCATTTTTAGAAATGTAACCACATAACGGTGGCCTGTTTTTAACCATTTCAACCTGGAGATCCCAGACAAGACAAAGAAAAATATGTAAATACTGCTTAATGGGGCAACTATGACAGAGTATTAGGGCCACATTAAGAACAAAAAATTTACACTTAGAGATTTAAGTCGTTCATTTACGAGAATAAAGTCATTACTAATGAGAATAAAGCCGTAATAAAGTAATTACTTGTGAGAATAAAGTCGTAATGAAATCATTATCATACTTATGATAATGTGGTGCTGATGTGCCAAAAGATGAAGTATCTTGTTGTTTGAGAAACCTATATTGAAGTACATTTTCACGAAATGCTCAATGGCTCTCATTTCAACAACTGTCATCTTAAACAGCAGGTTGGAATATAACGACTTTATTCTGACTTAACTCTCGTAAGTGATTACTTTACGACTTTATTCTCGTAAGTAATGATTCGATTACAACTTTTTTCTCGGAAGTAATGATTTTATTATGACTTTATTCTCATAAGGAATGATTTTATTACGACTTTATTGTTTTAAGTAATTACTTTATTATGACTTTATTCTCCTAAATTCATGGCTTTCATCTCGAAGTCTTAATTTTTTTTTCTTAATGTGGCCCTAACAATCCATCGTAGGCGACACATAGTTTAACTGCATTATTTAACAAAAATAGACAAATAAATTTTAATAATTTTTTCAAATAATTTTTCAGGTCACAACTGAAATAAAGAGAGTAATAAAAGAGACAAGCAAAACATGATAATAGCATATATTGAGTTTTGTACCATATCTATACAGCGCTGCAGGATAACCTGTGAAAATGAATAAACTGTTCCTCACTTCTGTCTGCGGTGTTCAAAGAATAACAGAAATATGAAAAAGGTGCAGGTGAGGCAAAAATCCCCCTGTCCCTGGAGAATATACCACTTCACCAGTGGATAGCGTCCACACACAGATAGAGGCCCTGGTGTGTGTATGTGTGTGCATGCCTGTTTGTGAGTGTAAGCCCAACGGGTGTGCAGCTCAGAAGTCAAAGAGAGCAAGCACTCAAAGGTTATTGATAAGCATTTGAGTAGAGGGCGTCCATTCATGACTCCCCTGGGAAGATAGGAATTATACTCTACCTGAGGGCAGACGACAGTGCAAGAGGAAAAGAGAGATAGGTGAGGTGGGGAGGGTTGGAGAGGGAGACAGATGCAGGGAGACAATGAGCCAGAGAGAGACGGTTAATGAAGAAAAAAAAAGTTAGGTCGAGAGAAAGAAGATTTATAAAGTAAGAAATTTACAAGGACAAGAGATAGAGCAAGGTAAGACAAAGACAAAGAGAAAAGTAGTGTAGCAGGACAAGAGGGGGGTCTGTGTGTTTTTGTGTGCTGGTGTGTAGGTGTCTGAGCATGTGTATGATTGTGTCTGTAGTGTTCAGGCACGTATGCTCCCCCTAATCAATTATGCATTTATTAATAGAAGGCCTGAGAAGACAAAATTTCAAACAGCTGAACGATGCAGCAGCTTAGTTAAACAGCTGAATGGTGCAGCTTAGTTAAAGCCTAATTTCTTTTTTAGCAGCACTCCAGCCGCTCTGCTATGAATGCCAATCAGCGTTTAAACCCCTCCCCTCCTGGCTATACCCCCCCACACGCACCCCTCCCCTCCTCCCCCTGCTGTTCTGAAGAATTCTCATCAGAGCCTCGCCTTTGAAATATACCAGAACCACCACATCAAACAAGCCCGTTGTACATGCATAGGCACACACGCAAACACTCGAACACACACATGCACAACCCTACATGCAAACAGACACACGCACACACACACACACACACACACACACACACAAGGCCTGCCGATCAAAGAACCTTCATCACAGTATTTGTCCAAGAGTGGCGTTTTTCACCAGTGACCTTGGTGCCGAAATCCCTTTCAAAGCACACCTTCATGGACATGGCCATCATCCTCACCTCTCCTCACACCCACTCTCCCTGCTGACGAGGAAAAGAAGACCAACTTTGCAGATTTGTTGAATGCTGATGAGCTTTTACACCCTAAAGGGTTGTATCTTGTATTTCTAACAATCCTGAACCAGAGAATGTGTCCCTCTCTTCAAAAAAATCCAGCCTTGGTGCTGTCGCAATCGTCTTTTCCATCTGTTCCAAACGGCTCTCAGTGGGGCCGTTCCATGGTGTGACATGGGGCAAAAACTTCTCTTTCCTCTCTGGCTACCCTGGCAAATCAACCATCAAGAGACATGGGGGAGAACATATCTAAATATGGAAATTTAGAGCTGTTCACATTTATGTTTGAAATAATAAAACAGCTTCAATACCTGCGTTGCTTTATGCGAGTCCCTCAGCAGTAAGCTGCAAATTCAAAGATCACTCACTCACTTGCTAATCTTGTAAAAAGAGTCGAAATGAGAGCCAAAGCCTGAATGCTAATGTGGAACTGCTGGCTCATTAAGTCATATAGTGGTATACGTGCTAAAAAGTGAAAATGTTAGACTAAAGTGAAACACTGCTTTAGTAGCCTATCAAATACCATAATTTAGACTGGAATCACACAGAAGTGCAGCCTTCGACTGATGAATATTTTACCTCATAAAACTGTCATCTCCATATTTAACACAGAAACAAGCCAGTGCCCTTGTGAGATGGCTGTCAGTTAATTATAAAACTCTCCTCGGTAAAGAGAGAGGAAAATGCTCCAAATGCAACTCTTAACTCTCCCCCCTTCTGATAGTAGGAGGCGTCAGGGGAAATTTTCACATTTTCCCCCTTTTTCGGGATGAAATTAATGTGACAGTAAGAAAGGCTCATTGCACAGCAGCCAGATAGAGGGGTGGGAGGGTGGGGGGAAGGGAGGAGGATGGGAGGGCAGGAGGGAGCCAGGGCAGGGAGAAAAGAAAAGGGGTAACATAGCATGGGATGAGTGAGAGTGCAGGAAAAGGGAGGGAGAGACGAGAGAGAGAGGGGGAGGGAGCGCAGGGGGTGGAGGGAAGAGGGGTAGAGAGATGGGCGTGCATGCTAATTTTATCATTCTGCTGATAAACTTTTCCTCCAGTAATCCTCCAGCTGGGACGTGAGAACAGATAGGAGACAGGGATAGGCTCGGGAAGTCTCAGCTCATATTAAACAGCCATCCCAAACAGAACTCTCTGTTCTATTCTATTCTATTGTTTTTCAGACTCTCTCTTAATTCTTTATTTGCTGTTATGTGACAGTCTGGCTCATCCCTCTTAACAAAATAAGAGGGTCTGGAGCAGGTATGAAGCCATCTGCTCCTTTTGAAATGAAAAGGTTTTTTTTTTTTTGTTGGGCGGGTGTGTGTATTTCCATGTACCTTCCCCTTCTACACCCATAACCCCCACTACCTCACTCAGCAGTGTGTCTGTCTGCTCCTCCTCACATCTGTTTATTTTCTTTCAATTTGTCACACACGTATACAGAGAGAGAGACAGAGACATGCATCTGCGCCATGCCCTCTGAAATCAATAACCAATCAAAGCAATCATTGCCTTTATAGTCCCTCTAACACACAGCAGCAATCACATACACGCCAGGGACACCATCACACGCATACTCGACCATCCGGCGACCCTAGATTACACACTCCATCTCACTTGTAGTTTAACCAGGCCCATTGAGGATTATAGATACATAATGCCATGTGTACAGATTAGGTATGACAATAAACTACTGATAGCCAAAGTAAGCTCTGCCTTCTCTATAGCTGTGTGCAGAAGTGTATGAGTGTATATGTGTGTGTGTGTGTGTGCGCTCACTAATACTGTACTGGCATGCATGAATAAACATGGTGTGTAACAGAGCTGAATTGGAATGACATCTCAGTAGAGAGGTACAGAGATAGTGTGTGTATTTGTTTTGTGTATGTCAGTGTGCGTGTGTGCGAGTGTGTGAATGTATGTGTAAGTGTGATCTGTAACAGAGCAGATGAGAAGGAGACCTCAGTTCCCGCATCACATCATTCTGCCAGAAGGCTTTTATACTTGCTCTCAGAGTCACCCTGCGCTACAGACAAATGTGCGCGTGTGCACAAAAAAGTGTGAAGAGTGTCTGCGTGTCTCTTACTGTTGGCGTCAGTGTCGTCACTCTTGGGAGGGGTGTGTCCTGTGTAGCCAACAGCAATCCTGACCATCCGCTCTGGATTTCTTATCTTCTTCAGTCCTACGAGGAAAGAAAAGGAGGAAAAAAGGAGCAGAGACAGAGATGTATTCAGGAGTCGGTCCGGACTTTTTGGCAGTCGCACACCTCACCTCACTTCTCCTCCTCTAACAGCCCAGAAACAAAACTCCAAGTGATATGCATGTGGGCTGATCCATTTTCTGATCCACTAACTTGCGTCCATTGTGTCCCTGATCGATTGGCCACAGTAGCAACACTGCCTCCATGTGTGTGACTAACTTGTACCCAGCTTTAGTTTCTCTTCTCTCTCATCATTTCTCTGTTTCCCTGACCACTGTTGCTATGATACAAAGTAGACCAACCAGCACAGAGGGAGATGGTCTTCAATGCTATATGGTGGATGTTGTTCTTGTGCCCACTAGTGTGCTGTGTTGATCAGCGCCATACACATCTGTGCGGAAGAGTAGATAGCTGCCTCCTGCCTTCAATTCATTTGGCTTTCATTCAGCTTGTCTGACGCTTGTAAATTATTACATCCATCAACACACCAAGGGTTCAATGGACAAAAATCTTCTCACACTGTGATTGCATGATTCTGTTTGCGTGTGTGTAGGTAAGGCACAGTATGGGCAGGGGGATGGTTTTATATTTATGTGGTTCAGCGCATGCTGATCAGCCCATGGGCCATCTGTCTCATCTACAGTTGTATTCTTTTCACGCAATGGGACTCTCAACCCACGGCCTTCCCCTTGCCTCTGGCTAAACTCTGCATGCTCGCCTGCACACTTGTGTATATATGTATGTGTGCCTAACTAGAAGTAGGTACTCCTGGAAATTTGCCTCACAAGTGAATGGACACAAGAGTAGTTCACATTATCCCAAAATTGCCCTGTAGAAATCTTGCTCAGCATCGCTCCCTAGTGGGCAGAGGCGTAAAGTCTCCTCTTGTCATTTTCAGTATCTCTTTGCTGAAAAAAGATCAGTAGTATCAAATCAGAGGAATTGATGTTGAGGGCACTGCTTCTTTAATATGTATAGTTGCGGCAATCAAGTAGCTTAAGGGCTGCCTGTCATTCCTGAAAAAGCTGTTACGTTTATTTATAAAGTGAGTACCAGAAAGAAAAGATGGAGATTAATGGAGCAGACCAACAACTAGGGGGAATGTTTATAAACAAAACTGAAACACACTGAGCAAGAACCGAAGATTTGAATGACCCATGAGTCTAGATGGAGATAATATCACCATGGTGATTTTGGTCACCCCTTGAATAATTCATGAATGAATGAATAACAAGAGTTTAGTAGAGGGAATTTAAACCAGATTCATACATAATATGACCTAAAACTGACACACACACACTCCACCTCTCTACTCAAACGCAGTCTTATTCTCGACTTTACTGCCTTAGCAACCATAAGCACACATATACACCAACATAAACACGCACACACACGCGCACGCACGCACACACAACACTGGAATGTGCCTAAATAAAAGCACAGCTGTTCTAGGGGGTTGCGTGCCTGTTAGGCAAGGAAATCTACGATTCAATGGTCTATTTTATGCTTAAAGAGAGATACAGAGACAGATAAACACACACACACACACACTTACACACTCAACACAACACACACACATACACACTGAAAGCATCTGAATTCCTTCAGCGTGAACCACTCTCATCCTCTCTCATCCTCATCCCTTTATGCCAAACGCTTCAAAAGCACTCAGAAACCAGCTGCTCGGGGGGAAACGCTGCCATGTATCGGACGGTGAAAAAACTCCCCTATCCCGGCTCGGAGCCTTCCGAAAGGACAACTCTCCTTCCGTTATTTATTTGCTGTCGGTTTACCGTGCTCCACACAGTCGCTGGTTCAGCACCAGCGTCCGTGTTTTCGGGACGGGCTGAAGCAGAAAGGGAAAGCCCTGCCGTTATCTCTGTCCTCCTCCATGCCCACGTCCCTTCATCGCCTCGTCTGAACCCCGAATAGCGGGACTCTGCCACCTCGAATAAAACCCGTTATTTCTCTCTTACCTTCCGGCTTGTTTTCGGCAGCCATTTCCCCTCCGCCGCGCGCCTCATCCCTCCTCCTCCTCCTCTTCCTCCTCCTCCTCCTCGACTCGACCTAGTGGTGGTGGAGGTGGTGGGGGGGAGGGAATAACGCGCGTGCACAGAGAGGACAGCTCAAGGAGGGGGGCGGGGCCGAGAAGAAGGGGAGGGGGGAGCGAGCCTGCCGAGTTTGGAGACACTATTGGACCAAACGGTGATGATTGACAGCGGGGATCCGTGATGGGGACTCGCGGAATTCTCCATCTCTCCGTTCTTTCACGTTGGCCCCGCCTCCCTGACGTACACGCGCAATCTTCTCTCCCTTCTCTCTCTCTCTCGCTTTCTCTCTCCTCTCACGTCACTGAACGACGTCTGTATTCGAGGACACCTTGACAGCCTCCCACAGCATCATCATCATCATCATGCTCATCATCGTCTCCTCGCTCTTACACACACACACAAGCGAGGCCTACACACACAAACTATACGTTACACACACCAATGCGCGCGCTCAGTTCTTCACATGCAGCATACTGTCGCGAAGATGCGATGTAAGGTCGCGTCCCGACATAAATCATGAACCCACTGTGAATGTAAAAACGCTTGACAGCGACTTTTTTTTTAAGAAGCGCGACATGGATTTCTAGTCAGGCTCGCGGGTGCTGTTGCTGGCAGTGGTGCTGAAGCTCGTGGTGCTGAAGGGACAGCTCCTTGCGCGCCTACACAGCCTGCATGCACTAACTTCCTGCTGACTTTTGAGTCGTATTATTGTATGGCAGTGATGATAGTTCAGGTGGAAACTAAAATAATAAATCGAAGAACACGCCACCTGTCACCAATTGGTTGTTGGTAGTGGTTGCAACTTGGACACTTTTTATCAGAATTATGGGAATTATGGAAATTAATGGAAAAAAACTGGAAATTGGGGGTAATTTAAACAAACTGCATCATATCCAAACATAGATGTTTAAATATTTTTGTTTTGTCACGCAAAATAATTTAACTAAAAAACATGACATTTCAACAGATTTTTTTGAGAGGCGATGGCGAACGTGGCATTTTTCTGTAGAATAAAATAACAAAAGAGCTTGTTAAAACACTAATGCAAAAGCATGAACAGAAATATAGTTGGCTAGACAACTAGAATGGTCTTCAAAATATTTGACAATTGATGTATAAATTATTGTATGGTTACAGAAAACCCTCTTGCAGGACTCAGAAGAAACAGCATCACATTCAAAGGAGCTACCACCACCATAATAAGCTAGCCCTTTAAATGTTCAATGAAATGAGAAAAAGATTACATTTACCATCATTTTTTAAAAAAAGGTCAAATATTAATACTATTATAGATCAAATATATTTTATTATTAAAACTTACTTGACTTTTTATAGTCAATGGGCTCAAATGGGCTCAAAAGTGTGGCTCACTGTTTATACTATGGACAACTTAGTTCTGCCTTCTGCCAGTATACGGATTTGAAGCCGTAAAGCTCTCGGTTATTCTGCGTTTTTTTTCCATTTCCTGAAACCAACATTGCGCAGTAGCGTTGTACACACCCCACCACTTGCACAGTTGCATTGTACGCATTCAGTGGGAGAGTGGCCGAGAGCCGCTGTGATGACACTCGGCTCAAACAGCGTATCCTCTGGGTGAGCTATGTAATCCTTGTACACCCATAGGCTGTATCAGGTGTCAATCATAGAAAACTTGAACCCCCTAATAACTTTTAAAAATGGAATGCACAGAATGCACAGAAAAAAGAGGACTTGAGCACAAACCAGTCTTACAATGACTACATGTCAACATCGCAAGCAGCGGGGGAAAAAAAATGTGTTCTGTGTAATAAATTTCTAAAGTTTGTCCACAGCTCCATAAGCTTTGCTGGAGGAGGCGGGATTTATGACCTGTACTGCAGCCCGTCACCAGAGGGTGCTGTTCTAGGAGAGACTTCACCCAGCAAGGAGGCAAACGCTTTCCATTCTGTATACAGTCTATGTGTGGCCTCCAGGGTTCAAGAAATCATCTGTGCACGTGATGGAGGAACGCACAGTGCATGTAGGGGGTGTGGCCTCAATAGCCCTGCAGTAAGAAATGTGCATGTGATTGAGGAGTGTACTTGCATTAAATCTGGTTGTTTTAGCCAAGATTATGCTACAATATATTTTCCCCAACTATAGTTAAGTTCCCTGTTGAGGCCCAACCTTTAATTTTGTAAATTTCAGATTTATTCCTGTAAATTCCCGTTAATTCCCATATAGTCCCATTAATTCCCGTTAATTCCCACTTTAAAAATTCCTGGAATTTTGCAACCCTATATGGAAGTGATGATATTTCAGGTGGAAACTTAAAGAATAAATTGAAGAACATGCCACCGGTCACCATTTGGTAGTTGGACATTTTGCCCAAAATGTGACACACCAAGAAAAAACGGCAGAAAATTGTAACTGAACTCCATAAACAGGAAGTGGAGTTGATACCCTATCACATTTTTCTCACTTACACTACCGCTCACCACCAGGCAATCCCCGTCAAACAGCGCAGCTTATCCGGGACTATTATGTGCTCGTTTCAAGCCAACACTGTCACTTTATGCCTAGGGGTAGAATATCGCCTTTGCACCAAAAAGCCTTGTGTTTGACAGAGACAATCGTCTACGTAGACACGCTTCACGGTTAGCTGGGGTTTTGAATGGCTCTTCTTCAGCTACATATGCTTGGCATGTCAGAGCAGAGGCACTCAGGGTTTTCTGGCATAAACAGAGTTCAAGCAAGATGACTGGCAATGAGAGATGTGCACATACTGTGTGTTGCCAAGAAACAGGTTTAAACCTTAAGACTTGAGTGTCTTTGCTGCACTGAAAGAATGATGCTGTGCAAGACGTACAAACACAAGAGAACTGCGATTTTATTTAAAAAATGCTGAAGTAGCTGTAGCTTTAGCCCACAGTTTATGTTCGACAAAAAGGCTTACAGAAATAACATACTATGCAAAATTCCTAATGTGAGCAATCATGGTTAAAAGTCAAAAAAACTGAACTCAAGTTTAAATATGAGGTACCTGAACTTTAATTGTAATTCAAATTTATGAAAATACACAATTAAGAGAACCATTTCTACATAACCGTCCAAAACAGATACTAAATGCTGCAAAACATCTTACTTGTCTCTATAACAAGCTTGTGATTGTGATCCAAAAACTACATTTTCTTCTACAAGACTACAAGACTTTCGTGAATTTTTCTAAACCAGAACATGTCTCTTTTCAGACTCTGAACCTTGGTTTCTAAAAAGAAGTTTGAAACTCTCCTCACAAAAGATTTACACAACGGGGGGAAATTTGAAAAAAACAATCCCAAAGTTAGCTATTAAACTGGAACAATGTGCTCAGGTATCAATATATAGGCCTAAAACACAGTCACATATTAAAGATACACCATTAGATTTGATGGTCTTCTTACAACATAACATCAATACAAAGTCAAGACCTTCCTTTAAATCTATTCAACTAGAGGGCTTGTCCTTGAGAAAAGTCCAGACAAAATGTGGTTTGAAACGTCAGTGTTTCTTAAGATGGGATTTATCAATCTAATGTAAAACAATTCTGTGTGGTGTATTTCAACAAAGTAGACCTTACAGTTAAACATTTGGAAAGAGGCAGAAACAATGGGGCTCAGTGCTCAATATGGCCTCTGGACCTTTGTCAGATTAAACAGGTCCGGTAAAGGAACAGCAAACTTTGACAGATCTATGAATTAGCTGTGACTACAGCACGGCAGTTAGGCCTACTGAAAGGCTGGCATTAGTGACTCCAGCAATAATCCATAGGGGAGAGTGGGGTAAGATGAGCCATTTTTCATATTTGGGATCACTCCATCATAGTTTTGTCTCTAACTAGTGTATCTGCATATATTTCAAGATGTTGTGCATCCCTACAAACCAACAGAATGAGTGTAAACATAACTGTCTTGGTAATATAGCATTCAGAAAAAAGTGGTCTCCTATACACGGGGTAAGTTGAGTGCAGGAGCGGGGTAAGTTGAGCCGTATCCCTACTACCCTCCACTCTCCACCCCAGCCCTCCCTCACCTTCTCTCTCCCTAAATAACAGTCACTTCTTCATGTGTATTTTTATCGATTATACGCTATTCAACTGGTACAATAACTCTTTTTAATATTATTGCATATAACTGCTAAAAAGCTGTTTTGTAAAAAGCAATTTTAACATGAGAATGTCTTTAAGTGATTTAGAATATTCACAGCTGTATTTTTAAAAAGAAAACGTAAAACATTTCAACAATCTGAACTGAAACTCTGATCCTCTTATCAGACTCCTTTACTTTCTCAGTTGAGCCACTGGCTCAACTTACCCCAGAACTACTATAATGTCTTTATTAGTCCTCTAAGCTAAAATGGACTTTTGTGCTAGGTTTTTGACCTCATGTTGTAGCTCATAAATACCACAATTGATGTATAAAACAAATTTAAAATAATCTTTTTTGGTCTGAACACAATTCTAATGAAACTTGGGACGGACTAAATTCACTTTTAAGGGTGAAAAATGTTTTTTTTTTTTTTTTTTGTTGTTTTTTTGTAAATAAATGTCTAACCCTTTCACCCATGTGCTTCTAACCTTCACGACTCCATGAATTGATGCCCATCGCCTCAATATTTGGTCACATGATCACTTTCTTTTACCATTTCTAAGCAACAGGGAGTGACAGATGGTTATATAAAGAGATTAAATGTTGTACTTGTTGTAAAATTTTAGTCTTATACTCAAGATATTTCATTAGCAAGTAAAACTATGTTTTCAACTGTGTTCTCAATGTGTAATGTAGGGTTATTCAGCCAATAAGAGTTAAGAATCAATGTACGCCGACAGCCGGTGAGGAAACATGCAAAATGTTTGCAGTGAAGACACAATAGAAAGGTAAAGACAGGGTGATAGCTCATTTTTACACAATGACTACTACAGTACCTTGCACAGCGACAACATACGCCTCCCATCTGTGTTTGTCCAAGTTTGAAGGCTTTTAGTTTAGTTTGTGTTGAGCTCAAACACAACCAGAAGATGGCGATACAAGAACTTCCGCTCCTGGTATGACTGACCAATGAGGTTCCAGGTCAGTGGAGGGGGTGGGCGGGACAAGACCAAACGCAAACATGGCGGCGTCCTTAGATGATGATTTTGAGTCTAACAATCAGGACTACTACTCTCTACTCAACGTCAGGAAGGAGGTAAGGTTTATTCAGACACCAATTGAAACCGAAACGTTACTGACCTGTCGCTGTGAGTGTCTGCGGTGGATAGTCGGTGCATCATAACGGTCTTCTTCATCTGTACCATCATCATCATCCGTGCAGGTGAACCGGCTGATGCTGCAGAGGAACGAACTAACAGGACATTACAGGACTTTTTGTTACTCATGCAGGCATCAAAGGCAAATTAACCTTAGAACGCTATCGCTAAGATTAGTAACACCATCACCGTCTGTGCAATGTCCAAAGAGGGAAAAGTGCCATGAGGGGACTATATAAAACATGCAACAAAATAACTGAAATTAAAAAAAATTATTCTATCTATCTATCTATCTATCTATCTATCTATCTATCTATCTATATATATATATATATATATATATATATATATGTATATATAACTGTAAACTTAGTTTCTTTTCCACCCATTCCTGGGGTATGTGAATCTTCCCTGGTGAAGACTCAGGGTACTTGGCACAATAACAGCTGCAGGAGAGAGAACCAAAATATGGCATATTTTGAGTGGGTAAAAATGACCAGCTGACTAAAATATTTCTTATCACCTTATTGAAAATCACTTTTTTATAATAGCTATTAATAACCACTGTGCTAAACCTACACTGAGGAAGGTGGGGACTATTCTAAAGAACATGGCTCTGGTTTTTATTTGGGCATCGATGAACACTTCCTGACCCATAGCTACATTAACTCGGACTGTAATACAAGTTCAGCATTATTTGAAGTTTTCGTTTCATTCCGATGAAAGAAATGTTGTTTTCTTCCGTAATAGCAGTGTTCTGCTGTAGCTATCATTTAAGCTATTTATCTTCTGTTATTTTGATAATCTGCTTTTTCATGCAAAAAGTCACAAATTTGATGATTTCTCATGTTGTCGCAGGCTACATTAGAGGAGCTGAAGGCATCTTATCGGAGGCTGTGTATGCTCTACCATCCTGACAAACATCGAGACCCTGAGCTGAAAAGTCAGGCTGAACAGCTGTTTAACCAGGTGCACCAGGCTTATGAAGGCAAGGACTATACACCCATTGGAAACAACATATAATTCAGTTGGGGAGTCACCTTGAAATTTACAGTTCAAAAGTAGTAATATATTCAGTAGCAAAGCTTGAAAAAACACACAAAACTCAATAAAGAACCAAGACACAATGCAAAAGATTTCCACCATTTAAGCCTTTCTCACCATCTTACTTTCAGTGCTGAGTGATGAACACTCCAGAGCCATCTATGACATCTTTGGGAAGAAAGGACTGGAGGTGGAAGGCTGGGAGGCATGTATTCTTTCTGTATGTTTCCTAACTTATAATTATAGTAAAGACTTGTCCTTATTCAACTTTTTTTTTTGATGTCGTGTAGGTGGTGGAAAGAAAGAGAACACCAGCAGAAATTCGGGAGGAGTATGAAAGGCTTCAGAGAGAAAGAGAAGATAGGAGACTGCAGCAAAGAACTAACCCTAAGGTTGTCTTAGTCACAATGTTTTACATTTCCTTATCAATGCCTCTACTTTCATTTAATTTCTGTGGTGGGCCACCTACAGTATTTGTGCAGATATTACTGAATACACTGTGCCTTGAAACTCAGTTTAGACTGTTGGATGGTGTCCACACCCGTTTTATAAAGTCCCCCTTCTTATTTCTTCTAAATGAGTGAATTGTGCCAATCTACATCTTTCACTCCCTCATTACTCAGGGCACCATCAGCGTGGGTGTGGATGCAACAGACCTTTTTGACCGTTACGATGAGGACTTTGAAGAGATGCCTGGAGGAGGGTTTCCTCATATTGAAATCAACAAGATGCACATTTCTCAGTCCATAGAGGTACAAGAAGAAAATACTTATACTCTTCATTGTCTTGAATTTTTGGCTACGCGGCTGCTTATCTCACTGCAGTATTCCTTGTAATTTCTTTATTTTTTTCTAATTTTCAGGCTCCTTTGACAAACTCTGACACAGCTGTTCTGTCAGGTTCACTGTCTACACATAATGGAAATGGGGGAGGCAGCATTAACATGACTGTACGAAGGGTTACGTCGGCCAAGGGCTGGGGAGAGGTATGCATGTCTGCAAAAATGTAAAATACATGGAAAAATCAATACACTGAAAATTATGTAAATGTCAGTTTTTACCAGCAGTCACTTTTTTTTGTCTGTGCAGTTGGAGCTTGGGGCAGGAGACATACTCGGTCCTCTCATTGGGTTGAAGATATTTCGCAACCTTACTCCACGCTGGTAAGGATGCACTCATTGCTAAACTTTTTAAAACCAAACTGTACGACCACACGAAAAACTTACAGTGTTCCCTTTTTCCCTTTCGTTTTTCTGTCCAGTTTCCTGACAGCTCAGTGTGGTTTGCAGTTCTCACCTCGAGGCTTGCGTCCAAGCTGTTCTCTGATGACAGCACGCCACCTGGACCAAAACACCATGGGATATCTACAGTGGCGCTGGGGCCCCAACAGTGCCATGACAACTAGCGTGGTCAGAGACACAAAGAGCAGCCACTTTACCCTTGCACTGCAGGTACGGTTTAGCATGTGCACATGCTATACAAACCTGCTGTCACTGAAGTAAATAATTTATGGAATTTCCCCCTGTGGGACTAAAGGAATATCTTTTTACCAACTTAACTCTGAGATTTGTTGCATCCTGTATAAGTTATTTCCAAACATTTTCAGTTGGGTGTGCCTCACTCCTACTTGATGCTGAGCTACCAGTACAAGTTTCAGGATGAAGACCAGACCAAAGTCAAAGGCTCTGTCAAGTATGTCCTTTTGTTATATCTTAAAATTAATGAAATCCCTGGCTGACACTGCAGTTTCTTTATTAAAGTACTCAAAAAAGTATTTTTATACCAGATGTAAACAATGCCTGCTATACAGTTACTGAAGGAAGATTAAGATTGTTTGGGTCTAAAAAGAGAAATGTGAAAGAAATGTCACGCCGTGTGCCTTTTCCTTTGCAGCATAATCACAAGAAAATTATTCTATCTCCAAATCCTTGTTAAGATAGAATATATTGCTTTGTGATCACCAGTAAGCAAACATTTAGAAACAGCCTTAACGCCCTTAGTTTAAATTTTGATTAACAGGAACAATGCGAATTAACACTTATTCTAAAAGAAAGGAAAAGTTGGTTGCATGAGATTTAGCAAGTAGATCCACATTATAGTGACACAAGACATGCAAAAACAACTCAAGAAAAGTACACACACAAAAAAATATGACGACAACAACATACATAAACTACACTGTCAGACACACCATTGATGACAATCAGTGTATCCTGCTTGGAAAAAAATATAGAAAAGATGATAAAATATACAATAAATGCACTTTTTAAAGCAATTAGTGACAGGTTCAGGAGTCTTACACAATAACATACCACAGGTAAAAAGTACATGATACAGGGCTCAGTAATAGCTACATTTTGAAGGTGCCAAGATGCTGCAAAGTGCTCATTTTGGAAACATTTTGAGTATATGCGGCATAGAGGAAAGTATCAAACTAAATCAGTTGTACATATTAGTCAAACTTTTTTCGCATTTTATCATATCTAAAATGTGTACAGTTCACACAAAGAATTGAAAAAGCTCATGAAAAGAGGCTTCATACACTTACACAACATATTTTGAAATTTTAGGAAAAAGTCACAGAAACCAGCAGAAATGTGTGTAAAAGAATTTTTTATAAGTTGAGAAACTTCATCCTGTTGTTCTTTGACAATGAAATTCATCACTCAGTGTGAGTATTTGCTGAATATTTGTTTTTAAATTTCTCCACATTGAAGCGATCTTGTTGCTTAGGGTCTTGTTTGCTCTTGGAGGTCATAAAGAGGCATCAGTGTCTGTTTCTCAACAAACAAAAAATCCTTGCAGTGCCCTTAAAGAAAATATTAAAGTTGAAACAAAGAGGTGTTAGCGTCCAAAGAATCTCAAATCACTTTGAATACAGAATAAAATAATTTGTCCAAACCAAACTGTCTTACAATGATAGTCTCTGCTTCATTCATGTCGTTCCCTCTCCAGGACGGGATGGTTCGGCACTGTGGTGGAATATGGAGCAGAGAGGAAGATCAGTCGACACAGTGTTTTGTCAGGGACTGTCAGCGTTGGGGTCCCACAGGGAGTCACACTCAAGATCAAGTACTGACCAAACCCAAAATATGAGCTTGTTCCTCTGTTGGTCTTTGCCTCACTGCATAATTATCTAATGTATGTGTATATTTGTGCCGTTGTTTTAACACAGGCTGTCGCGTGCCAGTCAGACCTACCTGTTTCCGATCCACCTAACAGATCAGCTGCTGCCCAGTGCTGTTTTCTATGCCACTGTGGGACCTCTGCTGATCTACATGGCCGTCCACAGACTAATCATCATCCCGTACACGCGAGCACAGAAAGAGGAGTAAGTGCACATCCGTTTTTCATCATAGTTTCTTCTAAATTCTTTCCCAATAAATGTCTTGTTGATCAAATTAGGACTACCATAACTTCCTCTGTTCGATTGTTTTTATTCATATAAAGTTTAATGTTTATCTGACACTAAATCGGGTTGTACTTTTCCACATTGACGCCATCATCAAAACAGTCAAACAGTGACTTAGTGTGTTAACTGATGATGTCCTCTTCATGTGTCACTGTGCTTGTCAGAGAGCTGGAGCTACAAAGAAAGAGCTCAGCCACAGACATCGCCAAGAAGAAGCAGGAGGCCGAGTCAGCTGTGAGTACTCACATTTACATGCAGAGATGCAGAAAATTCATTGGGTATAGTGGATCATTGATCATTCTCTCCAGGTTCAGCTCCACTCGTCTTAAAAAATACTCTCTTCTATCCTTTTCTGTGTTGTTCTCTTTCACCCTCTCTCCCTCCTCCTCTTCTTTCTGCTCCTCTTCCTCCCTTGGCTCCTTTGCAGGTTCTGCTGATGCAGGAGTCTGTGAGAAGAATCATAGAAGCCGAAGAATCCAAGATGGGTGAGAGAACGAACACACACACACATGCACACACACACACACAGAAATTACACCAGGGTGGGAAACGAAGGATTTTTTTTTTCTTTTTTAGCTTGCAGACAGCCAAAAAATCGAGAGAGGAGTTCGAACACAAACCTCATGTCTGCTTTCAACAACTAAAAAAAAATCAATTTAATGCTGTGCAGCAGGTGATGGTGAACGTGCCTACCTCTATTCTGCTCCTTTACACACCACTGGTCCTGATGAAACTCTGAATTAACATGTGTCCTAAGTGATCAGATCACAAGTTGACAGCCAAAGGGTGCATTTAGGACACACTGTGATCAAGAGGCATGTTGGTAGCAGCTATAAACAGATCGTCTTCTCATGTGTCCTGGGCCAGGCTGAAGGCCCACCTGCTCTTCATGAACACAGTGATGTTGTGTAGCAGACAGCTTGTTCGTTCCTTTTGTCTGATTTGATAGATGTATAGAGTTTAATTGAGGCTGTGATTGAAATACAGATCATAAAAGTTTCAGTACTGGGATGATGTTCATCTGTCATCAAGGACATTGATAGAGGAGTATACGTAACACAGATCTCTTGTCTCTTTGTACTTTTTAAAAGCAAGACTCCAGTTTGCAGTGTAGTTAATACACTCAGTGGTAAACCACACAACTGTTGAGGAACATTAGGTGTCAAGACCTGACAGTTTTTTAGACACGTGGATACATCTGTCAGTAAAAAACACACTCCTTTCTCCTTTTCTTTCTTTGATTACATCTCATCGGTTGGTGCTTTTTAAAGCCAATGAAAGTGTTTGAGGCACACGGAGCAAGAACTTGGGATTTGATTGATTGAAGTGGTAACTGAGGACGCGTGTAGAAGCATTTTAACACCTAGTAACGTGACTCTGGAGGGTGCATATGATTGTTTCACAGTGTAATCACAGCACACTCTAACCTAGATACCACGACAATAAAGAAAACATTACATAGCAGTGATAGAAGCTTGCTAACGTGTGACATGAAACTGAATACTTGAACAGTGTGTATCATATAGTGTTGGGACATAATACCAATATGGCAACATATTGTTATCCTTAATATCTGTATTTTAAACTACTGTACTACTATTAACTTCTTAATTGTTTTATAATATATCGTATCCCATAGTTGTTTTGTATGCATCATATCCTGTTGTATTTGTATTGTATTGTGTGCAGTATCAAGTTACCCACTGGTTTCAATTGTGTAGGCCTGATCATCCTGAATGCCTGGTATGGAAAGTTTGTGTCTGACACCAGCCAGAAGCAGGAGAAAGCAAAGGTGATCGACGTCACCGTGCCTCTGCAGTGCCTGGTCAAAGACTCCAAACTCATCCTCACTGAATCCTCCAAGGTGCGTGGGTTTACATGTCCCATTTGACTAACTAGAGATCTGTACGCATACATAAATATTTTTTATTTCGTTCTCTCTGTTCAGGCTGGACTGCCAGGATTCTATGACCCCTGTGTGGGAGAGGAAAAGAGTCTTAAATTACTGTACCAGTTCAGAGGAGTCATGCACCAAGTCATCTCTGCAGACACCGAGCCACTACGGATACCTAAGCAATGTTAGTGTGCACTATTTTTCTATAAATGCACACTGATGACAAAAGTCTGTGTTATATTTATGCATCTATACTGACTGAAACTTTTTTGTTTTGTTTTTCCAGCACACAGAATTGAGTCTGAGTCTTAGGAGCCTCGCAAATGTTGGAACACTAGAGATAGAACTTTTTCTAATCAGAAGACTCCAAAAAGCGAGGGGAAACGTCAACAAGAAGTTTGTTTCTCCCCCCTGATCCTTGTCATGGTATTAGTGAATCTGTTTAACAGCCTTCTACACTCTTCCCTTTCCTATGGGCCATCTTGGTGGTCCAGCACAGTACAGTACAGAGGTGGGCAAGAGTTTCTACAAGGTGTCACATCTCTGGTCTGCTCAAATCTCAGCTTGCTGCAGGAGATAGGACTCCCCAACATAGTTTATATATCCACTACACAGAAGAAGTGATAGTCACCGTACAATTGGTGATCGCTCCTGTCTGCCCTGAAAGAGTTGTATTGTGTGTTTCTTGACATTTCCTGAGTCAAGTTCCAACAGATGAGCTGTGCTGTAGTTTTATTCCATATCATTGTAGTCTTTGTCCTGTGTTTGTCACCCAGGTAGAGGTAGGCTTGAATCTAATAATGTTATACCATACCAGTCATCACACTAACTCATGCGAACGTTCAGATTAACACTATGCAGGATCATGTTTCAGTGACCCTCAGTGATTTTTTTAATTTTATTGCCTTTTAGTGACCTGTCTGCTGACCACAGAGGAGATGGTCAGCGGCTGTAAGCTAGCGCTCAGTACTTTTCCCTGTGATGGAGTTTTTGGTTCATGAGGGGGTTGGATTGAATCAAAAGATCAAAAGATAACCGAGGAAAGACGAGCTTGAACTTGTCAAAGAGATGTACATATCTCAAGTTTGGAATTTAGGGACAAAATGGATAAATTGGTTATAATTAGCAAAACTGGAGACATAAATGTTGATAATGGTGTGGTCAGGATGTGACCACTAGAGGGTGTAGATTAGATGGTTGTAACTGCTGCTGACAGTAACTTGTTTCTGTAACCTGAGCCACATTTAAACCATTCCACTGAATATGGCACATTTCAATGACAGCAATTTTTTTTATGCAACTGTTTATTTTGTACAGCGTTATGTGCCATATGTTTAATTTCATGATTAATTTCAAGCTTTTTTAAAATTTGATAACATCAGATTAATTTATCTGCCATTTTGTCACATGGATTACATTGTTAACTAATGTATGACATGTTTAAGGCAAAACTTGTCAGCAAACTTTAATGGAAATCTTGATATTAGAAACACTAATTTGCTTCAGCTGTAGTTATTTTGTATTTTTGTTAAAATGGTGAGATTTACGTAAGGATAGCTGGTCTAGGGTAATGCACTTTATGTTCATAGATATGTTTATACATATATTTAACATCAAATGCACATTGCAATAGTGAACCACTTTTGAATCTTTGATTCAGTTGCAGTTAAGGTGAAGTTACAAATGTGAAAGAGGAATTTGTCAGGCTGAAAACACTATCAAACCCACATATGTAGAATTCAGATGGTATTTTATCCAACACAAAGGTTATATTTTGCACAAGATGTACAGTAAATCCATCATATTAGGTATTAGTATTCATCAAAGAGGTGCTGAAATCCATAACCGAGTCTGTCACGTGGCTCTATGGTTTACTTTATAAAGTTTCCTCCATTCATTGACTGTATTTGCAGAGCAGGGTGTCTCCAATCAGCAGCTGGAAATACGGCGTCTCTGTATTTGTCCACAGTAAGATCTACATTAGTACTGAGTTGCAGTCACTATTACAGCAGCCATTTTGCACTGATTCTGTTTGTACTATTTGTTTAAGTGTGCTGTAGGTATTTAAAGGGTCAGCTGGTCGCCTCTGCTCTGGTGCCACCATGAGGCCAACAGAAAGACTGCTATCAGGCGGTCAAACTCAAACTGACCCACAGTAGTATGTAATTGTCCGGTATGGCTGAGGAGTCTGTTTTCTCTGTCCTGTAAAGACTACAATAAATATGAGCCAATAGTATTCTCGTGTTATTCTTGTGTGAAAGAGTGAACAGTCTTAACCCCCCACCAAGTGTGAAGTTGTAAAAGACAAGCTCTTAAAATTGTAACTCTTTATTTACAATAGTTTACAATAGTTTCACAGAAACAGTTTGCACCACAGTACAGACAACGCTTTCTCAATATGGGGATAGGACAACCCAGGATCAGAATAAACTGTATCACAATGAGCACTGTTAACAATAACTTCACCCATCTCTCAAAGACGTAGACTAAAATTAGACACTTGTTCCCGAAGGCGTCTTCAGGTTCTCTTCAAGACATGAACGTCCTGAGGAATTATTTGGGGGTCTTGACACATCTTCAAATCATCACAACCTTTGATGACTGCTGGGTACCAATCAGTGAACCAACATTTGTAAATACCAGAAGACTAGAGCAGAGATGTGCTTAACCATTTCACACTCTCAGAAAAGTCTTGCATTCTCTATAAAACAAACATTCATTGTGTGTGTGTTACGTTTGTATGAGCTTGTGTGTTAGTCGTTCCCTGGCCAAGTCATTGATTCTGCATTGTTAAATCCCTTCCTGGACTTATATCCAAGGCTCTGAGTCTAAAATATGTCACTCTACAGTATGGCTTTTATATAATCAGAAACAACAGCAGATGGCACATGAATAACAGCTTAAAATCTTCATCTCGTGCCCTAGAAAACATTTTTTCTCAATAAACCTGCATACAGAAACAACTACATACTGCTGTAAAAATACAAGAGAGAGGTGAAAAGAGATTAATATCTGTCCCTCTGATCTGATCCTTTAGAGACTAACGGAAAGTTTCTCAAAACACTTCCCATGGTACTTTGCAGATATCCTTTTCTCATCCTACAAAAGACCTAAAAGGGAGCTTAATTGAGACAACTCTGAGCAGCTCATGCTTCGCCAACACCCTCACACAGTGTAAACCATTCAAACAAACACACTCACATGCATTATTTCGGACAAGAGAAACTTTCCGAACAACACTATTCCAGTAAAGATAGCTTTAATTCTGCTTATGTTGAAAAGAGGACGGTCATGAGTTCCCTTCTGTAAATATGCATGTCTCTGAAAAACTTTTGTCATAAGCATGAAACTGTCCTAACTATAAAAAAAAAAGAAGTGGAAATATTCATAAACAAGTAGGTTGTTGAAATGAGGCAACACTGACCAGAGACAGCAGGAAATACTTTAAATAAATACAACTATTGATTCTTTGATACTGTTTTGTTGATAGATTTTTTCTGCATTTTTAACGCATGCATATTTATGTATGCATGAGATTAAAAACACTGATTGTTGGCATTTGGATAGCACTGACTTCAATGCATCTCCTGCTTGCACTGCACCGTTATATCTCACTGTCAAATCATTATTTACCTAAAACCAGTTCTTCTTTGCAGCTCTAAAACAGCAGTTGCTACCAGCAACATAGCACATATTCTGGCTGTTGAAGAGAAGAAGAAACAAGTAAATGTTTTTTTTTTGTTTTCGTGTGTGTGTGTGTGTTTTTTTTTAAGGGGGCTGTATAAATAATGTTATTAAATCAATGCGCTGGCAGGCAAATTTGCAGATACCTGATACTGCATTTTGTGCAGACCTCTTTCAAGACAGTATCGGAAGTACTGTAAAAACAACTTGATGAAAACTTTCCTGTTGTTTGGCTCTTTCAGTATAAGAAAAAACATTTTTTTTTTCAAAACCAAAAGTCTGGACCATTGTTTTTGAGAGCAAAGTGTTTAAAGCTTGATTCAGAGGAGGAGCTGAGGCTGGAAGACCGTTCATGAAGGAAGAGAGGATAAGCGCTTGTTACCACTGTACAGGCTTTGAGCCACGATAACAATTCCTCACGTCTTAAATAACAAAGACAAAAAAAATCAGGGAATAAACAAATCAAATGCAGACTTAACTCTCTTTCCTACATCTTTGTTCTATTGGATTATACCTCAGCTTTATACTATAGCACCATCTGAAGCAAGTAACACAAGGCTTAACTTGTTTTCTCATTTTAAACGGTTAATTATGTAACATTAACAGGAGGCTTCAAATCGAAAGCAAATCCAGTTTAGTCAGAGACACATGCCTGTCCATGTGTCGAAAGGGCAGATAGATGTTTCTTTTAAAACATTACGGGAGAAAAAGTGCAAACTCTCTGTCCCATGAATCCCAGCATGCACCATAGAGGGTGGCAGTTGTGAGGGTTATCCTCTCTACATATGGCAGTTCAAATGTTTCCAGTGTTCACGAGACACCAAGTCCTTAGTCGGTTGCGGTTTGCTGCTAATGCTAATGTCATCTACAGACAGACATCCATTCAGTGATTGCCTTACGCATTGAGTCTGTAGGGAAGCAGAAACAAACCTTAGGAAATCTAAAATAGCACTCAAACTGTTTACAAAGGGATAAAGGCTTGGGGTAGGTCCACCAAAGTGTTCATAGAAAATGTGGCTGACCGTGAAGGACAGAGACTGAAGGGTGCAAGACCTGATTTCAAGGAAGGGGTCAGTCCAGCAGGTGTTTAAGGGGGCAGGAGAGAGAGAGAGGTCAGAGTTCAGGGTTTGGCCTGGGGTCAGTCTAGCAGATGCTTGCGTGGGCCTACTCGTGAGCGGTGGGAGCGGCGGGTGTCTGGGTTTCCGTGTGTCTCTCGGCAGCTCTGGCACACGTATGTCTCTGGCACATGGCTCTTGCGGATCTTGGCGCATGACAGGTGGATCCAGGTGTTACACTTGTTACACTCGATCATTGCTCGGCCTGCGAAGGGCTTCATGCAGAAACACGTCACCAGGTCCCACGAGTCGTCGTCTGGGGAGACCAGAGAGGGCACACGACAAGTTTAGCTCTGCCACTTTGTTAAACTTTTAATATTTAAAGATTACACCAAAACAGCTCTTACCTGAGTCGACCATTATGTCTTCATCCTCTCCTGATCCGTCCTCGTCTCTAAACACCACCTGTTTCCCCTGACGGAATACTGTTCTGCTTCCTGCAAGTCCCTCCACCTTCTGTACTTTTACCACACCTTCCTCCAGATCTCGACCCTCCCAGTGCTGGCGATCGTCACTGGGCTCCTCTTTGCAGGGGGCAGGGCTGTGCAGACCCTGAGGATGCAGGGGAATGCTGATATCATCTTCTGGCTCCTCTTTGATCATTTTGCCACCATAGGAGATGCCGTACTGCAGCTCTGGGGCCGTCGTGTGGTCCTGCTGGATCCTGTCTTCTTCCCCGCCTGAATACTCCCTTTCCTTTCTCCTTTTCTTCTTCTTCAGCTTGTCGGCTTTCCTGCGGTCGTCTGGGTGCAGGGCTGTAAATGTGTGCTGTAAAGAATAAAAAGATTATATGTCAGAAGGGCGAGGGGAACATAAGAGACAAATGATTTGACACTGACTTCACTTACATCTTTCTTGGTGTGGCTGGACAGAGTGGCTCCTGGCTGTGGACGCTTTCTGCTCCTGTCCTGGGGGGCCTTGGAGGGCCGCTGGGGGCAAGAGGTTGGGGGTCCTGGCGTCCAGCCATCACTGTCAGCTGTGCTGCCTGTACTGTTAGGAGGGCTGGAACTGCTGCGCAGTGGAGAGTCCTGAGACCAAAAATTGAAGATGCAATGGTAAGGGACATAAAGGTGAAGAGTCAGAAATTCTTTTATGCAACATTGCAACACGCTTAGTGTCCTTAACAAGTTACAACGAGGATCCATTTATGTAACAGCCATTGCTCTGCTGCTACTCTAACCAGAAAACAATTTTGCTAAAATTTATTAATCCAGAGACTTGGCTTACGACACCCATCTGTGGGTGTAACATGTCGCAATATGTGCACATGTGGTGGGAACAGAAAAGAATAAAAATCTAGCATGTGTTTGTGAGAAACACAAGAGCAACACTGTGTAAGAGATTAAACCACAATTTTATCAGTATGAATCACAGTGTTACAGTCTGTCCCCTTTACTGGTGCAGAAGAGAATCCAAATGTGTCCAACATTAATTCTGACTAAAGAAATTATGCACACACTGAAAAAGGTGTCACACTTGGCTGTCTGAAAAAAAGGGATGACAGACCAAAGTTTGACATTCTCAAGCAACATTTTGCCACATTTGCAGAACTAAAGGGCATAACTACAGTTTTTGACAGTATGGATCAGGCTTTAAGTAACAGGCAAACCTGGAACTCCTATAAACTATGAAGGATGCTATTAGTCACAAAAATAACACAATTACTGTACATTGTATTCAAAAAGGAACTTTTGCCGCATGGAGGAGGAGACCATGGTTAATTCTTAACAGAGGAGACTAAAGCCCAAATAAACAGAGCTAAAGAAACTACAGGAACAAAAGGATCAATTTTAGATAATCTCATTGTCTTGCTATTTCCCTCCCTGTCAGCAAACAGGTGATGCAATTCAATAAGCACAAGAGAAGTTTATATCACACATCCAATTCTAAGTCCAATATCTTATCTACTGTATCTACAAAATTTCAATGGCTTGCTGATTAGACAGTACTAATAGAGTTACTTGGTGTTGCCAGACCATGTCTTTACCACTAAAATATAAATATTTAAATATTATTAAATTTCCCTTCAGAGATAAATAAAGTTCTTCTGATTCTTATAAACCCAACAGATGTGCAGGGTTTCTCTGAACTGATTACGGACTACAGCGGGATGAGAAGCTCAAGGAAGAACATTTATGATCATTTCTTTATCATTTCCTTTAAGTAATAATCGTTATATTAATCATTTTGTACTGCAGACACAGTAGTTCTTCTGCCTTAGCGTCTTGGCCTGACTGCAAATGTTCTTCCTTGAGCTGTGTCACCCAGCAGTAGTCCGTAATGGACTGGCCCAAGGTTTCACTACAAACAAGCGGCTGCTGGAAGAGAGTTGGTGAGCTATGTATAGTCTCTTTTCCAAAGAAATAAGGCAAAGTTTAAAAAAAGTTTGGTAGCTAGTGCTATGGCTGGGACCCTATATGTACTGTTGATGAAGTTATGTGCTGTTCTGAGCATGAGCATTATTTGTAGCTATAGAGCGGCTTTTTGGTTGAGGTTTGTTTATGGCTCCTCAGACCGCTGTGTATTGCTATCGTGCGTCCATTACTAAAGTTGGTATAACTAGAGAAGCAAGCAGTCGGCAACATTCATCTCTCGACGGGTTGTCTAACTCGGTGCTTCTCTGTGTTTGACCCTAAATTAATTTCACGCCAGAATATCCCTTTAAAGCATGGGGAGTCCAGAAGTTAACCGAAAGCGGTGCACTGAACCTGAAATCTTACTCAACCTTACAACACAGGTGCTAATGTGAGGATGCATGCGTAGGCTGTGTCAGTTTCGTTTACTCACCTCTTGGGGATATGGGATGTAGCCAGCGTAAGCCAAAACAAAAGTGCAAAACTTGTTAAAATCCTCTACCGTCCTTCTCCTCCTGTATGGCGGACTGAAGCCCTGAAACACAGCAACGTAATAGAAACATGAGCTGCAACGGACCTACACATCCCGACATGGCGTTGACAATAACGAGAGGTGATCGGCACGCGTGAAACTGCCACTCTGCACGGGCTCGGTGCGACTCGACAAATCTGCACGAATCTATACTGCCTACTACTACATTTATGACAGTCACAGACGAAATTTTATTAACCTTCTTTGTCGACAGTCAGTGAATCTTCCTACCAACCCCCACCGATTAACTGAAGTACCAGCCAGCTACTGTTAGCTTATTCGGCTAGCGAGAGACTGTAAATAAGTAACTAATGGTGAGGGAGCTAGCTGATGGCTAATAACGGTGGGGTTTCTGCAGGAAACTTAAGTGTGTGAATTCAAGAACAACAAAGAATCATCGAGAGTTTCACAAACAAAAGTGTTGACTAGCTGTGTAGTGACATGTAAAGGCGGATTGTGTAATTCTATTGCTTAGTTAGCCTATGTTAATGTTAGCATGCTCCGCGCTGATGATGATGGAATGTTTTCCACCGTTGGGCTAACCACTAATCTTACAAAGACATGTTTAGGTATCACGGCTGAGTCGTCCTACAAAACAGTTCTGAGTTTAGTCTCTCAATTGTGTCACTTTAATCTGGGCGTGCCTGAAAGCCATCCGAGTGAAACTTATCTCGTTTGTGCACCAGTTGCTAACAGTATGTCAATATTAGCTTCGTTTGCTAACGCTTACTAACCAGCAGCTGCTACATCGTGCGGTGACAAGTTGACATTTGCTAACACCGTTAGCTATGACTGCAGACTACTCACAACAAACAGTTTGAACAAAAAACTCACCTCTGGTTGAAATGCATTGGATGTCGATGGGTTAAAGTCACCCATCTTTACCAAGTGTCCGACAACCTGGCGATTTGTTCCCTTGACAGACTGTCGCAACGAGCTACTCGATGCGACCGTAAACACTCACTGAGGCTAAGTACCTGTCGTTACTAACGTCAGCGGTACTAATGCTTGAAAAAAACTCAAAACAACTGTGTTTACTCAATCTGCTAACCACACAAACAATAACGACACTTTGGCACGAGTTGGTGTTGATTCCAGGTGCTGAGACGTGCCTCCTGTTGGCACAAAACGACGGTGTACACCCCTACTGTATATCCAACGAGCTGTCCGGTACCGTCTCCGTGTGATCCAGTTTACTGAGCGCAGGCAGGGGGGAGCGGTTCAATCCGCTGTCACCAGCTGCCTGCCTGCCCCACTGTTCTTCTTCACGGCAGCGTGTGGTGGAAACGGCGATCACGCCCTCCTCTGGTGGGTTTCTGTGCAACAGAAAATACAGAAAAGTCTCAGAGGGGGCGACCTGGATGAATTGAAGTTAAATAAATAAATGAACAAACATCACATATTTTCTAAAACATTTTCCAATTCGTGTAAAATATGTCGGAAAATCCGTTTAAAGTGCTCTCTGAAGTGCCAACCACACACAAAACCAGTAAAAACCATTTGGGAAACTTGTGCCTGCACTTAAGAGAGCGACGTGAAACCTGAAATTAGGGCTGTGCGATATGAAAAAGAGTTAATCACGATACATTTTTTTTCATTTCAGTCGATATCAAAATCACGATATAAAAAATGAAATTAAACAGTGCTGGTTGGTAGCATGTCTTTTGCAATACAATAAGCTACTGCATCTGTGAGGTCTTTGTGTCTCTGAGGTTTTGTTGTAAGGTGTAAGAAAGCGGAATGGTTGGCTGTTTCGGCTGCACGGGCGCTATGGGCTCCTTGCTCCCCTCAGAGTTTTAACCTTTTGCATGCCCTGCCATGTGGCACTGCTTCAGGTGGTGAAAAAGATTTGAGTTATTCCCCGACTTTTCAAGAGCATGTGCTCGACATAACTTGCAGTGCACATTACTCTGCTTCATGTCCAACCCATAGACTGTAGAGAGAATGGATACCTTGCCGGGTGAAGCCACTCCAAGAACAGCACACCTTGGTGACGGGCTGCAGTATAGGTCATAAATTCCGCCTCCGCCAGCCATCCTTATGGGGCTGTGGACAAACTTTAGAAATTAATTACACAGAATATACATTTTTCTACCCGCTGTTGCGATGTTGACATGTAGTTACTGTAAGACTGGTTTGTGCTCGAGTCATTTTTTTTCTGTGCAGCTTTGTTTTTAAAAGTTATTAGGGGGTTCATGTTTTCTATGATTGACATTGACATACAGCCTATGGGCGTATGAAGATTGCGTAGCGCACCTGGGGGATACACTGTTTGAGCCGAGCGTCATCACAGCGACTCTCGGAGACTCTCCCGCAGAATGCGCACAATGCTGCTGCGCAAGTGGTGAAGTGTTTACAACGCTACTGCGCAATGTTGGTTTCAGGAAGTGGAGAAACAACACGGAATTACTAAGAGCTTTTCAGCTTCAAATCTGTATACTAGCAGAAGGAGGAACCAAGTTGTCCATGGTATATACAGGCTATGGTCAGACCTCAAAAAACCCAAATACCTCCACACCACTGACGTTTTCATGCCAGAGTTGTTAAAGATGTCATCATCTGTTAAGCCTTCATCTGCATTTCTGCCAAGGGTATCACTCATTTTCTTGTTCTCTCACCAACAGTTCTGTTGTCTTCACATGTTAAAGTTCTATGGTTGCGTGTAGCTGCAGCCTGCTATTGCGCAGTTGTTTGCTACTTGGTTCTAAATCAGCACAAGATTGATTCAGCATGAACCGGACCCAGAGCAACCCCCCTTTTCATTGTCTATTCGTATAGTCAACCAAAATATGGCAGAATGCTATCGAAGAGCATATTGACCATATTTTATATTGAACACAAATTGACCATGTTTGATATTGATATTAAGGGAAATTAATTTTCAATATAAATCGTCATAGTTTTATCACCCAGCCCTACCTGAAATAATTTCATATTACCTTAATTTCACTGGGAAATCCCATTAGAAATGAACTACTCTTTTACAGGAAAAGGCAAAAGTAGCAACCATACAAAATACTACTACTACTACTACTACTACTACCAACAGCAATAATAATAATAATACCTCCATTGTTTACTCATTAAGCCCTTGTGATAGTGGTCCCTCAATTTGCTCAGTTCTTTTATAGTAAAGAGCAATCGATCACAGGATTACAACACATGCCAAGCAGTGCTGAAATAGAGATGGGTAGTAGTACGCCATGAGTTTTCCAAGTATCACTCAGTAAATAATATGATCAGTTGTATAATAAATGAAGTTATACCAGCACTGTCTCAAAATAGTATGGTTAGGGTACAGTGGCACTGAAGAGAAGAAATTAAATGACAGACATAATCAAGGGTCAGCAAAATATATAAAGATACATGCAGGTCTAGTCTACTACATCCTCTTGCATAGTAACAGAAACACAAAGTGGAGTGTAATCCATTTTTATTGCAAAATATTGTGCATAGTTTTTCTTTACCTCCTTATAATCTGCTTTTTCTGTCTGTGTGTATATTTTCATACTGAAACTATGCCAGTGCCAACAACTTTTATTACGGAATCAATTGAATGTATTGTGTTATATGTATGACCACTGTATAAAAAATTTTGGCCACACAGCATCACTGTGATTTGTGGCATTTGTTCAAAGTGGGGATGAAATTATATTTGTAAGCTGTATTTTTTCTTTTGGTAACTGCAGTAGTTTTTCACAATTAAAAGCTAAAAAAGCTCTTTACTTATCTCAGGCCGGTTTCTTTGAATCACTTCAATTTAGCCTGATTCTGAAACACTTCATTAATTATGGCCACTGTCTCTTCAAGGGCCTCCCATCATTCAAAAACCCAACTTTGTGGAAGCTACATTTATATAAGTCTATAAAAAACACTTATATAAAATATATAAATAAAAACATGTATTTGGGATATGTTTAAAAAGAACTGAATTTAAATCTAATTGATATACAGTCATATTGCACTGTAAATTCATGATTGATGTAAATCTATTTTGGTGTAATTTGCTTACTGGCAGGTAGAGTGCACCTTGTGGTATATTAAGCAAACAGCATCTGAAGCCTGGGTGGTGGGTAGGGGTTTACAATCAGTCCAGAATACAAACAATGAATATTATTGGAAAGATATTGCCCTGGTTTTCTGTTGATATCGCAGATTGCCAACATAAGTAAGTTTTACTTCTCCCGCAGTGGTTGAAAGAAGTAAAACCAGACGGAGTGCTGTGTTGTGTTGATACTTAGGCAGCTTTTTATCCTTCTACCTACTTTATATATGTAATCTGCGAGACATTTGGCAATTTAACACTAGAAATTTATGAGAGTTTACGCATAAAGCTTCATTGTTCAAAGAATGTATATTTTTCTAGGGTACCTGCTCATCAATCAATCGGTCGATGTAGCACAAAGTGCTTTACAGGAATAAAAGAAACAAAGAATACTCTGATCTACCCCAGCCCAACCCCTCGTTCCCACCCCTCAATCTAAGAACAACAGAAACAAGTATTAAAATGCATGAGCTTGAAAAAGGTTTGATTTCATAGAAACAGGAAAGTGCGCACTGAGGAAACGCCACTTTAAATTTCAAGATAAGAAAATATTGGAGGTTAGGTTAAAATCTAAAAACAAAGTAACATAAAATGAAATTTAGGGGAAAAAAATGAAATAAAAAACAGCACTGAAAGATATTAAAATAAGAGCACCAAAATAGCTCAATAAAACATGATCCTGTCATTAAAACTAGAAGGAATAAATGCTAAAACAATTTTAAAAAGTTAATGATATAAAATTTTGTTAAAAGCAAGACTGAAAAGGTAAGTTTTGAGTTTGTTCATTTATTGCAGGAAATAAGTGAGCAGCCCAAATAGCAAAAAAAAATATATGCCAATGTATAGCAACCTATTGAAACAAGGAAAGGCAGGATTGGGGTTAAATTTGAAAAACAAATAAATAAGGCAGGAAGAAAATGAAACTGCGGGTATACTCTTAAGTGATACAGCCTACTCGAATAAGTTATATTGGTGGTGCTTTACCTGCTTCACAGACTGGGGTACAGTAGGTGGCGGTACGCACCCTTTTTGCTCCATCGTAACATAACGGAAGTAAGTCGCCGCGCTTCCGTGTGTTCATAACCTCTCGCGCGCAACTTTTACTACAGTGAATGAGAAAAATTAAACTCTTAACATTTTTAATTATTATACAACTACTGCTTTTACAATGTCGAACAGTCGACACCAGAACTTTCGCACCTTTTTGACTGAACGTTTCACCGCCGTGGCAGTGGAAGTGTTTGGAGAGGTTGAGGCGATAGTGGAGTCGTACTACGAGGAAAACAAACGTCTGCGCAATGTCCTGCACATGGTGCTCGGACCCGATATCAAGTTACCCAAGATAGGTATGATACTTTTGTTAACTTTACAAGTCTCTTAAGAGTTAAAGTCGGCCACCAGCATAAAACTGAATTAGTTCAAATGTAACATGGAGGTTTGAAAACGAGCTACATGATAAAACGTAAACAGTGCACAGTTAAAGCTCCTTTAGGGATTTTTCAGGAAGTGTCAATTTTGGTGTCTGTGAGAACAAAGCAGTCTTTTTTTTAAATTTAACCTTTATTTAACCAGGTAAAAAACCCGTGGAGGTCAAGATCTCTTTTACAAGGGTGACCTGGCCAAGAGGTCAGGCTGCACATGTCACAATAATAATTATAATGATAATACAATTCAAGGACAAAATAAGTTAACACAAACAGTACTTCTGAAAGTGCGTATTAAGTCCTTAATGTATTTGTAAGGAGTATTCTCTTTCTGACTTTCAACAGCCAGGTTCATCATTGATTGTGGAAATTTAATGCAAAAAAAAATATAAAAATAAGGCTGTTACCCAAGCAGTCACTTGGTGTCACAACAATAACCTTCAGCTCAACACATCAAAAACCGAGGAACTAATAATAGACTTCTCAAGCTCACCCACATAACCATTATGGACTCCTTCAATTTCCTTGGCACACACATCAATAATACACTCAAATGAAGACAACATGCAGATGAAATTTACAAAAAAGCCAATAAAATACTGTTCTTATTGCGACAGCTCAAAAAGTTTTGAGTCAGACACGTCCTCCTCCTTCAGTTCAGTACTCGGCCATAATTGAGAGTATCCTCACATCATCAATAATAGTCTGGTACAGAAACTTGGACAGTCATTCACACACAAAACTTCAACACATAACCAACAGATCATCCAAAATCACTGGCCATACCCTCCCATCCATGGAGACTCTGTATCAAAGACACGCCACACCACAGCGAGCACTGAAAATCACCTCAGACCATACACACCCTGCACACCACCTGTTCACACTCATGTCCTCTGGGAGGTGGTACAGGTCTTTGACAGACAACTCAGCCACATTCAAGAATAGTTTCTTCCCCACTGCCATATGGACACTAAACCAAAATCTGAAGTAAATTGTATCCACATCTATTATCTTGTATCTTGTATTGTTGCATTGTTTTTTTTTTTTTTTCCTGCATGCATGTACTGTATGTTTCTGACACAGGAGATGTGAGCATGATGTGCTGTACCGAAAACAAATTCCACCGACCCTGTTGTGTTGCCATTAAGAAATGATTCTGATTCTGTTACTTTAGCTGCCTAGTTGGCACCTACCCTCTCGTACCAGTTCCAGGCATCAAAATAACAATATTAGAATCATCAATTGTCCCTGATGTTCTCCTTTGCTTTTGCATGTCATAAAAAGGAAATCAATCTGAGATTCAGTCTGTTTCAAAAAAAAAAAAAAAGTTCAGGACCTTCAATGTTTGTGTTGCAAAGTCTAGTTGTAGTTCATAATAATACAAGTTTATCAGTATTAATGAAGACTGAAATTTTAAACTAGATGGCTAGGGTGCATGCAATTTGCTTTACTCTCAAGGTGAATTAAGCATGATATTCAAACATGGATATTTTCCTTTCCATTTGACAGATCATTGCCATCATACCGCAGCAACCACGAGTACCACACATCAACCCTTTGTGCAGCCCAGGGATGAAAACATGGACATATCAGAGTATTTACAACCAAAAACGGAGCAAGAAGAGTATGATATAAGCTGTGAATTGCCCAGACAGCAAGTGCTGGAAGAAGCTGATAACTTGACTATATCTGATTGTGTGAAACGTGAGTCGGATGCAGAAGACTCAAGCATGCCCCCCATCACTGACTCACACAACTTTGAAATAGTGGTGGTCAGCCGAGACTCATCAGGCACTATATCAGCTAATGAAGAGAATGATAATTGCGATGTTAATCACTCAATGGACTCAGATGGACTTGTAGATTTCCAAGAGCCATCCAAAAGTGACGAAAGCGCCAGCAAAAGTGTAAAATCTAGAAACCACAAAAAGAAGTCAAAGAATAAGGTAGGTTTGTTGTGGTGCCAGGGATCCCCTGTATCATAGAGTTTGATGAATAAGAAAACGCATGATTTCTAGAGTGCCCGTCCTGGCAGGAACTGTAGCTGTTGATTTTTCTGCATGTGCATGAACATGTATGCAGAGGAACACGTGCCACTCCAGCTCCAATTAGAAAACATTATCACAGGCTGGTTAAAAAGAGATAATAAACCATTAAACAGTCCATATCACTAGAAAAAGTCTAAATCCTCTTAGAACAACAGTACTTGGGTCCTTAACTTCAACAGTGGGTGGTTCATTGTTGTGTTTGACTTAGGAGTCTTATTTGTTGTAGCATAAAATAATTTATTCTTTTTTTGGGGGGGAGGGGGGTGGAAAATGTGCTCCAAAACAGACAGAGCAGCCACTGCAGAAAACTGTGCTGGAATTACCAAGGTAAGAACAATGACACTCAGCGTATCTACAATTTTGCTTCACTTTTCTAGTTGCTTGTATGGCTAATAATCAAACCTGTTTTTACACAGGATCATGCCCCACCACTCTGTTATCCCTACTCCATCTGCTAGCCTTTCCCTTTTGTCCAGGATCACAGAGGCTTTCAAGGATTTGCCAGAGGACAAAAAGCCTCTCATAACAAAAATTGGCTTCTTGGACAATATGGAATCCGTGGACTGTGCATTTGGCAAGGTCCCCAAAGGTTCACCCTTGTCCTATCAATGCCCTGTGCCATCAGATATGGACTATGAGATTCATGATGATGTCCCCCCTCGCCCGCCACTTCCCTCTTTAAATCATAAGCTAGAGCCAATGCTGGATTTTTCTTCATTTTCACTCAGCACCAGAGAGCAGGAACATATTAACACCATGGGGATCACATTGGAGGACGCGCAATGTCTGGAGAGCTCCACGCGTCCTCCAAATGGGCACAAGGAACGTGCTGAGCAGCTGCTGAAGCTGCGATTGACCTGTCGTTTTAGGGAAATCTGCAACCTTAAACCAGGTCGGAGTAATGCCGAGCATCTTATATTTAGGATCCAGAGGGGAGGTCGCATTTGTAAGAACTTGCAGATTGAGGAAGAGATGAAGACTGAGGCACTGCGGGAGTACTGTAGCCATGTGTGTGTCAACTGGTCCCCCTGCGGCTATGTTGTTCACCCTAATGCACCATGGCTTGGGGCGCTGCCCCATGGGCTGGTGTATGATCCCAATGAGAGGCCCACTTTTGGCCTGGTGCATGTCAAATGCATCCACTTCAAGAGCTTCATTAGCTGCAAGTTCTTTACTTTTAAAAGTGGAGTCTTGCAGCTGATGAAAGCCCACGCTCTGTATTGGGACATCCAAGGTGAGATGATGATAACAGGAATGTCCTGGTGTGATCTGGTGGTATTTTCCAATGAGGACATACTTGTTCAACGCATCTACAGAGACGAGAGCATGATCAGCTCCATGAAGAAGAAATTGGATAGCTTCTTCTTTTACTACTATCTACCAAGTCTGGAATAAACTGGTGTAACACTGCTGACACACTACATGTTCTCCATCATGGGGTTGATGAAAGTTTCTATAGACTGACTGAGATCCTTTCAGACGACTCACACTACATTAATAAGAAGTTAGGTTGTTCTTGTTTGTTTTTATTTTGTTGAGCAAAGAGGAAGTTTATTCTGATGATTGTGTTTAATTTTTAGGTGAAATCTGAAATATAAGTTGCACTGGAATATTAGACACAGTGTAATTTTGGGGATTCCAGAGGGGAAAAGGCTTTAACTGTGTCCCTGCTATTGCATCTAGCAATATGCGGTTTCTGTGCAGGTGCAGCTCTTTTTGGTTCTGTTGTCGCCACACTGCCAAGTAGTTGAGTCCATCTTTAGGAAGGAACCATGTGGCTTAAATTTCAGCAGTGTGGCAATATTTTAACCAGGAAATTCAAACTGTCCAATCACCCAGTGATTTGCTATATATAAAAAAAATGCAATACAGTCATTTAGCAAGGTAGTGGCAGTAGAGCTGCTTTCGAAACTACCAATTCATGTGAGGTGATTCAAAACACGATGTGGCTGCTGTGACTTTGACATCAGACATTTGGAGCTCTGCCTTGTTTTTGCTAAATTTGCACACTTGACAATTCCCCCCTCTTGAGAGTTTAAAATGACCCAGTCCAGTCAATATTGTGTAAAGATGTCAGTGAAGAAGGGGAAAATATGCAGGGAAACCTGAGTTATTGTTCAATATTTACTGTCCTGGTCTTGCAGCTGGGTGCTGCAGTTATAAACCTTGAACCATCTCATGAGTCACATTCACAGTAGCATTTCTTTAAGTTTTCAACTTACAGTATTACATGCACACCATCTTTAAGGATGTCATACAACATAACAGGAAAAAGTTAAGCAAGTTTAACAACAATGCTAGCTGCGCTGTGTTACATGGAGATGTCTCAGATTATTATTGTAAACAAACACAAAAAAGTGTTGTGCAGCACTATTTTCAAGGAGAATGTCAAGTGCTGGATCAGGACTTACCACATGATAATGAAAAAACTAGACCTAATGACATCCCAACTTGGAGGTTCACATAGTTGTCTGCAATTGCCTGATTTTCACTTAACAACAGAGAAAAGCGTCTAATAGTGGCACAACTGGACTGGCCTGGTCTCACTCTTTATTTGATGGTGGTTTATTGGTCGCATTAGTATATAGTTCACTTTTGGAAGACAAAAATATTTTAATGAAAGTGTGTCTTATCCTTCAAATTGTATGGTAAGTTGTTTTTTTGTCATTGAGATGTTTGTAATTGCAGCTATGTTCTGTTGCTTATTTTGGTTTTAACTTTGGAGATATGGTTAAGTCTTTTGTACGTTATCTGTATCTATAGATTCTACATAAAGGGGTGCTGGTTGCATGTTCATAGTCCTTGTTGTATTGACCAGTGAACCTTTGTAAACACTGGAAAAACTGTTGGGAAAGCAAAGGCAAGTGCAGCTAACAGTTCATGCTTGATCAAATAGTTTCATCTTCAGCAACAAATCTGCTTGAAACTGTAAAGGGAAAGGCCAATGATCACAGTCTCTATTTCAATAAAGTAGTGTGTAGAAATGAGAAAATTTAGTAATACCTATTATATATTTATTTAAACATTATTTTTAATAACTTATTTAGACAAACATAAGACATGTCAATCACAAGTAGATCCTGAGGTGATCAGTTTATTTTCTGTAGAAGAGTTGCAGTTCAGAGTCACTAGCAGTTATTTACAAAGTACACAACTTGACTTCTTGAGTTAAAGAATAGGTATGCCTGATCATTACACCAAAACATAAATAATGGTTTTATTACGACTTTATTCTCGTAAATAATGGTTTTAATCTCAAAGTCTTATTTATTAATTTATTTTCTAAATATGGCCCTAATAGGGAAAAGTAATACAAACTTCACCAGAAATTCCTGAAAGGCAGGGGAAATGGCAGCATAACGGCTTTCAAACAAACTTGGAAGGAGCTGTGATGAATTTTGTGTTTGTTATGAACATACATTTACAAAACCAATATATTTTCATTTCCAAAATTTCAAATAAGGGTCTTCAGATATGACCACGGGTGCTCAGGTGAAGAATTATCATCTAGCTTTACTGCAGCTATCAATGACAACACTCATTGAACTGCTCTGTTTAACCAGGAAGATGTGACATTCAGATATGGTAAAACCCCCTACGCAAACTACAAAACATTGCAGTTTACTGTTTTTCACACAAAACTTTCGATGAGAAAAAAAACTAAAATCTATCAAGTTTCTTTCTATTAATTTATTTCAGTAGTAATTGTTTTTCTAAATCAGCCTTTTGTCGTTTCTCCTGTAGGGGGCGCTGCCCAAGGAGATATGCAGTACTAAGTCGTGGTTTCTTTGGTTGCTATCAGATGACGTAAAGTGAGGCGATGTGTTTTTCTGTCGTTGGTGACAAAAAGGGAACTCTTGACACTAGAAACGCCTTGTCATGTTTTACCTCGGTCCACAGTGTGGCTAAAAAATCATTACTCAGCAGCGCGCGTGCAGGCACTTTGGCACTTTGTCCTCTCGCGGCGCCTGTCTCGAGAGTGACCGGATGCTGTTGTTTGAGAGAAGCAGCTCGCTGCCGTGTCGCGCTCGCGCTTCTCGTCTCGCTGCGGTCGTGTCCCTCACTTTTGACTTGCACCTTTGTTTGTGTAATAATGGCCATTAATAAAACTTACATTAGTATCGGCTATGCCTCTTTCGGTATGCTCATGGGATTTTCTGCTTTCCTGGTGTGGAACATCGTGTTCAACCAGCCGTGGACTGGAGCCATGGGAGGACTGTCAGGTAAAGTAAACATGTCAGGATCTTTGGGGGTTTCTGCTGTAAATAAAGGCAACGTGTGCTCTGTCATGTTTAAGCTGGTATTAGACATGAGCTTAAAGACTAGTGATCATTTTCTTAAAGGCTGAAGACTTGGAGATGAGTTTATTCCTGCTCGTAAGGGCAGAAATAGTTATTCATCAACAGTGTTTACCAGACATGATCACGTCTAGACTGAACTGTGCACACGGGTTCATCTTCGACCCAACACGATCACTGAGGGGAAAAGTTTTTCGTGTCTGCTCATGACAGTAGAGAGACAGAAAAACACGTTTCACTTATTAAATAAAGACTTTAACAATCAATAACAAAGTCTCTTTAGAGTACACAGATACTAAAAAAAGTGCACGCAATAGGGGAGAGTGGGGTAAATTAAGCCACCCCCTGTTGCTTGGAAATGATGAAAGAAATTGATCATGTGACCAAATATTTAGGAGATGGGCATCAATTCATGGAGTCTGTGAAGGTTAAAAGCACATAGGTGAAGGGGTTAGACATTTGTTTCCAAAAAAATAAATAAATACTCTTGAAAGTGAATTTAGTCTGTCCTAAGTTTTATTAGAATTGTGTTCAGACCAAAAAAAAAGATCATTTTAAATTTGTTTTATACAGCAATTGTTGTATCTATGAGCTACAACATGAGGTCAAAAATCTAGCATAAAAGTCCACACATTTTAGCTTAGAGGACTAATAAAGTCATAATTGTAGTTCTGGGGTTAGTTGAGCCAGTGGTTCAACTGAGAAAGTAAAGGAGTCTGATGCAAGGACCAGAGTTTCATTTCAGATCGTTGAAATGTGTTACTTTTTCTTTTCAAAATACAGCTGTGAATGTTCTGAATCACTTACAGGCATTCTCATGTTAAAATGATTTTTAGTTATTTATGTAGAAGGTGAGGGAGGGCTGAGGTGGAGAGTGTGGGGGGTGGGGGGTAGTAGGGATACGGCTCAACTTACCCCGCTCCTATGGTCAACTTACCCCATACACGGGGTAAGTTGACCATAGGAGACCACTTTTTTTGGCATGCTATATATTATCAAGACAGTTATGTTTACACTCATTCTGTTGGTTTGCAGGGATGGACAACATTTTGAAATATATGCAGATACATGAGTTAGATTGCCTTGATGTAGTGATCTGAAATATGAAAAATGGCTCATCTTACCCCACTCTCCCCTACGTTTTACAGGACATCAAGTGTTGTACACATGTTAATCAATTGTTAAGAACTAATTTATGTTTAGCATGTCTTTTCAGGCATGTTTTGGTTAACTCATATAGTTAATAATTTTATGTCCCTCCTAGTTAGCTTTGCCAAAATTGAACATAAAGCAGACACCAAACACAAAATGCAAAAGGGACATTGATGTGGAGAAAATAATGCCTCAGTAAGAAGAGAAAGGCTAGCTCTTAGCACAGTTATGTAATACAGTTAGTGTTGTTTCCATGGAGCTCACCTTTGAACTATGTGAAAGGTTTGCTGATTGACATCAATAAATTCTACGCTCATTTCCTCAGGATGTTCTGCAATCAGTTTTATTGGTATAATGTAATGTATATGTTACCAAAAGTTTTACCAATCTTTAAAGAGGAAGAAATGGTCATGAGGTGCTTTGTCATATATTTTTTACACAATGAAATAAAGTGATGAGCCAAATGAAGTTAACCCCATCCCTGACAAACTGGCATCAATAGGCAATATAAGGAAATATGAGTGTTGAGGAAACTTCTGAAATCTTTTTCATGAATTGAAGAAAAAGGAGCAGTAGCAGCAGTTTCTAGTCATGATCCCTGGTTGATAGAAAGTTGGTTGAAAAAGCAAAAGGACATTAATAGAGAAGTGAGAATCGCTGACTCAGCTGTTACCATTTTGCTGTGTCACAATTTGCTTCCATTGAAGTTCATGGTCATCAGCTCTTAGTCAGCAGCTGTTACATGTGAGTTGTCTTTAAAGGTCTTGCCCAACTTTGCATGATGGTCATTTTTGGTCTGATCCAGTCCCTTACTTTTGTTAAGCATTCATCCATAGAGAAGTATTTCAAATGTCCTCTAAGCTTTGGAGGTTTTGTTTTCTTCCATTGTCTCAAAATAGCTTCACAAGCTGTAATAACATCGACAATAAACCAGAAAAACACTTTTATCCCTTGGAGCATTCAAGCTGTTTCTATAAATGCACCACAATGCAGTACTAATCTGGCACTAACAAAGATGAAAGAGTTCAAAAATATTTGTTTTCACAGTTATGATGTAAAAGCAGCCTCTCTGTGTAATAAAAGATTTTGTAAGGAAGGAAGTATGAAGTTATCTTTTTCAAACTGTTGGTTGAAAAATTAAATCACTTTCTGTAGAGAATAGATTTCTGAAAACTAACTTTTGGAGTGCTTTTGTCCTTCAGGTGTGCTGGCACTGTGGACCCTGATCACCCACATTATGTACCTGCAAGACTACTGGAGGACCTGGCTGAAGGGCCTCAAGTTCTTCCTCTGCATCGGGGTGTTCTTCTCTGTCCTGGCTATAGTGGCCTTCATCACTTTCCTGTCTGTTGCAATCCACAACAAGGAGTGTAAGTTCTTCTGACATATGATTGACTTTATTTTACCCAATGTGTTTTTGAACTGTGGTGCACTATACTTAGACCAGTTTCTTTATGTTATCACTCTGAGCACACAAACCTCTAGACCCTGGCCGCCCACATGTCAGCACCTCAGTTGTACTGCCCCCATCAAATAAGTCTGGGTACATCCCTGCTGGGACCTGAGTGCTGTCAGGCTTTTAAGCTTGGTCAACAACTGATCTGATTATTCTGAAAGATTCAAGATTCAAGATTTGTTTATTAGTCATGTGCATGTCAAACAAGGTCAACAAGGCAATGAAATACTCTGGATAAGAGGACCGCTCGACTCAGAGGAGTACAGATAAAACAAACAATAAGTACTGAAGGAATACGATAAAATAAGGATAGGAAAAAATGTTCAAGACGAATAAAAGTATAAGAAATATTTAAAAAGTGTGAGAAATATTTAAAAGTGTAAAGGAGATATTTACAAAGTGAACACGTAATGCAGTAGGTGCTGAGTGTGAATGTATAAAATGGAGGATAAGTCGGTGGGATGAATGAAGTATGAAAATTACCATATTGCGCATGATAAATAAGATGCTTAACTTTAGATTCTGTCCTGAAAAGGCAGTAAAAAGCTAACATTTTAATATGTGTCTTACTGAATAAACTGCATGATCATTGTGTCGATTGCTGTTTCGGTCTCTCACAAGTCAGTCGGGATGAAATTTTGAGGAAATGAAACCACACTGAATGAAGGACAGAGGGATCCTTAATAATGCAGATTAGATATGGAATCAAACATTTTAATCACAACAACCAAATCATACGTTTTTTGTTTGCCATACACAGCATAATAAAAGCATAAAGGCCTACATATAACATGGACCTACAGTAAAATAATAAGATAGCTAATAACCCCACTATATGTCTATAAACAATGGTGGTTTAAATAGTATTTACAGGAATCTCCCTTCCTCTCTTCTCCCCTCTCAGTTCAGTAGGTTGATGCTGACATACTGCCTCATTGTGCATGATCATGTTTCTTATTAAATGTATTTATTTAAAAAAGTAGCTAAATTTAATACAGTGGGTCAGTGTTTTAGTGTGGTTTTGCTGGTTATTGTAGGTTCAACAAGTAAGGTTATTCAGACCTTATGCATGATGGTTATTATGTGGGCACATTATACAAAGGCTGTTTCATAGATTTAAATGAAGGCTCAAGGCAAATAATTTGCCTCAAGGCTTTTTTTAGTAATCAAGTAACTCAATTTATTCAAGGAACCATTTCACCCTTAGCTGCTTGACCAATCAGAAGTTGTATCGTGATCAGCTGACCTGAAAAGGTCCAATCAATTCCCTTTCTAAGTAGAGCAGTGAAAATAATACAACTTGGAATAAAATTTGTGTTGTCAACACCAAAAACCTGTATAAGCCCACGTTTGTCCACACAGGTCAGTCAATAGGTAATTATAAAGAGAACAATAAACGCATTAATCAATAAGCAGAATAGATAATGGCATTAGTATCATTAAAATCTTATCAATTACCATCCCTACCCCTAACCATCGTTGCCCCCTCTTCATGAATCTGCTCACAAGCCTTCAGAACCACTGATCTAACTAAAGAGCACCTCTGGACTTTATTGATCTTAATGCATCTTGGCTGGGCTCTTTTTGTGTTTTTACCCCCAGATGGGATGTTAAAGGAATGTTTACCAGTTTAGTTCAGTGTTATTAGAATTGTGTTTCACAATTAAAACTACCATCTTAAGAGAAAAAAAAGGTCTCACTTTTTCATTTTGTGTTCTTTATATATTTTTTTTTGTTTGGCTAAAATTGCTACACCAGGCATATAAAAAGAATATATGTCATAAAAAATGTTTAACTTTAACTGTTCATCAATGCCTCTGTGCTGTGTTTTGTTTCTCTCTCACAGCTCTGACCAACCCCAGTAGCCTCTACTTGTCGTGTGTGTGGAGCTTCATGAGCCTCAAGTGGTCGTTCCTACTCTCTTTGAGTGCCCATCGCTACCGTAAAGAGTTTGCAGATATTAGCATCCTCAGTGACTTTTAAAAACACAGCAGTCCGGCATCATGTAAGTAAAGAGACTCTGTGGTAAACTTGCTGTCCTGGTCACCCAGCAAGAAGTGATATTGGACGTTTTAAGAGGAATCAAAGGAGATTTTAAATTACTTAATGTTGTGGATGAGCACCCTGATCCTTGGCCAAACCTCTCCCAAATCCTCTCACATTTTTATTATGTGTGCCGGGTTTGTTGTTGACTGTGCCTCTTGACACACAGTCCTGTTTTATATGATCCCTGCTTGATTTCATATTTTCACTACCACAGCAACCTGCTTAGTCATGCATCTCCACAATTTCCTCATGACAAACTCCATCACTGTTATTAACAATGACTCAGTGGAGGGAACTCCTACATAACAACACTCCCTTGTGGTAATTATCAGCTGCAGTTTCATGTTGCAGCCACTAGTGGGTGCAATCATCCCAGCAATAAAACACCATAATTTTTCTCTTCAACACTGAAACTACATCTAAATATTCTTTTTTTCCCCTTCTTCTTCTTTTTGTTCTTTACAATTTATTTTAAAGATCTAGACACCTTTTTTTCTACCACATGTTGCACTGGTCACAAAGAAACAATGCTACGATAAATAACAGCCTTTTATCATTGATGGCACGTGTAAGGGTTTTGGGAAGAAGCCGCTCACTAACATTCTTCAGCATCAACACATATGCTCCTCATATGCAGCTACGAGTAAGCACCTGGTTCAATGTATCTCTTTACCATAAAAAAGCATTATAATAGTACAAAGAATGATTTTTGTAATGTTTTCCTATGTGTGACTTGAAATACAAATGGAAGTGTGGAATTAGGCCTTCTTTATGGCTTCAATTCACAATGGTAGGAACGCCACTAATGTGTGTGCATGTTGCTTTTGATTATATTCCCTTTACATGGATCATTTATGATAGTTAAGTTGTTGCTTAATGAGATTATTTTGTCATATTTCCTTTGAATGTTCATCTCTGTACAGCCTTGTGTCAAAAATTAAGAAAGAGCATTGTGTATTCACTTGTGTAATCTGATTGAATGTAAGAGTGCGTGTTTGTATAAGAGTGAGTGTGAGTATCACCTCAATAAATATGTTTTTAAACATCTTATTTGCAGTGGTTTGTTTTACCAGAGCAATCTAAAAATAGACAAGTCAGCAGGTTGTAACAATTCCTTTTAGAGTCCAAGAAATGTGATTGTTTTTTGAAAGTCTCTGTTCCCTTTGGGCTTTTGATTTCTTTGCACTTTCACGAGGAATGACACCCGAAGAAAAAGAAAATCTTCTTTATATGTGTTGTAACTCTCCTCCAACATGAGAAACTGTCACAGAGGTAGATTAAGGTGCCACTCGTTCTTCTTCATACTAAGCCCAGGTCAGTATGGTCAGTATTGTTGGGCATTAAAGTGGGATTTGCGCCACAAGAGAAACAAACCACATTTCCCACCCACACTGAGCCACGTTTATGAAGGAAAAATACCCTCCAGCTATGCAATAGCTAAAGTAAATGCAGGTCAGTAACCTGCACTTTGAAGTCTGGCAATTATTCCATCCTTCCATGTTTTTATTCTGTCCCTCAAAGGGGAGAATTGGGGGGTGGGTGTGGGGGATTTTTTATGTATGATTTTGCCAAAGCAGCAAGCTGATGGAAGACTTTGAAGTTGATTTGAAAAATATGTGACTGATTTTTTTTTTTCAAGTTTTCAGTGTTTGATGCATTACAAGTCATTAAGATATTCATTTATAGGACAATATCTGATGGTTTCTGAAATCCACCCTGCAGCTGTTATAAACTCCTTTAATTCAATGCAAAAAGGAAAGTGACTCTGGCACAGTGTTTTTTTTTAATTTACAAGAACTATCAGGAACTGTGTTCCTCAAGAAACCACAGTCTTTATTTTGTTGCCTTCCTGCATCTGTCCTTGGTGTCTAAAGAACATTTTTGGTGGTACTTATATCTTAATTGCATTACACTGGTTTGTTTGTAAGCCTCCAGAGTCTCATTGCATCAAGGTAATTGCAATGTTGTGGTTAAATCACCACGGCAACATTTTTTTATCTGGCTGTTATAAACTTCGACATTAAGAAACTGAAAAACAATCCAGCTCACTTTCCACTGAGCAAGCTGGGGGCTTTGGAACCAAATGCGTCCTATTAAATTTATACACCAGCCTGTAAAACATGCATGCGTGTGTGTCTGTGAGTGTATGTGTTTGTGTGGTATGTTAAGGGAGGGAGGGGTCTGGTTTTATTCAATTATGGGACTCTTTTTACCTAAATCAAGGAAGGAAGTTGTCTCAAGTGTTGACTGGCAGTCTGGCAGAGTGCGGTGAGACTGGAAACAATAGTTTATGCATTCAAATAACAAAAGTATCCTAAACATCCTGTACAATCACAAATGAAGGAGAAACAGCAGCTGGATCAGACTTGTAACAAAAAAAAGGCCTACAGAGGAAGTAATTCCATGGTTTGCACACCTTTTGTAAACCCTTTTTGCTTTATGAGTACCTTAACTCATCATATGCTGGTTCTTTTTTGGCTGATACTTCTGATTGTTAGGTTTTGAATATGATCTTTTTTATTCAACTTTAAATGAAACACATTGACACTATAAAACAGTCTAAATAAATACATTTTTACAAATGTAATTGAGCATTTTACAATAAGATCAGCTCTTGACTAACCGTAACACTTTATTTACAGAGATCCAACACAAGATCACGATAAGAGAGCATAAGTGAACTGATAACAGGTGGCAACTAAGGAAGAACTTCATTTTATCAGGCAGAGATCTTGGGAAGAACCAGACATGTGATGAACAGCCGTCTGTCATGTGTGGATGGGCAGTGGAGGTGAAATAGGCCTACAGGGAAATACACCAGAGACTATTTGCTCACGTGCAACATTTTCCCTCGTCATTTAAAGGACTAAACTTCCAGTTCGAAGGTAAGAAAACACTTACTAAACGGTCAACGTTGGGCACATTTTGCCTAACAAGGCTAGAAACATAATTGCAGAGTCTGCAGGTAAACAATGTCGAATTAGCTAACCCGATGTGGCTAACGTTAGCAGAGCTAGCATCACTGACACACAACCATTGTTAGTTAATGTCTATGCTAGTTATTCATTTCTTCGGTCCAGTCAAAGATTTAACCAGATAAGGCCTTCTAACAACTTTGTCTCCATATTCTAGGTGGAAATATAGACAAATTGTGTTTTTAACCAACAAGTAATTTTCATGCTAACTCATGAGATTAAAGCCATAATTCGCAGAGATACACTAATATAGCAAAGGTATGTGTGATATTAGCAAGACATTAATACTACTACTACTAATAATAATAATAATAATAATAATATTAATAAGGTAGAGGAGGCTTATGGCAGTTAGCTTTAACTCAAATACTTAAAACACATCTTTGTATCAGTATTTGAATATTCTTCCACCATTGCTTTCAGCATCCTACATTACAGTCTGGTTTCTTTATCAGTAAAAGCGCTGGTGGAAGAAATAATAAGATCTGCTCTAAGGGTAAAAAGTACTTGTATTACAGCACTGCAGTGGTTCATTTAAGTACACAAGGTTACTAGATTGTTTCCACTGATGCAGTTTGTGATTCTCTTCAGCTTGGAAATGAGGCTTTTCACTGTTGGGACTTAAATTTAAGCATGTATCCTATTTCATAACTTGATTGTAAGTAGTGAAGCTAAAATGCGTAACCTTAAAGTAAACTGGTATTTCTATAACATCAGTAAAAGTACCTCAGTACTCAAGTAAAAGTACTAGGTTATCCAATCACTAAATAGTTACCAGGGATTCATGGCTTGACCTCGTGTTTGTGCGTGCTCACCAACAGATCTATTGTGAAATATGAACAATGGTTATAATAAAACAAAAAAAGTGCAGCATTTGATCTAAAAAAAGAAGCATAAGGAGGGAAGAAAAAGCTAAATGAAAGCAAACATCTTGAATTGGTCGAGAACCAGATGGCCTCTTTGACATTAAGAAGCTGCTTTGGCATTTTAAGAAGGCCGTCCCAGAATGATTTCCGAGGAACTTCCGCCAGCGCGCTACAAAGCCCACAGATATTTAAGCAATATCCATAGCAATTTACTGTTTTATTTACAAACTGAAACATATGTTTGCAGCCCCCCTCTCCTCTTCCTTCTCCTCCTATTACCACACTGAGTTACCGCTGCAGGATTTCTCCCACACTCTGCGTTTTTACTCTTCTCTCTTCCCCCCTTTTCCTCTGCATTTATCTGTCTTTAACATCTCCTCCCATCATACAACAGTCAGTCAGGCAGACTCTCCCTGCAGCCCTACCTTTACACACATCTATTGTGTTTTTTTTTTCATCCTCTGCTGTCTCTTGCATTTCAGTGTGCTATGTTGTCTGTGCCTGTGGGACCACTGCAAGCTCGCATCTGAAACATTTTAGAGAGACACATATTTGCTGTTTTAGAGCACAAAGGGATACGCCATGGCAGAGGCCTTTTGAAGTGGCTTCACAGGGGGAACCAGAACCAGAGCGAGGGATTTGAGGAACCATGAAGGAACGTAAGCGCAATGTAACTTTTGCTAAATTCATCTAATCTAATGGAAGTGGGGATTGATTCAATGTGAAGGCGTAGCCCTTTGAAGCTGGCTCTGACCATGTTTCTAATGCAATAGCTCTGCTGGAGGAATACAACATTCCTCTCTACCTTACAGACAGACAGAGCTTCACTGTACATTTGGGGCGAGAGGATGCGTGATAAGGCCCAATCCTGGAGATCCCAATTTGACACTGCTTCCAGTGACCAGTATTTGATTTGTGAATCTGCAGATGGCACTGTTTCAGTTCCTGACAGGCACTCAATCTGAGGATGTGATATTCGCAGTGATTTTTGTCCTGAGTTGATTGGGGTGATGTTGCTTTTCCAGACAAGAGCCGTGCTGTTGGAGTCTGAAATGTGTTTCGTGGACCTTTTATTAGAAACAAACAGAAAAAAACAAGACGTGGCTCAAAGTTTCTTGGCATCTTGTTTTTTTTTGTGTGCGTTTTCTATCCTTTTAAATCTATGTCTACTTTTAAAACAACTGTCATCTCATACTGTGGCAATCTAGTTGAATAAATGAATCTTCAATGTGGTCATCTGTCTATATAATACAGCCCCGACTATCACACTAACACTGCACCCTACATATACTTTCAAATAGCATGCAGAAATTGTCTGTTTGTCCTTGGTCTTTGATTAATCTATAGTTTGTGTTTTATCATCCTGTCAGACCTTAATCTTTTACTTCCCTTGATTATCAACATTCAGATGTTCAAGTTTTGTCTAAAGTCTGTCCTGTAAGCACTTCAGATGGTCATACCACACCATCAGGTCCTGACTGCTGACTCACTCAGTCTTAGTGTTTCCAAAGAAAGTGAAGTAAACACATTGAGAAGCTGACACAGGAGTGAGCATGACTTTTATGCGCTAATTGGCTAAATATAGAGCTCAGTCGTGTCAGCGTCTGGCTGCTTGCTTCATAAAAATCAGCAGTGTTATCAAATAAATATGAAGGGGTTTTTTTTGTTTAATGACTTTGATAGAGGAAATTCTTGCTTGGTCAAGTGCAGATTGCTGTTCAAGTATTAAAAAAAGACACAAACTTTTCGGTTTCAAGGTTGTGACTGATGATCAAACCACATTCCAACGTACAGCTACAATATTACCAAAAGAAAAGCAACTAAATTTGCTCCTGTGACTGGACTACGATGTTCTTACTTAAGAGCCCCGACTAGAGTACTACAGTAACATTGAATTAAATCAATTCAGCTGTAAAATGTGCAGGTTTGATCATTCTTTCCTGAACACTCCAGAATAGACCATATGAGTCTTCATCAGACCTAACCTGCTGCTGAGCGTACTCCAGCCCAGCAGGCTGTATCCCCGGCTCAGCTGTGAGCTCCACTGGGACTGTTTGTAATGTGCCATGGATGAACCCCAGCACTTAAACACTGTAATCAGAGCCAGAGCAGGATATTGGCTAAATTACACTTGAAAGCAGGAACATTTGAAGGAAGCTTGAGCACTAAATATTATGATAAATTATGCTCTAATACTAGAAGATAAGTCACAGTTAAAGAAGAATAATAGAGGCTCGCACGCAGCAGGGGACGGGGGAGATTTAGAAGCTGGGTTGCACTTTTATTCTTGAAAACACTTATGTTTATGGTACCAAAAAAGCATCTACTATATCTCACCTCAGTATTCATTAAGTTTTTCTGCAGATTTTCGTCATATTATATGATCATGAGCACATGGAGTTTAAAGTTTTGTTGAGGTATGTTTATATGGCATATTTAAAGCACTTAAATCAAGTCAAGATGGAAACAGTCAAGAGTTTATCAGTTATCAGAGTTTACGCACACATCAAATTCATCACAAGTGTTTGGATATGCTTTGATTGGATTTGACTTACAGTGGCCTGAACAAAATGAGCAAAAAATGAACAATTCACACACATCTACATATAAGTCTGTGATTGGTGTTTCTCTTTACTTTCTCTTATACCAGCAGTGAGAGGATCTCAGAAAACAAACAACACCGAGTGATACTTCTCTTTGAAATAACCAGAAAGTGCTCATACTATCACAGGTGTGGTTACAAGTATTGTACGTGCAAGTTGCATTGTTGTGGTCAAAAAGATGCACCAATTTGAACCTGTTCATGATCTAAAAAAAGCAAACAAGACCATCAGTGAACGGCGACGTGTCTCTTTATTGAAGTCCTTCGTGCCACAGGGTAGGTGCTAGACAGGACAAGTTAAAGCGCTGCCTTTTTTCCTGCAGCAAATATTTATGATTAGAGACATTTGGGTTTAAAAAGAAGGAAGGGCTATGTTTTCTCAGATAAATGAATAGAAAAAGTTTGCGCTACTACAACAAAGATCAGCACAGAGATATACACAGCTTATCCACAGGAGGGCTGACACCAACACAAAGTAAAAGTTTCTTCCTCTAAACTGAAAAAATTAAACATGTAAGATACAAAAAAGTGTTTCACAGTCAGCTTTAACTGTTTTAGCATCTTTGAACAGAGCCGTGCTGTTTACCTTCTTTTCAGTCGTAAGTTAAGTGAGCTAGCGGCTGATTCCAGCTTTATATTTCATGGCCATACAGAGTGCTATCTTTCCAATCATCTAAGACCTGGCAATGAAGTCTTTATAAGTATCTTCCTGTTCCTTGAGTTCATCTGGTTGTTGGCAAGAAAAGCAGACCAAAGCACAGAGCAAAAAGTATGATGTGAGTTTTTGTTTTTTTGTTCCGATCTAATCAGAAATTTATTATGCATTGAAAATTGTTCAGCATTAACACCCTCTCTCTTTATATCTTTTCAAGATCCCCCTTCACCACCATCCCCCCCACATACTATGCACCTTCACCCCTCCTGCTCACCACCCCGCTCCTCCAGAACCCCTCTAAGTGGATACCCCACAGGAAGGGCTTCTCCAGGGGGGAAATGGGTCCCAGATGTCTGCCTTTGTGCCACTATAGGCTCCTCAGGAGGGATGGAGCCATGGATGGGTGGTGGATATGTGCAGGCGGTGTAGTGTGCTGTGTCCAAACATCAATAACAGCCGTGAGGAGGGTGAGGAAACTCCAGGGGTGAAGGTGAGGAGGAATTGAATGATTAGTTCCTTTTGTCCAGCCAGCGCAGATTTCCAAACACATCACTTACGATCGGTCACACCGCTGCACTCCTACCAGGCGACGACATCACTGCCGCACTCTGACCTTTATGTGCGTGACAGTAATTAAATTGACTGCATTTTGAACCTAAAGAAACTGTTTTGCTTTTTTGCCCTTTGGAGAACTTCAATGTTTCAACATGCTCCTCAGTGCAGTTTAGGACTGAACCATATGTTGTACGTTGGAGAGACAGAAACAGACAATACATCAGCTCTCTTTGATATCAACCCCCTTCCCCTTCCCCAACACCACCACAGGTATGTACTGTATGCCAATATATGCTGATATATATATAAATTGATATGTGTATGATCTATTTTCTACTCCAGAAAGAGTTAATAATGAACCCCCACGGAAATAAAACGAAGATGAGAGCAGGGCCTGAGTGTTTAGTGAAACATTATGTCAAGACTCTGACAAGGAAATGAAATGTGCAACATCAATCAGCCTATGAGGACAGAGATCAAACGAGCCTCCACACTCCTGCATCTGGTTCTGTTTGGACAGCCTCACTTTTTTCTTCTCCCTCTCCTTTCTTCCTCTTTTCTTATTCTTCTCTCATTCTCTCTCTTTCCTCTTTCCTTCTGTTCTTCTAAGCGCCATGACATTCCTGCAGGCCTACTCGCTTTGTTAGCTCATTTTTTCCATGATGGTGGCGTGACGCCACACTTTCACTAAAGGTAAGTGGCAGCAAGCAAGATTAGCCTGTGTAACAATGACTTTCCCGTCCCATCCGCTGTTTTTGCCAGAGTTCCCAATAAGCCCCAATCAAACACAGGCTAGTCCCAGCACTTACTAACCCTGTTACGTACATAGAATTTGTATGATTCGTTGTCTTTGTCCATGGCCTTGCTTGCCTTCTTGGATGGCCAGATGACTTTTTTTTCATCCAAGTTGATTGAACCCAACTGGGATCAAGCTACTTTCCGCTCAGCGTTCCTCTCTGAATGAAATGTAAACCAGCGCAATCATGAGGCTCATCAGAGATCTTCTGAACTGCTCTACGCTCAGACGCTCCTTCAAACGCAGTGGCAATCACGCCGAAATTATTGGCTAGAAGTTGTCAAGCAGCGTGTCAAGAATGATTCGAGGTCTAGTTACAACCTAAGACTCTTCTGTTACCAAATATTACAGGTTTTGGATTGTCTTGTTCGTGTGTCTTAAAGTAACATCTTTGGAAAGTTCTGGAAACATGAAAGATTCAAGGAATCTTGTAAAAGGAATATTTGGAGGTGTTGAAATGTAAAGGCTACCATTAAGTATGCTGTCATCAAAAAGCACCAGATTTCTGCAGCTTAGAGCAGCGGAAAACTCCCCAAAAAGACTTCTCCTCAGTGATCCACACATGACTCACTCATGTCATGACGCATGATGGCACAACAGCCGAATGTTGGGAAACACAGTCAATTTATGAGGTACATTTGCGCAATATTTAGTAAGAATTAGATTGTCAAAGGAGGTTCTACCTTTTGTTAGGATAAACACAAGCTTGAGCTGTGCCTCATTTCCTTGAGAAGACCTGTCTGCTGTGTCATGACTGCCAGCGTGTAGATAGCATGTTTAAGTAGCTGCAGAGGCACATGGGTTCCCAGTGTGGAGGTGGAACATGTGTTGGTGCAGCCCCGAGGCCGTGCGAAGCACAATTAGGTGCGCTCCCACCTCTGCAGACTGAGGTCACTGGGCGACCGAGGTCAGAGGTTATTCAGGGTCCTGTCTGTGCTCCCTGCTCAACTTGGATTCTACGACTTAGACATCTGACGTCAGCAATGGTTCTGGTGCTTTCTATTTTCTAACTTTTAAAAAGCAACATGTCAAGTGTTGGAAGAGCATCCTTAGAGGTTTTACAGTCTCAGCGTACATCAGGGTCGACAGAAACTATTATGTGCCACAAATACAGATAATCTCATGAAATCATTTCCAGTATTCGTGCTTGCACAACCTCATATTTTCTTTGGGATTGACTTAAAGCTGTTGTAGCCAGACTGATTTATAAAAGACCCATTTTTTTGGAATTTAGGAAAAATATGTAATTTATGCCAGATTTTTTTTTAATACTAAATCCCCTTTTGTGTTTTGTTCAGCGAAATGCCTATTAACTTATTCCATGGGTTGACCAGAATTTATAGTGACTCTGTATTAGTGTAATACAAACCGTAGCAGACAAATGCAAGCATGGACTTGTACTTGTTCTCACAGGTTAGGGAGATAATAAACAGGGTTCTCATGTTGTAGACTAATAGCTTTAGCATAAAGAAACTTGAAAATATTCAGTTTGAATGTTTACATACAGAGAAATGGGAAGTTTGAATCAATTTCCGCTCCATTGATGATTTGATGAAGCTGAGTTCAGACACAAGTGTGCATGCGGACTGACGCTCCAGCCCCAAATCTGGAACCCATAAAGCCTCAGACATCTCTGCAACATTAGACACAGCTCTTCTTATTGGCCGAGAAAGCCACTTACCCCCTTCTTCCACTGCCCGCCCAGTACTTCCTGCTTCTCTGTCTGGCTCAAGCGGAACCACGCCTTCTGGAAGTTCGCTGAGCCAAAGAGAACTGCCCGCAGGCCCCGGGTTAGAGTTTGGGGTATAAAAGAGGCGGAGGAGGACCTGCCTGTCAGATGGTTTGTTGTTGTTCTGTCTGCCAGGTCGAGAGGGGGAATGTAAAAGTGAGAAGTTTTACAAGGTGACCAGGAAACAGGACAGGCAGAGCGCTATCCAGTCTGATGGAACTTTAGAAGCTGTAAATCCCGGTGGACAAGACTTTTCTTACACGAGGCTGTCAAGTTCAGTTGTTGAGTAACGCAGCATCTTAGCAGTGGAGGTGACAAGGTTGTTGGTGGACTGTACAATGAGAGAAGAGGTGTCCTGCACCAACTCTCCAGAAGGAGGTCTTGGGGCAAGCGAAGAGGAACTGGAAAGAGGATCAAAGAAGAGCCACCAACAAGGAAATCGAAAGCGTTCACCGTACCCCAAGAAGGAAAACCTCAGTCAGGCGGAGGAAAGCAGCACCGGCAGCCCAAACAGTCTGCTTCCATCCGGGCCGAAGAGGTTAAAGAAAAGTCCTTCAACAGTAGTGTCATTGGCTCCCGCATCTCTGGGACCCCGGCTAGACCAGCCTTTCGAAGACCTCCACTCCCAGCGAGTCATTGCCAACGTGCGGGAGCGACAACGCACTCAGTCCCTGAATGACGCCTTCGCCTCTTTACGCAAGATCATCCCGACGCTTCCTTCGGACAAGCTGAGCAAGATCCAGATCCTGAAGCTGGCCTCACGCTACATTGACTTCCTGTACCAGGTGCTGCAGAGCGACGAGATGGACGCCAAGCTGGCCAGCTGCAACTACCTGGCCCACGAAAGACTGAGCTATGCCTTCTCTGTGTGGAGGATGGAGGGGGCCTGGGCCATGTCTGCGAGCCACTAGGATCCCTTCAATCCTCTCTCTTAAACCCTCTCGTGTCCATATCTTCACCCTAACACCTCTGTCTGTTTGCACTCATCAACTGACCTCTGAACCTCTACCCTTTCGCTCTCTACCCTTTTATATCTAGTTTCCAACCCTGAGTCCTTGTGCTCCATTACGCTTTGTTCCACCTCTGCTACCTGCCCCTCTCTGTTGTTTTCACTGCTCAACCTTGTCTGTCCTTCAGTTTAGTCCAGAGCAACCAGACGCTCCACCGCAGCCCATCAGGTATGAATGAAATAAATACACAATTCGATTCAAACCTATACTAATAATTGAGTTTCAACACATGTCTGGGCAGATAAAGAAATAATAAAAACAAACCCGTGAATATGCACACACATTAATATTCACCATATCATCAGCACATGGACATGGATACACACGTGTAAGAGGTTTTGATTTTTTTCTGTGTGAGAAAGTGAGTGATCGAGAACAGTATTTTTAACCAAACAGGAAACTGACAAAAGGCAAAAGCTCAAATAGTATCTGCATATCTGTGCAGGGAACTTATCCAAAAATCTTTTAACGTATTCTCTTTAAATAAAAGAAAGAAAAAGATGAATTCATTGTTAAGTTGCGCTAACTTCTCAATTTTAAATGCAGAAAATTCTGAAAAAAGGTTTCCACTGAGGATTACAATACAGATACATGCAGAACATCTGCATACCACATTCATTAGACGTTGCAGGAACAGGCACATTAGTGAACCAATAACAGAACCACTCAAGTGTTTTAAACCCTTGAAATGTGTAACATTTTTTGTACCAATACATGCGGGATGGGTCTTTACACATTAAATGTGTCATAGCTGTAGGTTGAGTTTGGATATTCATGATTCCCATGGCTGGAGTTCATGTACTGTGATTTGTAGAAAAAAAATTGAAATATATTAAAAAATTATAGAAAACTGTTAAACACTTGGGAAAAACATAAAACATTATTATCCACCCAACCCAAAATGCTGTTATGTGAATGTTTTGTTTAGATTTGGATTGACTCTTAGAAAACTGCCTCCATACTTTTTAAACATTTTAATTTTTTTTTCTGGAGTGGAATATTAATTGTTACCTGATTTTGGGTCACATAAAACTGTTAGGATGAACACATGCTGTAATCCAGAGAGCACATAGTAAGCTGATAACTCAATGTTAAGCCTTATCTTTGGTTATGCCACTATTTTGGGTTTAATAAAAAAAAAAAAAACTTTAAAAAGACTTAAATGTAAGAGATGAAATTAAAACAATTAGATAAGCAAACCTTCACATAACTATTAAGTTAAGTAAGATAAATCTGTTAAAATTGCAATACAAAATGATTGATGTAAAACTACCAAAACAGAAAGAAAATCAGCCACTAAAATGTAGCATTTCTGAGCAGGTAAAAAGATATGAAGAAAAAAACTTTTTTAGTGAAACAAAATGCTCATATATTTTATTTGAACTCATTCAGCTCATAAACTTCGCCCCCTTCAAAACCTTTTTTTCTTACCCATAAACTCATCACAAATAAAACATCTTTAAACAGAAATCACTGTTTTATTTTTCTATCTGGTTGAAGTTGTTACTCCGGCGTAAATAAACAAAAAGTGAAACAGCATGTTTCTTCAAATCAAGTGATTAACATCAGTCCAAGCTTTTCTCATAAAAGCATCTTAAAGCCCCCAGGTAGTTTCACTTAATGAAAGTATCAGCACACTATCATCGTGGTAATCTAAACTCAGCGGTGTTTGACAGACCTCTGATGTGTTTAAGGCTAATGTTTTCCTCCACAATCTTCAGGATCCCCTTCACACAGGCTCTGTTTTTTTTTCAACCGTTTTAACAGACACCAGATTCCTGCTCAGGTACAGGATGAAAGGAAAAGAAAGGGAGAGTGAAGAGAACAAGTGGAGAGACATCTCTCTCTCTCTCTCTCTCTCTCTCTTTCCCTTTTTCTTCCTCTCTCTTTCTCTCTCTCTCTCCCCTGCAGCCTTGCCCTCTCTCTTCAGGATCTTGTATCGTGCAATCAGGCCCCGCCGGGGCCCAGACAAGCAGGAACCTTTAGATTGGAAACAGTTGTGAGGTATTAGGAAGGTGTGTATACCAGGGTTGGGGTCAGGCACACAGGCTTGTGTGTGTCAGCGCATGCACGTGTGTACTGGTCTGCGTGTTTAGAGTAAGCTTTGGTTGCCTGTGTAGCAGCAGCAGTATGAGCAGGGCACTGGTTTGAGTGCATGTGTGTGAGGACATGTGCGGATTAGTAAACAGAAATACAACAACAGATGTTGTCTGTGATTTTATCTCTCCCACCTCCTGGTTTTTGTTTTTAAAGAGTTATAATTTTAATTTTGCCAAATGGCAGCCAGTGAGCCCTTCAAAATCAAATGACGACATTCAGGATCAGCGTTTAAATGAATGAAGGTTGAGGGATGAGATGTGATGAGTTACAGATTTATAATTCTGTGCTGTTGGCAGGAGGAAATACACATTTTTTTCATCACCTTGACAACAGATCAAGGTTTAGACATTTTGAATTAGCGTAAACTCAAACACAGATCTATAGCAGATCTATAAATAAGAGGCACATCAAGCAGGGAATCACACATGACTCTTTTATCGTGCAAGATCAGCTCATCAAAAGTGCTACTGCACATGCTGAAACACTATTAAAGGCCACATACAACATCTTTACATTACAATATCCAGACACACACATGTGCATGCAGCCCTCAGCCATGTGCACACTGCAGGTGTTCCTAACAGCATTATAATTAAATCTCCAGTGGCGTCTGCAGCAGTCAGTGCTGCGGGTGGAATGCCAAGGCCCCTACACGTGGAGCGGAGTGTCCTTGAATGCAGCACGGGGGTTATTACCTACCACTTTGCCTGCTCTGCCTGTTATCATGTGCTCTGCAGGGGCCTCCACAGAAAGTGCTAGAAAATTCAAGGCCTGAAACGGAGCTTAAAGCCTTATTTTAGGAAAGAGATGAGGTCAGAAACAGTATTTTGCGTGTATGCCTGGTGTCACTCATATAGATAAATCCCTAAAGAGAATCCATATATCAGTGAAGTTAAAAAACAGTCTTCTGAATGCTCAAAAACTCAGGAGATGAGTCATGACACTTGACTAACACACTCACAAAGCATCTTTTAAAGGAGAGTAAAAGAAATCCTCGATGTTTCGTATGTTCAGAGCGGAGGAACTTGAGATTATTTTGGTTGAGTGTGTACATGTTGCATGCATACGAACATGAATACACTGCAGACTTTCGTTGTGTTCAGAGCGTGGTTGTTTGGCTCAGGCGGAATACAAGAATTGTTCTCTTTGAGCTGGAAAAAAAACGACAAAACTCTCTCTTCTGTTTACATTATAATCAAAATGCCTGTCACTGCTCTTTCCTCTGCTGGAACCCTTGTCTCAGCTTTGTCCGTGCATGTGTGTGTTTATTTGTGTGTGTGTGTTGTAATTTGCACTGACCAGCGGTTGGATGCTCTTCTGTGCATATCAAATCTCTGGCTCTCATTTCGGACTGATCTGAGACAGATGTAAAATCCTCTGCGGCTCATCTGCGTTTTCAAAGCCCGGTCCAGGAGTTGTGGCTTCTGATAGTCATTTTTATTTTTAGAGAGCAGAACTGAACCGAGCACAGGTGGGAGGATGGTGCATGTGTGTGCGTGTGTTAGTGTTTTACATCTACATGATTGCAGTATGCACGAGTATCTGCGTTTGTGCGTTGGCCTTGCTCAGACAGACAGCTGCAGGGATTGGGAGCCATGGAGGAATGACGTCTGATTTGACACGTAGGCAACAATTCGCCACATGACTGAGGTCCAAAACACATCAAGATCTGTCAAACATTAACAAACATTCAACTCACTCTGATAGATACAATTACACCAAATTTCACATAAAGTTTTCAATTTGTTTTTGCTGCACCACAAAAAAACATTAAGCCTTATGAAATGTGCTTAAATAACTCTTAATCTCTTATGGTTGTGGGCGCCTAATCAACAGCTGGAGGGGCGGACTTCTCCACTTCTATTTGCATCTGCACGATAGGGAGGAAGTTATATTATTATATGATATCAAACATGATGTATTTCAAAGATTTTCAAAACAAATAAAGCAACTTTGGTTCCGAAAAATTAAATTAAAATTCAAACCGCAGAATAGAGGTTTCCTTGCACTTTTTTACCCTCGAAATTGAACTTTATTGTGTATCTATTTTAGATTTTCACAAGCATTATAAAAGTGATATGGCACACACATAACTTTTCTGAACACTAACAGACACTCCTCAATGGACTTATCCTGTCTTGGAAGTACCAAGAACACTTCGAATAAAATGTTTGCTTGTGAAAAGAGTAGGAGGAAAAGAAACATTTCCACGAAATCGATTTTTTTGACACATCCTGAAAAACCTCAAATGCCAAAACTTTCAGGGAAGTGTCTCCATCTGCATCGAATGTGGGGCTTTGATTTGAAATTTCTTTTCTAATCTTGTGTCGCCTCATCTGTGTTTCTTGTCTTTGCAGAAAACGACAAATGGAAAACTTCTGCACTCAAAGAAGAAATTTGTTCCCACTCCGAAAGAAAACCCTCCATTTTTTAAATCCTTTTTCCCCCCTCTGTTTTTGGACACTGAGAAGTTTCCTTACAGCTTGACTCTAACAAAGTCCACCTTGTGTTTCTGAAACACTGGTGAGGAGACACGACAGTCGAGTGCTGAACATTTGAAATGATGAGAACTAAATGAAACAAACAGCTGGCCTGCGTTGACAATGAAACAAAATGGCTGCTGGTTCGAGTGCCTTGGGTAACAGCGTGATAACCATCATCCACCCTCCTCTGTGGGTGACTCACTGCCAGACAGACGTTACAATGACTGATGATAATGGCATTGTGATGGTTAGAGGGCGGTCACAGCCAATGAATGTTTACTGCTAAAATGCTAATAAGCTAATCACCCCGGCTCTCTGAGGCCCGTTTTGTGGGAAACAGAGAAGTTCGAGGAATCTGGCGCAGATCTCTACTTTGTTGTGCTGTAGTAACTGGATAGCTTTGTGTGTATTTGGGATTTTTTTTATGTGAACTTGGTGTATGCACACTGTATTACTTTAACTCTGCTCTAGCATTATCACGAATAACAGTCAGCTTTACAACAAAAATGTCAGAAGGAAAAATGTCTTGAAACCACTGATTGCTTGTTTATTTTCATTTCAGTTTTATAATCTCAGAGCTTTGCAGAAATTTGTATTTTAAAATGCCAGAAAATCTGTTTTTTTTCCCTTGCAGCTTTAGAAATATCTTTGCAAACTTGCTGTGAGCAGTCTAAGTAGTCTTCGAACTGTCTGATTGTGTTTCTTTTGCATTTGCTTTTGATAATCTTTGTGTCAACACCTGTGGACAATAAAACCTTTTTTGATGCTGTACATGAGTGCATTATTTTTAATGATGCAGGGTATAATTTGTGATGTTATGGCAAGTCAAAAATAAGTATACAGATGATATTAAGAATTTACTTACAATTAAAAGTTTGAAGCAGCGTGGCTTTGGAAATAAAAATGGTCCAAATCAAATGTGTCTCAATAACCTTTATTAAGAGTTTTGTTAGGGAACAAAAATGGTAGAGAAGACAAAGGCAGACTCAATATTTACTGTACAAAAACAAAAACAGTCAGTTTGAAGGAAACTTGACATTTGTCTACGGATTTCATAAAGGTCATTAAGCTTTTATTCAGCTTTTTAAGGCCACCTTCACACAGGTTAGTCTGCATCAAACTCCGAGGCACATCCCCTTATTTGGTCTCTACGTCAACACAGGGCTCATTTTGGAGATACAAAAATAAATCATCTTCATGAATTAAGACAAAATTCAACATCAGATATGTCTGTTGTGGATCTAAGTACAGCTACACACCCCTGAAGGACTGTTGTAGGTGATATGGAGCTCAAACTGCTCCAAGCTCTCTTGGGGTCATTTTCATTTATTTTTTTTTCACATTTTTGTCACATTTCTAAACATTCGACACGTTTTGTGTTGCATTCACAAAATGCAACAGAAAGAAATAAAGAAAAGTAACAAAGAGAAAAACATCACTTGAAGAAAAATAATCCATAGCACCATAGAAAGTGTGTTAGACATGCAAAGAGCTCTTCAAAGGCACAGGGTCTGAATAAAGAGGAGTCATGTCAGTTTTTTTATTTATTTTTTTTATGAAACAAATGAATTTGTTTATATGTCCGTCCTGTTCTTTTGTCTCTCCTCAACTGTTCTGGTAAAAAAAGAAACATTCACAAACTCTTCAAAAAGTCTTTGAAGTTCTTTAAGCCATGCCAGACGGCACATTGTTCCCATAAGCTTTGGTTGTGCTTAACCTGTGTCCAATTGCACTGTGTGGAGATTCAACTATCTCAGTATTATTTCTACAATTTAAAAGCTAAAACGTCAGAGTTTGGTGCAGGAAAGTTAAGGTCCTACACTCTGACAGTAAACACGATGACACCAAGTCAGTAAGACAAAGAAGACGCACAATTCGCCCTCCTTTTAGAAAAATATAAAAGTAGAAAATACATTTACAAAATACAGCAGGAATGCAAATCCACAGGTAGAAACTCAAGTAAATAAAAACAACAAAACATTATTTACATTCAGATTTTAAGACCAAAGAGATCTGCCCATCCTGAGGGCACTGTAAGAGCGTGATTGTCGTCAAATCTTCGGATGAGTTTCATCCAAAATGCTAAAAGTCGATCTTCTTACAGAGAAGATGTGATCTCTGTTTCATATACAATCACTGCTGAGTGGTAACACTGCACTGAAGCATCATGGGGAATTTCTGTCTATGCTGACGTGTAAAAAAAAAAGAGGAAACTTTCAGAGTCATTCCTCTTCCCCTGATACTATTACCCTTCTGATTAGAGATATTAGCTCTTTATTGTGACTAATGCCACTGACACAAAGTACAGTATGTCCAAACGTTTAAGATGCACTTCTTCAAAGACTGCTGAGTCGTCTCTTAACTGCCGAGGAGCAATAATAATAACTGCAGCGATCCGCAGACTGTCCGCATGTGCTTGCCTCACAGTCCAAGAATGAAAAAAAAAAAAAGATCTAAGAAAATATGTGGACATACGAAACAATTTGAAACATATGCATCTCTGAGTAAACTGTAGCTTCACCCTCACTGAAATCGTATAGATGAAAATATCCTTCTGACAGTCACAGAGTGTGCCACGGGTCAAATTAAACCAAAGATCTCTGTCGACATCGGCCTAATGTGACTGAGTCCTCTTTGTCGAGTCCGGTTCACATTACAGAAGAGTGCAGTGCAAATCGATCAGAGGTGTCTGATCTTTTCCTTCATTTCGTGTTTTTCACACGCAGACCAGAGATATCATCTTAGCAGGACATGTCTGAAGTGCAGAGGACATGTCAGCTCTCCTTCTGCAGTTCCTTTAGAGGTCAGAGCTGCACTTTGTCAAGTTCATTCTTCATCTTTTTCTCAGCTGCTGATGCCGCAGAAAAAATGACCGATCCTTCATTTAATCTGATTGTCTTTTTTTTTTCTCAAACTCCAGATCTTCATCCTAAGAAAAGTCTGTGTGTGTGTGAGTGTGTGTGTGGCACAGGTGAATGTTGCTCTGAGTTCAGTGTGTGTTTGATGAGAACAATCAGGCTGCAGCCAGTGGTCATACAGGTGGAGGAGTTTTTAGTGAGGTGATGGATACAGTGGTCAAACTGAGGCGGACATCTGCTTCCAGTGATGGTCCAAATGCATAGCTTTCTCTGTGTGTGTATTTGTGTGTGTGTGTGTGTGTGTGTGTGTGTGTGTGTGTGTGTGTGTGTGTGTGTGTGTGTTTCCACTGAGACTTGGTTGAAGGCAGCTGTCAGGTGATTCTTCCTTCAGAGAGAGCCTTTCTCTGTCATTTTTTCTATCTGCTTCCTTGATAAACCAAGAGAAAGAAAAACAGCATGAAGCATCTGGTGTTTTTAAATGTTGGATTTCAACATTAAAAGGATATTCAGATGCAGCATCTGTCTTACTTGTCTGGGCTGGCAGCTCCCATTGACAGCGAGGCGAGGGCGCTGATGGCCTCGCTGTCCGAGTCCCGTCTCAGCCTTCGTCTCTGCGCCTGCAGGTAGGACAGATCCACTGTGGTGGCCGAGTCCTTCACACTCTGCCAGTACTCACCTGCAGGAAGCAAATAGAAGACAAAGAGGGAGAAGAGGAAGAAAGGAAATAGAGAGAGAGAGAGAGAGAGAGAGAGATTAATGGCCTCAGTTGCCTCAGTTGTTTTCATCCTGAATGCTTCCTTCAGGAAAGAGTCTGCGCTGGATTATTAAAAAGCAGGACTTGTGTTTGATCCTCCAGTTGTAGCTGTTTGATGTGAATGTAAGCATTGACGCTGATATAAACAGCCCGTGGTCTAAACTTCCATGTTGATCATTTCAGGAGTGTAAACCTAAATTTAGTCCGTCCTCTCGGGGTCTCTATGTCACACACAGTGTACCTAAAACCAATCAGCGTTTGCAAATGTGTTGGTCCATGAGCGTGTGTGTTCTAGCTGTGTTTGTAACTCACATATATTTCACCCCCGGCCTAAATTATGGGCTTAACATTCTTGTGGCTTTGCAAATATTTTTAATTAATCTAATTTGGTTGGGATAACATTTGTGTGCAATCAGAAGGGGATGTTGCGAAGGTCGTGTGCCAGAGAAGTGTTTGAAGATAATTGGAGCCAGGGCGGCGGTGTGTGTATTGTGTGTGTGTATGTGTGTGTGTAGTGTGTGTGTCTGTCTGTGTGTGGGACGGCTGGAGGGAGGGATGGGAGACAGGGATGTAAAGGAGGAGAGGTGGCCAGAGAGCAGCATGGATGGAAAGACGGAGGAAGTGTGAAGTGAAGACATGAAGAGACGAGTGTTGTTGAGAATGGAAATGTGAAAATGTTTTTTTCTGCAGACTCACAAATACAGACTTTGTTATTTTCATGTTGATTTAAAACTGCAAATTATCAAACCAGGAATGAAGATTAAAATTTTACGATTCTACAAATTGAGCAATTTTCCATGTGGTTTTAACTGAAAAGAGATTTGATACTAAATGAAATGTTAATATAAAAATCTAAATTTTATTTGAAATTCGACAGTTTACAAATTTGGGGTATTATTTAAGTTTCTGTAAATTTCATGACATTTTTTTAACAGCATAGATAATTTAAATGAGCTGGTTTTCCTGACGTTATGCCTATATTATCTGAAATAGACGTTTTCCTTGATTAAAATAAAGGACGGAGGACGCTCAGCACTGACTGGTATGATGTTAAACCTTCACAGAACAGAGCAGAACATTTGGTCTGACACCAGCTCATTCACTCCTTATATATTCTTATTAATATAATAAGATCAAATCTGATAGTTCTAGCAGAACAAGCAGGTGGATGCTGGGGCAGGATTTGATCTGAAACAACACACACAGTTGCAAGGCATGGCATAGCGGCTTATTGAATTTCACTCCGGGATCAATAAAGTTATTCTTGTTGACAGAACCAGAATTTTTTTGAAGCTCAAACAGACCTCTGATTGGGAGGGAAGATTGTCAAGGAATGGAGGAGAGTAAGATAAAGGTGTAAGCTGGAGCTACCATGCAAGTTTGGATTCATTTAGGCCTTTATTTTAAAAAAGAAAAGCTCACGTCACTTGAAATCTTCCCTTTCCAATGGGTGGTGTGACTATTTGCTTGTGCAGCAGTAACGGGTATATTCAATTTGTCATCAAAAAACCTCTTTTACTTTTTAGCAGGAGCTTTAGATTTATTGTGACATTTCAAACAGGTGAACAGGAGTGTTTTATCTGCTTATCTTAAATTTGAGAGAGCAAAGAAAGTAAAAGAAACGCAACTGAGAAAATGTCAAAGAACGGTGCAGTGGTGCAGATGTGATGTTTGACGGGAGCAAAAACTTGAAGTCTTTTTTCTAACACTTGACAAAAACTGGCAGAAGTGCTAATAAAATAAAAGACAGCAGCAGTGAGTGAAACGTTGCTGTTCTGGGTGATTTTCATGTTTTACTATAAGTGCTTTGTAATGGGTTGAGAAGTCATTTTCATTCATGAGTTTTGCAAACATGTTTGGAAAGTTGGAAATGTGCCAGAAAATATTCATGAAATGAGAATGTCTTACCATTTTATACATGTTCAAAGTCTTTGACTAACATTTCTTGTATTTTATCTCACAACACAGGTCCGTGGTGTTATTATGTGCCGATATCGCTGCTTTTTTATTCATTTGTATTGCTTCAATTTGTTGTTTGCAAAACCTGGGATTTATTATTATTTAAACCAAAACTCAGAACTACAACAAAATAAAAAGCTACCAAAGTGTGCAGGTGTATCTGAGTAAGACGCTGCTGTGTTGAGGTGATGTTGTGTTGTAATGTCAGCTCTCACCTTGAACCTGGATGACTCTCTGCAGTGTTTTGACAGCGTTTTCACAAGGCTTCTGGTCCAATACAGACTGTGACAGAGGCTCCACCTGAGACACAACAGGTGGTTAAAGAATCAAACTCACAGGTTATCACTGTATATACCCATCTACTTTCAACAGCTTTGCTTTATTACTCTACTATGCTCATAACTTTTTGGTATTTTTTCAGTGTTTCTTTCCTTTTTTAAAAAAAATCTCATTAAATAATAAAAGCCTCTCGTGGACAGGTGCTGCAAATAAGTATCTTGCTGAAAACACTAAGTGCAGTGCATCTGGGAGCTGAGCATAGTTCACTGGCTTTAGACACCAATGTTCCAATATGTTCAAGATTAATTAAAATTAAAATAACACAAGTGCTGATTGATTGATTGACTGTCGGATTTCTCACCTCCATGCCCAGCAGGGCGCTGACACAGGCTTCAGAGGCGTCGCAGATGGCCTTCAAGTCATGCCCCCCCTCCAGAGCCAGCACCACACGACCCCCGGCCAGTGACATCAGCTGACGAGTCAGGAAGCCAAAACCTGGAGAGGTCAACGCATCCACACATACAGAGGAGGAGCCAGATATGGAAAGAGTCAGAGCTTTCAGTTTTGATTTGAATCAAAGGGACTTCATGTTTTCTTCATTGTCTTCAAAAGCCTGACCCACAGAAATGTTGTAAATATTAACATGCTGGTCTTGTTTCTGTTTGTTAGAAGGGTGAGATAGTGTTGCCAATTTAAGTCCATTCCTCTCCAGATCAGTGCTCTTTATTTACAAAATATGAACAAATCTGAGATTTCTTTTTGTTTGTGGATAGTTCCTGGAAAAGATCAAATTAAAGCACAAACTTTGATTTCTATAAGTTTGTTGAGCAAGCTGCTGCTTTATTTTTTTTCAAATTTTTGTTATTTTTTCTGGTGCCCATGTCTGGTCGATATTTTTAGATATCTGAGCTACAGAGGGGGATCCTTTTTCCTGGAAACAGCCCTTCAGCTATATGAAAACACCTATCTATGACATTGTAGCAAATCATAAGTTTGCTTTAATTCTACTTTGATTACAAGTATGTTAAAAAAATGTAAAATATTAGCTCATACAGGCAAAAAATAGGTTCATAGAGAAGCAGAAATCATCCAGGAAACCCCCAAATTATCATTTATTTTCACTTCACCTGCATAAAAAAGAGTGATGGGAATCAGATTCAGATTGTGTGTGGGCCTTACACTTTGCTGTGACTTTATAGCCTCCCAGTGATGACGAGTGTCCCTCAACAGCATCGAAACCAGCTGACACCAGCACCACGTCAGGGGAGAACTCGTGGGCAATAGGCATCACCACGGCTCTAAAGAGGAGGAGGATCAGGAAAAAAAAGCGTATACATCACAAATGCTGTGATGTATAAGATATTTATCCGCACCTTGTTGTCTGGCTGAAATGAGACAGAACACTTAAGAAATCAAGTTTTCAGCAGCTGTTTATCATTTGTCAAAAAATTACATAGTATTTACAACATGTTAGTGTAGAGAGGAAGTCACGGTGGGATTAATTTAACATCAGCGTAGATTTCAAAAGTGATTGTTCTCAAAGAGTTGAAAGTTGTCTGTCAAGTTCAAAAAAAGTCGCACTGAAATGACAGGAGAGTTGAGGTGATGAATCTGAGGCTGGGACACGTGTACAATGTAAGAATCCAGTCCTGGACGATTTGCTGCAAACATTTACTTCACTGTAAACTCCATCTATTTGAAAATGGTGAAAGATAAATTATCCAAGGCCAAGTTCCAGGTGCTTGATCTCTGTTCTTGATCTGCTCCTGGAGAGCGGCCAACACTGGAAGGTGGGGTAGCTCCCAGGTGTGAATGTGTGCAACTGTTTAAATTTGAAGCAGAGCTCTGATAAAAAAAAAAAAAAAAGAGCAGGGGTGCTCTGGATGCTTTTTTCTTGGATGGAGAAAAAGATCAGAACGGCTTGAAGCCAAGACCGAGTAAACTTCAGGCAGGTGTCAAACACTGACAAGTTTTTGTTTTCAGGGATGACACGAGCAGATAAAAATGAGACCCTTGACTTCTCTGGACAGAGATGTCCACATACGGTGTACTCTGCTCAAGAGAGACCACTTTCTTTAGTTCTTTGCTGTCCTCCTCACTTCCTCCTCTCCTGCTTCAAGTTATTTAGCTAGAGCGCAGGGCTTATGCCGCGTTTGATTCTCTCTCTCTCTCTCTTTCTCTCTCTCTCTCTCAGCGGCGGTTCAAAGGCGTTTGTGTGCGTCTGGTTCCTATTAGGAGCTCGTCCCTCTTCTCACGTCACTGACAGCCAGCCATCTGGGATCCATTGGGCCTAATTACGCCGCCTTTGGATTCCCTAACAATGCACCCCCCACTTCTTCTCCTCTCCCCTGCACTCCTCTCTCCTCCAAAGTTTGTCAGTAGCCACCTCGAGATGCACACAAAACTATGTGCGTGCTCGAAAAACATGCTGTGCACATTTTTCCAAAGGTTCTCCAAAAGTTATACACACTTATGCTCTTCTTTTGCACTTTTGAAGGCGTGTGTTTGCTCTGCTACCGGTGATGACTCTGACCTTAACGTTCTGACCACCTCAGTAACCCTGCCCACAGTCACACACACACACAACGTCATGACACTTAATCTCAACACAGCTGAGCCTTCTCCTGATTGTATTGGAGTCACACCACCACTTTCAACCACAATATTTCCCCTGTCACTAGCACACACACACCCAAAAAACACAGACACATCATCAGCCACCACACTTGGGCTAGTTTTCCTGGAGAGGAGCGCTAGTCTGGAACACCCGGCTTCTAAATCATTGATTCAAATTGGATTACAGAGCTGGCAACACTCTTCATATTTAATTGCACAAACATAAATTTATGATGCATTAAATTTAGTCTGTATGGATTTTTTTCCGCACCAGTCATGGTGGCTGAAAATGTTATTCATACATTTGTGTAGAGAGCGTTTTTACAGAAATCCCTCTATTGCGTTCCTGTGCACGTACATCCTAGATTTTGTGACTTTTATGCATGTCCTAATGACATTTCTATAATCATTGTGTAAGTTTCGAGCTTTTTAGATAGTTGATTTTGTCAGTAAGCCATCTCCATCTGAACATGCTTCTTGGACATCAGAGCTGCACAGTTTATGCCTTAAACCTCTGGACCACCAGGACACTCCCTCTCCTCAGAGCTTTGATACACGGGGAACACATACTGAACATTACTACAGTGTGGTTGACTGTGAAAATTTTACGCTCCCCATTTCCCGAACTCAATGAGTTTGCAGAATACATACCAAATCCAGACACCAGAGCAGTTGCGTCTTAATTAAGATCCAAAGCTCCAGTAAACAGTGGACTTAGAGTTTCTGAGCCTGCCTATTGGCTTGTTGGATTTTTACCCGTATGGGTTAGCTCATTAGCATCTTTCCTTTGACGAGGGGCCCACCCACTGTGCCCGCTGTGTGTAGAGCTCACACATTGTTTAATCATCTGGTGAGGAGCCAGCGTTGCTGACAGAACCACTCTGAGTTTATTACAGTGTGGAAGAACCAAACTGTATCCTCTCAGGAAAAATGTTTGAGTGACAGAGAAGTGCAAAGGTGTGCTTCAGCAACTCATCCAGGTGGGGCTTTGTTTTTAGCTAAATGTAGCTTCACTGCCAGTTTCATCGCACAGACCATGTAAACCTTCTGCCCTCGTAATATAACAATTTGTTGACATTTATTCTGTCCAACAGACTTTCAGGGGAAGTCAGCAATCAGAAAGAAAGCCCGCTTAAGATAGTACAGGTAATCCATCGCAGTGGAACCGTGCAGTGGGATTGCAGGATAATGTAGAGAAAGTGGTGTGTTTACAGGTGTTGCATTCCAGTGCAGATTGGAAATTATGCTCTCCAAATTCTGAGAGTGGGTTTCACCAGAAGGAGGAAAACAATGGCTTTTTGTTTGTCCTGCTGGCACACACTGATGCAATTCAGGGTGGTAAAAAAAAAAACTCACTTTCCTATTTCCGAATGAAAAAAAGTTGTTTCTATCTTTTCTTCACTGTAGTGTGGTTGTTGTTTTTGTGGTTGTCGTATCTTATACATATCTCTGGAGATAAATACTGGCATGAATAAGGTTAATATAACTTAGATTGTGCAGCACGTTCTTATTATGCAGAATAAATAAGAACGTCTGTATTTAGAGGACTGGACACGGAGCATATTTCCTGGTGTTGCTGCTGATGTATTTTTGTGTGTATTCTTTTAACCTCCAAGTAAGACACCAAAATCTTTGTCACAACTTCTGGTAAGCTGTTGATGATGCTGAGTTCATGTTCAACCCCAACTCCAAAAGATGGGATGCTTCGTAAAAGGATTTGTCAATAATACCAACCCAAGATTTAACTAAAAATAGTACTAAGTAGACTTAAAATATTCCTGACTTCACTCCTGTTGAAAACATTTGGCACATCATGACACAAAAATAGTACAGAAGAGATCCCAAACCGTTGAGCAGCTGAAATCTTATATCAGTCAAGAACGGGATGAAATTTCACTTTTGAAACCCTAGAATCTGGTTTCCACAGTTCCCAGATGTTTACTGTGTTTGATAAAGAGAGGTGATGCAACACAATAGTAGACATGCCTCAGTCTCAGCTGCTATGAAGGAGAACCTTTCATAAAACATTAAAATACTTAAGTTTCAAATTTGAAATGTTGTCTTCACACTGTTTTCAATCAGATAGAGAGTTTAAATCATTTGCAATTTATCAAAATCTGCTTTTATGGGAATTTTTACACAACGTCTCTGCTCTTTTGGATGTGAGGTTTGATTTTGCCAAATGAAAAATCTTTAAACTGCATTTGAAATCAGAATAAATACAAACATTAATAGTTGTCTTTGCACACGTACAGTGGCCTTGAAGGTAAAAAAAATAGACTTACCTTAAAAAACTTTTACCATGCTTATGTAAATAATCAAAAGTGATGTAAACAAGTATTTATAATTGTGATTAAAGGTGTTGAACTTGATGAAAACCAGCACAGCCCTGTAACTTCAGGTCAATTCAATTCCTTACCTGAATGCAGCAAGGTACTCAGCATCACCCATTGGGGGGTTCAAACCACCGGTCCACCCGACGTTCACATTAAAACCCTCGCCTGCACCTGCACCCACCTAGACGAATCAAGAAGAGAGAGAGGCAAGAAAGTGAGATTAAGGGAGAGAAAGTGTTTCTGTGAGTTTCAATGAAGTTAATGAGTCCCAGTGAAAGTTGAGTAACTCCGATGGTGACAGATTTGTGACAAATGTTCACCAAATCGACACGGCTGTTGCAAAATCTTGCATTGCAGCAATCGTGAAAAAATGAGTCTGACACCAGGGAGTGATTATGATTCCCAAATAAAAGTCTGATGGCTATTAATTCAACACCGCTGCTCCATCCCAATTTTGATTTTGATACAATTTGTCAAAAGGTCTTATAAATCAGTCTTAGCCACAACAGAGCTACAAATGTTTATGATTCCAAGTTTTAGCTACGGCTAAACTGGAAAATATTTCATGTTTGGCGAACGCTCACTGAAATACGGAGAAACAATGCATCACGGTGTTGTAAAATGTTGATTTAATGTACTAAAAATATATATTATTTTTCAACAACTGGATTAACTGCACTCTGCCACGTGTAAAGTTTAGTAGTTTGGTGTTTAACGACACGTCAGGTTTTCTTATCAAACCACATATTGTAAGTGATTTTAATAGATTTTGATAAAGTTGTTTTTTAGATTGACATGTACCTCACTATGCCAAGCAGAGATCATGAGGGTCTCTCTCAGTTTGACCTCACATACTTTGGGGCAGAGAGTAAACTGGGGCTGGGCAGCTCTTGGAAAGGAGGTTTGAGGATTCCTGCCTCTCTCTTTGTAGTCCTGCTAGCGGCCATTTAGCTGTTCTCGAAGCCCTTCACCATCAGTCAATGTGTCAGTTTGAGGGGAGGACGCCGAGGTTGATTGACACACTCTTGGCAGGAAAGCGTGGTAATTTCCTTTGTGTGTGTGTGTGTGTATGGGTGTGAGAGGATGTTTGAAAGAATGCTGATGAGCATCGCAGAGCGTCTGTCTCCATTCTTCTCTCAGTGGACGGCATGTTCACAGGGCAAACCAAAAACACATGAAGCCTCCTGTCCTTTGCCAACTGGTAATGTACCCACATGCACACGCGCACGCACGCTGACGTACACACACAGCTCTTGCTTTAGCTTCAAGTCTCTGGTGCTCTACGCTGTCCTTTTTCTCTCTTTCATGTTTCAAGAGTAGCTGGACTGCATTAGGCCTTCACTGGTTTTTGCATGCTGCTCAGCCCTCTCTGTTATGGCTATGACATCACGCCCCTACCCCATGGTGTGTTATATACCTACACGGGGGACAGCGAGACTCCAGAGGTTTACCACACAGCTCAACAGAGGTTGAGGGGCCACTTGAGGCAAAGCCACATCCAAACCCGCCGAGCGTTTTATGTAGCGTCCCTCATCAGGAGATTTTATGGGAAAACATTGACTATTTTATGCTCATTATTGTGGGGTAGGCAGTGAACGGAGGAGGGGATGTGGAGGAATGAATGGGTGGTGAATGCCACCATGAGTTGGGGTCAGTTCATATGACTGGGGATAGTCATCACACTTGGTTTTCTGGTAAGACCGCAGGCAGAATTCATAGGCATCTCAATTTCCTGTATTCAAACATAGGCATGCAATTCAACTGTACACATCCTGTTGTGGAGCTCTGACATCTACAGCACCAGAGTTAATAAAATAAAGTGGAACAAAAGAAACAAACCTACAGTTGATTCAGAAAATCAAAGTGTGACAGGCTCATCATGAGTTCACTGAATAAACATGTGTAAAACATGGAAACTGCATGTTCAACATGTCACAGTCATTGTTCCCACAAAGACAGAAATACCAAAATTAAAGCTCCAGTGAGGAGTTTCTAGTATTGAAATTCAATGCTATGCCTCTTTGTGAGCTACAATAGCGAACAAAAGCATCTGCAAAACAACAAATCATTTTTAAAAATTATTCAGTATTTTATTGTTTATGTCTAAAACTGGAGCAAAAAAAAAAAGGATGGCATTTTTGGTTAAATACATTTCTGACTCATGTTTAGGGCGAGCAAAGAAAAAAAATGTAGTGTTTTGTTGATTGGGGCAGTTTTTGACAGGGGCTTTTACAAACTATTTTTAACTACCCTTATGATGTTAATATAAAGCCTACAAATATGAAACTGTAAAGAAGTCTCTGCTGGAAAGAACGTTTTATGTCTGTTTCAGGTAAATGTTATTTCATGTGATTATGATCTTCACTCACTCACTTATTTCTTGAGTCCCAATGATTTTATACTCTGTTGGTTTAATTTCTTCTCTTTTTTGTAATTACACCTCTTCTGAGGAGTTTGTTATTGGTTATGAAACAGCCTAAAATGAACATATCTATGATGACCAAAAGCAAATTAAGTCATTAACAACAAGACTGATATTTCTATTTTGAAATTTTCAATGCCTGTAGATGCTCTGCCTGAAGTTGATTGTTTATCACTGACAGTGATTTTTCTTCCTGGGAGAAAGAAACAAAGGTTGTAACGGTATGATGTAGTTCCTTGCCCCTTGCTACCAACCCTAGGCTTGATGTGGCAGCAGAGCAAACAAAAAGCAATATATATTAATAATTGTTAGTCTTTATGCTGCAGGTTTTGTTTTGTTCATTAATAGACAACAGTAGCAATTTCAGGCTTTTCCAAAACCAGCTAAAATCACCTCACAGGTGATTTCACATTGTGTAGTCTGATCTCACCCTAATACTTGGCACAGGCTTCATTGCGTTAAATTATGTACTGGAGCTTTTTGTATTATTCCTTTAACCCTTTGGACCTGAACTGTAATCAAAACATTTTTGGTTGATGCTTTTTGTTATCCACTTGATTTACTTTTTGACTGACAGGACAGTTTCTCCCATTTCTTAGATTCCAGTGGTGTCAGTGTAATATGTTGGTCCCATCATAACAGCCCTGACCAGCTCCACCAAAAAAATGATGTTTTAATACTGAACATAGTATACTGTAAAATACCATCCCCATACTGACCAGTTTCCTCCTTCTGCTGCAGTGAAGACTCCTCATTAAAATCAGTCATCACGACCAAATTACACTTGTAACTAGGGCTTTAAATCATGTAAATTAATCTGGGATTTATATCTATAATCAGTCTTCTTGTTTTGACAAGTATATGGAAAACACAAGGCTCTTAAGCTCCCTAATTTTCCACTAGAATCACATAATTAGCAAATATTTCTATGCCAACATCTCTTTCTCTGCAACAAACGTGGGTGGTATTTTAATGAGCTGTGTATTCTGAAGAGTCAGATTAAAAAAAAATGTCTGAATTACATAAATACAGTCTCCTTAAATCAAAATAACAGAACCTGTTCTTCAAGTCTACATGTTTCTCAAGTGTTGTTCCTGAGCTACCGTGTTCACTAAAGTCTAGGCACATGCTGAGGTGCACAAACACACACAAACATCCGACATCGCTATGACAACACCAACAAAAGCAGACAACAAATCACTGCTGTAAACAAATACCTACCTCGCTGGGGTGTCCACTACCAGGAAAGAAGTTGCCGTCGTCAAAGCGATGCAGAGAGATGTACAGCACGCTGGGGTCATTGTAGAAGGCTTCCTGGGTACCATTGCCATGGTGAATATCCTGGACAGTGATTGGATGTTTGGTTAAGAAGCTATCATAGAACAAGTCATACACCACACATGATTAAAAAAGCATGATGGGATCACACATTTTTTCCCAGACAGCCTAAGTAATGACACAGAGATCTGTAGGATGTAAAATATGCAAATAAATTGCATAACTTTGCAATAATAATTTATGATCTATGTTTGCAGCACATGTTTTTTATGAATTTAACATATTTCACCACTAAATCATCTCCAAATCATCAGTTAGTGGTAGATCATTTGCTAAAGCTTCTTCTAATGGCCATTATACTCATGCATTCATCCAACAGATTAAATCTATGCAACTAAAGAGAGAAAAAAAAAATCCAATTTATTGCATTACATTTTGGTGAATTTTTTTGGTCTTCATTGATGGTACAGGGTTGAGGTATGGGGAGATGCAGAAACACATGCAGCACACAGTCGGGGCCGGACTCGAACCCGCAACCACACGGTCCCCATAGGTGGGGCACGCTAACCAGCTAGACCTTCTGCGCGCCCCATTTGTTGCATTACATTTTGACTTTTGCCATATTGCATATGTGTCTGTTTCCATACAGCACAAAAGCTGTGATTTTTTTGAGCAGCACTTATTACAAATCATAAAATCTGCAGAACTCTCCACTTCCTCAAACACATATTGCAGAGATCAGGGTCTTGAAAAGGCCTTCTTAGTGTCAAAGTCAAATGTGTTTTAATCATCAAACCTGTCTGAAGGAGCAGGTAGTAATCAGTGCTTGATATGTCAGACAGCACGGTATGTTTAAAGTCATGGTAATAGCTCATGTATACACACATGGTGAACAGGGCCATCTGGCCATGGATCAATATCTTCACGTGTGTGTATGTGTGTGTATGTGTGTGATTGTGTGTCCGCATTAGTGTGACTCATGAACATTAAAAGATATGTGACAATTTAGCTCACATATGGAGACCAGAGATATGAAGATATGAATGAACCCCATGATAAATAGGAGTGCTACCGTAGATGGCGGCTTTGGCTCTGTGACCCTGTTCGTGCCAATGATGCATTTGTGGGTCTTAGCATGTGTGTATTTGTTCACTTGTTCCTGTCCATGTGGGTGCCAGTGACGCCAGTTATGCAATGTGTCCTCACCCAGTCCACAATGAGGATCTTGCTGACGTTGAGTTTGTGTTGGAGCTGTTTGGCAGCGATGGCCACAGAGTTGAAGAAACAGAAGCCCCTGTGGACAAACAGACATGAAGAGAGGCTGACACATGTGTTTATCAGTACATCCTTAGTAAATCAATATCATAGCACCACCATATGGACCCTAGGAACCTCTAAGACATGTCTGTGTTTTCATGTGGTGGACAGTCAGCACAGGTTGTGACAATCACTGCGCTGGGTTTAATGTGCAGGTCATGGAGAGAGAGGGAAACTCCTGCCGGGCAAACATCAACTCCAAATATTTGCGAAATACGGATGTTTCATTTCAAGTTGTTTTGTATTTAATCTTCCACCACTGACAAACAAAAATTTGCTTTTTATACAAAAACAGTATGCTGAGACCCAATCTTCACCTCTTGAGAAATGCAGAACCCACACAAATTTGTGTCAAAAACATAAAACCAAGCTTATCATAAAAATGTCTTCACATACCGGATGATAACAGAGGGAATTTCTGGCATTACGTTTGAGCTGATTTCAGCGAAATGAACTCATGACTTGGCGCAGCAGTTCCCTAAACACTTGCTGTCTACAGTCAAGGTATGCAAAAAAGTGTTGATGTATGAAAAACAATGAAGGAATGTTGGAAGTAGCAGTGTCAGCACGGGTCGTAAACTTTGCCTGTCTTTATGATTCTGTGCTTGTGTGTATGTGCATCGTGTTGTGCGAGTATGCGGACGGTATATCATATGCTGTCCAAACTTTGCTCATCAAGAAAAGTCATTACCATCCCATAAATAACCAGTGACAAGCCCTGCTGAGCACACACACAGTCCCAGCTGAATGTGGTTACTTAGCTAATGCCTCCTATCAAAGACCGACACAAATCCAGGCACACATACGCATACGCTCACATACGTATGCACGGTTCTCTTTGAGGTGATTTTCTTGGTGTATTGAAGGTTTAAAGAAAGTCTGTGAAGGCGAACATTTGCCTTAGGCATCAGGTGGGTAGCTCACATCACACAAGCACACTGAGACGGAGACACACAACCTTTCTCTCTCACTTTCTTGCTCAGAAGTGCAGCAGATCAGTTATAAATCCTTTGAAACACTTCGGAGAGACCTCCTGGCTCCTGGAATGTGTGTGTGTGTGTGTGTGTGTGTGTGTATTTATATGTGTATGCTGCTGTACTCACAGAGGGGAGGAGTGGCTTGCATGGTGTCCAGGGGGCCTCACCACTGCAAAGCCGTTCTATGAGAGGAAAGCAAAAGCACCTTTCAGTGATAAACTCCCGCTGTTAACACGGTTCACTACACTGGAGGCAACAGCTATCAAAACAACAGTACTCTCTATACATAGTCTGTATGAGTATCTGTATGGGTATGAGTATTTGCTGATAAGGTATCTGGTGGCAAAGACGCACCTTCAGCTCTCCCTGTGCCACCTTCAACGCCAGGTCTGTGACGCATCCTGCAGCGATACGTGAAGCTGCTGACGTGTGGAGCTCATTCCAGACGGTATCAATATCAACCTGTTAGTAAAGCAGAGGTGAGATACAAGACATCGACTTCTGCTTGAATGGACAGAAAGCAGGTTTGAGTTAGAGGTCAAAGTGGACAGCCCTTTGTGGTATGCCATCCTCAGCTCTCTTTTCCCAGTCTCATACTCGATCCACTGTCCTATCTCTTTACATAAAGGTATAAAACCCTCAAAAAAGAGAGTTGCCACATTGTTACAGTTAATCTCATCAGATCTAGGCTCACTTTAACAGATTAAACAAGGTTTACACATTAGGTAAGTAAAATATGACCTGACAGTCCCTCTGAACTGCTGTGGACTGATACAGTATCAGGTATTGACAACTTTGTCGACCAGGATTTGAGGTCATTGAACTACTAAATCCTGCTTTTGAAAGACCAAACAAGACACTAATGATTCACATGCATGTTTTTTTCTTATCTTCTTGTATTGCGTTTAAATAAAAATCTGTGATGGTAGACTGTTAACATTTTGGTCTCATTTTTTCACATCCACTGTCTCTGTGCTTCCTCCTTCCCTCTTTATAAAATCAGCCTTGTTTTTTTCCAGCGTAACCCCATGTTTCAAACTCACATTGGTGGTGTGCCGCGGTGGAACAATGAAATAAGAGGAATTTCTTTTATCACAGACTTTGCCATCTTGTTCCAATCACCCCTCTTCAACCAGAGCAGCCAAGGGCCGGAAATCCAGGCACATCAGTCGTCTTATCAACTGACACCCGGCCCCCTTTTTCTTCTCCAGACTCCTCTCCTCTCCTACTTTATTATCTGTCTCCTCTCTTCTCATTGTGCCTCACCACAATTTCTCATGGGCATTATAATCTGTGCTTTGCCAAAGCAGAGGAGAAAACGCCTGTAGGTCCTTTTATACCCTGTTAAATTTCATCTACTCTGCTCTGCTATCTTTGCATTGTATCTTTTCCCCTCTTTTCCTCATTCCCTCACACATTCCCATTAAATAAAATACAGTCTCACTGGCACGCACCCCTTCAGGCTGCAGTCTTTATGTGCACCCTGTTTTTCTACTTCTTCCTCTTTTTTTTTCCCACCAGATCTCACCTTTGAACAGCCTTTGATTTAGATAATGTTTGGAGTAATCTTAGCCAAAAACAATAGTATTAGTAATTTGTGGTGTTATTAGCTTAATTGTGTAATGGAGCAATCAGCCATGTAATGATTGCTGTTCAGTAATGCAATTAGATAAGTTGAAATATTCCCACATGACTGTGTTAGCATGTGTGTGTGTGTGGTACTCACCCCAACTCCTCCACATGGTAACATCACAAACATTTGCTGTGATAAGATTCCTGCAGGAGACGATTAATACCATTTAACTTTCATGTCGATATTAGTGTTATAACATCACTGCATTTTAATTTGTCATTTTTTTGTTATTGTTTACCTATTAGCTTGCGGTTGTCCAGCTTGAGGCGGTTGAGCGGGTTGGTACCAAACAGAAGAACGTGTTTCTCTGAATGAACTGACTGCAGCTCCTCCAGGGTCGCCTTTCTGCTGCGAACACGCTGCACAGACACACAGAACAGTGCATCTTATATACTGTACATGATTAGAAACTGGCTCAGTGGATGACTGTTTGACTGTATGTGTATCTGTGTGTGAGTCGTACCTCACACTGGTTCCTCAGGCCTCTTTCTAGCAGCCTGGACCAGATGCTTTGGACTCTCCCAGCATGCTCAGGGTGACGGCTGTTGTCCCCACAGGTACACTGGTGCTTCTGCATCTGAGCATCATACACCAAGCCTAGATACAGAAAGTGCATACAGTACGACATGAGTCTGTGGTACATGAATTTAGCCTAAAATACAGCGCTGTTAACTGGGACTAATGTCTTCTTTTTTACATTTACTGATCTCAGAGTCGCTCACCTGTGGTGTAGCGCAGTTTGACATCTGTGGAAGGGCTGGACAGTGACAGAGAAGGCACAGCAGGTGGTGGATGAGGAGTTGGAGACAGAGATGTGGAGGCAGGGGAGGACTGGGTCCGGGCCAGAGGCTGGTGAGGCCAAATTATGGCAGGCACATTCAGATGGTCGAGCTGGTGACCCTGTCTGAGGATCACCTGCCTCTGCGGTTCACAGGGGTGTGTGTGAGGAGAAGAACAGGAAGTTAAAGAGCTTTTCACAGCAAAGAAAAATGAGAGGAGGCGTTCAAATATGTTCATAGTTTATATTCACGAGTTTTAAAATCCAGTATCTTCATCTAAATACATGGTAACCACTTTGAAACGGCTTATCTAACACTGTTACTTCTGATGACTGAGAAAAAATAAAACATGCTGCAACTATGGTGTCAATCTTTCTTCTTTCAGTTGGATATGTAACGCTACAGCGCCCTCTTATGTCCTAAACGTGCTTTATACAGTTAAAACATGTACAACAAAAATGATGCATGTTATTGGAAGTTGTTAACAGTAGACAGTTTATATTTTTGTTTGTCAAAGCATCTAAATGAATAATACAATCATATGAAAGATAAATTCTAAAAATGTAACTTCTCTGTCTATGTCCACATACTTTTAAAAACATTAAAAACAGTTTTAGTCCGTATGAAAAGTCTGAACTGTTATATCGGACTTACAGAATGTGGGGGCTCGATCAAGCTCTCCCGTGAGGAGGTAGTGGACTCTGTGTCATAAACGGAGTCTGTGCTGGTTGTGCTTTGTCTCCTGTGGTATCCCTCTTCACCCATTGATCCTGGCTCTGAGCCGCATACAGACCCAGGCCCTGAGCCGAACTCTGATCCGATCTCCTCCAGGTCCATATCTTCTGATGGGATCTGTGCAAGACAAGGGTTCGACAGTAAATTTATAGAGGGTTTGAAGTTGCTAATGCTCTCCGTGACACGTTCACTCACAACTAATGAAAATGTGATCTTCTTTTAAACATTATTTAGATTCTGTATCCATACACTAATCCATGCAAAGACTAACTCCTCTCACCTTTCTCAGGGGTGTGTTCTGCTTAAACCTCTCTACCCCACGGGTGTATTGCTGTGGCAGCTGGGAGTGAAGGTGTGTCTGATGGCCCGGATGCAGAGCGAGCGAAGAGTGGCTGTAAGGCGGGGGCTCTGAGCGTGTTCGCTCCAGGGGTCTGTGGGAAGACAAGGAAACGACACCTTCCCTTCTGGACAGATGAGACTGCTGCTGGTGCTGCAGGGGAACGGAGGTCACACCATGAACTACAGAGAGAAGAAGAGAGACAAGAGGAGGAGGTTAAGTGATATGAAGGCAGGAGAGGGAAAGAGATATAAAGGATTATGCCGGGGGGGAAATAATGCTTGATAAAACTGAGATTAATGTGACAAAAACAGAAAAAGCAAATTAAAACTGAGTTAAGGGGGAAAAAAAGTGGGGGTTCAGAGGTGTGATTTTCAGCAAATTACAATCTAAGAATTAATTTTGGCACTGTAAAAATCTAGATCAAAATGTTTAAACATGACTGTGAAACAAAAGAAATGAGTGCAAAGTGAAAAGTCAAAGCTGTGTTTCCTTACCTAAATAAATATAAAACAGAAGACATATTTAACTTGCTGAAAATTATGATTCCTGCATGGCAGTATACTCTATTTCAATGGTTTAAAAAAACATGCAATACTCTTAAAGCCCAGTTGAGGGTGCTGTCGATCCTTGTTTAATTTCAGCTCCAGCCACAAGAGAGACTGAAACTGTGACAGAAGTACAAAGCTGCTGAAGGTTGAAAATTGTGTCCTGTGGAACCATCTCAAAATGAGTAACAAAGCTAAGGAGGGGCAAACATAGTGTACATGTTGAGAATAACACTCTTGGATTAACAGATACTGTAAATATGAACAAGTCAGTGAACATATTCTAGGTCCCCCAGCAGGCTGCACTCATCAACTGCAGGGGTTATGGATATGGTGCTCTCACACAGCCTTTTGTATTAATACATTCATGACTTCTGCCTCATTAAGAATCTGACGAAGCAGGTGTTGGCTGCACTTGAAAACATCCACAGCTTTAACACTTTTTTGTGAAGACAATAAGATTAAAAAATGCCAAATATCAGCAGCGCAATTTAAAATAAGAGATTAGATGAACCCTGAGACTTCTGTTGGCATTTTGATCCATTACATCATTTGACTTCATCTTTTCAAACAAAGCACTTGGTTCATAAACACCAAATAAAGTGAGGCAGCAGGCTTCTGGGCTTCTGGTTCATTGTTCCAGTGGTGATGACGGTTCAGTGAGCCGGTTATCTAATAAGTCTTGGACGAAGTCCATGAAGTCAACTCTTGATTGAAAAAAAAGCTGCAGTGACATAAGTGGATGGTATGTACACAGTCTATTGTTTCATAGGAATTTTCATGGCTGACAGAAGGCAGAGGAGCAGTCCAGCTACCCGAGTCTTGAACAAATCTCACAGTTCAGCAGCTAAAGAAAAGCCAAAACTTCAATCAGAGGTGTAATTCAAAGCAAGACTAACAAAGGAGGACATTAGAGTAAGACTGCATCTTCATGTAAATATGGAAAATCTCCATAATTTTGGATACGTTATCAAGTAAGCAGGTTGAAGTGGCTCTGACAAACTCAGGAGTACGGAGAGTTAGAGCTGATTTGAACTATGATGAGTATTTGACAGACTTTCTACAAGTTCTAATATGTTGCTAATACAGGTGCTCATCCTTGGCTGCATGCAACATAGTAATTTGAATCAAGCACTGTGTCTTTCTCTGCCTTTAAATTCTCATGCACAGATTTGGTTAAAAGTTGCTATAGTTAAAAGCTAAGGTGTGCAACAAGTCTTCAGTTGTTGTTACAGTTTTACTTCATCTCCATCATGGTTACTGGAATTGATTCAAAATCATTATATCTTCAAAACACAGGTTTTCATTGTGACTGGCAGAGTTTGAATCAAAGTGAAACTGCAAAACAGAAAAAAACTGTGTGTTTATGGATTCCATTATTTCCCAATTTCAGATGAATAAAAAAAAGCTTATGCTTCACAATAGTCATTTGATCTTTTGTGCAGCTTTAGCACAAAAGATCAAGTTGCACAACAGTTGCTTGCATAATAAAAAGGATAACAAACATGTCAAAACATTTTTGTCCTGCCTCTTTCACGGCTAAATGAATATGTTTGGAACATGAGCATGGCGAAATGTTATTGTTTTGATTTGTAAATAACACTCTGAAATTCAGATAACTCACGAGAGACAAGCTGTGAATGCACCAGTCCAGTGTGTGGCTCCAGTATGAGTACTGGCTGTAGGCGCTGAGCCAGAGCTGGATTGCTTCCTTCCAGTGGCAGGTAGACCTGAGGCAGAGCAGATACTACAAAGGGCCTTGCTAACCGGATGTCAGCCTGGGGAGAGTAGAGGTAAGAAAAATAAAAAGCTGGTTAGGGCATGAGAAAATAGGGATACACTTACAGTCGAGTTTTAGTGCAGTGGGTGTGGCTTCATTTGTAATGTAGGGAGAAACTCATCAAACACTTTAATAGTGACATCAAGCAAGCAGGCTATCTCATGACTTGTTTATAAGCTATGATAGCACCGCAGAGATCAATAGGGAAGTGAAAGCCTGACTATACAACATGTTTCTATGAGAGTTTAACCTTGTAGGCACTTTTTAAACATCTGGTCTTACATACACAGACATTTATGGCATGGCTAAATATCTTTGTCTATTAGGTGATATATTTAAGCAGTGTACAAACAGAGGAAGTGATGATGCATGCTGATAATCTTTGTCTCTTGGCCTATAGCCTTGTTCCTACAGTTCACACACAGCTGGGCTGATATTGACTTCAATGTTTCGACCTCCAGTGTGGTACTGCTTTCTTGCATCACCACAGTATGTATTACAAAAAGTGAAAATCATTAGCGGTGCAACAGATCGCAGTTGGACCGCGGTAGTTTTGGTTCAGAGCTAGAATGTTTTTTTGAAGCACTCTGCTCCCATATAGCAGATAACTGCGGTTCACGACTGTAAAGTGGACAAAGATCTAGGCGGGGTGATAGCTGTCTCAGACTAAGTCAGAAAAAGTCAGGGGAAAAGCCCTGTTATTGAGATGCATTCATTCCTGTGATGATTCATTATGACATGAAATGCACTGTTTAAGAGTCATGGCCATGTGAAGGTGTGACCCTCAAACCATGAAGCAGGCCAAACCTTGAGATTTATCTAGTGCACCCCTAATAATCACTCAAATATCATTTTTTGCTGTTCTGCTATTTCAACCAGCTTCACTGAAACAGTTTTGGAGCAGCACTCAACAGTTTCAGTTACTCTGTTTGTGTCCATAGTTACCACAGATTAGATGCTTTGTTTCGTACACACTAACGTGTATGTTTTAAACAACAATGCATCTACAGCAGTTTAATAAGAATCTGTCGTGTGATTTAGTGATAAACATTTTGCAGAGTAATACACAGCGGTGCTTTATATAACCACTCATTGAATGTCTCTTGTCCAATCAGATTGCTTGGTCTGAACTAGCCATTCTTTCTTTGTCCGTTAAAGTGATGAATGATTCAGGAATATGGGACCAACACTGGTTGTGAATGCATTGTGAATGAATCCACTCGAGTGCCCTTACTAACCTGAGCAGGAAGTCCAGCAGTGATGTTTGGCATGGCAGTGGAGTTGGGAGGCACAGTGAAATGAGTCAAGCTACCATCCTTCAGCAGCAACCTTTGCGCCTGAAGAGACAAAGACGGATCATACATTCTCTGCATAGTTGGGACATAACAAACTGTGACATCCTTCCAGATTACATTGAAATGGTAATCATATCAGGCTTGTGCGCAAAAATGATGCCAAAACTTGTGTGTAGCAAAACAAACGTGGAGTCAGAGTAGAGGGATAACAAAGTAATATGTGTGTGTCAGTATAATGGGCCACCTGACAGTGTCATACATCTCAGTATAATCACTGCTTTGCAATGGTTGAATCTTAAGGATTTCATTATTCAACCGTTACAAATACAGGGTTCCTACACAGTTGGAATTTCCATACTTTTCCACATCCTACTTTTTAGTATTATCTTTGGAAACACCTACTTTTCTATTTTAGAAACCAGTAATTTAGAACTGTGGTAATAGTCTGGAAACATAAATATTTTTCAATACTTTATTTTTCATTTTACATACTTTTTAAGACCTGATCAAATTTATTTACATACTTTTCCATACTTCCCATACTTGCGTAGGACCCCTGCTAATAGCACCAAAGGTTTTCTAAGGATTGAAAATGTCATTTTTTTCTGGAGTGTGATGCTGGAACATAACACTGAACCTTTTTTATGCTGATGTGGAAAAAAAGTTTACCATATTGCTATAATATATGTATAAAAAAAGGTCTCACCTCCTGGTTCAGAGGGAGGGACCCGTTGTCTGAATGGAGGCTGTCGTTGGGGGAGCTGCATCCTGATGCTGGGTTGCTGTTGCTGCTGTTGGAGGAGTCTGGGGGACAGAATTCAAACACGCCCATTAACTTGTGAGAGCCAACAGTGTCACAACAGATGTTCTTTTGTGCGGCATGAATGACGCACGTGGCAAGATGGGAAATTGATCAAACTGTGTCAGCACAGCGTGTCTTGAGATTAAATTCTTAACAAAAACAAATTTTTTGAAAGTGTGAAAAACAAAAACATAAAAGCAATTTTATGCTATCAGAAGCAACAAGGAGAAACAGAGAGAGAGAGAGAGAAGTGGGAAGGATCAGAAGCACATGATCAAAACAGTGTTTTAGCTACATGAAGATGCTTTACCCAAAGTTTCTGTTCTGTGCTTGACTGCAGGAGGGGCGCTGATTTTTCGATGCAGAGGGTTTGGCCTCGAACTGATGAGCTTTTTTATCTTCCACTTCAAAATGGGCTCAGAGTCTACACAAACAAAAAAATACATATGAATGCATGAAGAGGCAAACACACATATATTCACACATGACCACAGCTTTGTGAGAAACTGGCTTATTTCAATCATCCTCTGCATCAGCAACACTGCTTTTACAGTAATGCACACACTTCATTAAAGCACTGAGTTTCCATAACAAGACTGATCTAAAGCGATCTGTGGCACATCTGGACCAAAGTAAATACCCCAACCTTGGTCAACAGCATTAAAAAGTTCCAGGTTTATGTTGGTCAGCTTCCAATGAGCCCAAACAAAACAATCAATCAGAGGCTGGCTCAGGGCATAGAAAAGGCAGCCTTTGGTTGAAACTGAGCCAGGGAAAGCACTGATGGGTGTGTGTGGGCTGGCACCTAAGACTTCTAAGGCAACACAAATAAATAAAACATTTTGAATTGTTAGCGTACTAGTGGATGTATGCAGGAAGACAAAACCACTCCCACTCTCATTCACACGGTAACGGAGACCTGCTCCAGACTCTCACGCAGTTCGTTTTACACATACCTAGCTTTGAGTTATGTAACTGTTTTGGTCTTTGTGTCTCGCGGTCACTGTTGTTTTTTTTTTATTTTTTATTACTGCTCAGTCTCTCTCTGGCCCTGTAGGCCTGCTGCTTAATGACTTTGCTTCTTCTCACTAGCAGGACACTCCTGTGTCCCCCTCACGGTCCCATTCTTTGGTCCAGAGCATGTAACATAATGACAGTTTGCTGAGACACTGAAAGGTATCATACTGAACAAAATATCCCACTGAGCAATGCAGTCAGATGACTTTGAGTGTGACTCAAATTACACAAAGCATACCGCAACCAAACAGGCCTGAAATGGAAAATCACCAGTAACCTTCACAGTTTTAACCCCAGGCTGGAAGCCCCCATCACAGATAAAAACACAGCCACACAGGTTACTCACATGTCCTGCGTAGTGCGAGGTCTTTACGCTGGTCACCAGGGGAAGACTGAGGGTTTGAGGACATGTCGGGCACTGGGAGCCTGTGCGTACAAAATAATCACATTTTAGTGGTATAAGATAACTTAAATTAAAAAAATGAGGAAAAGTCTCTCTTCTCACTCACCTGTATCGTTGTGTAGGACTGCTATGGGTGGGCGTAACCCGGTCAAGAGTGGATTGACTCTTCATGATCAAATGTTCCCGAAGTTTCTGCTTCACCATGGGACTGGCTACAGCACCTACCAGTCAAAAGCAGTCAATCAGTCTGGAAAAACGCAGTCATTTAGACTATGTGCAAGGGGGGAGTACTGACAAGAATGTCAAAATATTTCTGTAAGTGAACTTTATATTGCTTTTATTTCATAATCACCTGTCGCTCTATTAAAAAAAGAAGTCTTTTGTAAAAGGATCCAGGGCATCTGCCCCATTTCTCAATTCCCCTTTTCATTTCTAATAAGGTAAGAGTTAAAGCAGCTTACAGAAAAAGATTACAGGAAAAAAAGTGTTTATTACACTGAGTCAATATGTGTGCAAAAATTTCCTTGGAATCAGAGAGTACATCACAGCAGTCTTGGAAATCCCCCACTTTCTTATTGAAAACTACAGTAGGCTGTGACTCAGATGAAGAGCACATCATCAACTAAATGGTTTTCAGAGAACGCACAGAGACCTGTTACAGTAGAGTTCTACACTGTATGTGATACTCACTCGGTCCAGGTTTTCTCTTCCGTATCAGCTGTTGTAGCTCCTCTCTTTTCTCTTCCTCCTCCATCTCTCTTTGCTCTTGCTCAATGTTATACTGAGGAGAAAACAACAGAAAAACTTCAGCTGACTGGTAGAGTGTGCCTAAACTGTACAGGTGAAAACCATGTAAGGAAAGGCATTTGGTGAGTTAATTTTATAAACAAAAACTGACACCTATACATGATGGAATAGTGCCTCAATATTTGGATATTAAAAGAGGTTTAAAGCTACAACATATTTTGTCTGGAGGTGTAGCACAATGCAACCTAGCCCAGCTTCTTCAAGAATCTGAGTCTGAGGGACCGAGAAGGTGGTCTGTTTACTGTAACCCGACCTGCTTCTAAGAAATTTCTGCTGAGCATTACACCTGTGTAAAGTAGTGCAGCACAAGCAGCTGGCGTGTTTTTGTGGTTCATGTGGCAGGAGTGTGATCAGCCTTTCACTTACTGCATCTTACCCTGATAAAACGAGAACTCACAAACAATATCTGTTGCATTCAGTGTCTAATTTTGTCTAAAATTTCTGCATGTGACCAGAATTTAACTGTCAAAAATAAACAAATACATAAAAACATAACAAAGAGATGAAAACAACATGAAAAAGAAAAGAAAGATCAGGCTGTGTTCATCTAAAAGTTCAAGATTTATGAAAGGGTGTTGACCAATAAGTTTGTTTTTACCTGTTTTACCTGCAAGTGCTGCTGGGAAAACTGGGTGCAATGCTGAGAGGTGAGGGGTCCCAGAAAGAAGGGAGGTTGGGGGGCCAGCATGGCCGATTCTGAGCCTGGAAGTAGCAACCTCTGGGTCACACTCAGGTCCATAGGCTGTCCATGTATGGATGATAGAATCTGATTTCTAAAGTTGACATCAACTACAGAAGGAAAGAAAAGAAACATCCATTTGTCAACAAGTGGTGTGGGTTACTTGTAAAAAAAAAAAATCAGTTTGACTTTCTGTCAAAGGTGCAGGGCTATTAAATCTGAAATCAGTTAAAATTACTGGATAATATCAGGAACTTTGACAACAACACAGAAGCTATTATTGAACTTGGGTTGATTATTTTCTATATTGTTTGCTATTATTATGGTTTATACTATAAACTGAGCAGATATGTCCATGATGCAGCCGCTGAAACACTATATATCCAATATAATCCATGAAACCTGCTGCACCAAGAGTAAGAGTACGAAATAATTAGGCAAATAGGCAGTTCTTCTGCTTAATAGTATGAAGTGTGTACAGACAGGCCTTTCTTTATATTCACAACCAGCAGAAAAAACTCTGTTTTAGGAGTTTCTGTCATTTTATAGACTGTTCTCTTGGAGTAACATCTGGTGGTCGCACAGAAACTCTATTCCTAACAAAGCCAACAATGACCCATGAATGAAATATTTAAAGTTACTCATGTAGGCCCGCCTGAAAAAGTGCTTGATAATCTAAACTCTGAAGACACAATACTACCCATAAATACTGGTCAGATGTATTAACATGTAAAGCTGATAACATAGAAACCCCAGAAAGAATAATTTTAACCAGAGTTCAAAGAAACAATCCAAGTGTCGTTTACAGCTTAAACAACAATGCTCTCAGTTCGGTTATAAGTATACGCACATTCAGTAGGTGTATTTTGACAAAACCTTTGCACTTTAAAGAGTAATATTTCATTTCATTCAAATCTTCCTGCCTTCAATGAACCGGCCATTGTCCAGCACTACATTTAGGAAAGCAAAAGAGAGGGGGGTGTTTGTGTGTGTGTTGGGGTTAGAGGGCCACTAAAGAAAAAGAGCAGGGGAAACAGGGAGCCGGATTTGAACACTGTGTGGTCAGGCATTCGGGTCAGGTACATGAATCTGTCATCTCCCTTCCAGGATTTACAAAAATGAAGGAAATAAAAAACTAAATTTAGCACAAGTGAGACAACTCAACTAAGCTCCTGTGTCCTAACGAAAGACAGATGTCTTTTTATGGGTGAGAGGGAGGCCATGAATGTTTTCATCCATTAATGCAATTCAAAGAGCACTGTCAATATGACGGAGCAACCTGAGTTTAAATCTCTGAAGAGTTATATGCATGAATGGTGTAATGATATCCTGACGGTGTAAAATAAGGCTTTATTCACAGGTATTCAGGAAACATTGGCCTCAAGGTTTACTGCAGTTTTGTGATGCACCATGACAACAGAACAAAAACAAATGCAAGCTCATAGATAACTTGATACAGTTTTCACGTGTCACTGTGACTGACATTTGAAACCAATAAACATGTTGAGGAATGTTTCAGTACAACTGACACAAAAGTACAGACAGATACAGCATGGAAGGAGACACCATTGTCCCTCTGGGGTAGAAGGACAGCGGGAGCGAAGGAAGGATGTGGAAATTTACTGAACTCATATAAACCTCAATGACAGCAACTCAAAATATGACTCAATGTACAGATTCTTCATGAAAGCAGACATTTCTTCACTTACAGGAATACAATACAGATGATGCAGATGACACCTATCCCGTTAAACTAAGTTGGGTTCAAAGAGTTTGGACTTCCCCACTTTCCCACCTGAGGGGCTGCAACCTGCAAAAGACATCTCAAAACTGACTGCATCACAGCTGCGTGACCAGGCAGTCAGGTTTTATTTTTGCTTCTTCAAATGGATGATAGAAATGCATCATTCTTGGATCTGTTTGGTTCATTTCCTTTTTCCAGGAGGGTGTCAGTCACCACAGCACATGGAAGTGCTTCACAGAGTAACACAGCCCATAGCAACAGAAAATGTTGATACACAGACAGCAGCTTATGGAAGAAAGAAACACATGAAATTCAGTCGCTGGTTCTCATTTAAAAGAAAACAGTTAATTTGAAATGGATTCTGACCGGCCGGAGGTCTTGGTTACTCACAAAAAGGCTGAAGCCTCTTTTTCATCATCTTTTAGAACTTGCCACATTTTCAATTAACCCATTAAGACCTGAACCCTGTCTGAGACACGCCTCTGAAGTCCTGAGGACAATTTTGAGAAGGGCCCCCAGGTCCTGAGGTTGAGCTGATATCTCTGCCTCTGTAGCAGATGGAAACAAAATTCAAAAAGTATTTTAGAGCTTACACGTGTGGCTTTCAAGATAGCTATCTTTTTTTTTTTCGAACCTCAACATCATATTACTGAAAACCTTGAACGAACAAACAAATGAAATAAAGCGGCTGTATAAATAAAAGGAAAGACTCTGCACTGGACAATAACAAACTATTTGCTTTCTATAAAACAAGTGGCAGTCATAATAAAGTGTCCATTCAATACAAATGTAAATATAACAACAAAGTGTTGAAAGCGTATGCAGCTGCCCTAGTATTCTGCCAGTATGAAAGCAGCTCTAAATTCTAAATAATAAATAAATGAATTACAGAAAACGCAGATAGTGTGAGCCCACGCACTCAATATGAAGAGGTTGTTCACACTGCTTACAGCCATAGACTGGAGGTCAGCCAGCTCTCTCATTTTCAGGGAGAACTTGACTGTCCCTGCAGGCCTTTCTCTTCTGAAAAATCCCGCCTAAGTCATGCTTTGGGAGTTGTGGCTCCACTGGCCACTGAAGCAGGAGAAGGAGAGGGACAATATCACCATCTTCGCTAAGCCTGGATGCTTCTCCTCCGAAGCTGCTCTCTGCCTCCGTCATTGTTTACTTTCCTCACGAAGCACGTAGCAAGATCCGAGCATGAATCAGATTGCTTAAGCTTTATTAGCCTAGCAGAGGCAGATGGGTATGATGATTTGATTCGCCACGACTCCAGTAATGATTGTAAAACTACAGAATGTCACAAAATGACGTATCCACGCTCCCGACTTGAAGGGTAGAAATGCACAGCAGCGCCACCGGCCTGGAGCATAGATATATATAGATATATATATATAAACGCTAGATGGACTACGCACACTGTTAGCCAATGGAGACCGGCGTCCGTGCATGGCGGCCATCTTGCTTCAGGCAGCAACATCACAGTCTACGGTGCATGAAGCATTTAAATAACCATAGATGGCTTAATTTAGGTAGAGATAGGTAGAGCAATAGCTATAGGCCTACACACACACACACACACACACACACAACAGTTATAATTTATATATAAAACATTCAATCATTCCCTGTATGTTATATCAGTAATATTTCTATTATAGGGATAGCTATAATAACATATAATAATAACATATATTTATTTATTTATAATATAAATATCTGCCTCATGTTGCCATTTTAATTGTTTCTAACAAACCAAACAGCTTGAAAATCATGTGCAACATAAGTTATGTTGAATCGAAAGAGCGTTTCTGCCTCTTCAACTGATGTAAAATTGCTGGGCCAACTTTGTAATGTGTACTTGGTCTCACTCACAGTGAGTATGTTCGCCAAGCTGATACACACAAGCACATCCACAAAGACTGTCACTTAGACAAAGAAGATAGGCTGTCATACAAGGAATTGAAATTTAGATTGTGGTCTTAGCCTTGTCAACTTGCACAGAGTGACTCAAAAGTTAGTCCTTACACACACATAGCTATGAAACAACTGTGCTGCACAATTAAGTCTTTTTTTTTTCCTTAAAGAAGATCTGCTACATCAATATGTCCAAGCATACAGACTCATAACAACGTTATTGGGGTATGTAATGAACAAAACCGTTTGTAAATCTGTCAAGATTTCAGTGAGTCTTCAGTGAGTATTTTTGATCATGCAAATTACTCATCTTCCATCAGTTACCATACAATGTACCAGATGGTATAGTGAAGTGAGATGATCGCCGTGTATGGACGCCAGTGACTCTGCCTCGATTCATCTAGCCTTTCTTATATGTCTATGGAAATGTGTACATGCTGTTCCGGTTTAAATGGGTTAAAGGACTGTGATTGGTCTGGTCTGTATGAGGGGGGAGGGAAATTGTTCAGAATGAACAAAAACAAGACAACTTCTACCAGATTCAAACAAAATGAATCTCAAATGAAATCAGACTAGAGCACATCTTAAATCAAAGAAATCAAATGAAACTCCTACATTAACTGTCTGTATTTAACTTAACTGAATAATACTCCAAACAAATAAATCAGGAAATATTACAGTGTACTATAACTGGAACTAAAGACTATAACTTTGACTCTTGTGAATTGTAACTCAGTGATAACACAAACAAACCCAGGATAACACGTAATATGTAAATGAATATTTAAGTGGCAAGTAATTAATACATAGTCTTACCCACTTTGTTATAAGTAGGTCCAGACCATCTTGCCAGCCCCCCCAAAAAAGGGAAAACAAAAAAGCTGGCTGATGGTCATAAAGGACAAAACGATGGGCACGTCCTTTGTGGTCCAACCTTCCCTAAGAACTGTTGTGTGATATTTCAAACTAGATGACAGACTCTCAAGAGGCCGAGGAGTATGCTTGAAGTGTTAGTATTAGTATTGAACCAAATCAGCCAAACAATTGTGCAAAATGGTAAAGGGGGTCCATAGTACCTCAAATAATCTTTGAAATGAGATGTTAAGTTATGTGACATTAGTCATGCAAGTTGGTTAACCAATCTTAGCTATTTATCTGTTGCTGGGTGACAGCATAAGGTTTTATGATGCCAGGGTTCGGCAGAACAGCTGGTGAGACAAACAGGAAATCCTGTTTTTAGCTTAGTCTTAGCAGTCTACACTGGCAACAACGGCCTAACTCTTCAATGGATGCAGCCCTTGAACTGGGACACAGTTACAAAGACAACTTCATCACATGGAGCCATACAGTAAATCCTGCAGACCCTGGCCTGGCTATTTGACCCTCTTTTCCAACAGCAACACTGACTCAAAGGGAGAAATAATCATGTCTGTGAAGGTGTTTCAGGTTGACAGAATCCCACTGGAGGGGAAAACACTCCCACGGTCTTATTACTGCAGGTCAAGTGAGACTTACACACAGAGAAGAACATGAAAAAACAGACACAGAGTTAAGACAAGAATCAGTTACAGTGCAAGATAATATTGCACAGTTGGAACCATATGGTTTCAGTCCTGTAATGCCGCGTGTTCATGCAATACTACAAAAAACTACAGGATTTATCAATGAAGAACAGTCATGTGTTTTCATTACACAGAGGCTGACAGAAATTAAGATGAGCAAGAACTAAAACATGGGTGCATGATTGTTTTTACAGATTATAGCTAGGAAAACCAAGGATTAGCCTGTTCACATTACACCTGTAATACGTTTCTTGCTCTGTGCAGTTCTCTTGCGTCACTGGAATCTTACCTTTCCAGGTAACTCAAGGGAGCCATGACACGTCAAACAGGCAACAAGTAATCTGTCTCAGAGAGACTCACAGTACAGCTACTGCTCTCTTTTTACACTGGTCTGTGCTTGTATGTCAGCGTTATACTTGAAAAGGGTTTCTAAAGTTTTGGATTGATTCATTGGTAATTGTAAAAAGTGCAACCGGAGTAGCCATGGCAACAAGACAGTCTGTATTATCTGAAGAAAGTTTGTGTGTTTTCTAGGGGAAAAAGAAAATCACTCAGTCACTAAAGCAGTTGGTTGGTGGTGTTGGTGCTGCATTCAAACACACACAAACAAGCGTGAATACTAAACAAGAAAGTTCCTGTGAGAACAAGGAAATGATCAGGAAGTCAGTCTGACTTCTCATCCTGACTGAAAGAAACACCTGCGGCTTATTTTAACCCTGAAAAGTACAGTAAACCATTTTTTTTCAAACAATGTATGACTAAACTTGCGTTGTCTACTTTTACTTCTTACATTTTCTATCAGGATACTGTGAGCAATTTACAAGGGAGAGCTTCTGCTGATGTTCTTTGACTCCAAAGCTTTATGAAAATTAAGAAAATACTCTTTCTCTTTCTCCATCATGTTACAGAGTATAAATCTACCCTTCTAACTTCTTTTAACATGACATTACAAAAGAATTGCAATGCCTTGGTTTACGTACCTTCAGGTGACATTGCTTTCTAGAGTCAGCTATAAATCAAACACGGCCTAAAATGCTAGATGCATAATGAAGTAAAAGAAAAGAAAAGCTATTTATGAGACAAAAATCTGGAATGTCTTCGAAATAAGCAGAACTGCATCAAGATAGGATCTGTTTGCGTGCTTCTCTGCCTCTCATTTCAGTGCTGTGGTGCTAAAAATAGGCAAGAGACAAACTTCTGGTTTCTGTAATAGCATATTCGTTTCACAACCATCATCCTCTTTCTGCGAGCCTTTTGCAGCAACACGCTTAAGCACACACACTCACACGCACAGTCTTCACTTATGCACGCGCGCGCACACACACACACACACACACACACACACACACACACACACACACACACACACACACACAGAGTGATAGAAACAGTGACTTCCTGTTTCTAAAGTTAGTCTAAACCATAACATCCTCTTAGTTCATTTAGAAGAAAAAGCTGCTATTTTGGTTGAAGGCCTCGTTGGCTCATTGTTGCAGTTTGAGAGTTACAGATGTCTTTCAGCAGTATTCTTTTTCACAATGTGACTCTAAAATATGACTTGTTTATTGTTGGGCTGGAGTGACTCTACAGTGGTATTGGATGGAGTTCAGTCTGGAAGTCACACATTGGGGTTAAGTGCTAGTTACTATTTGTATACATCAACACAAGCTACAGGCAAGAGGTCCGTGTCTGGTTAGATGAACAATAAAGTAAAAAGAGCAGAAGTTCAGAGAAAATATAGAAATAATGACCAACTGCATGCAGTTACTCAACTTCTGTTTACAGTTTTAATGGCAAAGATTCATTAAGTTACAAAAACTGAACAACAGTAATTCAGCCATGACCCTACCATCTGAATGTTGCAGCTGAAATCGAGACTCTGCAGACAAGTCAACTTTTTCCAGTCTTATATTGTCCAATTTTGGTGAGCCTGTGTGAACTGTACACAGGTTCTTAACCTACAGAAGGGGCACCGGGTGTGGTTACCTGCCGCTGTAGCACGTTCTGTTTTTTTAAGGTTCGACGTGTTGTGTCTTCAGAGATGGTATTCTAAAATACCTCAGCTATAACAGGTGGTTATTTGGTTTGCTGCCTTTCTATCACCGTTCAGTCTGCCCATTCTACTCTAAACTAACAATGACATGGCATTTTCATCACACAACTGCCACACACTAACTATTTCCTCTTTATCCAGATCGTTGTGTGTGAAAATCCCAGTAGATCAACAGTTTCTGAAATACTCAGAGCAGCCTTTCTGGCACCAGCACCCATGCCACGTTCAAAGTCACTTAAATTCCATTTCTTCTCCATTCTGATGCTCACTTTGAACTTTAGCAAATTATCTTGACCATGTTTACACGATTAGCTATTTATGTAAACAACCAATTGAACAAGTGTACTTAATAAAGTGGCCGGTGAGCGTATGTCTTAGTACCTCCCTATATCTCTATCATAATAGCTTCCATGGTAGACTTTAAGTATATTTTAAGACTGTTAAGTATGTTTTTAAGACTGTTTATTATGTGCATTTTTATGGGGTGATATATTGCTTATGGGGACTTAAGTTATATACACAATTACCCCATTAGCCAGTTTAAATGAACCAGTAACAGATATTTCCTCTGCAAATTACAAGTATGTAAATCAGAACCAGCAAAGAAATTAAAACTGAATTGACTAAAAAGACGCCGATTAACCATGAACTGTTGACAAACAACTCTAAAAGAAGTTTCTTTTTTTCCCCCTTGTTCCACAGTAAAAGCACACTAGCCAAATCAAGATATTCTCAAAACCAGGCATGCTTTTTCCAGTCCTGAGGGCCACTTAAGGCAGCACAGATGATGGTTGCTGATGGCAGCTCTAAATTCTGGTCAGCGCTAAAAATACTTTCCAATTTATCTGAATGTGATAAGATTCTGCATTTTATACAGCTGTGGGAGGTAAAAAAATAAAAATCATTTTGGGAACCCTGGTTTAGGCTGTATCACGAGTGGGAATCGATGTTAATTTCCCTTTTTAGATTAAAATAAAAAAATCAGTTCAATTCTGATGTAGAGCTGAAGCCACCCCCCTCCTATTAATTCTGTCCTGTAAATTCACAATCAAGCTAACTCTATATTAGCAGCAGACTGTTAGAGCTTCTCCAACATGCTGTCCACCTTCAGCAATCCCCCCCAGCCTACCACCTATCCCTCGCCCTCTCCTCCGTCCCTCCCCCATCCTTACATTAGGAGGAATCCACAGCTGTTGGGGACATTCTGTCCCTCTGCTTCTGAGCAGCTGGAGTATCATTCTCCTAATGTGTGCATCCATATGTGTGTGTGTGTGTGTGTTGTGTGGGTCCATCCAAAGTGCGCCAAGATATTAATAGCTTGCAGTTGTTTCCTTTGAGTGTACACAGCAGGTCTTTGTGTTTGCATAAGTAGGATCTTCCTTTACGACAGTTGAGGGTGCATGTACACGTGTGTCAGTGTGTCAGTGCTGGCGTGTGTTGGTGCCAATATATTAATAGTGCCCATTTGTTTCCTTTAGAGGAACACTGTGGTTCTTTGTGCAAGTTCCAGTGTGTGCAACCATGGCAGTTTATTTTTAGAGTCACCTGTCAGTGAACACTTGTGTTATTGTATGTAATCATGCAAGTGCACACATGTTGATGACAGTGAGTTTGTTCTATGCTGTTTCTTGACATATTAATAGCAAAGTAGCACTTGTTCTTTAGTGTGAGCCATATGTTTGCTTATGAGTATATTAATAGTATTCCCAAATGCCCACGCATGCCTCTGTATGTGTATGGCGTGTGTGCAAGTTCCTGTCAATAACTCCAGCCTTATATATATCAGCCCGACAGCAGATGGATGAAGATAAGGTTCACTTCTAACTGTGTGCTGTTGATTTTGGCTTATTGACAGTTTATGCAGCCTTCTGTTGGCTGACAGGTGAACACTTATTGAAATAAATGACTATTCAATAAGCAAGAAATCATTTTTGACCTATGTAATTTGTCCTGATTCAAGTTAAGTATAAATTTGTTTGCATGAAGCTTTGATAAAACTTTGAGTTTTAATCAAATGTAATATAAACAATGAATTGTTCTTCATATCTGATTATCACAACAAAATGGTTGATTCTTTGTTGACATATTCAATGGTTGCAAAAACTTTTTCCCCCTTTTGAGTTACTTCTTAAAAAGAAAATGTGATGAACTGAAAAACATTTTTTCAATGGCAAGAAGTGTCAAATACATTTTTCCAAAAGGCTATTTTGTGACTTTTAATCACTAGCTTTTAATGCCTTATGGCCCAAACATGACAGTGTCAACTTTAGGCTGACTGCAGAAGACAAAGGATCCCTGCTAGTGCCCATGTTAACTTGCCTAAAATCAGCAAATATGAGATTTTCTCATCATCTAGTCTGTTCTTTTTCTCTGTCAAAGTCCTCAGCACTGTTTTTTGTACTGTCCCTGCCACCCTTTTCAACCATAAGGTCAAAAGTCAAAGAGTTATAAGACTCCTCTTGATGATGTATCCCCGGGGCAGCGCGGGAATAAGACGAGGGGGTCACTTGCTCACTGAGTGAGGAGTTGAGTGTACATGAGAAAGTATCACAAGCTACTATGCCCTTTACTGTGATCACCAGCTTCAACAAGCCAAACAGACTGACAATTGTTGAAATGATTTTTTTTCTCCTAAGAGATTCAAAAGGTCAATTTTTTGGAGGGTAAAAACAGAGCTAAATTTGGCATAAGGATCAGTCATAAGGTCTGCATGAGACTGAAACTCTGTCTTGCCTGAGGAAACACAATGTGTATTACCGTAAATATATCAACAAAGATACTTTCATAACTTGGCAGGTGCTTGTTGTTTATAGGCGAGTGGTGACACAGTGCACTGGTACAAAAACACACCCTCAGACAGACATACCTCACACAAATTTTCACCTCAACGTTGCCCTCAATTATGCAAACCAGAGCTTGGGAGCTGCTGTTTGTCCTGATTGGTGCTCCAGCTGACTTCTTTTATGTAACTCAAAAGTTCACTGATGATGATGATGATGATGATGATGATGATGATGATGATGATGCACTGCTGTATTAGTGCATCAGTTCAGGGATGTGTTTACCTCATTTCCTTCTACAAACATCCACCCCTGCACCGCGATCCTTCAATAACCAGATGTTACCTTCAGTAATGGGGCCGCCACACACCCACCGATCACCATGCAAATATGAAAATTGTTTTTTAATCATGTAAAAACCCAGTGCCTGTCATTGATATAATTTGACTGGAAGTGCCTGTTTAAAACCCACTTCCTACTGTAAGTGGCACAGCTGCTTTAACTTTTTGTTTTTGAACACAGAGGGGGTGTGTGCTGCTAATACTCCCTTGTAATCAGTAAGATAAAGGTTACTGTCATCTGGTACAACCTTGTTTTTCTGTTGGATTTGATTCAGTTGCTTTCTTTGTTTAAACTTGCTGGATTTTCACAATACCTGTAAATCTCTGCTCTCTGCTCCACAGACACAAAAACACACATACTCTCCCATGATTCACAAATAGAGTGATGGGTCTGCTGCTGTTTTTCTTTTTTTTTTTTTTTTTGAGGGGGCAGAGTGTATCAGTAGTCAGCTGAGTTGATCTTAAATCAGGAACAGGAAATGTGATCCGGGGCTCAGGCCAGTCCAGAACACTGTCTCTATTGTCAGCGCACTGCTGTGGCTCACACTGGGAAAACACTGAGGACTTTTAAAGGTTATCTGTCCTGGGAAAGGTTTATGTTCGCTTCCACAACTGGCCTACAGCACACTGATATGACCAAAATGGATAAATAATAACCTCATAGCTTAATATGACTTTTTTTTTAATATGACATGAAGTAGATGGATGGATCAATAAAGAAGACACAGATCTTCCCTACAAGTGCTTACTCAGTTGAATACACAAGCAATATATGATTAATCCACTAGTGGTGGATTAATCATCACCATTCCAAAAAAATAAAGTTATCTATTGTCTTTTTTTTGTTTTTACTTTGTAAAGTACTTAAGTCAACACTGGTTATTTATAAATGTGTTACATAAATAAAGATTGACTTGACTTAGCACATCTTCTTCATCCATGCAGTATTAAAAGATAACAAAATTAAAGTTTTACATTCAGCGTTCACCACCTTGCACCGGTTTCATTAAAAAAGTTAAAATATAAAAAAATTGTTAACCTTGTTGCTAGTGGCATTTTTTTTCCGCTTTGGTATATCATAAAAAAATGTATCAATGGGAATTTCAATTGATTACATATAAAAGAATTCCTCACATGAGCTTTAACTTTTTATTTTTCACCACTGAGAGGACGTGATAAAAATCTGATTACACCATGGGTACGAAGTATTTATGATGAGCATAGTAATTCATTGATATGTTGTGATGTTAAAGCTCCTGTGAGGAACTCTAATGTGTCAATTTTAGTGCCCTGAGTAGACAGAAGGGTACATCTTATCTAGTAGTTGATTTGAGCCTTTTAAACTGGAGATCTCATCTTTAACCTAATGAGACCATTAAAGACAAGACTTGAAATATTTAAAAATAAATAAATAAAAACAACAGGAGAATTTTTTGTCAATCAACACCAGTTTTGCAAGGATGAAACTAAATTAACAACAACATATAAGTTACCACTTTGTCCATAGGGGGCAGCAAGTCAACACAGACAGAAAGTTCCTGACTGCAGCTTTAAAGGCATCCATCATTTAGCATCTTTTAGCAAAATAAAAAGTTCAGAAGACTGTTTTTTTCTTTGGCAACTATCCCCAGTTGTGTAGTGGCTGTGAGCAAGTAAAAATATTTTCACCAGTCTCAGTCAGTCTTGGTACTGATGGTCTTGTTTGCCTTTATGGCTCCTAAATAGGCATTGGTATTCAGTCTGATACATAACTAGCTAAAAACTCTTTCCAGGAGTTTGAGGTGAGGTGATAAAATGATACTTAGTACAGCTTCAGCCCCATCCCATATAATACTTTATTACCTCGTATTTTGGGTCTTGGACTAGTGGTCTGATTGGACAGTTTATTCTGATAATGTGACTTAGACTCAGTTGCTAATCCCTGATATTTAATAACCAAAATATCAGCTTATTTATTTACTTTTGTTGAACTTATAAGCCTGTTTACTTTATACTTCTTGTACTGGGAAAATTTGTTGTACAAAATAAATAATAATGCAGATTTATCAGGACTTGTATTTTAAATAAAAAAACATACTGATCCAAGGGTGCTGTGGATTTATGACCTAAATGCTTTAAGAAATTGGAGAAATATACCAAAATATTGGTAAATAGATCCAGGAGGATTTGTTTTGGCCTTTACTTTTGAAGGCTTGGAAAAGTCAATCATAACAGCATCCCTGTATTTGTTTCACTGCAGCTTCAGCTCCAGTGCATTTCCTGTATTCTTAGGAGAGGCTGCACATTCAAACTATTTTTTTACAGAGGGTAGGTTAGCTACAGAGAATCCCTGTTTCATACCTAGAGAGATAGTTAAAAAAAAACAGTCTGCAATTGTGTCATTGTGTGAGAATTATATAAGTTACCAGCATTGCCTTACAACAAGTTAGACAGGAGTGTGACTCACAGCTGATCTGAGAGGGAAAGAAGAGACTTGTGTTGACATCAAGCTGTCTGGTTGTAAAAGAATGTGGACAAACCCCACACTCAACACAATTTCATCAGCTCTAGTGTAAGAGGAATGATTTAGTCTTTACTCTGAAATGATTGTTGATAAGTGTCTCTTTGACTTCAGTGAAAGTGGACACTGGGTATCACAAGTCTTAATCCAGTGATAAACTTTTTTAAACTCACGCACAGATGCTTGTCATGAGTTTACAGTATACTTAAAGGCAACCATGAATGCATTGCATACAGGTGAACATTTATTCAGCTAAAGCATAAATGAACAGCCCTGGAAACCTGGCATGATGTGATCAAAATGTTAAGGAGTGACAGTGAGATTTAAAGGGCAAAGGAAAGCGGGCTGTACAGTATAGGTGGTGTTAATTCCTCTGGCATGGCCCACATGAAACTAATGTAACTGTATCTGCTACAGCACCAAGGCTATGATCTCATCAGGGACCTGGACACATGAGAACATTACTCCACGCATGGCTGCCTTTTGTACATGTGTGTTTGCATGTTTTCATTTTGTGAGGACTCAAGGAGCTTGGGTGGGATCTAACATTTTGAGGGGATGTCTATCACAATACAAACACCAACCCACCCCACGATCCATCAAACAACCAAACATTTGTTGCCTGGTGGTGAATGAGTCAAACTTTTGAGTGGCGTTATGGGTAGAAATCCATCCTGAAGGAAAGTCTACACCAGCACTCACAATGGAGCCTTAATACCATAATTACACAATTATTTGCACTATTTAACACTTTCAAATGGTCATGTTACTTGTCAAATTAGGATAATTACCAAGACCCTTAGGTTTCACATTGCCAATATGAAGGCAGGTGATGACATACACATTGATTCTTACTATAGTCTGGGTCATAACCTTCACATGCTCACTGTCTGATTCAGGAAACTATTACAGCTCTTTTTTTAGTAACATAGTACTTTGAATCGACTTAGGAAAGCAGCTCTCTGCTACTGAAAATCTCAGAAAGGTGCCATTCAACACCTGCTCAGTTTGGATGCTAGCCAGAAAAATTAAATAACAGTGTCTGGTATGCAGCTGAGATCTGGTTCTCTTTTGTTACCATAAAGCAAGGATACTTTAAGGACAGTGTTATCAAAACAGCTGACACGAGTCGATGTTAACAAGAAAGTACCAACTGAGATTATTGGAAGCCTGCTAACAATCACACATTTAAAGTCACCAAAGAGACATCGCTTACCTTCTCAAGGTATCTGCAGTTCAAAAGCGAAGCTCTTTCTACCTGCTTGTAACCAGGTTTGAGTTACAACAAGCAAGGCAAGAGAAAAGAAATGAAGAATAAAAACTTGGTCCGGCTGTCTGCTTTTTTCATCCTCACTCCTTTTGTCGAAACTTCAGTATTTGCGTTGGTTTATAAATTGCTCTTTTGCGGTAAAAATCAAAAACGTCGCTCTCATCCGACGGCACGCGCGTCTATGATAGCTGTGTAAACTGTGTAAAAGTCCTATTAGCAAGTTCTCGCTAATTATGTAAGAGAAGGCACCGACACCGAGAGCAGCTTTTCCTTATCTGTCTCCTCCTCTCTGAAGCTGACTGTCGGTAGTGAAACCGCTGATAAAACCTGCTGTGACACTCTCTCACATCCGTGTGTGTTTACGGCCGGTGTGAGGGCTCCATCTGCTGAACTCCACAGGGTAAAGGAGACAGTTTGAAAGTGTGTTTGTGGGGCAACATGTCTACCCCCGAAATTGGGAACTTTGACACTCAAGTAAATAGCAGAATTGGGGTCCTTTCCTTTTAGGGTACATTAACTGTCATACTTTTTACCATGTTTAACCCACATGATGCCTAAATCAGAGGTTAATTCAGCCTATTTAAGATCTTCATTTCAGCCAACAGGAGACCTGCAGGTGTGTCAGTGTCTTAGCGCAGCACTGCCCCTGTAGGCTGGAGCTGACAGTTGCATGCCTCAATAATGCACAATTGCCCCTTTATTGCCTTTTGTATAATATTTGATACATACTTTTATATACTTCTATCAAATCAATATGATCAACAAATTACTAAAAACACCTGAATACCAAATAATAATATTCAAAAAACTTGTTTAAAAACCCGTAGTGACCAAGCTTTCTTGGCTGTGGCTCCCAAATTATGGAACACACAGATTAAAACATCGCCCACTCTTTCTACTTTTAAATCACATCTTTAAACTCATTTTTATTTCTTGGCTTTTAGCTCAGCATGAGAGTTGTGTGATCTCTGTCCTTTTATGCTTTTGTGTTTTTATGTCATTTATTTCATTTAATTTTTTAATGTTTTTTACCTGCTGTTATTCATGTCATCTTGATGTTTTCTGCAGTGTTTGTTCTTTTAATTTTATTGTGCAGCACTTCGGTAAACTTAAATGTTTTTTTAAATGTGCTATATAAATAAAGTGGATTGGATTGGATTGAATACAGGCCAATAAATGATAAAAAAAGTTCCTCTTGTAGTTTATCAAAAAACATCTAATGTATCAAACGAGATAAATAAATATATTTTTTAAATTTTAAGGACATTTGAAATTTTTTGGTTTTCAGTAGTAAGTGAAATAAACATTTCAGCTTTTCAGCATTTTCTGGCCATAATTTGTAGTGTCAGGCATTAAAAGGCTACTTTGCATCTTTCCTGTTGGACTGGCAACCAAGGACATGCTATCATAACACAGGATCAGAAACCTTACACACAATCCCTTTACGTAGTCCAGTGTGCCAAGTTTTAAATCACCAGGTTTCTGAGGCAAATGTTGAGAATGACTAAGATAACATGAAATGATTACTAAAAAATGCTTTAAAATGGTAATGATGTAAAAGTGTAAAGGATGTAAAGATAAGTAAGCCTAACTCCACCCCAAAAGGGGTTAAAACAAAAGTTATATCTCAAAACTAATTGAGATAGCATGTATTTGAAAAGTATTGTGATTTAGCAATGAAAATTAATGATATTGGTGTGTCAATTCATTGATTTTGTTGAAGTAAATCAATCTGGTATTTCTTATATTTAATTTTTAAGTTTGTATTACAAAGAATTTACAGAGCATAGCCATCATATCCTGTTGCCTAACATGAAGCTTTTCTTATGGCATAGTATGAGATACTTTTGTTTAGTATGTTGACCCTTTCCTGATTTTACCATAATATAACCAACTTGTGAAACAGTTGGCAAATATCCACAGAGGCAAATAGCACTGAAGTTCTGGTTACACCAGCATGCATTACCGCAAACTCAGACACAAAACTTTACTGTGCCATTCTTACAAGTTCTCACCCAAACTCATCTCTAATGGTTTTCTTATTTTCTTGTGGCCAAATCTGACCTCTGCCAATGAATGAAAGAATGGACAGCATCATCATACCCATGAAGACACACAAATGTAGGACAAACCAACCAGTGTGAGACTGCAGGCTAAGATAGAACTTGATTTTATGTGACCCAGACTTGTTCCAGTCATGTGCGGGGAGTCAATTGTTTGTTGTTGTGTTAAATTGTGTCCCTACGGGGAAAAATCATAGCATGAGTGAAGAAAAAAAAAAGAGTATCTTCATTCAACAACACTCTTCTGAATTCAGCAACAGTATGTCTTTACCCCGTGAACTTGGCGGGACATGACAGTCCAACCCTGAGTCACAAGGCTGACTGTGGTCTGAATAAGTGAAATAAGTACAAGCAAATGAAATGTCACTAAACTTGTCCTTTTAAAATCCCCCCCATTGTAACTTCTAGGTTTCACAGGATATTTGGATCTATTTGTTTGCGTTTCAGCCCACCTGTCCATGTGTTTGGTCAACTAAACCATAAAAGAGGGACAGTCATTGGCCCACAGAGTAAAATCATCCCATACCTAAATCCCAATGAGACTCTGAGTGAGATACTGTGGAGAAGTCAAGCCGCACATATGGAGTACGGAGATTCAGCTTTACACAGAATAACCAAAATGATTTTGAAATAAAGCCAAAGTGGTGCAGAGGGGAAAAGACACATATGGCACACATGGGTAGGACTCCAAGGTTGAGTTTTGTGGCCAGTAGGACTCACTCCTCTTCCAGTCACAGGAAGCCAGCAGGAATGAGAGGAATGCAGTCAGGCAATACGGTGATGGAGGGAGCAGCAGTTGCAGGGCAGATTGCCAAAAAGTGAAAGAAACAGTGAGAGTCAGAGTAAAGATAGGAAGAGTTAAAAAGTGATTAGAGAGTGAAGAAAACTGGGGCATGGATAACTACTATGCAAATAAGACAAGAGCCATTGCATGGCCTGTCATTACATTTGTAGTTGCATGTGCACGTCTTTACTCTGATGTTATCAATTTTATGCAGATGACGTGCATGATGTCAGAGAGGTCAGTGCTATTAATTAATTATGGGATAAAGTTTTCCTGAAAACTGGTTAAAGCTGATGGTCTCAGCTTCCATCAGGGGGGTTGCCATACCTTACGGACTCAAAATGCATCCAAAAACACAGATTCACACTTACAGAATAACTGCCATCTACAGTATTCTTAATGTGAACTTCCACTTTTTATGCCTATTTCTTTAAAGGGACTGTGAAGAGCCATCATGTTGAGTTGATTCTGTTGTCTCCATTAAACAAGATGAAAAAAGGGTTGTGATTGCACCATCATTCACTGTCAAGAAGATGTTGCTTTTGTCAAAGCCTTTGTTCTGAAATACACAGATGTCCTTTTTGATACTCATTGTCTTTGTCAAAGTGGCTTTTGTTGGATGCAGAATGATAAAGTGATATTTAGGTTATATATCTGCAAAATTAACATCTGCGATGTAACAGCCACAAAACTTTGAATTATTAATACATCAGATTTCATATAGCACTTTATCAGAGACCCTCAAAGCGCTTTACATTGGATACATCATTCATTCACTCACACAGTCAAATCTCAGTGGTGGTAAACTACCTTAGTAGTCACAGCTGCCCTGGGGCAGATTGACGGAAACGTGCCTGCCAGTGTGCGCCTACGGCCTCTCTGACCACCACCACACAACACTCACATTCATATACCGGTGGAGGACACACACTGGGAGCAAGGTGGGTTAAGTGTCTTGCCCAAGGACACAACAGACAGACTAGGAACAGGACGGGGCTCGAACCACCAACCTTTCAGTTATTGGCCGACTGCTCTACCTCCTGAGCTACTGCCGCCACACATTACTTTATTACCAAAAAGGTGACCAGATATACTGGTTTGACGTTACCTGTCACAGCCCAGTGTTGTGATTTGTGGCCTAATAGATGTCCCTAAATACCCTAAATATTCTCAAGTTTTAACGCATTCTCCCCCATAAGCAGGGAAACAGTCACAGCCTGACATAAGCATTAAATCCTGTTCAAAACCATTTCACACTTTTGCCAATTGGAAACTAGTTGTAGAGTTAGTCTAAAATTATAGATTAACAGAAAATGTTGGCGTTTTGTACATTCTCCTCCAGTATCAGCCATGAGTACAAACATTGTGTTAAAAAAATGTTCTGTAATGTTAACAGGCAACAAATTACAGAAGACAGGTAGCCACAGAGTTGCCACAGTAACCTAAAGATGAGTTATAAGATATGATCAAGCAGTTAGCAGCTCTAGCTTTTTCAAGCATAAGGACTCAAACTTGCCCATTAAAATACCCAATGATAAAAAGCAGACAAAGTTACATTTGACAATAGCTGGTGAATGAGATGAGGCACACAGCAACTTAAGAGTGAGATACCTACATCTTCTTTAACTGCTCGTAAGTGGCCAAACCATCCATGAATGCCTCTACATATCAAAAAATAACACACTGCAGGAAAGAAAGAATAATATAGTAGAAGTAAAGACGAGATTATTGCTATGTTGCAAAGATAAAAAATACTTGTTGTTCTTAACACACGTCTACAGCGTGTATCAAAGACATTTCCACATGTTCAGGTTAGACCCACTCAGTTCTAACTAGCATCTCTGCGGCAGCTTTGAACTGAGTAGATGCTGGAGGCTTCTCAGAGCGCTAGGTAGCCTCTAAAACCTTTTCCACTGTCGAGAACAAAGAGTCAACCCACAGCAAGATAGATGGCACCCAGCACTCGCGTGGTTTTTCTAAAACCCGACAGTGATGGTGGAATAAGTTATTTTACGACGCCTTCTCACTCCTGTATATATGTGGTGGAAAAAAGTCAAAACATAGCAATAGGAATAGTTAGTGAACCTTCTTAAAGGTTTCTCACATCATCTTTTTTAAGCACTACACGTTAAAATCTGTGGCCTGATATTCATTCTGAAAAAAATGTATGTCTGATGTGCATAGGGATAGATTTTACAGACTATATGCAGCAACACAAACATTTTCTTGGTTCAGTTAATTAATTCTGACAGTCAACATATAACCAAATAGAAACACTAATGTATTTGTCACTCCATTGAGAATTTCTTTTTTTACCCCGGAGTTGAATTGTAAAGTTGACCCCGTCTATAGTGGTTGATAGTTAGGGTTATGTGTCAGTATTTCAGCTGGTGTCCGAATAACGGGGCAGAGCTGACCAGCATCTCCTACAAGTGTCACACTGTTGACAAGTCCCCCTCTTAAAAAAAAAACATACTGTCTTTTACAGAGAAATAAAAAATCATTAAGGCAGGAAAAAGTTCCATCCATTTCATTTATCTATGTTAGGGTTTCTAAGTTTCTAAGATAAGATAAAATATGCCTTTATTCGTCCCACAAGGGGAAATTCCAAAACAATTTTAGTTTCCCAGTTTCTAGTTTCCATAAGAAAAATAATGATTCTTGAAAGATTTTTTTCAATCCTTAGACAAATTTTAACCACTAAAAAGGCTCCAGTGTATGAAACTGGAACAAAACAGATCACCACTCTTTCATTGCCCTCACTTGGCTTGATTTAGAAACTCGTGACATGACTCGCTCACTGAAATGTAGTCTGATTCACAGTTCCCAGGAGAGGGAGAGTCCCAGAGGCCCACTTCCAGCTGACTGTGGCCTCATAACCTGCTACCTCTGGACCTTTACAAAGATAACAAACCCATGTTGAATGATTTATCACTATGACATAAATGATCCCGGCCAGGTTTGTCAGGGGTTTTAACACACTTTGACCAGTTGACTGATGATTCTCAGCATCACACAGGACTGTTCTTTTGAACCACTAAGTTTACTGTCACGCGAGAATACAAATGAAAAAAAAAATCACATTTGAGAAAGCAGAAAATTGTGATCTTACGCTGGAAACTTGTCACAGTTTAGCTCGGAAATCCATTACCTTTGCTTAATTTAATATAATAAATGCATTTTCTTTTTGCCACATGCTTTAGCCCTTACAATAAAACTTTGGAAAATTTAGGTTTCTTTAGATTTTAAGTGAAACTAATTTCACATGGGAATCGACTCAGAATCAATCAAGAAATTAGTTGCAATTGGGTATCAAAAAAGAAACAGTAATTGCCGTTGGGGGCATGATCAACATCATAATTAACTTTCCTACAAGAATTGCAATCTTCTACCTCAGACACTTGTTCTGCTATCGTCCTCTCCACTTCTTGGGGTCTGGCCTGCAGAGTGGTGCCCTGTGAGCAGAGCATGGAGTTGTGACATAGAAAATCCTACTTTGTCTGAACCTACCATTTGGATCTGTTAGAAGTCTACAGCGATTTGAAAGAAGGAATACTCAGAAATGCAATTTTGCACTTTGTTTTCTCATATGTCCTCTAGCATTAGAAAAATTCTAGACCCTAACCCTAACCCCAGCATTAGAAAAATGCCGTATGAACATATAGACAACAAGAAAAACATGATTTCATGGTATTGGGTCTTTAACTACTAAACTGTGCACACCAAAGCCATATAATCAATCAATCAATCCATTTTAATTTCTAGAGCACCCAATCACAACAATTGTTATCCCAAGACACTTTCTAGAAGAGCAGGTCTAGACCTGACTCATTGTTTGATGTATTACCGAGACCCAACCTCAAGATGGGAAAAGATTTATCTCGAACCAATACGAGTGATGCACTTTACAGTATATTGCAAGTTATGGTGGCAAGAAAAAACTTCCCTTTATCAGACAGAAACCTTGAGCAGAACCAGACTCATATTAGACAGCTACCTGCCGCCACTGGTAAGAGTTCATTTACAGCACTAGGGTACCCTCACTAGGCTGTATCCTTGACAGTCTTATTAGACATACCTGAGGTGAGTTGCAGCACTGTGTATAGTTTGAGGTGACTGTGATTTCAAGTGCTGCTATGTCCATATAGCAACATCATACGCTTTGACGGTAAAATATCACTTGAAGTCCCTTTATATGGGTTTCCCTGCAGATTATGGCTGCAGTGAAGTACAATTACACAGCTTCAAATTACACTTTTGACCCCGATATTTTCTGCAGCAGAGTTACAGTCTGACCTATAGCCTGTCAATCCACAGGGACTGGTTCCAAAATGCACTTTAGGGTAATAAAAAAGGATTCAAACAAGTAAAAGTTAAAACCATTATCTCATCTAATGCTGCAGGTTTATGTGTGGTGCACAAAAACAAAAAAGCAGGGGAGGTATGAAACCTGTCAAACATTAGACTATGTTAACTTGATAACTTCTGCAAACCAACTCCCTATGTAGTTGTAATGTTTTTTAGGGAGAGCTGATGAAATGTCCAGAGTATAAATATACGTTTGAGGTCTTAAACTGTATGCATAAGCAAGGCTTGACAACTCCCGCTTGTCATCAGTTTTTATTCTTACTTGTACAATCCCTGGTTATTCGGTTACTTAGCACTAACAGCAACTCAATCATCCTTCACTGTTTAAACCACATCTCTTTTCACACTTTATTGGATAAATTTTAACAGCTCTGTCTCCCTGTGCTCCCTTCCCTCGGCACTGAAGATAGGAAGTGTTGTTGTGTGTCTCTGCTCTCTAATACATTTCATGGACAGACCAGCTCTCCTGGGTGGGTGGGTGGGTGGGTCTGTTTCCAATTTTCTCTCCTTTCCTGCACTCAGAGAAGACTCATCCTGAACAAAACAAATAAGCTAAAAGATGCTGTTTCTGTATCTCTTTTCAATCCAAATGATCCAAATTGTTCTAAAAGTACGAGCAACGATAACTGCTGCTCTCAATCCAGAGCAAACTTGAGTTTCTCACAGCTGAGTCCAAATAAAGCTGACCATCTGCCGGTTGTCACAGTGAAGATGAACCAGCTCACAACTGGACCAAAAATCTATCTTCTGTTTGTGAACACATCTGCAAAACTACCAGAACAGCTACAACCCTCTCCACACTCATGATACATATGACATCTGGCAATATTCAAGATGTGGAAGACACATTTCTGTACAGCTGTTTCACATTTTTTTCACAGATTGATATATTATATGCAAGTATGCAACATCTCCTACCAGTTTTGGCTTCTGACATCCAGTGAGAGGTCCTTGTGTGCTCCCACAGTGGTCCGTCCAGTCAATCACAGAGGCAGCAGACGAGCAGGCTGGAAAGAGAAGATAGATCCTGCTTTGACAGGGGAGTGGTGCTGCAGTGCTGGAACACGGCTGTGCTCTGACAGAGGGAGTCACAGTCAACTGCTTGATACCACAGACTCACTCTGACTTTTTTGTCTTCTGCTTCCTCTCATGTGAGCTCTCTCTCTCTCTCTCTCGCTCCCTCTCTCTCTTACTTAATCACTCCCCCTTATACCTTTTTTGTGAAGGGGACACAGTTGCTCTGCTCTATCAGATCCCTTTTACTTTCTGTCAGTGTGCTAGAGTCTTCAGGGATGTGGGGCAGTGGAGGAGTAAGGGAGGTTGCAGAGGTTGTGTGTATCTTTGTGAGCTGAGGAGACAGACAAAGAGAGGGACAGATTGCATAGTCCCTTGTGTCTGACAGACAATAGCAGGAAGTGCTGCTCTGGGTTGCACAAAACACGGAGGACCAAAATAAGAAATCTGTATTGTGCATTGCTATTATTAAAATACACATTCAAGTGGTGTTACATGTTGGTCAGTAAAGCAGGTCAGACAAAAAAAGTTCCTCAAACGTTGTTGTTGGTTTAACGGTGTCTTATCTCTCATTTAATGCTGTTATTTATATCAGTTTTGTTGAAAGTTTATTTAAAAGAAGCATACATATGCCGTCGCTTTTTTATTTATTGTTTTCCCCACTTCTGAGAAAACACAGAAATTGACTGGTAATCCACAAAAAGTGATATAAGTCACCCCAGTGATTACATCTAGCCTGAGCGAGTTTAATGAGAAAGATAACACAAAGTATCCGTGTCTAATAGTAATTTGCACAAGCATTTCACTGTGTTTCATAATTTGCAGCACTGCGATCTTATGTTTTGAATATGCTCATTCTTAACTTGTGTGTCATTGTAGCACACAGACACAGGTTAAACCCTTATGATATAACTGTACGTATTTTTTAAGGCACAGTAATTTTGGTAAGTAGACATTCCTTCTCAAAGTACCCGTGGAAAAGCAGTAGGTCCTCTGAAAATAAGTCATGATCTTTTAGGAAACACTGATTCAGACATTTCCGACTACAACATCAGAGAGTCGGGAGAGCTGGGCCTGTTTTCAGCACATTTGGATGCATCACAGTATTAAGTCATGGGGAGGATGAGGAGAACTTTTTTAACGGTAGCGGTTTGGTTTTAGAATTCGTACAGATTTATTGTTGCAATACATCAAGATACAGTTTTCTCGTAAGTACTGCAGCCTTTGAAAGACTTAGACAAATACCTTCATCATGAAACACTCATAAACTTTTCTGTTATGAGTCAGGACCCTGTATTTTAAAATTTATCAAAGAATCTGAAAAAGTGGCTGTGAGTCAAGAATATAAAAATAACTCATTGATTTGCTTTTTCTAAAACTGAAACATCATTTTACTTTCACTGTAAAAAAAAAAAAAGGAGTTTAAATCATCAGTTTAAACTATAGACTGTTTATACTATAGACAACTTGGTTCCACCTTCCGTCATTATTAAAATTTGATTTTATATTCTGTGTCATAAATTTCTAAAGTTTGTCCACAGCTCCATAGAGATTGCTGGAGGAGGCGAGATTTATGACCTATACTGCAACCTGTCACCAGAGGGTGCTGTTCTCAGGGTGGCTTCACCCAGCAAGGAGGCAGACGGCGTCTATTCTATGTACAGTCCATGGTTTAAACCTTAAAAATATTCAGCTAAATTCTTGTATGACCTACACAAACAAGTGTCAGTTCTAAAACTTTGCTAAAACACTTGCCAAAGCATGATCCATTTTTGTTTTATATATAACTGGTACGTAAATAGTCAAAGTTTAATTGGTCATTACTGGCATATTTTATTCTGCCCACACTTTTTTCATTTGAGTAACTACGAACCTTTCAGCAGACATAACAATGCTACAGACAGACATAACAAGTTGGTAGCAGACATCATGCTGCTAGATCAACACTCATCAGTCCTGTTAAGTTAAATTAACCTTTGTTGACTTCAGGGAGCAAACAGGCCTCAATTTTCTCCATCTGTGGGAGAGAAATGCATCTGAAAAAGGTCATCAACCCTCCTGACCTCAACGACCGTGTAGGGTTGCTCCTCCATCTACTGCACCAGCAGTGCTGGATTAGCTTTGTGGTTCAAATGTAACCTCATCCTTTGAGAAAACATACTGACCAAAGGAAACCTGTGTTTGGGGGTTACGACCCTTTGTCCTCGTAGCAAGTGGGAGAGGTTTGGAGCGAGGCATGCCCAGGTTTCAGTTTCTTCTAAAACAAACTTTTTGAGGAGGGGAATTATGATGCAAAAATGTCAAATCTGAAAACAACAAATGAATGGTTGTTGCTTTAATAATATTTTCCCAACAGAAAATTCAGTGGATAGATCTTCTGCCTCATTCTACCCAAGAATACCAGGAATCCATTTTTTTAATTTAATCTAATCGCCAGATCCAGAACTTCCCAGAATTTCCCTTTTTTTAATATGAGAGCATCTGATATAAAAGAAACAATCTGCCCAGTATTTACACATTTTTCAAGCCTGCATAATAAATCCACACCAGCTGGCGTTATCAATGGGAGTTTTGTATGCAAAGGGCTGTGGTTAAGTTGACACAAATAGCTAAACTGTTCCTTTTGGGACAAGAGGAAGAAGAAGAAAATGAGAGACAAACACACATACACACACACACAAAGACAACAGCACTAATAAGAAGAGGTTAGGAGTCCTTGAGGAATACAATGGGATCTGCATCATTTGGAAACATGAGCTGCACAGGCTGTAAAACATTCCTAAAGATCAGTGTGAGAGGAGGAGGAAAGAGGTCTGCTGTTATCAGCAAAAAAGGATAATACTGTGAATGTCTTATCAGCATATGACTGACCATCTTTTTCTCTTTCGTGTGTTTTGACCTTTTTCTTTTATCACTGAACCTCAAGAAAATTACCCCTGTGTAAACGGCATATCAAATAGACTTTCTACTCAGCTTTCCAATTTATAATCCAGCTTTATTGAGTACTTGATTCTGATTGGTCAAAACTCTTTAACAACAAAATTGAATTTGGTAAAGGTGTAGACAGGGCCAATCTGATCACACATCATTTTTATTCTTTTATTTATACTTGGTTGATTTACTCACTTGATTAAATATTATGCACACTCTATAGCCACAAATAATGCTCAGAACAGCACCTAACTTCATCAACAGCACATATAGGGTCCTAGCCACAGCACTAGCCACCAAACATCTTTTTAACTTTGCCTGATTTCTTTTGCAAAGAGACTAAACACAACTCACCTACTCTCTTCCAGCAACCACTTGTTTGTAGCAAGACCTCAGGCCAGTCCATTATGGACTACAATGGGGTGACACAGCTCAAGGAAGAACATTTATGATCATTCCATCATGAAAGTGCAAAATGATAAATGAGATGATTATTACTTCAAGGAAATGATCCCTACATGTACTGTTGATGAAGTTAGGTGCTGTTCTGAGCATTATTTGTGGCTATAGAGTGGCTTTTTGGTTGAGGTTTGTTTATGGCTCCTCAGACCGCTGTGTATTGCTATCCTTCGTCGTTACTAAAGTTGGTATAACTAGAGAAGCAAGCGGTCGGCAACATTCATCTCTCGAGGGGGTGTCTAACTCGGTGTTACGGTGTGTTTGACCCTAAATTGATTTTATGCCGGAATTACCCTTTAAATCAATCCCAGGAAAGACAGGAATACATAGCAAACCTCTGCCTGTTAATTTTAGGGCAAAAACTTAAGTTTCTGTCTCAGGCTGCTCTTGAGAGTAGGGACTATATGACAGTTACCATCCACAGATATGACAGCAGCCTGAAGGGTTACTGGTGCAAGTGTATTTCTAAATCAACGGATGTGTTAGAGACCTTCTCTCGATACTCTCTGACTGCATCACCTGGGCGGTGGTTCTAAAAATGTATAACTCTATTTAAGTTGTGTTTCTTTGTCCGTAGCAGCTGAACTGAGTTTTTTTTTTTTTAATCTAGCTATACTAAAAAAAGGGTAAAGAATGAATTACCTGCCTTTAGTTAAACATTTAGATATGAGTCATGGTCCTTCATGTTTTGTATGGTAGGAAGATAGTGTCTGATAGGGTCTCTAGAAGTAAACTAGTGCACACATTTTTCCTCAAAGACATTTTCTTTCTTTTCATTTCAGATCTGAAGCTTAGCAGAAGATTTTCGAGGACTTGGCCACAAAAGACTATTTATTAGTTTGATCAGCACATTATTGGTTCTAGTTCAACAGTGGAAAAAACAAACTTTTCTTTTAGGTAAACAAGATAAATTCTGCAAAAGGCCAGTCATAGTCAGTACTCTGTAACACTTTGTAATACTTGGTTTCTTTCCAGAGGTCAACAACAAAATAACACACAGATTTCCAGGTTGTGTCCAGTCAACAATGGTTAACAACAACTCTTCTGTAGTTTACAATGACCTCTTGAACAAATACACCTTACTGTGTCAAACATGCTCTCACACTTCCAAAATGTCTGTCTGCTTTGCTTCTCAGACTTTAATCAGCCTGAACGGCAGGCCGTCCCGACTCTCTCAGGGAGGGGGAGTTTCCTGAAAGGTCATGGTTGTTCCAGTAGACCAAACACTGCGCTAATTACTTTGTTGTTTGTCGGGTCGGTGCCTGTTTTTGTGTTGCACTTTTCCTTTGTTTAGCATTCCCAATTATATTACCTGAGTCTTTGGCCAAGAAATGGGAAGGATGGGAAGGGGAAGTTCGAGGAGTGTGGGAGACAAAGGAGGGGGAGGCTGCGCGGTGATGAGGTGGAGGTCGGTGGAAATATGAAGGCAGCGGTTGCTTAGTGGAGGCCGTGATTAGGCCGTGAAGGGGCCCCCGTCTTTCCTCGTCTGCTGGCTAAAAATAGCAGGAAAGGGAAGGTGCTTATGGGACCAGGAGGGAGGATTGAGGGGGACAGGACGAGCTAGGACTGCAGTAATTGGTGAGGGACAAACAGCTGGGGGAGTGTGAGTGAGGGGGCTCAACTCAATGCAGCTGTACTCTGTCTTTCAGGCTCTAGACCCTTCAAAATGTTACATTGCTTCTCTCTCTCTCTCTCTCTCTCACACACACACACTCAGCAGGAAGGAAAGTAATGGGTCCCTGACAGCCTAAAAGAATGAAAGAATGTGCAACATGAGGCAAGGGAACAGCTGTATGGAGTAAAGGGTGGGGGAGCAGGAGGGTGGGGGGGC